AAACATAAAGGTGCCTGTATCTCCAAACTTTACAATGAAACGTGAGGTTTTTATTACAGCAATGTGCTCGGCTTGGTCAACTGCACCTTGGGTGCCAGTTTCAAGTTCATCGTGGCTAATCCCAGATTTCGCAATGTCGCCACCAGCCAAACTGGATCTGGGGGTCGACCTCTTCGACGACGACGACTAAAAAATATTTTTTGGGCTAGTTGCGACATTGAACTTGAAACTTTCACACAAGGTGCTGTTGGCCAAGCCGAGCACATTGCTCTAATAAAAACCCCACGTTTCATTGTAAAGTTTGGAGATACAGGCACCTTTATGTTTTACCTATGCTGTAAGCGTGATGGAGTTGCTTTTTCCTAGTGGATGGTGTCGGCTGCATTAACGGAAAGATGAAGAGCTGAGTGAAACCGCACGTGGTGGTTACACAGACACGTCCTTGGCAGGTTGCTACACAAATGGATGATGATGATGATTGCCTTTTGTGAAGGTACGTAAGTAAACAGCATCCAATAATGAAGGTGTGTCAAGGTATGCATCACACTTGCATGTAGAAGAAAGTCGAGCAGCATAAACCAATTTGTATATGTAAAAAGATACATATACATATTGAATGAGTCACTCATCCTGAAACTCAATGGAGGGATCCCTTCACTTTTTCTCTTCTCAAGCTCATCCCACTTCTCACTCCTCCTTATTGTATCACAAAAGCCATGTACTTCTTAACCGGACCACCTTTATTATTCCATCTTCGAAGCAATAGTATGTAATCCACAAGCTAGCAACCTCCAACAAGCGTGTAATGGGAAGGTGCAATGTGGTATTGACTATGGCGGTCGGCTGTTATCAGCTACAACTACAACATGTCTTATATACGCTATTACGATTTTTGTGTGATGATGCTATTTGGAGGTAGGAGTCATATAATATGAGGAAGTTGGGATACACAAATTGGTGGATAGAGTTTATAAACCTTGAGTGTATGCGTGTAAGCGCTACACGTGGTTCCTCTTGTGGGATAAGCGTGGTAGTTATGATACCGTGGTCTATTCTATCATCTTGTACTTGGTCATGAATCTTATGTATATGGTACTTGACATACGACACTTGCTTCCATTCTTGTGCTTGCTGAAGGTGAAAACTGAAAGTGGTTGCCACGGGAACGGCGTTGCCAAGAAACCGGATGCACGGATCAAGTAATAAGAAGATGGATGGTGAAATTGAGAGCGTATTTGCCGCAGCTGGTTCGTGAGGTTGAATAGCTCCACTTGCCTTGTTGTGGTATTCGTGGACAGCTTCACCGCCTTTACCCAACTCCCATGGTCGATAAATACCCGGATAGCTTTGGACTTCAAATTAACGGTGCATGTTGTTGGTCCAACTTTTGGTTCCTCTTATGTCGAGACGCATGGTGGATGTCACCAATGCATTCAGGAATGGCCGTTAATATGACCACCATCATGCGGGCTGTAGTAGAGTGTGCCATCTAATCCAATTTTGCGGATGCATCTCAAGAGGTAGCTACATCAAAAAACGAATTTGAGTATGCGCTTCATCATCAAGCAAGCTGATTAGCATTTGGATACGGTTTTAGCCATAATCACCTTCAGTGATGCGTACCCGAAACTTGTGGCCTGCATTGCCTCGACCTCCTCGAAAGATCTCGATGTCCTTATATATATAGGATCAATCACTGTTGGCGTTGCTAATACATATCTCTGCCTACCTTCCATTTCAAGTAGTCCCAGATATCTGCAACCATTAGGCTGTTTGGCAATAGTGATCCAATCCGGAGGCCTTGCCGCCATCATACATCTTGTAATCAATCGCTTTCCTTCTTCAACCAAGGGGGATACCAACTATGCGAGCCCTTCCATTGCATGCCGTTGGGCCAAGATGACGATTTTGGCTATTCGCTGTAAGAGCGCTAGTATAGTGAATCTCCTGGATGATTGACACTTGGTGTAGACACCTCCTAGTTCCTTGTGGTAGACATAGCGGTGCTTTGATAGCATTTGGAATATCTCTTTATCCATTTTGACAGCTTTTTGGTACCAGGTTGAACTCATAACATTGTTGTATAGCTCATCTTGCGACATGTCGCTGTGGACATAAATCCTTCCATGGTGGTTATTGATTTCAGCTTAATCGAAAGCCAAGTATGACGGCAGTGACAATGAAGACAAGGTAACAATGAAACGCTGGAGACCATCACAAATATTAGTACATGGATCGCTCACAAAAAGGAATCTGAATCATGATACTCACCAAGGGCTTTAAAGGTGTCAGCAATCAAAGTATGGCATGATGGAAAATGTAGGAGGAGATGCGTGGGAGGAGAAAGCAATGGGCGACGACATCCTTGTTTATACCTGCATGGTGGGCGTGGGTATTTCTGTGACAACAAACAGGGAGAAAAGAGTGTTGGGATAGGTGATGAGATGATGGATTGTTGGGGCAAGGTCACAAAGAGCCTTGGTATGATTGATTGTCCAAGCATAATAAATCAGGGTCTGAGATAAGCAATGTGGGGTGATATTCCATTACCAGCAATGACACCCATCATCTACCACAAATCATATCCATGTTGAAATTGCGCGTAGTAAGACATTGTTTGTATGAACATACGTTTCTTTAACATAAAAAGTCGAAAGTTGCTGGCACCTTGATCGGTAGACACAGTGAACACACGTAAATAACGGCTTTCATATATGGAGCATGTGCCTGAAACAATGCAACGGGGAGTGCATTTGCATAATCATAGCGGCAAGAGGAGCAAAAACCACCACCGTCTTCTCTTGTCATACAATGCACATCGGCTACGAAGCTACAATGGCATTTTCTCCGTGCATTGCAATATTCTATAATCCCTGAAGATGATATGATTACGTTGTTGCCAAGGAGTACGATGTCAACGGCAATAGGCTCTTTTATGCATTGTATTGATCCTCTCCATTATCCATAATAGCCTCACATTGCACAATAGGGTGGATGCGGCTGTATCGTCGGCGGTGTTTCTCGATTTCCTCATCCGCGGATCACTATTTATTTCTATTTTCTTTAGCGATGTCATGATAGATGAAGATGACATGCCCACTTCGAACGCATCAACGATCTATACCTTTGCTTACTATCTCAATGCGGAGCTTTACATCTACTCTATTAATCAAGCGGCCCAAGTAGAGTAAAGAAGCATCATTCGTTGCACGTGGTAATATGCAAGTGTTATAACAACTCAGCAGCTCAAGGTGTGAATGACTTGCATACTACGATATGCTTCAAGTGGCATTATGCATCATTCCATGGGCGATGGTGACAATACCTATCTGGTGACCTGTCATACAACGAAAGGTGATGCAATGATGCGCATGTCAAACCCGAGGACAGCGATCCGCGGTGACACAAAGCTGTTTCCGCGGACATGCTTTTGGCGTACCAATGTGGTGCCATCCCCGTCTATTTTCGATTTGGCAGTCAGCTTTACTCCTTCTCCACACTCCTCCTCATCGCAACTCGAATATCAACATGAGCTTCAGTAAGGAACTTTCTCTTCGTACAAAGTCAATGAATGGGAACTTTAATGCAGACATCTCTTAGATCTGCGTATAGCATGCGTGGTATGTATATAGATAAGGGATCGAGAAGCGCGTTTATGTATACTGACAACCACCATTGGGAAACTAGATGGTCGGCTTGCCTGCTCGAGGCAAAACATACATTTCACAAAAAGGTACTATCAGGGATATAAAATGGGGGATGGCTTCATGTATCTTATCAACTCACTCTACAATAGTGTGCCGTTACTTGACGTGGTTGGGTATCAAGACCAAAGTATTCAATGTCGGTAACTATCGACGCCAGTTGCATGGTGCCAACCTGCCCCACACATTCTTTGATCCACACAACGCTATTGGAGAACAACAACGTCGAGAGGCAGCCGCTGCTGCATTGGAGGACATGATGCGATGGTTTGACGAGGAGCAAGGCATTGTGGCTATTTATGATGCAACCAACAGCACTTATCAACGACGCAAGTGGCTCCATGACGAATTGACTAGCAAAGATATCCTTGTGCTTTTCATTGAATCCATCTGCCAGGACGAATCGCTCATTCTCGCCAATATCAAGGATGTCAAGTTATCATCACCTGATTATGTCAATATGGATCCCGATGCAGCAGCTGTGGATTTCCGTGCACGTATTGATCACTACCAAGATTCTTATCAAACCGTCACCGAACAAGATTACACCTATATCAAGCTTATCAACGTCGGCAGTCAAGTCATTATCAACATGATCCAAGGCTATCTCGAATCAAGGATTGTGTATTACTTGATGAACTTGCATATCGCCCCACGCAAAATTTACTTTAGTCGGGTAAGGGATGGTGTGAATCATTGTTGGTATTGGATGGCTGATAGGTTTTCCTTTGTATAGCACGGCGAATCCATGTTCAATGTGAATGGCAAAATCGGCGGCGATTCGGAGCTTTCCCCGCGTGGAAGACAATATGCAGCACAACTTCCAGGTTTAATCCATGAGCATTTGGGTGATCAAAGTTTGACGGTTTGGACATCTACCATGAAGCGTACGATTCAAACGGGTGAGCTTCTCAAGTATCCTAAGCTGCAATGGAAGGCCTTGGATGAGTTGGATGCTGGTGTATGCGATGGAATGACATATGAGGAGATCGAGGTACGATAGAGAAGGTGGATACTCGTGGTAGATGGGACATGGATTGACACTTTGTATGTAGGAAAAGTATCCTGAGGATTATGCCAATCGTGACGAAGACAAATTCAACTACAGATATCGAGGAGGAGAGGTAAGGATGATTGCCATCCTATCATTTTCACCATTGTACCTAACATGATGATCCATTTAGTCCTACAGAGACGTTGTCCTAAGATTGGAGCCAGTGATCATGGCATTGGAACGACATGAGAACATTTTAATCATTGGTCATCAAGCAATTTTACGATGCATCTACGCGTATTTCATGAACTACAACCATGAAGATTTGCCATATATCAACATTCCACTGCACACTGTGATTGAATTGACACCAAAGGCTTATGGATGTGAGGAAAAACGATTCAAGGGTAGGTTGGCATGGACAACAGGGAGAGGGAAAGTATCAAAGAGACTGATCCATGATTGTTAGTTGATATTGATGCCGTGGACACTCATCGACCCAAACCATCAAAGACGGCAGCAGCTCATCCATCTGCATCAACATCCACTGGCCATCAAAAGAAGCCTAGCTTCAAGGCAAATGCAACAGGAGACAACCTCTCAATCAAATTGCCTGTGGGCGCTAGTGGTGAAATTGTCAAAGATGCCATGAGTCCGATCCTTCCTATCAGCCCAAAGCTTTATCCACGTGGCGTGTCAATCAAAGATACCAACAACAAATCATCAACATTGGCTACGGCTAACAACAATAACGCACCAGCAACTGATGGCGAAATGGCTGCTCTTGATTTAGGAGATGCTGCAATAGAACACAACAACCATTAAAAATGTCATCTTCGTTCATCATAAATATGAAGTCTTATAATGTTGGGTTTATTCAATGGCGGCTTGAAGGTGGTTGAAATGTGTTCTAATAGCTTTATCCAACCAACCACAAAGTAGATTAGTGAAAAGCGTATCCTGTTGTTCCTATTCATGTTTAATCCAAGTGGCAAATGGATGCTTTTATATCCCGTCAGGGAACATTTGCGTGTATGCACACTAGGTTTGCCAGCGATGTTCAACTTCTCTTTCTGAAACGAACACCCACATAAATCCTTGAACAATGTATTAGTTCATTTGAGCACACCAAGTGATTCGTGATGGTAGTCGATGGATGTCATTGTATTATGCTGATAGATATCGCCACCTTCTTTATCTCAGATCCTGATTCATGCATGGCTCTTTGTGAAGCCGTCCCATCAATCAATCAGCCCCATCAACATCCCAACAATGGTCTTTTAATAATAATGGTAAACAATGAGTATCGTGCTTGATGAAGCACATACTCACATCCCATTGATATAGCCACCTACTGAGATACATGTGCAGAGTTGAATTAGGTGGTTCAGCCTACTATAGGTTGTGGCACAACCGTTTCCATGGCAATGCCATTCTGCACCAAAGTGTGCAGCAGCCACGCTTGGCTGCACAATTCAAACGCCGCAATTGTGCAGCACCCAACCTTTTTCTGCACAAGCCAAAACCTCAGACGCGTTCCTTGTGCGCTTGCTTCTTTGCATTCTTGACACACCCCATGCTTCACTTTGACACGAGAACATTGCAATGGATGAACCAACTTCCCCCGTGATAGTCTGTAAAGAACCAGATTGCAAGTCCTCTTTCAAAACAGAAAAGTCGTTTCGCAACCATGTCAACAACTATCACCAATTGCAATACACCACCAGTTTCCAGGGCGACAAAGGTACGATACACTGAACAAGGAATGGCTCAAGTTTGACACTTTTGTATTATAAGAACGAGTCTATCTGAGGCTAGAGCGAAAGGATGGCAGTCTGGCGTGTCCATATTGCAAAGGATTATTCAAGACATTGTCAGGGATAAGAATGCATCTGGATAGGGAGAAAGGGTCGTGTGGCAATGACAAAGAAGGTACCTTTTTTAAAAGCTTGCAAGACATCCCAATTACTTACTCTTTGTTTCATGCAGATCTTTCCAGCTTTGATCGTGATGATGAGATATACGAGGTTGAACACATACCCTTGCCAACATGCCCATCCTATGATGAATCTTTGCCACCACCTCCCGATCCCACACGCCGTCATTCTTTTACTGAATCGATTATACACGCATGTCAATCCATGGAAGCGAGTGAGGAAGAGCAATCCAAGAATGAATGGATAATTGCAAAGATGCAACTTGAGCCGATAGCATTGATCGAAGACAACGATTCAACCCAAAAAGCCGAATTCAACGCGATCACCCATTCTTCAAACGCCAAACGCATGGCCGGCAAGCGTTTTATTTGTGAACCCATCATGCCGTCAAAAACAAAGCTACACAAAAGCCACCATTGCTCCGAGATTGCTACGACAACGTTGGTTCATTTATTGCATTCCTCTCCTTTGCGTGCGATATTGATGCAGCGTCAATATTTCGAGCTCAATGATCAAGTGTGCCAGATGCTGAATACCGATTGGGAACATGTACCGCAAATCAAGTATGCTTGTGCACAAGTGCTTGCTGGATCCATATTGATAAGTGAGAAATCGGGGCACGCCGTGCTTGTCAACACTATCGAAGCCTATTGCCGTCGTCGCTCAGTGGATATACATCGTGAAATGTCAAATCAAGATGGCTCTATTCCTCCACCATCATCCCATTACGAGAACGTGTGGCCTTGTGTACTGAATACTGCTGATGGAGAAAAATTGACGATTGGGACACAGACAATGAATGCACTGGTGACATCCACCATGCGTCTCGACATAAAAGAGGAACCAAAAGTTGGACCAACAACATGCACCGCCAATTTGAAATCCAAAGCTATCCGGGTATTTATCGATCATGGGAGTTGGGAAAAGGCGGTGAAGCTATCCACGAATACCACAACAAGGCAACTGGAACCATTCAACCTCACGAACCAGCTGCGGCAAATACGCTCTCAATTTCACCATCCATCTTCTTATTATTTGATCCGTGGATCGAGTTTTTTGACAACACCATTCTCCTGCCAACCACTTTCAGTGTTCACCTTCAGCAATCACGAGAATGGGAGCAACAAAGGCGACTCGCATGACAAAGCATCCATCATTGCATCAAAATTGTTCTCGCATATTGCACATCAAGTTTTGTCAACAACCCAACCATCACTGTCAAAAGCATACGTGAACCAATTGACGTCCCAATGTGCGGCTGGAAAAGTGCGAGAGATCATGGATAAAATCGTGCTGTCTTTTGACGATGCGGATGATATGCTTATTCTCTACAATCACGACCTCAACAATAATCTCACCCAACTCGCTTTGCTTCTTTCTTCTGATATCGCCAAAGCCAACAAGTCATACGTTGTGCCAAATATCCAAAGGCGACTAGTGTCCATAATTGATAATGAATAAAAATGTATATAAAAGATCCTTGTTGACAGCTGCAGGTTGGATGATAAAAGAGATGGGGTGCATACACGATAGTATCCAACAGTGGCATCCCCAGGAGCATTTTCAGTTATACATCGTAAGAGGATTACGAGAAGGCTTTCAAGCGACAAACACCATTCTGCACAATCGGAGAGAAAATGTGCAGCGCCCAACTTACTCTGCACAAGCCGTACGCTGAAATGTGCAGCACCACGCTTGGCTGCACAATTCAAACGCCGACATGTGCAGCACCCAAGCTTGTCTCTGCAAGCCGTGCACTGAAATGTGCTTGTCTCCACAAGCCAAAACTCAAACACTCACCCTTGTGAGCTTGCTTCCTTGACAGCACCTCCTTCGTTTCTATACAAAGATATGAGCTTTCGGTTCACGATGATTGGATAAGCCGTACCATTCGACCATTATCCCCATTCTATCACACCATCCACGTTATCTTGATTGTATAAAAAACGAATCTTGCTTATTTACAGCATATCCCATTCATCGATTTTATTATTGATTTGCAACTGGATTGTACACAATGATGGGTCGTTTAACTTGTGAATGAAACGTCTTTGAAAAATGGATCATGTGGGTGTGTGCCATAAGCGTAAAATCTTTATTCCAGCAAATGATTCATAAAGCGCATGCAATAAATGATCACGCCTGAATGTCTAAAGCACATCATCCTATCTGCTGGTGGAGGCCTTGAGCATGAATGTTCTGTGTAACCATCAGCATAGTTGTCATTGGCTACAAGGTGCTTGATCTGCTTGCAGTAGCGCAAAACGATACGCGAAATCGTCGTTGACTCTCTTTGTTTCATGACATGCACAGAAGAACCTCTTTCCTATGTACCAACACGATATGAATCCAATGATACTTCCATGAGCGTGCCCTCCAGCAGTAGGAGTAGTTGCACCAGCAGCAGAGTTGCCATGGTTGCAAGCTCACATAGGCAATACATCTTGCAGCAACAACAGCAACGAGGTCTTCAGCTTCAGCGACGTAAAACCATAGTCAAGGTCGTATTGGATGAGACTTTTCGACGTTCCTCTGTACCACTTGCTCCAAAGCTTCGACGTATCCGTGACAAACAAACAACAACAGCAACAGCAGCAGCATCGCCTACCCATCGTCATGGTCAAGCAGCATTACTCGCATTGGCTATACGACAGCATCCCTCGAAATGCATACCTCGCTCCGATCTCATAAAGACAGCATTGGATTTGGATACCAAGATTAGCCAGGAACAAAATACCCCTCGTTTATTCCAAGGCAAGGTAAAGAGGCTTGAAAGATAGCGAGTATATCACGTGCTCATGTATCTTATGATGTTGTTGTTGTAGACGCCTGTCAACTCTGCATCAGCCATTCTATCTCACAATGTGGATCGCTATTTCGAAGCCATTCGTCCTCAAGATAGTGCATGTCTCCATTATCGACTAGCAATCGATCACCCAGCTTTATTTGAAAATGCATTGAAAGCATACAAGCAATGGGAGTTGCAGTTGATCAAGAGAGATTGGCCTTTGTATTTTGGTGTACGAGTCATCGCAGATGGCGAATACGACAATGAATTTGATCGCTTTGTGCTAGCACGTCGACAAGAATTACAAGTAAATCTCGACAATGTTCCAAAGACATGGTCCGATCTAGTATGTGTGGTGAAGGATGATGATAATGATAGTTCTTCTTCTCGACTCGTTGCCAAGCGCAACATCCCTGTCAACGTCCCTCTTGGTTTCTATTTTGGTGTTCCCATGTCCAAACATGAGTTTGCTGTGCTCAAAGAAGGTGTCGGCAATGCAGCCAAGTATTGTGTCTTGTATGGACAAAAAACAATTCTCGATGCAACCAATGAAGAAGGTCAACCCTATCAGGAAAATGACATCTCCCTCTTGTGTCCATTCCACATCATGCGAGAAACAAAGAATATCCAATGCGTTAATGTGTGTCTGCTCGAAGGAGTTGTCAAGAATCAAGTCATTTGCTGGACGAGGCGTCTCATTGAACAAGGCGAGGAATTGATGTTGATGGATAGAAAATAGTATTGTTGCATGGAAACAATGAATAAATGCATGTCTCGATTCATTATGTACATTTTCATGGTTCGTGCCCCACTACAGCAGACTTGCTTTCAGTCGCTTCATTGTTCACTTTATACACGATGCTTATGATTAAAAAAGAAAGAACGCATGAACCGGATAAGAAACCGTTTATGAATACAAGTTGTCAAAAAGTTCATTGTATATGAGATGGGCATTCTAATATGGGACTGTGTCATCATTTCAAGTATGCAAGTAGGCAGGTAAAAGACGCTGGCACGTGTGGTCTCCAAAAATGGCTGGGCTAATTGGGCAGCATAGCTTTTTCTTTATCCTCTTTCACATTCTCCCTTCCCCTGATGTTCACTGAAAACGAGGAACCATTACAACTATCCCACAAACGATCTGAACGGTATCGCGAGCGACATCGTGGTCCACGGTATGGATGCCAATGCGACACGAACGAGACACCAGATTCTCATTTGCTTTTCTACAACTAGACCTCTTCAATCGTTGACTCCAAATCAGCTTCCACCTCTCGTCATTTTACGAGCAGAAGAATACCGTATGTTGCTTTATCAAGCGCCTATTAATAGGAGCCAATACTGAGGATATTATTTATATAGGTCGTCAGCACCCAGAACGTACCTTTGTATCGCATAAGCGCAAGCATACAGCCGACTTTGCAGTGCAAGTTGATAAAGAAGACACGCGTATTTATGATGAGAATTATACCAGCAAGATCCCACGCATTGATAAGACAGATGGGTAAGATGATATTACTTCTAAATGTTACAGATCATTGTGCTTATACAAAGGGTCCATGTTATAGGAAATCTATTACCAATGATTTGACTACAAAGGAACAACGTGAGTGATTTCATCCAAGTCTACGGGTACCTTTTTTGCTCATTAGTTCCTATAGATATGCGTAGACCAAGTTCGGCATCCATTAGAAGCCAAGGATCAAGGCATACACTATTACCAGCATCAGGATCTTCTCAACAGCAACCGCAATCACCACCACCAACACCACCACGACCACACGAATCCCTTCAACAGCAACGACCATCGACACCATCACCACCACTTCGATCTCCTCAACAGCAACTACAAGCCAAACAACCTTCTAATCACGTTGTACCGCATAAGCGCAAGCATACAACCGGCTTTGCAGTGTATGTTGATAAAGAAGACACACATATCCATGATGGGAACGATGATAACAAGACCCCACTCATTGATAAGAAGGATGGGTAAGATGAAATCACCGAAAGGCGTTATAGATCTTTGTGCTAATATAAGTGGGTCAACATTATAGGGTATCAATTACCGAGAACTTGGCTACAAAGGAACAGGGATCACCATCGCCACCCCAACTCCAGTCTCCTCAACAGCAATCACAATCACCACCACCATCCCAGTCGCCTCAGGCACCAATTACTGATAACTTGGCTACAAAGCAACTGGAATCATCATCTTCACCGCCAGCTCGATCACCTCAACAGCAATCACAATCACCTCCACCACCACCATCCCAATCGCCTCAGGCACCAATTACCGATAACTTGCCTACAAAGGAACCGGAATCATCATCTCCACCATCATCCAAATTGCCTCAGCAACAATCACAATCCCCTCCACCACCACCTCAATCGTCTCAGGTACTAATTACCGAGGATTTGGTTACAAAGGAACCTCAACAGCAACCACAATCCAACAAATCTGATAATCACCGTGACAAAGCATCCGAGATGGGAGGCATACCAGATGATGTTGATTTCGAGATTGATTTTGATTTTGGAGATATGGGAGGATCAATGCATGATGAACAGGAGGATCGACCCATTGAAACGATAAATCGACGAGAGTCAAGAGCACATGATTTAACGAATAATGGTGAACAAGAGGATCGGCCCGTTAGCAAGATCAATCGACGAGATTCAACACCGGTGCAATCCAAAGCACGTGCTTCCGCGCATGATGATGAGGATGGTGATCGGGCCATTGAAAGGACACATCCAGTACACAAGGAGGACAAGGCAACATCAGATGAACCGGATGTGGATCAGCATGAGATTCTGGAGAGGGTGATTGAACGTCTTGCTGATCAAAAGGTGTTATTGCTCAACCCTGACACAATCCGTTCTACCGAGATGATCAAGGACAAGCTACATGATGCCATGTTGGGAACTACTGTGAGAATTACGCAGCAAAAGGCGCTCGCGCAGCTCAATTTCGTTGATCAGGTACTCGAAATGATTCAAATAGCTGTCGCCAATGCCACGTAAGTAGCATGGAAACCAAAAGTGTGCAAGTATACTTATCTTTTATTAGGAGTATCCAAGATGAGATGCTTCAAGCTTATCTGGAAATGTTCCAAAACTATGTGGTGGGCCCTCTTGGTGATCATGTAAGTTATACTTTGGCATGTGTGATCACGTATACTAAAGACGTATGTAGATACGAAATATGAAGGATCAGAAAAAGTCTGAAACGAGGCTCAGGCGAATTCGGCATCAGAAAAACGCCGTGCGTGTCAAGATGTTGAGCGAACAAAAGCAAGCAAACAAGATCCGTCAAGAGGTTAAGCAATTGGAGGATATGAGAAAGAAAATTCAAAAGCAACAAGAGGTGAGAGTGTATATAAAAGAGAATGAATGCTTTTCAACGGGTTACTGATGCATCAATGCAATTGTAGTCATATATGGAGCTCAAAGATTTCCTGAATGCATTGGATAATATGAGCTAGTTGTGATATTGTTTCAATGAATGAATGAATGAATGACAACATTTCCAGTGATATGAGTGGATGGATGGTTGTGTTGGTGATGATGATGGGTTGTGGTGGGCATATTTCTACTTTTAGGATGCGACTCTCCAAATTGAAAAGGCGATTTTCACACTGAGTGTGGTGGGTGGGCGGCCGACTTATAACATTTGTGCTTTCATTTTCCCCTTCCTACTACCCCTCTCTCTCCACACATACACACACACACACAAGTGGCTCAAAAAGGAGTTGCAGCAGCACATACACTTTTACCAACATAAAACGTTTATTGGCAACCATACGACGCTGTTTTTCATCGCACTCACCCTGATCAACAATCGGCACCCACGATCGGATGGAGAACTGGGCCATGAACGAAAACGGGGACCCTTCATTCGGGGCCGTCAATAACGTTCAACTGTTATGGAAGCTACAAACCCTGCAATCGCTTGGAATTCCAGTCGACCACAATGAGACGATGGAACAGACACAAGATTTTGCACCCGACCTTGCAACAGCCGATAGTAGCAATAGCTTTGTCCACGACGACTTGGCCCAGGAAGTAGACAAGCTCTTAAATATGCAACAAGGTATTGTTCCACCACCACTGCGATTACCACGAATAGCAACATTCATCCATTATTATCTTGAATAGATCCTCTCATCAAACAACAAAATGATTCATCCGATTTTTCTTTCTTGTCTGATCCGGCCACTGCTTCATTTCCATTGTCAACTGCTTCTCCTTTTGATTTGCAACAACAACAACAACAACTTCCAACAGCCGGTGCATCGTCATCCAATACCACAACAGCTACTGCAACCACCACCACGACAATGACAACTACGGCTACGGATGATGCAACGGTGGCTGTGTTTGCAGACCCAACTTCTTTGACACGTAAACGATCTCGTTCACCTTCATTGTGTAATCCACTCGATGAACCAGCCACTACACGATTATGCACCACAATGGATCATCCTCCTGATGCTTCATCATCATTGCTGTTCAAAGACGATTTCATGGCACTCAACATTAATACCCAACCAAGGATATATTCACCACGACCCAGTTTGCGATTACATATGCAAAAAGGCGAGGTGGATCCAATGAAGCATCGATTGGATGTGAATGGAATACGTCGGCTTACATCAGCGATATTGAGACGACTTGGCGTGATAATGACAATGAATGAATTGCCAGCTGTGGATGTGAGCCAGCATGATGAGACCGATTCGCAGCATTTATTACCCACCAAGGCAATGGAAGTGATTACAACCATGATTCTCGGCACATCGGGTGATAAGGATGTATCGCAAACGGGCAGCTCACAGATATCCAATGGTGATCTTGTGGCAATACAACGCATGGTGATCGCTGCTTTGAGATACAAAGGACTCAGTATCAACACTATTTTCCCCACCCAAATCTTATCAGCCAATGCCATTCCAGAACCAAGCAACACCACTGTCACCCCATCATCCATCGACTACATTGATCTTTCCAAAGTGCGATATGAATTATCATCACAAGTCACACGGCTCTTTTTGCGTCTCTATCGCTTCATCCTCAACATGCTATTAGCAACACCCGATTGTTGGCCGTTTGTTCAACCTGTTCCCGAATCCGCAGTATTGTATCACCAAGAAGTCAAGCATCCCATGGATCTATCTACCGTTGAACGAAAGGCATGGAAAGGTGCTTATACAACCTTTTCAAAGTTTGAGCAAGACATCCTTCTTATTTGGCAGAACGCCAAATCCTTCCACAAGAACACTGGCACCATTCCCAAACACGCTGAAAAGTTGGACGAGTTGTTCAAAAAGATCGTATGCCATTTGAAAAAGCAGATTCTGTAAGTGTGTTTTATTGTTGTGTGCGGATGCATGCATGGTAGATTGATGATGTCTCTTTGGTAGTGTGAATAATGCTCAACGAAGTGCCACGCCCGACAAGTTTCGATTCGACCCCCTCCAACCACTTCCAGAGGAGACTCGCCTATCCGATTCATTATTGGCAAGGCTCTTTTCATGCAATAGGTAATAAGGATTCATCGATGGGACCATGTATATCCATCCTAACATCATCTCTAGTACTGTATATACCATTTTGACGATTGGACCTTACGACGATCGTGTACGATTAAAAGGGCTTTCGAATGAAAAGATGCTCTATCTTCAGCTTAATGGACCTTTTTTCACGGCTGTACGGCAAATGAAGGAGAATCCAACGGGGGATCACGTTACAATACCACGATTTTTCATTGCAAAGAATCGCACGTTTCTGGAACAAGTCAGCAGCTATGGTGTATTGGCCATCTTTCACAATGTTAGCATGAAGCGTACGGAGCCAGGATGGTACAATGTGCAATGTGATATGGTGATTGCGTATCCTGCTAGTCCATTGTATGATATCGATCTTTTGAGCAAGGTGACGGATGAGCATTCACCACGCGCATACATTTATCTACGTCCATTGCGGATATTGGAGAATATGACCTTTCATGTCAATCAAGCCGTTGAACGTGATTATTTTCGACGACTCAATACCACCAGCAAAATTCCAGCCATTTCACAATCCGTGTACGGGAATGAGGATGTGGATACAAAGATCATCTTGAGGCGAATTGCGCATGCGGCACTCTCACTCCGTTACGACATGCAAGCTGAAAAGGATGTACGGCAGCGTATACAACAAATACAACAACAACGACAACATCAGGAACGTGAACGTAAAAAAGGTGGCGGTTCAAGTACGATGGCATTGGGCGCAAGGAAATCATTGTCATCCAAATCAAAAAAGGACGGTGGTGGTGGTGCTGCTGCCGGTGCTGTTTCTAGTCCAAAGAAACAAATGTCCATCACCATGTTCACTGTACCATCGCCTGCAATGAAACGAGAGTCGCCTGTTGAATCACCTGCTATTAAACGAGAATCGCCTGTCGCATCACCTGCTGCTGCTAAACGAGAGTCGCCTGCCGAATCGCTTTCTATTAAACGAGAATCGCCTGTTGAACAACCTGCAGCCATACCCACTGTACCAGAAAGTCAATCACCAGATCGGCCTAGTGTCATCAGCCCTATTCCAAGTGATCCATCATTGGCACGTGAGATTGATCGCGATGTTTGGAGGAGGTTATTCTCAGGTATATACTATTACTATTATTATTATTATGCGGCACGCATACTTACTTCTACTATAACAGCATGTCGTGACAAGGGTGTTCAAGTGGTCAAAATAACCGAACGCTACAAAAGCTACAGCTGGTCTGTGCCCAATACAAATACAAAGTCAATACCTCCGAATTCTGAAGGCTTTTTCAAGCAAGTCTATTTCTTGGATGATGTGGTGGTCCAAAAGTTTCGTGGCATGTCCATGTACCAACGAGTCACCGAGGTGGCCTGTTTAATGTAAGTGCATGATTTATTGAAAATGGGGGGGGGGTTTGGTGAGATCACTTTCTTATTCTTGTTGACCTTTAGGAAATTGAGGAACCTGCCGCATATGGCACAATTACGAGAAGTGTTATATAATGATGAAGGAGATGTGGTGGGATTATCTTTGGAAAGGTAAGAAGATGGTTATCATACAAGTTGGGATGGATTCTTGCTCACACACATACACATTTTAGATATGAAGAAACGCTCAAGCAATATGCACATGTGCACTCACATCACCGGTTGTCGGCTCATCAAAAGTATCACATCATCCTCCAAATGATTAGATGCATGGAAGTGATTCACGAGGCGGGTTTGGCGCATCGCGATCTTTCCGAAGTCAACTTTATGGTGTCTCGACAAGAAGGAAAGCTCGAAGATGGCAGCGAGAAAGTCTTGGTGTATCTGATCGATTTCGGCAAATCAGTCTTTTGTCGAGCGGATGATGTGCGTCAATGGTTTGTGGATGTACCAAGAGGACCAAACGAATACAAGGACGATGTTGTGCCTGAATCAAAAGACGAATTGGATGAATGGTGCAACAATCTACCCTGGATCAAGGCCAAACCTGATCATGGCTATCGCATGTATAGGTAAATCATCCATGGCAACAATAGCAACAACAATGGGGCTCATTGTATGTGTGAATTTAGATCTATACAAACATTGCCAAAGACAAGGTCGCATAGCCAAGTATTGGATTGGTTAATCGAGCCGATGGCTGAAGACATGTACTCGATTGGCGTGATGATATGGAAGCTGTTTTCGGATTCGGAGCCATGGCGAGGCATATTGGATTCGGATTTGCAAGGACTGCGATATGCAGCCGAGGACGATTATCGGATTGAACGACAATTGGAAAGTGATGTACATGGTCCTGTGAGCCGCGAGCTATTACTTAAAGCCATACGAGTCCATCCCAAGGACAGAGTGACAGCGGCGGAACTTCTTGCTTGGTATGAGCAAGAACATGTACGACAAGCATTACTCGAAGAGTGGCATACTTATTCATCTGAGAAGCGCTCATCAAGAAAAGCAAAAAAGATGTTTGGCTTTGAAGAAACGGATGGTGGAGGTGCTGGCGGTGGAGGTGCTGGTAGCAGCAACAGCAATCGTAAGCGACGATAGTATCACACACACAAACCCTTTATAATATTCCCTTCCTCTCCTCCTCCTCCTCCTCCTTCCCCACTCGGACGCACCACACACACGCACACACACTTTCATCACCCCATTCATACCCCCAGTATTCATGCAATTCATCCTTTTTTTTCTTTTCATCTTACACCATTGTACCGTTTACCTACCAATCATGTCATGTATAAAAAAAGAGATTGCTGGGCCTCTATCTTTTGGTGTAAAGATATGCAGTTTAATTGATGTTTGTGAAATGACGTAGAAGGGGATGAATGCTCGTGCGTGGGAGAGGATAAAGGAAGGAAGGCGGGAAAAACCAAGAATGGAAAGAGTTAAGGGAGTGAGTGAGTGAGTATGACAAATGATGGGCGTTATATGAGACAATGAAGGGTCAAGTGGCGTTAATCTACTTTTTTTATGAACAGGACTGGATGGCTTCGGTCAATGCAAGCTCGTCATAAATAGGCAAACCCGATTCCGATAATTTTCCATTAATGGAGACACACTTGATACCAAGCGATTCAATAGCCTTGACGTCCACTGGTATTGCGCTATTGTCGAGGTAGATCAGGTGGGTGATGAATGAGGAAGGCGAATATGGATTGAACTCGTATTCAGGGAAGGGTGGTGTTGCAAGGCCTGATGATGTATCGCATGTCTCGTAAAATGCATGTCTTGCATCGATGTTGCGACTCTGATTCAAGGCAGCTGTGATGGTTTGGATAAAGTCCATGGCGTCGTAATCACTTGTTTCTCGATCATTGGATCCATTCAATAACAAGATCTTTTTTCGTAATGAGCAAGAATGGGCGATTGTGTTACCCACGTGGCGTAATATGAGACATGGTACAATGGATGTGTACAATGAGCCGATAGAATAAACGAGTGTCTCCTTGGCTGATGAAAGTTGAGTGATGAATTTGGGATTGGGGAGTGGATAAATCTCTTGGCCGTATTGGTTGATGTAATAAATGCGTTCGATGCGAGCTGCAAGTTTGGTATTGTCCTCCTTGCAAAAGAACAAATTGGTGCTCACCACAGGTGACGATGGATCACCGCTATCTTCGTTTGATAAAGCAAGATGTGAAAAGGCATCAATTGGATTGGCGTGTGTCCAACGACAACCGGGTATGCAATGACGACCCCGTTTTTCACTTGTGGAGGGTGGTGGATGTGAGATTTCATTCTGACCGGCTAATATTTGACCATTGGCAAGACGAGCAGCAATTGTGGCGGTATGATTGGTATTGATTACTGGTAATACGGTGGTGCGTTCGGAAATACCAGTGATTGCCGAAAACAGAAACAGGGCAGCCTCCAATGAACCAAGAAATAAACGAGCTCCCGTCAAAAAGAAGTTGCCGATACTGCCATTACGAAAGTCAAAACGCTTGTGGGCTCGTTTCAATGCTTCACAATGAAAGCTTGTAAGAAACCCGCGGATAGCCTCCTTTTTTTCGTTGGGGATGGCGTTCCAGAGCCTATTGTCATAAATCATTGCTATGATTAGTACACATAACACATGCTGAATCAAATCATTCTCCCTTGCCGCAACAAAAACAACAACACCCCCTTAACGCACACACACACACCCCATCCACTTGCGCTATTTTCGACTACTTACGAATGCCTGCCTTCCACAATACAAAGCCATTCTTCCATCACTTCTTGCTCGGTTGCATCTGCAGGGAGACGATAGCTGAGTAGATCTTTCATGGCCATTCTCTCGGGTGAACTTGGTTGTGGGTCGGCAAAATCAATAAGACGGGTCAAACGAGAGCGTAGATCACCAATACTTGGGCCACCCAATACACGCAGTAGCTCGCTCTATATGGAAAGTCAATGAGTTTGGGTTGCCATGAGGACTTGATTGGCGAAGGGTGTGTGTATGTGAGTGTGCATTACCGATGATCCACCGTTATCGGAGATGCTCAAGACGTAGCAAATGTCGTTTATTGCCGAGTCGTGAAATGTGCGAGCGATGTGGTTACAAGCTGTTCCACCAGAGACAATAATGTAGGAGGCTTTTTTGGTCATAGTAATAGTAGCAGGATATAAAAAGACGACATGGTTGTTTTGGAAGCTGCCTTGGCTATAAATACAAGCCGTCGTCGTCGTAAAACGGAGATGTACAAGTGGACCAGTGGCATTCATGGACCAGATAACAGATCTTATCAATGGCCAATAAGGGAGCCGATTCCTCGGATCGATGGCTTTACGTATGTATGTAATACTTGCAGCAGCACCAACACGACCATCAACAAAGAAGGAGGGGGAGTCATTCTCGTTTCCCTTCTCCCACGCTTTTTGTTGGCAAGTACACCTTACTTTTGTCATGTTTATCATTAAACGCTATTATACGGGCCCAATCGGGCTCTAAAGGCCCGTGCATTTCCGAGAGCCATTTTTCTTATGATCCCATCTCTGCTCACTCATTCACATACACAATACGTTTACACAGTGTGCAATAAACCAACCACAACCCCCTGCATCATTCTATTTATCCTTGCATTTGTTGCATCGGATCCTCCTAATAGATATGGCTTCAAATGGGTAGATGAAGAGCTCCATGTCAAAAAAAGTTGCCCGGGAAATTGTGTAACGTCTCTTATCAAGGTTACACCCGCTTTATCTGTTTGCTTCCATTGATGGTTTGTTATGCATGATATGCGTGTGGGGGGAGAGGCTATCTTGGTCACAAGGATTACCAAAGCGATCAAATCATTATCAACTTTGTCCTTTTCCCATGATGATAAGATGCTCACTTTTTTATCACACTGCTGACTGATGTGTTAAGCTATCGATCATTTCTAAATGTCATGGGGACATTGGCATGATGGATTATGATGTATGACATGGTATCCATTGTTAAATGATTTTGTCACCATCACATCTACACAATATGACGGCATACTCAAAAGTCCAATCTTATCGTAGGTCCCCCCCCTTTATCTTGAAAATACATATCGAGGCATCATGTTTTTATTCAAATCCCGATGCAGCGTTGCCAGGTGGGTTTTACTTTCTGATACCATGTGATTGAAACATTGCTGTTGGTATACTTGGATGCACAATGATATACGCATACCTAGAGTATAGGATATAGCAGGTTCCTTTCTTGATGGAAATGCGCTTGCGAGTGATAGCAACTTGATGCCATTGTTGTTTGGTGGTGATGGATATGGCCTAATTTGGTCATGTCAATCCAACGCTCTTTGTTAGAGGAATCAGGCATGATCCAGGTAATCTCCCCACATCTTTGTGATAGTCACACGCCAATCCTGCATATATAAATGTCAAGGGCCTTGTCACCCATTTACTCTCACACGCATCAACGTCTCTTTGATTGCTTTGCACTGTCAATAATCTGCGTATCACCCATGGGATGCAGCTACCTCGCATGACGCATTTAGAAATCTTTGGATTCGTGCCTTGGTCTATCATCGAATGCTGAAATTGACATGATGCATGAAATTTTGGTGCAGATAGCAAAGTATCTCGTACATCTAATCAGCGTTTTGGCAAAGAACGACATCGACCAATGTGATTTTAAAGCCTGTGTCTTTATTCAAGTCTCTTATTTCTTCGTCAACTCGATGCATAAATCGACGCTCTTTTGCAAGGGGCTATGGATCGATGGGATGTATGTACTACGTGAAATGCGCATGATCCCGGAAAATCTACGATTGCTATTTTGTGTAACGATCGTTAGTCATAATTAATCAATGACGTTGTCATGAAACCTACAATAAAAATACATCCTGTCATCAATACTATGGTCACACATTGATGAGCTTAAGGGTGTGGGCCACTGTATTATAGTTGGTAGAAAAGCTGTTTATTATATCTTTAGAGCTCTTCTAATAATAACGCCGAGCATTGACAAAGATAAGCGATGGCGGCCATTGTTCTTTTGTCGCACCAATCTTGACACGTTCATCAAGCATCTCTAGAGGCACTTCCTTCTCTACGCCTTGTTGCCGTGCAACCACCTTGAGTCGTGGTAATCGTACCTTGCCTGCTAGTAGCGGATAGCATGTATAGTGATAGGACACTTGAGAGAGGGGCAGCACACGACCCTTGAGAAGTTTGAGACCCGAAAATACAAAGGCGTCACTAAGCTCTACAGAGGCTGTGTATTCGGCCAAATGCTCTGTGGGATTGGATACGGTATACGTTGCTGTAAATTGCTCGCCGACATATAGTTCGTCAGGCACATCTATGTAAGCGTATAAGCATCAAATTTCTTTTTCTCTCTCCAACAACGTGCACCTATGTGTACCTGCTAGCACAGTCAAGCTTGGTTTTCTGAATTCAAGTGTCGGCATCGCCAATAGCGTTTTGGAGTATACAGCATCATTCCCACTCCTAAAAAATAGTCTAGTTAACAAACACCATTCCTCTTTCGCCATATCACCAATCCTTACCGTCGCCAGTAAATGGCAATTGATCCCACAGGCACTGTCGGTTGTGGTTCGGTAATATCCTCAGTCGCCATTCGGAAGGTATAGCTTGTATTATAAACGTATCCTGGAGCCCATGCTAAAGAAAACGAAATCAGCAACGTGATCATAGTCCTTCCATCTTCCATCAATTTTACCTTGTTTCTCGGCAGCTGTACTTTTGTCATTTGAAAGGAGAGATAATGAGGTGTATGGATGCTCAAATGGCTATAGAATAAGGTATAAGCAACGACCAAAAGAAACACAACACTTGACGTACCGATTGCTCAAGCTCCACCTTTTCAATCTCAAGCTCACTTGCTGCACAGCAGCGGATAGCCGTGGCGACTTGCCACTTTTCGGATCGTTCCAAATTGGGTGATGGTGTTGCAAGAGAAGGCTTGTCGCTCTGAGCAGATAGCTTAAAGTTGGTTTCAAAGGGTGACTTGAAAGCGATCCTTAGCATTTCACGTTTCTCAATAGTAGCATTGGGATCATGTGCACTGGCAGACGTGTATGAAGCCTAGCATATCCCAAGTCAATCTCATTGCCAAAAGTAATAAAGTACGACTTACTGTCAGCGTGACCAGACGTGTACCGGGAAGATCCTCTGCACACAAGTAAACCTTCTTTTTGACAGACTTTCCATTTTCGATCCTTCCAATGCTTGTTGTTTGAACACTTTCCTTGATGCCATCCGATGCATCACGTGAAAAAACGACAAAGTCAGTTGTTGGTTGGCCTGCGTTTTCGCATAAATATCAGTCATCATGATTTCCTAGACACTCAATCCTTCTCTTGCTTACCATGGCCAGTGGCATCCTTGATCTCAACAGATAATGAAGCATCAATGGCGTCCTGCTCTTGATTCTCCACCGTGATATTCAACTCAAAGTGCTCGTTGAGAAGAGCTTGACTTTCAAAATCAGCCGACAATTTCACTTGAGGGGGGCGTTGTGAAATTCTAATGAGGAGGGATAAGTTCATGCACTCGCTACCTTTCCATAATCATACCTCACGGAGTTTAGCTCGCCTCGTCCATCCAAAAACTTGAATTTGGGAGATGCATTGGTATCTATGAAAGCTTGTTAATGTATGCGAGGTTCGAATGTATCCTCATATCTTGACTATACCTGAAGGTGGTAGAAGCCATTTTCTACGCACCATGTCGTGTTCATTGATAACGACACGGCTTGGATCATAGCTTAGGCTGACATGCCACTGTGGGGAATTGATGTCAAGGTATACGCCAACAATCTAATTCATGGGATTCTTGTGAGCAAACTACTCTGATGTTTCCATATAAACACCACCTACCTTGAGTTGCTCGCATTCTTTCGGAAGCACACATCCTTCAAACACGATTGTCTGATTTTTGATAACACGCAAATCAACTTTTTTGGTATGCCATCCAGCGTATTCCCCTTCATTGATCGTCGTCATATCTTTTGTGCAATCAACATAGACCAGCGAAGCCAAGTCACCCTCATTGCCGATATCCTTCAATATGCAGTTGTACTTTGGATCATTGAACATGATACGCATAGCGCTGAAACGCAAAGGTTGAAGTGGGCTGTTGGTGCCGGTATGGAGCGTCACCTGGTAGGGTACCAGTGTATTGACAAAGTTGGCTCTATTCTTGAATTGGAGTTGGCATGTCAACAGCGGGTTGATTTGGTCCATTTGGATATCAAGTTGGGTTGGCTCTTTTTGTTGTTGATCCGACGACGGTTCCCGATGAATGATCTCCCAAAGTTCTTTTTGAATATCCTGACGCTTTTGATCTGACATTGGCAAATTGCTGGATAAAAGTTCCACCAAACACTCGACAGCACGTTCCCATGATCCCATTTCCTTGGCACAACGTAACGACCAGCGTAGAATGGATGCCAATACCATATGCCATTGCTCCTTACGATACGTCTTTCCAATTCGCTCAAAAAACTTGAGAGCCATCTCGTATTTGCCAGTCTCATAGTAGGTGCCTGCAATCTCGGCTGCCAGGTACAAGGTCATTCTCGTGTTGCGATACTTTTTGAATTGCTCATAGCTCTTGGTCAACAAATCAATAGTAAGCGCCGAATGATCCACTTGTCGCTCTGCCGCCACTAAAGCACCCCATGCCGTGTTGCTATCTTTGGCATCCTCACTCTTATCCACTTCGAGAAATCGTCGTCGTCGCTCTGCACAACACATGGCTGCCAAGTGATAGTAGAAACCAGGATGTTGTAAAATGGCACCAGGATTACATCCATCAGCAGCAGGAGGATTTCCAGCAGGATGATTGGTCATGTAGGCTGTTGGTATAGGGATCTTGAAGCCATGTTGAACTGCTGCATCGACGATATCGGCAAAGATGCGGTACTGCTTTGATAACCATGTCCAATATTCAAATGATTGCTCTCCCATTCCCCATGTCGTACAATACGTCTGCATCATATGCAAATGTCCATTGAATTGTCCAAGAGCTGCCACTGGTTCGTTCATGTACAAATAAAAGCTGCAAATCTACCCTTTGAGCGTTATATGTCATCTACATGGTAGGCTGTAGCATAGTAAACACGTACCTTAAAATTGATACAATCGATCAATGTGCGTGCTTCATGCCACCGTTTTCCTCGTAATGGCAATCCGGTTTGGCCAGGTGTAATAGATGACTTGGGTGCAAGCATATCAGCCACTAGGGTATATGCACTTTCATACGACCTTTCATAACATGGAATCAATAATGGCGATCAACACTATCAGTGGGTCATTCACATACTTTGTTGCACCATCCACGTCTTGTCGCATTTCTTGGAATAATGCCGCCTTGTAATCATATCGAAGCATCCAACCCTGAATCGATAGAGGTTGAGGCTCACTCGAATCGCCCAATGATTGTCTCGCTGATGTCGCAGGTGGTGGTAGCTTTGCACGTTTCTTTCGCACCTTCTTTATCCGGTTGTTGTAGTACTGGATGGCTGATTCATAGAGCGAACGATACAAGCTACATGAACACATCCAATGTAAGTACATCCATCTTCCCAATTTCCTTCATTATCCCTCCACTCACCCATTAGCAAACTCTTGCATGTCATGTTGTGTGCCTGGAGCAACAGTGAAGAATGATTGTCGGCTATCGAGACCAGATTGCTTTCGGATCATGGATAAACGCTCTTCCACAGCTGGGTCATCTAATCGCATGATTCATATCAGACTATCGCACTATCCAACCCATCCCTACCGCATAATAATATATACCAGTATGTTGACGTTTGAGGATAATGGTGGCAGCAAATCGAATTCCCTTGTCTTGGAAATACTTTCTAAGATCGCAATCTAAGTAAGACCATCCCTCGCAATAAACGTATCAACCGTTACCTTCGATCATTGATTTCCTGAGCAAGAGCCGTATCCTTTTCTCTTTCAGTAGGATCGATTAATATGTGGGAAGCCAAAGGACCAGTCTCTCGTTTGGGTCGTGATGCGCCTCCATGCTCGTTGCCCCAATCCCACAAGTCATAAAAGCCAACGACAACGGATGGTGTCTCGAGCTGCTTTTTAACCCATAAAGGAGTCATGCAACCATCTGGATGTAACGGAGACTCGGATGAAAGCGGTGATAGATTGGAGTGGGGTGGTGGCAAGTTGGGCCCTACTGGAACACGCTCGGGTAGCATGAAATCCTATACAGAGCGTCGTCAATACGCTTTCAAGATATGCAAGCCGAGTCGTATCGAGTTTGTACCTTTTCTATAAAGATGACACGGAAAGGAGGGCTAATGTTGACTGAGGATATGCTGCCATGGGCTGATCGAGCTGCTTCGTGTAACGAGAAATGCTGCTTGTTTGTAAAGATGGATCGCAACATGGAGCCGAGAGCACCACGCGATGAAGGTGCTGGACGATTGGACGTTGTCGGTTGTGGTGGTGGTGTTGTTGTTGATGCTGTAGGAGAACGTGGGTCATTGGATGACTTTTCGGCATCGGTGGACGTGTCATTGACGGGCGCTGTAGGTGTTGCTGGAAGATCGCCATTGAGACCGTAAATACCAAGTACAGGGACAGGGTGTAATGTGTACTCGGCAGGATATGTGTTCATCGCTCCAAGCCGTGGATTGGATTGTTGTCTCTTGTGATGGTTGGTTGCAAGTGTAAAGAACAAGTTGTCTCGTGCTGCTGCTGCTGCCTTTGACCACCAGAAAATGTTCCTGCGATATCTCATTCGCTATCAAGCCTGAATCATGTGGATGGCAGAGTGTAGCCTACTTTTCATTGTATAGCTTGTGGTATCCTATGAACAATGACATACATGATACGATACTTGCATCCTGAAATAAAGAACAATGATCCTCACCTTATGAGCACAGTAAACCGTATCACATACTCCAAATCACGTGAATGCGCTTAAGAGAGTGACATTTATTTAGCTTGAATGCATATACAAATTGATACCATTAGGCTTATGACTGGAAGACAATGAGCACCCAAGCACTTTTTAGTTCACTCGCTACCTCGTCGACAGGGATGAAATTATCGTTTTATGATAACAAGGAGGACGTACTTTAGTGAGGAGGATCCACGTTGTGAGATGTTCAATAAGTCTTACTATCATCTGTAACGATTCATTGACACGAGCCGTGTATGCTGGCTTTATCGCTATGATGTTAAGAGGACATACGTAGGTATGCAGATGAATGATGTCTAGTACCAAAGAAGGCTCGTCCTCACGGCTCACAAGTTGTGCGTGCAACTCAAGAGCACATAATAGGCTTCGTGGTGAACACCTAAAAAGTCGACACGTTTATGCCAATGATGGGAGAGTATTGATTGATATGGTACATAGTGTGATGGGAAAAGTGATTACGCCAAAGAATTCAAGTGGATCGGTGACGTGGTACACAGCCAAAGGTGAATTAAGCATAGTATATGGACTCTATGCCGGTAATGAAAGAATTGCTAAACGCCTGAGAAAGCATAGTATGAAGTAGAAGGCGACATACGTGGATTCCTCTATTTAGTAATAGATATCTATAAAACGCTTAGGTGTCATCTCTTTTGGAATCTATACGTGGCAGGTACTGCAATAGATGCTAGATGCCTTTGTGGCATTATGTACATGATGATGATCGGCTAGCGCATCCGGGAACAAGATGATCAGTGAGAAAATGGGTAAATCGGTCGTTCTTGTGTTATCATCATCATCCTATTATTATTCAGTAGCAACATGAACCGATTCTTTTATTAACCTTTACACACCACAAGGGAAATAGATTTGGCTCAATGATTGTAACGCGTGTATACAGAATGCAACGATATATAACTTGTCAAGTTCACATGTCATTGAAAAAGTATCATCTGATGTATTGTTGTTGTGTATGACGTACGGCCTCTTCCCCGCATCGCTATGTTTGGAAGGTGATGTACGGGAGCCAACCATATGTCTCCATACGCGTGTCTTGCCTGTATAAAGTTGGCCGAATCGAACAAGGTTCAATGGCAATAAGTTTTAAATGCACCATGCTGTTACTTTTTAGTAGGACAAGCTGCATTGTTATGGCGGAAATACGAGCTCCGGCAGAGGATGGATGTAATGCAGCTGTGAATGACAATTTCAGAATCAGACTTGGTGTGTGCGTTGATCAATACCGAGCAATCAAAAAAGGTGCTATGCGTGCAACAAATAAACTGGTAACAATCAGTTGAAATTCCCACCTGCAGCACGAGTCTTTAAATGCAGGATTCATATGAAAATGCCTTCCAAGTGGACATTGTGCGCAATCATTTTATTCTTTGCTTTCCGCTTTTACCCATATCTTTCTTCTCACTCACACTCACACTCACCCACCCACCACACACACACACACACACTCCCCACTCTTGATCTCTGCATCTCACAATGGCACCTTTGAAGACATTTACACGCGATGAAGTAGCTCGCCATTCGTCTGAGGGCGATCTATGGATTGTCATTGACGGCGAGGTTTGGGACATGAGCATGTTCGTTGACATGCACCCAGGTTTGTATCTGAAGTCTCTTTCTTTTCACTCTATGAGTTGTACGTTAACCTTTGACCCATTGTAGGTGGTGTATCTCCCATCATGCAATATGCCGGCAAGGATGCAACAGATGCCTTTTATGGTTTGCATCGTCAAGAAGTGCTCCGCAAATATGCACGCTACAAGATTGGTACTATTGAAGGCGAAAAGCAGCAAATCGAGTTCCGTGAACCAGGCAGTCTTTCCAAGGTTCCTTATGCCGAATCAAGTGCTTGGATGGGCTTCCGATCCCCATACTTCAAGTAAGCAATCACGCACGACACGCACGCCTCATGATCATTTATTAATATCACTGCTACTACGTATAGGGAAACACACTTCAAGTTCCGTACCGCTGTTCGCAAGATTATGGATGAACTTGCACCAGAAGCTCGTGAATTTGAAATCAATGGTGAACGACCCAGCAATGAGTTTATGGAAAAGATGGGTGCATCTGGATTGTTGGCATGCAACATTGGTCCTGGTTCATTCCTTCGAGAATTCAATGTCCAACTTCCTGGTGGTGTGGCTCCTGAAGAATATGATTACTTTCACGAGGTGTGTGTGCACATGACCCCTAGCTCCTATTGATCTTTTGTTTGGCTGATTGTTTATGTGTATACGTAGATGATCGTACATGAAGAAATGGCACGTTGGGGCACACGTGGAACTGATGATGGCGTCATTGGTGGCATGACCATTTCTTTGCCCACAGTGCTCAACTTTGGCTCCCCCGAACTCAAGCGCAAAATCGTACCCGAAGTATTGGCTGGTCGTAAGCGTATGGCCCTTGCAATCACTGAGCCCTATGCAGGAAGTGATGTTGCCAACATCCAGACCACAGCCACTCGTACTCCTGATGGAAAGCATTTTATCGTCAATGGTGTCAAAAAGTGGATCACTACTGGTAGGTTGCTCTTTATTTCATATCACAGTCATCATCTGCTAACAACAGCGCATGGCAACGTAAAGGATGCTGGGCAGATTACTTTTCGGTAGCTGTGCGCACTGAGAAGGGTATCTCCATGCTTTTGATTGAACGCAGTGAAGGTCTCGAAACCAAGCCTATCAAGACATCCTATTCGCCTGCAGCTGGTACGGCTTATGTATCAATGGACAATGTCAAGGTCCCTGTGGAAAACTTGCTTGGCAAAGAAGGTCGTGGTTTCCTTGTTGTTCTGTAAGTTTGATTGATATTTGAATGACAACGTTCTCATTGGTCCTTTCCTCCTTTCAATAGCTCCAATTTCAACCATGAACGGTAAGGTGTCATTGTGGATGGTGATTGGTATACGAGAGGGCTGACAATTATATACATACAGATGGGTCATGTTGACCGGATCTTCTATGGGTGCTCGTATCGCAGTTGAAGAATGCTTCAAGTGGGCCATGCAACGCAAGGTAAGTGATAGTAGCACCCGTTGATAATGTCATCTGATTTGTTGTGTATTCATGAAAATAGGTATTTGGCAAGCGATTGATTGATCAAGCAGTTATTCGTGCCAAGTTGGCCAAGATGGTAAGTGCCCATTAATGGATGTTGTGCGTTGTGAACATGCGCTAATGTATAACATCCCTGCAGATTGCCAGCGTTGAAAGCGTCCACAGTTGGATCGAAAACATCACATATCAAATGTGCCACATGAATTATCGTGAGCAATCTGAAAAGTTGGCAGGACCCATCGCATTGTGCAAATACCAGGTACGTCTTTTTTTCGCTTGTAATTTGGTACTGTATTGCAGGGGCTAACGGATATGGGATGTGGATTACAGGTGACACGTATGCTACACGAGGTTGCTGATGAATCGGTTCAAATCTTTGGTGGGCGTGGTATTACCCAAACTGGAATGGGTCGCAACATTGAATTGCTCAATCGAACATACAAGTTCTCGGCCATTTTGGGTGGATCAGAAGAAATCATGGCTGATCTTGGCGTACGTCAAGCGATGAAAAAGTTCCCCACGGATGCCCGTCTCTAAAGCAATACAACACGATTTTATCAACCTGGTGATGTCTTGTAGAATATCCAACACATTTACACAGCAACAGCAGTTGTAATGAATACATTATTTTGGCTAAATTACTTTTGAATGAAGATAGTGTCTGGATAAGGGTTTGGGGATGCTTATGCATAGATCTTTGAGACTTTTGCACTTGAATGATGGTGGAGGTTGTGATGAGAGGGTGGGTGTGTCTTGTCCATGTTTGGGTTAGATGATGATGATGCAGCATGTGCTGATAAATTGGATGGAGCACCTATACCATAGGTCAAGCCTGGTCCTTTATCAAGGAGTCTATATAGGTGTGGTGGTTGTTCACGCACAAATCAGCAGCACCGTTAAACAATGACAAGGCCTTTATTGGATGCTCATAGTACGAGGGAAAAGCATCGCACCCAGCAAGTTTATCTCAAGCTTGACACCAAATTTTATTTCAAATGTGCTACAACATAGGAAGCATCACCAGGGTCTTTAGCAGTTATAAATCTGACTGTATTGGGATGCAGCTTCAAGGCCACAGATGAAATTTCAGGGATGGTGGTGGATTGGATCGCCTACTTGCAGGGCCTCGACCTATCACTTTCTGTAAGAGCTTCATGGAGGGTGTTGGTTACTATTCGTTAACATTGGAAGTGAAGTACGCAAGCCAAAGTCAATAGTGATTATTGACGGCTGTTGAAGGATCACATTAGCCCAACCCATTCCCATGTACGAAGGGTGATTAGATGGCTTCCTATATACTCAACAGCGCTTCAATCTATTTGATAAACCATACCACAATTAAGTTTACTTAATCAACGTAGTGTTCCGGTGATACATGAAAATCGTGATGTGCCTATATAAATACCAGGATGTTGGCGAGCATGCTAAATAAGAAGATGTTGTATCCTTTATTGACATGCCCAAGGTAATGATTGTTTCATTTTTCTAATGACTATCTTATAACAGCAACACTTTTTGATGCATCAATGACCACCTTGGGCTATTGTATGTAATAACACGAGAAGTAAACGGTGCTACATTGTATCGTAGAGAAGAAAACCTCTGGCATGTGGAAGTGACAGGTACCTGCGGAGATGAAATTGTTGTGCACAGACACTTTTACCCCGCATCGGCATTGCTTTGATCGATGTAGGATGTTTCACAACTCATCTTATTCCTTTGTCATTCATGCTAATATGCATCTTCCATGCACAAAGGCTCAGCTGCTTCTGTATAATCATAAAGACCCTGAATTCACATGATGTAGAGAACATGTTAACCAAAGACACTGCCTTTCGCGGCAACGTCATTTGCTTTGACAACCTTATGATATATGTGGATGTAGGTTGCAGCGACATACGCAACCACCGGCTTGTATAAAACAATGTAGATATGAAACGGTGGCAGTAGTTTGATATCATAACGCTTTTTGAGGCAACTTACGTGAAATGAATGGCACAAAAAGCGAGGTTGCTAGCTGTCTACATAGTGGGCCTTTGGGCTTTATTAAAGAGTATACCGCCCAGGTGATTTGATCCAGTTGTCATCTTCAGGCGGCCGGTATATCATAAGGAGTAGTATGCTCATCCCAAAGAGTACGCTCATCAGCCCCAATAGAATCCTTGGTGTTGCATACGAATATAGGCTCAATAGCAGGACCATTGATAAACATCTGAGATTGTGTATGGAGCTTTCAGTGTCATGAATACATAAAGCGATGAATGTTGAGTAGCAGAAAATGATCACTGATCGGGGGCATGGACCAATTGTAAAACACACAACATCTTCTTAGACGCAGTATATTGTTATCATGTGCATCAAGGTGATTTGGGGCTTCATGTGGTTATTTTAAACAAATCCGGGAGTCAGGATGTTGAGCGTGTGGGTTGTTGCTATGACTGCGGTTGTCATTTTCCAAAGAGGTTATGCAATAAATGGCGGAATGTGAAAAGGCTCGACTGCCAAAAGCTCATAAATGATCCATCCAATGCTCCCTGGGAGTCATGTAGTAGACACCAAAAAAACAAGAGACATGGTGTTTACATGTACATTTGTTTGTGAACAACCCTCCTTGTGCATGTCATGATGATGGGGAACTTCTCCCCACTTCAACAAGGATGCCCCGTCCGATTTGCTTACATGTTCCCCTTATTAGATTTACTCCTCTGCTTTGGACCCCCTGTCCTTTTTTACCTTTTTCTTTCGCTCTAGCAACACACATACACATTTCTCTCTAATAACATTTCACCTTAATACCTTTCTCTTTCTTTGCATTTGTACACAATACACACACACACACCACAAAGGGCACGACATCATTCACTCCTACAACATCATCCCCCACCACCAGCATCATCATCATCATTGCCTATATCACCATCGATGAAGTACGGTCTCGAATTGCAGCAAAGCATTTTTCCTCCTTGGCGGTTGTCATACATTGCATATGATGTGTTAAAACAGGAGCTAAAGACTCGGCAATTGGAGCATGGTTGGACTGGTCAAGATGAAGCCGAATTTGTACAACTTTTGGATAATGAGCTAGCTAAGGTGTATGACTTTGTGAATGCCAAGTTATCCGAGATTGATGCACGCATCATGTATTGTGAGCGCACGATACAATCATTGCAACGTAATCAAAGCACCACAGCTGAAATGTCGAATAGCAGTTATAGTATGATGGATGAAGCTCTCACTGAAATTCTGTTTGATGTGAATGACTTGTCTCGGTTCACACGTGTTAATTACACCGCTATCCAAAAGATCCTCAAGAAGCATGACAAATGGACCCATATCAATCTAAAGCAGGCGTATGTAGCCAAGCTGCGGGATAAGCCATTGGATAAACAACGTTTCGATGTGGCTATCATCTACATCTCAGCCCTGCATGATATCTGTCGTCATCGAGGACGTCCTCCCACTGGCAATTCAGCTGCTGGTGCCGACCAAAATGCTTTTGAACGTGCAACAGCAAAGTATTGGATCCATCCTGATAACATTACCGAAGTCAAAGCGATCATCATGTTGCATTTGCCGGTTCTCATCTTCAACAAAAACAAGAAATACGAGTCCTCTGATTCAGCCATTTCGAGTGTATACTTTGATAATCGCAATTACGACTTGTACACAGGTCGCCTTCAACGTGATGAGGGATCCGAAGCTATTCGATTTCGATGGTAATGTGTTATCACTGTTCAATTGTGTGATGTTGTTTTTGGAATGCTCATATTCATCATCATAGGTATGGGCCAACGGATTCTAAAAATATCTTTATTGAACGCAAAACACATCACGCAGCGTGGCTAGATGGCGCATCGGTGAAGGATCGTTTTCGATTGGATGAAGCACACGTCAACAGCTTTGTTGATGGTAGATTGACGGCCGATGGCATTGCAAATGATTTACGGCAAAAGGGTGCTGATCCAGCAACGATTGATGATGTGCATTTTATTGCTAGTGGTGTCCAAGAATCGTTTCGTGAAAAGCAATTAGAGCCCATGCTTCGTGTGTTTTACAACCGTACAGCATTCCAATTACCAGGTGATCAGCGATTGAGAATTTCCCTTGATACCGATATGACATTTATTCGTGAAGACCATATTGATGGTCGTTCAAGACGACATCCACCAACCAATTGGCGACGCAATGATCTTGGTGTTGATCCACCTTTTGATTATGTATCTGAAAGCGACATTCTACGATTCCCATATGCAGTATTGGAGACTAAGCTGCAGACGCATTTGGGTCAAGAACCTCCAGAATGGCTTACAAAGCTAATTGAGAGCCACCTTGTACATGAAGTGCCTCGCTTCTCAAAATACCTGCATGGCGCTTCCCATTTTTATCGTGAACGCCTACCGCTGTTGCCATGGTGGCTCGCCGAACTCAACGTTGATATCCGCAAACCACGTTCTGAGCATATTGGTCTTACACGTTCTCGCAGCTTTAAACCTTTAATCGATGGCCGTTATCGCCGTGCTATGATTGAAGAAACTGAACGTGCCAATCAGCAAGCAATTATGGATCGACATGGTAGCCCAGCAACGCTTGTTGGCAAATCATCACCATCTTCTCCACCATCAACCCCGAAAAGGCAGGGATCATTCCAAAGTGCCAAGAAAGGCGGTTTCAATTTACCATGGAGTCGTCCAAGTACGCCTGATTATGCATCAGTGCCTATGAAGACGGGTGCTGGATATCAATCCTCAAGCTCATTACCACCACCACTTCCTGAAAAGGGTGATTGGAGAAGTAGTAGAACCCTTCAAGATCAAGCACCTCCTCCTTCTACAAAAGGCACCACGCATCGATGGATAGAAAAAATGTGGGGTGATGGTAGACGATCCACTGATGATGGAAGCACCTATAAACGCCAAAGGGTCAAGGTGCGAGTCGAGCCCAAGGTCTTTTTTGCCAATGAGCGTACTTTTATCTCCTGGTTGCAGTTTTGTGCTTTGCTACTCACAGTGGCTCTCTCCTTGCTCAATTTCGGTGACAGCACTGCACGTATCGTTGGTGGATTGTTTATCTGCATTTCAGCTCTTGTTTCCATATACGCTCTCTATCGCTTTGAAAAGCGTGCCTGGTAATTCTTCTTGTCCTTTTTGAAATACTTCTTTTTGCTAATGCATCATGATGAAATAGGATGATCAATCGGCGAATCGATGGTCGATACGATGATCTTTGGGGACCTGCAGTTCTCTGTACCCTTTTAGTTGTGGCTCTTGCTGTAAGTTTACATTTGCCAAAGAAGCGACATATCGCATCATCATACTCATTTGCTCTAAATAGGTTAATTTCTACTTGCGGTTCAAATAATGCAATCAACATATCCCGTTTTCCCTATCTACACCTTTTCTCTCTCTTTTTTACCCTTTCCCATATTATTGATATGCACGCATTCTCACATACTACTAACACACACACGCACACACATACGCTTACGCATATGCGCAACATCGCATTGCATGTCGGTAGTATCCGGCTTTAACTTGACACACAAAAATGTAACATTCTGCTGATTGAGTCTCTTTTTCTATCATCCAATATTCCTCTTTCTTTATCACACAACCATCTACTACACCATTTAAACCAATTGCAAGGATAATAAAGTTGGCATGATTCCCCTTTAAAATTGACAAGCGTCGACATCGAAAAATGCATGCTCGGGAAAAAGCGTGCTGAAAAGGGGTAAAAAATGTTAAACGAGGATGCAGGAGCTCATGTTATCGAGGGGGTAGTTCACATATTTGTGGTGTCTCCGAGTGTATGATCACACATGACCTAGTTCATACGCACGCGAGTGCACACGACATCCATTTCCCAAAGGGGATCAGCCCGCCAACATCCAAGCATGACATTGGATACTTTTATCATTATTCTCATGATGGAAAAGATGAAGAGCTCAAAGTACAAGGAGTGATGGTGATGATGATATACTATTGGGCGGTCACCCAAAATGGTTTATGCATGGCCATTCATTGTTGAACACCGCTACATCCACTATTCATTGTTTCCCTACTCCTATTACACGACTACACGCGTTCCTTTCAAGTGTGCTTCCTTCTGAAATTGTGGGTTTCCTTTGTTCTGATCGTCTCCATTGCATGAAACAAGAGCAACCATTGTGTTTGACACGCACGACACACGTGCAATGACGGCTCACAACCGATCGAGCGCTTCGACTTGTTCACACCAAACCTCCCTTCTTAATGGTCATTGCGACAGCGATATGCTTCAGGAAGATGTATATTTGAGTTCAAACTCACCAACAACGTTATCAGCTCCTGCAACACCAAGACCAGCTCAACCACCCATAATGACCATGATTCCTGTACGTAACGGCACGACAATGATGACATCTCCTCCTCCACCTCCCCCACCTGCTTTCCCATATCCCGAAGATACATCACAGTCCTATTGTGAGTTTATCTATCATACTGGATTCCAACAAGGTAAAGTTGTGGTATTCATGCTCAAGTCATGGATGGCATTATGCTCATTTCACTCTCCTTAGGTCGTTTCTCGGATATCAGTGTATCTTTTCCAGTCCAAGGAAGAACGTATGCCCTGCATCGGATTATAATGGCGCGATCCCCAATGCTATACCGTCAATTGATGGCACCGACTACTGCGGCAGGATATCATCATGTGGATTTGCTCAACATCAACATACCAGGATCAAGCGAAGCTTTGCACACGGCACTCGGCCACCTCTATCGACCCTTATCAATGCATGATATCGAGTACATTATGCTCCATACGCAATCCAATCAACCAACAGCAAGACGTGTATGCGACTTGATCCAAATATCAGATTCACTTGAACTCCCATTGTTACATCGGCAACTCATTCAAATCGTACAACAGCATCTGAACCAGGATACAATCTTTTCATGGATGAATGAGCTACTCAGAAGATATCATCCTCTTGGATCACCATCATCATCACTCAACAGTCAAAAGAAATCAGCAAAGTGGATGCGTGTCATGGATGAGATTGTTACAAGTTTCCTGATCTATACGCTGCCTCGTCAACTGTTACAACCTCATGACCATGGTCCAAATCATCACTGGCAACACCGACAACAACAAGATGTGTCTGAAGAAGCAGAAGAGCGGGAAAAGGGTGGTAATGATGCAGCTGCTGTTGTTGTTGCTACGACACCGTTTTTCCTTGGTAACAATCGTGTCAGCATGATACAAGGATCCAAAAAGTGCATGGCTTTGAGCAGCGATTACAACGAGTTGGTGCACATGTATGCAAAGATACCATTGCTGTACCTGAAGCGATGTTTGGAACACAAAGACTTTTTATCCAAGAATGTGCTATGGCGGTATGCATTTGCGAAACGCGTGCTTCATGAACGTGAATGCAAACAACCACGACGAGCTGCAACAACATCATCACCACGTGCGCTATCGGTGATGCTTGAGTTTGATAACAGCAGCAAGAGCACCATGGATGATCACAGCAGTATTGGGATTCGTATTATGATGATGCAACAATAGTCTTACAGTAGCTTCAATTTTACTTTACAACTTAGCTGTGTATGTAGTATAAACACTTTTCCATCCTTATGCATGATACGTCGTGTTAAAAGTGGATATTGGGATACACAAAGTCTCGACAAATGCTGCATTCTTTCAACACATGCATGATACCTTTTCATAATAAACTTCACACCATACTTGTTGATCCAATTACACATCATGTGTCTTTTGCAAATGCAACCATGACATTAATCTCAGTCGCTCTCCACATATCGAAAGTACCAGGTATGCGAATCAAAGAAAATCCACCACCACCAGCAGATACCTCATTGTTCAAGACACAATGAAACAACCACACCCTTTCTCTTCCATCCCTTTATCCTTTATCACAGCATTTGCCATACCATCATCGTCCTATAATACAATGCATCCATATCTTACACCATAGAAACTTAGAAATGGTTGGCCAACGCAATGCCGTATGCGCTAAAGTGACCCTTTAATCCAACACCATTCACAAGAGATAGATTGATTGAGAGATACAAAGAATTACTATGATGTGTAATACGTTGATTTGGGTGATGCTATCTTTTGGGCGGGCATTGTGCGAAGGTGGATGGTGAAGCAAACAACCTGTGTCACTAGTCTTTTGTATTAATGATAGTAGCAGCAATGAAACTATGCTGCGTATTTATTGTATGGAATGCATATTCTGGATGTGGGATGAAACAGGGACATAATAATAGTGAGCATGAAGGCGTTAAGAAGATGCTGATACAATTAAGGTTTTGTACGCCCTTTGGATACACTGCTTGGAAACCAATGATTGGTGAATTCAAACTGTGCTGCTATTGAAATGCCTGTGCTCCCCATACAACTTTACTTTTTTCTTGTCTCTCTTTCTTTTCTATCTCGCCACGCAAAGAAACCGATATGCCATCCTTGTCGACTATTGTCAACCACCCACTCTTCAACGTGGCATTCTTTATGGTGATTCGCCAGTTTACTAAAAAGTTGCCCTTGGAGGATCCTCAATGGTTGTGGAATCTACGCGCATTCTTTGTCATTTGCCAAACACTTGCCATTGGTTTGCAGTTCTGGTTGATGTGGAGAGTAGTCAAGAAGAATGGTAAGTTTACATCAAAGGCGTTGTATGGGTATGGGTATATAAGATAGCTGATTCATGGATGATGGTGAGGATAGACCAAACACAACTTCGTTATGTGGAACCTGCAAAGCAACAATGGGATGGTACTGAAGCACCCGAGGAATTGATTGTTACTACTTATAAAGGTACGGTATAGCGAATGGTAAATAAGGCTAAGATGCTCATCCACCTTGTATAGACTATGATGTGGCCGAGATCAAGAAGGCAGTTCGCCAATCCATGACCAGCATCTTGATGATTGGATTCATGCATCTTCAATTCAAGTTTGTTCAACCCCTGATTATCCAATCGATTTTGGCATTCAAGAACTTCTTCATGACCAAGGAAGCTCGTATTCACATTTGGGGCGAATCCACTACCTCAGGTCCCTTGCGTAGACCTTTCCGCGTCGAAGCACCCTTTGGCATTGTTTCTGAAGCTAAGCAACCCAAGACTGATAAGGCTTCTATCAAGCGTGCTGAAAAGGCTATGAAGGCCGAGTAAAATGGAGGCGAGAAAAAGGAAAAACGTGTACACGCACAAGCGATCCATTGTAAATAGATGATACGTACAGTCAACTTTAATACATTTAGAATGATGCAAATGATGGTTCATGCTAGTGGGGGAGGGGTTTATGGATATAAAAGGGAATGTGTAAAGGGTCGATGATGGAGTTCATGGTCATGCTTCATTTCGTTGTGGTCTTCTTTTTGCGTTTGGCAAGGGCACTACCATCGTCGGTCTTTTTTCGTTGTCGTTTACCGGTAGCATCTTCATCTATCGTATCATCCTCATCATCAATACGCCTTATTCAATTCCAAGTCCCATCCCCCAATTCTTTCAAGCTTACCACGACTCTGTGTCATACTCTGCAATGGAATAAAAGGATGACTTATCAATACAACAGGTCCTGTAATCATCCTTGATGTATCACTTACCGGTGCAACTGAAGGTATAGTAGCCTCTGTTCTTCCTTTCATAGCCGCCTGTTGCTCCGGTACAAAGCGGTTCTGTGCTATCCTTAAGGCCGATGCTTCAATAGTACGATCAATCCAATGTCTGAATTCTTGGCTTTCGCGTGCACGTAATGTCCCAGATTGGCCTGATGCTTTTGTAGAATAGCCCTGAATCAATAACCCCATAGTATTGTTGAGCACATGCATGATCCATCACTTACTCTTCTTATCGGATGATGCTGATGATGACTTTGGTGCTTGCCAACTATACCCCTTCGAAGGATCAAAATCCATCCATCGTTGTGTCTCCTTGAAAGCACTGTTGACATGGAACAAGCTTGTCAACTACATATGGATCATGTTAATTAATATCATCGGTTGATTGTTGTGTCTATTAACTTACCAAGCGATTGGCAATCACGGAATAGATGGTAGGAGATTGATACACGTTGGCGCCCATAATGTAGTAGGTGGCGATGGGATTGACTATCATTCATTTCTCAGCCAAATTGCCGGCATTGGTATCACACAACGTTACTCACCATCGTTTGGTTCAGGTCCTCGTCGATACTGCTTCTGAATCACCCATACAGGAGGTTGCTCGTGCACCACTGCAAACTCGATGCCTGTCATTTTCCTAGGGGCATCCTGTAAGCTTTCATTATACTCTTTGTCCCCTTGTTTGATACTACCTTAACGCTTCAACGGTTGCTTCATATGGCTGTCTCAAGTCATTGTATTGCGTTTGCATTGCAAGGATCTGGTTATTGCATTGACGGTCCCAAAAAGGCGATTGTGCAAAGTAGTCGAGCACCATTTGTTGGTTTTGGAATCCACCCACACGCTAAAAGATGGTATGTAGTTTCCTTCATTTAGCAGCGAGGATCAATGAAATCACCCCACCACCATCACCACTCATGTGCACCTCGATCCAAGCCGTGTCGCGCCATTCTACGCTAGTCAAGTCTTCGGTTTCAGTAGGTCGGCTCATTTTGGCGTTGAGTGAAAGAGAGAGAGAGACAAGTAGCAGGTGCGCGTTTGGAAATCCAACCCGATTATGCTCCCAGCGCAATAGGTCATGTGATCTGTCAGCAGCAATCAATGTTGTCTTGTCAACACGGCAACTTTAAGATATAAGGCTTTGGCAAAGAACCAAGCTTGATCCTATATTTCCTTATGCATCATCCCCCCAAAAAAAAACAATTTATCATTCATTGTTGTTCACAGAAATACCCACGCCCACCGTATACACAAAATAAAAGGAGTGTTGTCGCCAACCATTTTCCTCCCACACACACCTCTTTCTTCCATCGTATCATTTTGTGCCAATGGAGAAGCCGCCCTCAAGATACAATAATCGAGCCAATCTTTATTCCGAAGTTACATAGCGATGATGGACCATCCTCTACGCCAAGACCAATCCCAAGCCGTGCGAGATACAGTGGAGAGCTCAAATGAGGAAGGCAGCCGTCATTTGATTTGGTCCGCTGTATGGCGATTATGCATTCGCAAGAGGAAGCTATGGCGCAGGTGTTCATTAGTTTGAAGGATCCACAAGCCAAGCCAAGAATTGCTTTGACAAGCGGGATCGAGCTATCTGGCATAGTACAACTGTAAGCTTATTTCGAGAAGCACACATACCATTTCATCAAAATTAACTCGACTCTTTTCCTTTTGCTTTGATCATAGCATGGGAATCAAACACTACCATTAACACGCAAAATCGGCCAACGCATTCCATACCAGTGTTCCTTCTGCTCCAGCATTTGGATGAAAAGGGCGTTGATAAGCTCTTCATTGACTTTAATTGTACATTCTTCACATTCCTGCAGTTGTCAATTGCTGAACATCTGCTACAACATGATATAAACCCAAATCAAGTACGTAGCTTCAATATCAGATTCCCCCCCCCAGCTAACATGCATTTATCACAGAAGCAAGGCTGGAGGACACACCGTTGAAGACGCGGCTATTGGATTGTTGGACCAGGTCTTGCACTCGGACATGAAACTCCCAACCATGAAGAGCAATCTCTGTATTTGTATTTGCTGAAGGCCTCATGTCTTTGACCACTTGTCATTTTGGTATGCCTGAGCTCCGCCACGCAATTATCAATCAGCTTGCTATATACGATGAACTTCCTCAACCAGCCATACCATCAATGGGATGGTACATAGAAGCTGGATCGGTATGTGTTTGAAACATGCGCATAGTATTTATACTAATGTGGGGTAACCTTAAACAGAGATCGTCTACAAACTGGCGTGAAATCCAAGCTTTGACCATTGGATACTTGGCTCAAGCTTTTAACTTCAAATAACGACTTGGATCTGATTATTGCCAACACTTTGCATGGCATGTAAGTTACTCATTTAGCGTATGTAATTCCTGGGTAGATGATTCTAACAGTGTTTCATCCTTCATAGACTTCCACAATTGAAGTTGATTGGTGGTATGAGTGCGAGAGGGGAGGATCCCTTCGTACACGATGTGTTCGCATTGTTGCTAGATATACAGGCCTTCTCAGTCAAAGTTGAACTAAAAGCTTTTATTTTGGCGTTGAAGACGACGAAAGTGAGCGATGAAAATAAAAAAGTTGGCTTACAAGATGATGAAAATTGGCGATGAAAACGATCCATGTTGACATTGAAAGTGATTAATGTTGGTGTTTTACTGTAGTATACAGAGTATGCACGTTGTCCCCTATCACATTACAATAAAAAGTCTCAACTTAATTGTTTATCATATACTGTATATTAGTTGCACAATAACTATCATATGAGAACCTCTCTGTCTTATATATGTACAGGCCTTGTTTGCTGATGTGATTGTCGTCGATACTCGTATGATGGATTTCTTGCTTCAGTGGATTGACCTGGAGCCCAACTCGTTCGTGACACAAATGGCTGTCGTCCCTGGTGGAGATATCCATTGTCGTCAGGCCTTGTATAGCTCGCATCATAAGATACATTACGACGTTGGTAAGTAGTAGCGAGTGATTCTCGTGATGGATAATTGTTTTGCATATAACGTGAACGTCCTTGTTGTGTTGGTGGTGGTGGTTGTAGTCGAGACGTGGCATGATGTCGTTGTGATGCATCGTCCATCTCCCATAGCTTTGGTTTCCTGTGAGCTCTCCTATTCATCACATCTTGGCTTTTTGGCTGTTTCAATGGCTGCTGCTGCTGCCTGCTACGTTCATCATCAAACATCCAATTTGGCAATGGCTGGTGCTTCTTTTCATAATACTCGCGAATCACTCGTGACACATGCGTTTCACCTTCCCAATCCGATTCATCCGATTCTAACTTGGTGAAATGTTGGGTTAGCGTACATCCACCTAATCATGCCATATACATACCGGGTCCCCTATCATCACGTAATGATGGTAATCGATCAGCCATGTTTTGACTCGCCTTGACAATCTTGCCCCATAGCTTCTTGCCCTGCTTTGTTCTCTTCTCATCTTTCACTATTATCAAGGTTAATCATCATCATCCATCATCACCGTTTCATGCAGATACTTACGCTTTTGATTCAGCTCTTTCCATTTCTCATTCGTCCGTGGCTTCGACCAAAACTTTTTGCCGGTGGATGACTCCTTGTCGCTCTCAAGATGTACTGCATAATTGTTGTAATAAACCGATTCATTGTCATCCGTATCACTCAGCATGTTATGCGACCTTCTAATACCAAGTGCCGATTGACGTCGTTCATTGACAACCGTGGAAGAAGAAGAAGAGGAAGAGTAAGAGGAGGGTGGAGTGGACGTTGTGCTTGCAGGAGTGAATGATACAGGGCGTGAGGAACGTAATGCTTGTTGATCGAGATGCGGTAAAGGCTTACGAGCCACCTTGAACATGTCATTGTTCGTTTTTAAAGGAGGCACAGGTGGTAGTTGTCGCTGCTGGTAACTAGCATTGTTATTGGAAGGAAATGCGTTGGTGGGATTGTAAGGTGCTGTTTGGGTTCCCATGGATACTGTAGGATGGTATATGGTTAAGAAGAGATGAAAATGGAAAGTATACCAACACCATCCTTTTCAGGACATTTTCTCGTCCGCTTGATCAGCTGTTGCATGCATGCATTAGTTTCACTTTTTTTTTGCTTGATGCATCTTAAAGACCTCTTGGTTTTAGTAAAGTCTTGGCTCACTCATAATCCACTCCCATATGATGATGATGTTCTTTGTCCATGAGTGTTTATCGTGCGCCTTGGTTACAATCTTTAAGGAAACTAATACCATGTCGAAGATAATGTAAATGCAATGCACCAAGATTATTGAATGAAGTAGATGTTGTGATGAAGGTCATGGCAGGCAAATTCCGGTCGCTATGTACAAGTGGGTCATGTGGACAAGGAAACGCAGAGGTCCTGATATGAAAACACGTATCAGTCAATTCGCTACCATGATAATCCCAATCCACTCTCACTATCAGTAATCCAGTAATGTGCTTGTCAGCAGCCAATGCCGAGATAACATATCGGAAGGCCAAAGTAACTTTGATGAAGGGGTACCTGACACGGCATGCGCTTAGTAGTAACCAATGCCGCGATAACATCGTTGCAAGGAGTATACCACCTCTCTTAGGAGCCCAAACTAGGCATTAACAATGGCTAACAACATCCTTCGCTGCATCAGCCCAAGAAAAGGAATCGCCAGTGCAATGTATTATCTCCTGCGAAGACTTAAGAACCAATCAAGAAACCAAGCAAGTGATCCACATCTTGCTCATATGAGCTGAGATGATATCCCAAGTATTACGTTGAATCCCATTCATTCAATGAAAAAGTAGAAGGGTAGTGTGGATGTCTACAAACTAATACTATGATAAAGGGACAGCATTGCAAATTGATAACTACGGATGAATCACATCGAGACAATGTGGATAGTTGTGTCATTGTATTCTTGGCTGCTGGAGAATAGTTGCTGCATGATTTGCCTTCTTGAGTAGTCCAATGCATTCCATCGCTGTAAAACACCTTCTTTTTGCCAAAGCTATAAGCCCATTCGCCAATGCCATCCAATCCACCATCATCCTCAGCCGTATCCACGTGTCATGATCCATCGTTCCTTCTGACGACACGAAAAGTCACCAAAGCAATATTCCAGGATCTCTTTTTCATCATTGCACTTGACGATTGCATCCATCCATCCATAACCATTGCAAATTCAATACGTTGGTTCAAAGAGCGGTTGTTGATGTGCTTTCCTTTTCCATCCTGCTGTTGATCTACCATTTCCTTGGTCATTTCCATCGCACCTCAACCAGGTGTTGTGGCGTCCTTGATAGCTGATATAGCATCATCCATTGGAATCCATAGTATCAAAGCAAGTAGCTACGCGTAAATAAAGCTGCTTCTATACAATGACTATCTGCTGTTCACGTGATGAAGGCCACAAGGCAGGTTGCTGCAGGTAACTTGAGACGAAGGAATGAAGACTTTCCTAATGGTAAGTGCTGTCAAGTTTGGTCGTCGCAAAGGAGTGTGCAAGAGCGTGTGTTGTAGTAGAGTGACAAGAAGTGAATGCCGTTTGAGACAATGGAGTGAATAGCAACTGCTGGAATGAATGCCGTTGTGTTTGATCGTGGCAGATGTGTGTGCTAACAGTGTGTAGTATCAAACAAGGCGTGTTGGGGTGCGAGCACATGCCATGGACTTGTCCATTCAGTCAAAGACAATCGGATCAAGGAAGTTGTAAGATTGACATGATGGGTTGAAGCAGGACAATCGTTCGTAGGTGGTAGTTGTATACTTCAATGGGGCAACAGTTGAGAATGGGAGGAAGAGGAAGAAGTGGAAATTAAATAGGTCGCACACCTCTTGTATAAATGCATGAACACTGTACATCAATCCTTGATATTGAGATTGCCTCTCTCGATCCTGAAACTTTCACACAAGGTGCTCTTGGACATGCTGATCAACTTATTCATTTAAAAGTCGCAGACTTCATTATGAAGAGTTCGAACGCGGGGCTGTCCAAATGTAGGAGACACGGTGAATGGATGGGAACACAAGAGCGAGCGGTCCACCGCGCCGAAGTTGCCCACCTCGAACTTGAAAATAGGTCAGAAGGTGCTCTTGGGGACGCTGATCAAGTTTATTTTATAAAAACCTCATGGTCCATTACGACAATTTTAAATGGGAGCGTCCAAATGTTGGAGAGTCGGGGACATTCGCAGGGTCTGCGATTCAAAAATTAACAATTCTTTGTTTGAGCGTAACTCAACCAAATCCCCACGGATCAAGAAAGTTGAATGATGGAAATGTTGAGCTGCAGCAGGACAATCGTCCGTATGCAATGGGATGGGTAAAAAAGGTGAATAGGATGAATGGGCTATTAGCTGGCATTTATGAACTATGCCTAAGTAGTGTACAAGTTTCATGCATCGCCTAATATGCTGGCTGATTCAGTTACACGAACACGTCCCTCTGCATCTTTGGTTCCATCGGGATCTATCTACTTTACAATGAACAAAGACCTCTTTTCACATGGCATCATGCTTAAAACATAAAGGTGCCTGTATCTCCAAACTTTACAATCAAACGTGGGCTCTTTAATAGATCAACGTGCTTGTCGGGGTCAAAGGAATCTTGTGTCAGAGTATGAAGTTCATCGTGGGCGATCCCAGATTTCGCAATGTCGCCACCAGCCAAACTGGATCCGGGGCTCAACCTCTTCGACGACGACCAAAAAAATATTTTTTGGGCTAGTTGCGACATTGAACGTGAAACTTTCACACAAGGTGCTGTTGGCCAAGCCGAGCCCATTGCTGTAATAAAAACCCCACGTTTCATTGTAAAGTTCGGAGATACAGGCACCTTTATGTTTGTAAGTGTGATGCTATCACTGTGGGAAGTATTTGGTCAAAAATGGGGTGAAAATGGGGTAAGGGTAAAATGGGGGAATCCTCGATTTTTACCCCCTTTTTGACCCTGCTTAAGTAACCCATTTTACACCTTCATTCACCCATTTTACCCAAGCTATTACCTACTGTAATTAAGGCGTTAGCCATAGCTATAATACAGAGATGTGGTCATAGCACCCATCGGAGGTGAAGTACTTGACCAACAGCACCGATTGCCATCGTACCATGGGACATCCCATATTGCGAGAAGAAATGAGTCATTATCATCCCACTCCACTAGACCAGTGCACATGCGATATAGTAATTGAATCAAAAAACATGACGATTGGGAAGGTTAAATGAGCGGGTTGCATATGAAAAGTCAAGAGAATCTCAACGTTTTAGCTCGAGCGGAGTTTACGAATATGCCCCATTGTTACCCATCATTCACCCAAGATTAACCAAATCCACTTTCGGTGTACTTACTGGTAATATGGGTTAACGCAATATCCACCATTTATCACCCTATGTGGAATTTCGGTGTATTTGTTGGTAATATGGGTTAACGCAATATACATCATTTGTAACCGTAGGGTAAAAAAGGGGACTGCTGGGTATAGTGGGTGAACCTCATTTAACACGGGTTACCCTGTTTTCACCCTTGGGGCATTTTCGGTTATAAATGGGTACTTCTGGGTACCTTTTATTACCCTTAGGTAACTATTGGTGGAATATGGGTCAAGTTGGGTGAAAAAAGTAACCGAAACTTACACCAATTTTAACCGAAGATTTGGGTCATTTCTTGATTCCCCCTTAATTACCCTTTCATAACCCAAAATACACCACTATTTACCAGATGACTTCCCACAGTGTATAAGAAGAGTGGTCTTTGTTCATTGTCAAGTAGGTGGACCCTGGCAGAGCAAAAGATGCAGAGGGACCTCTTTGTGTAACTCAGCTACTTTGCATGACTGGAAGGATGGAAGGATGATACTGTATACTGTTGACAAAAGCCCGTTCATTGCGAGCTAACAGCCATTTCTTCACAATAGCCACTGTTGTCCACTCTATGACATATGAGCGATTCTCCTGCTTCAGACATTCATTTCCATGATTGGATTATGTTGATCCGAGTTGATTTGGCTGAGCTACGCTCATACAAGGTTACTTCAGTTGAGCAACATAGAGCACGGTTAGATGTGTGGATTGATGTAATCCCTCTTTGGCTGTATCTCGGTCGAATCAACTCGGATCAACATAATCCAATCATGGAAATGAATGTCTGAAGCAGGAGAATCGCTCATATGTCATAGAGTGGACAACAGTGGCTATTGTGAAGAAATGGCTGTTAGCTCGCAATGAACGGGCTTTTGTCAACAGTATACAGTATCATCCTTCCATCCTTCCAGTCATGCAAAGTAGCTGAGTTACACAAAGAGGTCCCTCTGCATCTTTTGCTCTGCCAGGGTCCACCTACTTGACAATGAACAAAGACCACTCTTCTTATAGCATCACACTTACAAACATAAAGGTGCCTGTATCTCCGAACTTTACAATGAAACGTGAGCTTTTTATTACAGCAATGGGCTCGGCTTGGCCAACAGCACCTTGCGTGAAAGTTTCGCGTTCAATGTCGCAAACAGCCCAAAAAATATTTTTTGGTCGTCGTCGTCGAAGAGGTCGACCCCCAGATCTAGTTTGGCTGGTAGCGACATTGCGAAATCTGGGATCGCCCACGATGAACTTCATACTTTGACACAAGATTCCTTTGACCCCGACGGGCACGTTGATCTATTAAAGAGCCCACGTTTGATTGTAAAGTTTGGAGATACAGGCACCTTTATGTTTGTAAGCGTGATGCTATATGAGAAGTGGTCTTTGTTTAATGTAAAGTAGTATGACTATAATAGAGCAAAAGATGCAGAGGGCGTGTTTGTGTAACTTGAGTCATTCAGCGCAGGCGATGCATGATTCTTGTACACTATTTAGGAATAGTTCAAAATGCCAGCTAATAACCTTAGTCCTCCCATTCACCTTTGTTACCCGATCCAATGCATACGAACGATTGTCCTGCTCCAGCCCAGCATGCCCATCATTCAACTTTCTTGATCCGATGAGATTTGACTGAAAAACGCTCAAACACAGAAACATCATCCAATATCAAAAGAATCAAATTGGTAAGTTATTTGTAAACAGCCGGCTAATAGCCCATTCCTTCCATTCACCTTTGTTGTCCAATCCAATGCACACGAACGATTGTCCTGCTCCAGCTCATCATCCCCATCCTTCAACTTTCTTGATCCGAGAGGATTTGGTTGAGTTACGCTCAAACACAAAACATCATCCAATTTCACAAAAATCATTTTGCAAAGTTATTTGTAAACTGCCAGCTAATAGCCCATTCCTCCCATTCACCTTTGTTGTCCAATCCAATGCTTACGAACGATTGTCTTGCTCCAGCCCATCATCTCCATCCTTCAACTTTCTTGGTTCAGGGGGATTTGAATGAGCAACGCTCAAACAAAGAAACACCATCCAGCTTGACTTAATTTCCAGCTCTTCCACTCCCAACTTTATTGTCTCTTCCTCTCATTCTCAACTGTTGCCTCATTCAAGTACAACTACCACCTGCAAACGATTGTCCTGCTTCAACCCATCAATGTCAATCCTACAACTCTCTTGATCTGATTGCCTTTGAGTGAATGGCAAGTCCATGGCGTGTACACCCCACTACAACACACGCGTTTCTTGACACTTCCCCATCTCTTGTGCAATCCTCGACCACCTTCAAATGTAACAGCATTCACTGCAGCTGCTGTCAGCGATGTGTTTACTCCATTGTCTCATACAGTGTCCACAACCTTGTCACTCTACTACAACACACGCTCTCTTGCACACTCCTTTGCCACGGCCAACCGTAACAGCAGTGTCTTTACTCCAACTTCTCATGCTACTTACAGCAACCTTCTCTTGTATCATGTTGTCCTGTTTGGAACATCTGTAAGAAATGATTTAATGAAATGGCCTTGTTTTTTCCTCTTTGCTTATGCAAACCAAACTTGCTATTGTAGTGTGGAGTCCTTTGGACTATGGCACGATGATGATGACATTCTACCGGCGTTTTGCTAGTCTTTTGGACCATCTTTTTAAAAACAGAGATATCAATCAAGCTCTGCGAGTAAGTACCCAATCTCCTTCTTTACTCGTCAAAGCTGACTCCCTCTTTGTTGTAGTGGTGAGGGACATACTTATGTCACGTACAAAAAATCACCTTTCAAGCCGCAGGTGGATTTATCAGCTGCTGGTTTTCCATCACTTCGACTTGGGTGTTCCAAGATGCTTGACCACTTTACCAGTTCGAACCATCATGACAACAACTCCCATGCCAACTCACATATAAACAAGGCTGTTGTCACCAGTATTATCATACGCCTTTCTTTCTACTTGCATGCATATCATCACCATCATCCATGGCCTTTGGTAAGTCTCAAGGATAGTCTTTATGTGATCTCCAAAGCGAGGGTACTCATGCATTCATCTATGTAGCTCACTTCATTGCTTTACCATCACTTGGTGTGCTCATTGCTGCCTAATGACATTTGGCTGTGCTCCTTGATGAACCCTTTGGGGTAGGTATAGCTATCATTTATATCTTAAAAGGATGCCTAGACTGATGGAGGAAAATGGAGACTCGTTTGTAGGTGACATAGGTACATGCCCAATTACCGACAATCCAAAAACCTTCGGGTGAATGCCTCCATCTTAAGCCATCTTGTTTATCGTGGCGTCTCTGATACCCTGGCAATGGAATGGATTGGTAATATAGGAAGAGTGTGTAGCAAATCAACTCTTTGACACTTATTTTATTAGGCAATTCGGGTTACCTATATCAATTGACATGGATTCCCAATGAGGAGAGAGTGTATCTTGCCAGGCTTATTACGACTATGCATTTACCCACGGATCCTACAATGCTTGACGATGCTGTCGTGCTAATGAAAGCCCTGTTCATGTTCAAGGTATATAATGAATGGTATAGTCTGATGCTAGTGGTACTGAATGTTACTTGTTGATAGAGCCGTTCTTGTACAAATGCAAAAAGATCAAAACAAGCATCCAACGATCTGCATATTACAAACATCTTTGCCAGTCTAGCGTGTGCCGAAGAGCCAACAGACACGGATCCATCGTCATTACCAGATTTTATGCTGAAATCGAATCGTATCAGGCGTGCAACGATCGACTACCGTGTTTTTGAACGAGTCTACTCCCTGGATTTTTCTCTGTCTCTCATTTTACGGCGTTACATTTCATCTCGATTGTTGCATCCATCTGACACAAATCACATCCTACATTGAAAGTACATCATCTCCCATCGCACGAATTTCAACAATCATCTATACTACCCCAAGATCAAGCATCAGCATTTTGAGTGATGACACTGCCGGCATGGTTGAACTCTTTTCGATTCCATTGAAAGTAACAACAAACCAACTTCTTTGTCACAACATACGCTCCACAAATGATAATAAAAGTATTTACAATGTTGCATCTATTCATCCATGTTGTACGGTTCTCTACACAATAACAATGAAAACAATACCCAAACATACCTCTTCTTCCACAAGTTAATAAAACATTTTTATCCCGTATCAGCCAACAACGATGTTCAGAAGAATGTATATTTCGCTTCTATTTACAAAAAGGCTCAGAGGAAAAGAAAAGGAATTATGCATACAAATGCGTGGTTTCGTCATTGTTGATCATCTTCATCATTGGGAACGTTATGGATGCCTTGACGCTTGGATGGATCAATCATTACAGATTGTCTTGATACGAGTGGGAAGGGACAATTTTGCAGGGGCAGGAACTCAGTGGGCGGTAAATCAAATGGTGTCACCATGCCTGCTTGATTCATGCGTGTTCGTTGTTGTTGCTGCTCTGGTGTCAACGTAAACAATCTATCGAGATGATAGTGTTGTTGATCACTTGTATTGGTGTCTGTAGTGGGTGCTGGTGATGCCACCGGTGGTGGGGGTTGGGGCATGTGGCATCGAGGATAATGTAAAAGCTTTTTGAGTGGATAACTTAGTGACGTGGGTGATGTTGACGATGATGTTGAAGATCCATGACGTGTGTGGGTAAACGTTAAAGCTGAAGAGGATGCATTGTTCTCAATGATAACAGGACACGCACGCTTGATGGGTGGCATCTTTTTCTTTTTTGGAGTATCTGCCAATGATGATGATGTTTCATCTTCTGGTACTAGCAATGCTGCTCGTGTTGGTGCGGTAGATGATTGTACGGAGCTGATAAGATCGGGACAAGGTACAGTATTATCATCACTATCTCGATACTTGGTGCCAATTTGATCAAAGGCATCCAATGTGGATTGTCCAAAATCCTCATCTTCTTGTGCCAATGATGCTTTTTCATCAAAGGTGGCAGAGGGTGATGATGATGAGGATGAGGATGATGAAGCAGCTTCTGAAACTGGGGATAAGGGTTGTTGTTGTTGTTGTTGTTGCTGGATCATGGTGGTCATATCAATTTTGGTTTCCTCATCATCATCGGGGGATTTTGTATTTGGGGAAAATGGTGGGTCATTGACAAGGATTCCATCACCTCCTCCCCTGTGATGAAGCTGCCAGACAAAGAGTGCAATAGCTCCAACAACAACCATACCACCAACACTTGCACCAACAATGACACCCACTACCTTTGTATTGGTGGATGATGACGGGTCCTCAGGGGCGACATTGTTTTCTACCTCGGGGAATTTTGTTGTTGTGGAGCTCGACATCTCATTGTTCGTGTCTTCATCGTTGTTGTGTGCTGGTTGATGATGTTGTTGCTGTTTCCTCTCTTCCACAGCTATTCGTGCTGCATGAAATGAGTCGTCATGTTCACTATTAAGCCAATCGGATGGAAACGCAAATACAGATGATGATATTACGGTTGCTGGTTTGCTGCTGATGGATGATAATAAATGATTCGTAGCTGAAACATCGCCGATCGGTATCGTGTCTGATTCTTCCTGCTGTGGTAATAACGATGGCGTTGTGTATTCATTAATTGCTGTTGGTGATGGTGGCGGCGGTATTGCTAGCGACGTAGAGAATAAAATCAAAAAGACAAGTATAAAAAAGTGATGGCCTGCCATCGATCGTATATAGAGTGAGCTAAAAAGACAGTAAAGAAGGTTCGTTTGAAAATGCCTACGATCGCATTATATATGGATTGAGGATTAGACCATCCGCTTACCATGCACATTGCATCTTGGTTTGTTTGCTTCTCTCATCTTTTTTAAGCACAATACAACAAATGTCATCATCACAGCACCCAGCAATTCCATAACAAAGAGAGGCATGCGTATCTTTGTTTCGAAAGTAAAATGACAGTTATGATGTACAAGAACATGAATAGCATGGAGGGAAAAAAAGCATGAGAGTGAAAAGGTGAATGTTGCAGCCGTGGTGGTAATAAGGGGGCGGGGGAAGAAGAGGAGAGTTGAGTGAATGTGATGAGTGTAAGATAAAAGATTAAGGATCTGGGCTGGATGTAATAAATGTGAATGGGCAATGAATGGATGTGTACTTTCTATGCCTCGGTCAAGAGAGCAGCATTGATAAGCTCTTGTTCTTCTTGATAATGCTTCTTCTTGTTACCAGTGGCCACCGAAGCTGAAGGTTCACGACCTGTGTACTTGGGTTTCTTGCCAGCATGGTGGGTAGTTTGCGAAAGAGCAGTGGTGATTCTAGGTTGGACATGTCCCCAAGCACCCATATTCATAGGCTCTTCTTGACACCAAATGATCTCAGCATTGGGGTACTTGTCAGCGTGTTCCTTCACTTGTTGGTAAGGGAAGGGGTTGAGTTGTTCAACACGCGAGATAGCCACATTGGTAAGGTTGTTTGCATCACGAGCCTTGAGCAAGTTGTAATAGACTTGGCCACTGCAAAGAACGTGCTTGGTGATCTTTTCAGGTGCATCAAGGTTCTCGGGATGGGGCTCTGGCAAATAAAGTTGGAAGCTGCTATCACCTGACATTTCTTCAAGACTTGAGCGAGCAAGAGGATGACGCAATAATGACTTGGAGAAGGGCAAAATCAAGGGTTTACGGAATTCACGGTTGACTTGACGACGTAAAACGTGGAAGACTTGAGCGGGAGTAGATGCATAAACAACCTGCATATTACAGTCTTGGTGCATGCGATCCAATTTTTCGGGTGATGGGAAGACATAGGGGTTGTCATCGCACAACTGGAGATATCGCTCAATGCGTGCAGATGAATGTTCAGGACCTTGACCATCATAACCATGGGGCAATGACAAAACGAGACCCGAACGTTGCAACCACTTTTGCTCACCAGCGGCAAGGAATTGATCAATCATGATTTGGGCACCGTTGGCAAAGTCACCAAATTGAGCTTCCCACATGATCAAAGCATTGGGATCGACAAGCGAGTAACCAAGTTCGAAACCAAGGACACCATATTCGGAGAGGGACGAGTTGCTGATAGCAAGCTGAGCTTGATCAGGTGCGATGTGGTTGAGCATGGTGTATAATTCATCGGTCTTTTGATCATGAAGAACAGCATGGCGTTGTGAAAAAGTACCACGCTCTACATCTTGACCGGAGCAACGCACGTGCTTTCCTTCCAACAACAAAGATCCCCATGCAAGAGCTTCAGCCGTTGACCAATCAATATCCTTTCCAGATGCCAATGCCTTGCCACGGTTTTGGATAATACGCTTAAGGTTGCGATGCACATTGAAAGTCTCGGGCAAGTTGGTCAAAGAATTGCCGATCTTTTGAAGGGTCTCCATGGGAACACCGGTAGGGTGATGAGGAAGGATTTCTTCAGCACATTCCTTGGGAGACTTGAAACCTATGAAAACATCAGATCACCATGAGCAATCCTATTCCATTTCCTTTCCATCCAATTCCCAAAATACTTACCAGGCCATGAGCTACTAAGCCATTCACGCGAAGTAGGCTTGTAATCCTTGCTCTTTGCATAGCTATCTTCCAAGATACCCCATACACGCTTCTTGATAGATTCAACTTCTTCACCAGTGAAGCTACCTTCCTTGACGAGTTGATCAGCATACAACTTGGCAACCGGTTGTTGCTTGGCAATAGCCTCGTACATCTTTGGTTGAGTGAAGCTGGGTTGATCGGTCTCGTTGTGGCCGTGTTTACGATAGCACACCAAGTCAATGACAACATCACGGTGGAAAGTTTGGCGCCAATCAGCAGCAAGTTGCATGACATAGGTGACAGCTTCAACATCATCACCATTTACGTGGAACACAGGTGCATTGATAGCCTTGGCAATATCGGTACAATAGGATGTGGAACGACCAAAGCGGGGATCGGTGGTGAAACCAATTTGGTTGTTGACAACAATGTGAATGGTGCCACCGGTGGAGTAAGCAGGCAAGTCGTGGAAGCCCATAGTCTCATACACGATACCCTGACCAGCAAAAGCGGCATCACCATGCATAAGGATGGCCATGGAGTGGTTACGATCTTGATCCTTGCTGTAGTATTGGAGAGCACGGGTCTTGCCAAGCACAACAGGGTTGACAGCTTCCAAATGGGAGGGGTTGGCAACCAAAGACAAATGCACACGCTTGCCAGAAGGAGTAGGGCGAACATAGTTCATACCAAGATGGTACTTTACATCACCAGAGCCTTCTTCAGAAGGTTCAACAGAACCACTGAATTCGCAAAAGATGGATTCATTGGGCTTACGGACCACGTTGCTGAGGACGTTGAGACGACCACGATGAGGCATACCAATAACAATGGATTCGATACCATGATCCACAGAGCGATCAATCTATGAAATGGATTAGGGTCATGTTGTAGGTATGTATACGCTGTGCCTTTTTACTTACCAAAGCCTTCATACCAGGAATCAAAGATTCACCACCTTCAAGACCAAAACGTTTCTCAGAGGGGTACTTTGAAGCAACAAAGCGTTCAAAGCTATCAGACCAAGTAAGGCGATCAAAGATCATGCGCTTCTCATCGACAGTGTACTTGAAGGGTTGTGGGTTTTCGATACGTTCGCGAATCCAATCGCATTGTGCACGGTCGGGAATGTGGATGTATTCGATACCAATGGAGCCACCTGTCAAGGGTGTGGATATTCATTCATTAGCATTTTTTTCCCATTCCGCCTCTTTCCGCCACCTCATTTGTGTCATCATCCATAATAGAAGATGCAACACAATAAATAATACTTACAATACGTCTTTTTGAGATTATCCATGATTTCACGAAGCGTGAGTGATTTGCCCTTGTCCATGAAAGCAGGGAGGATGCCAGGGCCCAAAGAGAAGGTACGATCGAGATCCTTTTCTGTGAAACCATAGTAGGAGTGGGATAATTCGGGAGGGCTGGAATTGAGGATGTCGGCGTGTTGGATGCCCAAGGGGTCAAGGTTGGCCAAATGATGACCTCGCACCTGATATGCTCTCACGAGAAGTTGGATCTTCATGTGGTCAATAATCTCGCTTGATGAACCGTTGGCGGCATTAGGAACAACAGCATCAGGCAAACTAGGAAGACGTGCACTGGCGGATGGCACCAAAGTGGGTGGAGGAGAGTATGCCTTTCCAGGGGCAACGCCGTTGGCCATGTTCTTGAAGTAAACCTGCCACGACAAGTGCACTGACGAGGGATCCTTGAGCCATGCCTCATACATTTCCTCAATGTAGATGGCTGCATTGCCATGTAAAAAGCCATCGTTGGCGTCGTTGGTAGCAGCCTTTGCAAGTGTGGCGTGCTGGGTATGGAAAGAAGAAGATGCAAAAGCAGGCACCTTGCGTTGAGCAGGACGAGCAGTAGCAGCACTAAGATGCAATAATGGTTTCTTGGCAGCACGCGATAATGCTGTTATCCGATACATTGTGGAGACAAAGGGAAGAATGGGAGAGAGTAAAAGAGAAACAGTGCAACCTCCTTTGTGTCCTTCTTATTGTCTTGTGTGTGAAGTTCCAGTGACGTTTATCCGGCACGGTAAATGTCGGATTCTCTTTCATGTGCGCATGAAGAAGTTCACTGTATGTTTTACCGCTTTTAGCCTTTCCGCGTCTGTGCCCTTCAAAAACCAATTGCGTTTTATTGACAGTAGTAGTAGGATCATTCATGGAATAATAAACTACCGATTCCTATTGACCATACGACAATTCTCTTGTTACCATCATCTTGTTAATGGGGGTATTCAACTCGGGGCAACATCCGTAATTTCCCATGTCACTGACGAAGACAAATCGGGAAGTGGTCTTTTTTTGCTCTTGAGCGCAAGACCCATTCTCCCCCACAACTTTACTTACCTAATCCTAAATGACGTCTTTCAAGGCTTTGACCACCATCAGATCCCCCTTTTTATGCATTGTTATCTCTTCATCAGATTGATTCTTGTTGCTAATATGATCATCTCGTTGGCTTGTTGATATGATGCTGCATCGGCGTTGTTAGGAGGTAATGTCGTACTCCGTTGCAGCTGGCGTATGTTTTTTTTTCATTCATTAGGCGGCGGACTATGGCTCCGCCATGGCAAAACTTTTTACAGGAAGGTGATCGTCTTTTTGATTTCATCAACAGCCGAGGACCTATTCGCCGAATGGGACGAGATAACGTCATTATCTAAAGTACAAGAGTTTATCGTTAGAATTCATTCCATACAATGGCAACATTCAATCTTCATTCTATAGCTTTTTATCCAGTGCCTAGAACAATGGGCCATATTTCATTAACCTGGTTCTTTGGGGGGGGTCTATTAATAATATCCATGAATGTGAAGCATCAACCCATCCACATGTTCTAGTATCACAGCAGCCTGCTGCATGCAATATGATGTTTGCGTAGTTGTCATGGGAACTTGCATAGCAACCATCACCCCTCGTGGTTGGTCATTGACAAGAATAAACTTTATATAAAGTTGATAATGGCATTGATAAAAAATGAGATAAGAGCTGTCATGTGTGGAGTGGATCCAAAGATTGGGTTACGAGTTTTCATCGACCGTCTACTTGCAGACAAATGGGGTCTAGGCGAACCCTCAGCAACAGCAACAGCAGCGTGGGTTTTCTTGTGGCACAGAACATGGACGACGATTTTGGGGAGTCTTCTCCGCTATACTTAGACACGCACGCAAATTCAAAAAGAGTGGGCATACCCCGATCCAATTGGCGCACACAACGACATCATCACATCCACCATCACAATTGTCCCTCCCCTTTCTCCGCTTGCTTCTCTTTCCCTTCTTCGTCACCGTATTCGTTGTCAGTCAGCAGCACACCTTCTCTCTGATAATACATATTCCCCCTCCTCCTCCTCCTCCTCCTCCTCGTCCTATTCAACGCACTTCATACATACCATCGATATGCTCAACAGCCATACGCAGGCACCCTTGCAACGTTGCTCCCCCGAGCTTATGCTGCAGATCGTGTTATCCCTCGACCTCAAAGATCTCATAGCACTGGCATTGACGTGTCGACAATTGGCTGACTTCATCTTGCATAACGATCTTGTCTTTAAACGCCTCCTGCAACGCGATTACGGCATCACCTACAAACGCCCAGATCAAGTTCAATCGTGGATCGACTTTTACAAATCGCTGCACCAGCAACCCAACGCTTCACTCACCTGTTGTCGACACATCTCGGATGTCTCTAATGAGCCTGCAGAAACAAAACGTGTGCTCTATCGTGCTATTCGAGACAACAGCTTCAAATGTGATGTATGCAATACGGAAAATGCCGGCTTTTTGGACATGCTACAAACCGATACAACAGGTATGGATGGTCAATGTGTGATTGTGGAGGAGGCATCGTGTATTGACCCATATTGTTAGCTTGCATATCATGCGTAAAGACCCCAGCCAATCAGTTATCAGTCGTTCTCGAATGTTCAACAGGAAACATGTATTGCGTAAAGTGCAAGGATGATGAGCTGCATAAGGTATGGGAATGGACTATGGGATGTATTATGGTAACGATGGTACTCATGGATATGCGTTATGGTGGATTAGTTGGGCACAACGGAGAGCAATCCAAACGAGCAATACAAGGTTAAAACAGTAATGGATCATATGAATGGAGCAGAATCAATCGACAATCGGCGAAAAGCAGAGCATTTATTGTATATCCAAGAGCTGCGAAGGGAGGACATGACACTCAAGCATTATTTGGTGGAAAAGAATTGGGGCAGGACATGGATGGTGTTTCGAACTCGTAAGTTGGGAAATGTGAAATACGTGTTTGTATATGTATACCAACCAAGGAAATTGTAGGTGAGGGCACACCATTGCCTGGTCGTATCACAAATCAAAAGTTGGCTCGCAGTAATGGCTCTTTGAATCCCAACATTCGGCTTCCAGTTGACAAATTTCGTCCAGCTCCTGACACCAATGCTGATATTGTGAGTGAGAAGCTGTGGTCCTATCTACAAAAGGCCTATGGATTACAGGGACGAGCTTTTAGTGAAGGTAGGTAAAAGGCAATGGATTGCCGATCTTGTGTGTGTGTGTGTGTGTGTGTGTGTGTGTTTTGAGCACAAGGTCATTGTTGGAATGGGAAAGACCTTGTTGAATGGGGGAATTTATTTTGATTCATATGCGTAAATAGATGATCTCCAATACCCCGAGTATACACGTCTTCGTGCATACATTGAGCATTTCAAGTCTAGTCCTCTAGCATATCCTTGATTCGTTTTTTCCATTGTTTCGCACGCATTGCAATTTGTTCATACGGTGAATGTACATGAAATCGCTTGAAAATAAAAAACAACATCATAGACAATTGGCATGTAGGTGATGATAGGCTACAACATGGGGGTTGATGGTATGTATGTAGGACCTTCTCACGTGACTTTGTAGACGTTGTAAAAGTAAAGGTCATTATGAATTCGCAATACATTTTCTGTAGGTAGCATAAGATTTGAGATGATTCATCTCCTCATCAGCATCGGGGTATAAGGCGGGGAAGTGATTTGCAAAGGAACAATTACAAGTGCTATATCGTATATCGTAGTTCAAGGCATGCGTGCCATGAAATCACAAAGCGGATGCCGCTTTTGGTTCAGCTTAGAGTAAGAAGAAACCTTCCTGTTGCAAACTCCAGCATTTGCTCTATATCAAGCATTCGTCATTTGACATTGATCCTCTGCCAATCGGTATCACATTTGGGTCTCCCATCATTTAAAGTTTATTCTTTTACAAGACAGCTATATTCTCTTTTCTCATGGACGATGAACACTACATAATGGACCATCTTGCCAATGTTTATCAAAAGACCTCTTGATGCATGCTTCGTTTACCGACTAATTACAAATGTTGCACGACGGTGTTGCTTGTGGCACCTTGGTCATATGAACTCAGAAAAAAAAGACATTCCACCGCCGCGCTTTTCCCCTTCTCTTTTATACCAAGCTTGTAACCTTGTATACTCTCATCGCCATTCCTTGATCCGTTTGCCGACTTGGCCATTCCACATTCGTTTACCAGCATGATTTCAAACAAGCGACGCCAATTGCCTTCCTCCATTCTCGTGTCTACTGCTGTAATCTCGGCAGCAGCAAGCGTGTATGCAGCTCCACCACCTTATCCACCAACAACAGAAGAGGACAATGGTGACTCGGATGATAAAGGCAAAGACATCATCAATGATCTTGCAGATGAATGGTCTTCCGATAATGAAAGCAAGGACAGCAGTAATGATGAAGATGATGCATTACCCCTGGATGACCAGCAAGATGTTGGTGTTGATACGCAAGAAACCACCAATGATGTTGACAATGAAGAGGGTGGATTGTTATCGGACAATGATACCAGCAATGAGGAAGAAGTGACAGCCGAGAATGATGACAATGAAACCCTGCAGGAACCATCGACGCAAGATGTTGACAATAACATTGCCGATCTCGACCCTGAAACAAAAGCATTGGAGGAAGCTGCAGCGGCTGTAGATGCTGGTACCGCCGTAGCCAATGACAATGATACATCCAATATCGATGAGTCCAATGACGATGGTTTGGATAACGTTGATGACAGCATTGATGATAATCAAGATACGGTTGAGGATGATCAAGCTATTGACAGCGTTGATGATAATCAAGACACTATTGAGGAGGATCAAGTTGAAGACGACGTCTATGATAATCAAGATACTATCGAGGAGGAGGATCAAGCTGAACCATCGATTGATGAGGACACCGAGACTTCAAGTGATATCACCGAGGAAGTGGATTATGACATTTCAGACTTGGAGAATGGTAGCGATGGTGATGCCATGGAAACGAATAGCGATTTTGACGCTTCGGAGGAGACATTCAATGAAGCAGCATTGGAAGAAGCCGAAGAAAATGAGCAGCAGCAGCTATCAACTGAAGTGGAAGAGAGTCTCGATACACAAATCGAATCATCATGGATGGAAGATCAAATAGACCAAGAATTGGCCAAGAGCACTACTGAGGATGAACCACCTGTCATTGACAACAGCAATTCTGTACCTGATATTTTCGGTGATGATGAAACAATGACTGCACCACCAGCAACATCGCCTGAGGAGGACAACGACGACAATGTGGAGTACACTTTTACTACATCAGATAGCCTGGATGATACCCAACAAGACGAATCCATCGATGTGAAGAATGAATATCCCACGGATGATATCAACAAAGAGATTGATGATGCTTTGGACCAAGCACAAAAGGTGGACAACAACGTGCTACCAACACCACAAGCTGCTGAACAAGACATGCCACCTACATTTAACAATGCTCAGGGTACTGAAAATGTATTCCCTTCAGCGGATCAGCAAACCATTGGTGATAATGCGGATACTGAAAGTAACAGCTCAGCACTCAACTTGCTCCTCATTCTATGTGTGCTCATATTCTTGGTGCTCAAGGCTCCCAAGATCAAGGTATGTGTGTTGAGATTGAATAACGTATGTGGGTATCTGACAAGGTCATGGTATTGTAGCGTTGGGTCTATGGTCGTGCTGTGAACAATTCCTTACCGGTAAGTTGCAAGTTGCTATGAGGAAGAAAGGAGACATTTACTTATGGGTTGCTATAGTACCATGCTGTTCCAAAGCGAGGCCAAGACTAGAAAGAATCATAACGCGCGTAGATCAATAAACAATACAATACAAATTTACATACACACACACACACATTCATACATACATAATACATACATCTGCATGTTATAGCATGTCAAGTGAGCGATCACGAGTCTACCTCCTGAAACTTGCATCGGGCCCCTGCACTTGCAGATATCAATCGTCATTCTTGTTGCCTTGTGGAAAAAATGTACTGTGCGACGTATTGCTCTGGACTATTCTTCTTGGTAATGGATGATGATGATGCATTAATAGTAATGCGTGTGAGTTAGTGTGCATGTTGCAGATAATGGATGATACATCGGAGCAGCTGCCAGCAGTGTGTGTGTGAGTGTGAGTGTGAGTGTGTAAAAAATCTGCTACAGCTTCCATTTTGTTATTCAACACCTTATTTAACCAACCCAACTACATACGTTTTGTACACTATGGATACCACTACTACTACCAACGAACCACCTTCTTTCCACCCTGAGGACCGAAGACTATCAATACACAAGCTGACGCATTCATCGTCTTTGCCTTCATTCGAAAGTCTTTCTCCCACCATGCATAACGCTCGTCCTGCACCTGCTCACCATCCCATTCCAAACGTTTTACGACCTACTCCTTTGGACCATCGACCTGATCTCACTGGAAGGAACACTCGATGGCGACGTGATTCACTACCTTCTATTGCCAACCTTGACTTTCCACCATCAACACCACCACCCACTTCAGCTACAACAGCAGCGTCGTCGTCGACTTCTTCAGCTTCGGTAGCAACCGAACCACAGCCGTTCCCAAGCAACCTTCGCCGCCACTCGACACCCGATAATCATCATCATCATCATCATGAACATCTTTTCCGGTCTCAACATATCGAGAGTCCTTATTCACGTACACCAGAATTACGTGAGAGTCATAAATTGGCAGAGCGTAGGCGACGCAAGGAGATGAAGGAATTGTTTGATGATCTACTCAATGTATTACCTATCGACAAAGGCATCAAGACAAGCAAATGGGAGATACTAAGTAAAGGTAAACGCCAACACGTCAATAGACAAGGAATTACTGGGCTGGCTAAGTTCTCTTTTGTTTCATCCATTCATTGTAGCCGTCGACTATATCAACGATCTGCAAAGGAGAGAAGAAATGTTTATGCGTGAAAAGGAATTGCTGCTTCGGGATAAGGCAAGCTTGCAATCATCATCCGCATCCTCATCAATACCCAGGCCAGATGGCTGTTGAACCCGTTTGAGTTCTTTATCCCATCCTTTTTTTCTTTCTTTGTCTGTGCTCTCTCCCTCCCTTTATTATTCTTAGTCTATTTCATCCTATCACTTGTGAGTAAATTGTATGTGTGAGTGCGTTGTGTATGTATTGTATACAATTCCAATGGCTGTTTGTTATATTGTTGATGATGATGAGGAGGAGGAGGCGGTGTACACTACAGTATGCATAAGGATGATGAAGAGGAAGGAAAGCTTATGCATCTATCTTATGTGGTTGCATTATTATACCTAGTCAAAGCATAAAGATAAACGACTGCAGTATCCATTTGCAGCAGATGTCCGATAAAAGAAAAGTAGTTGGATGGTACGGATATGTGGATGAATAAGGACAACAGCCATGGATTACTCTATTACTCAATGTGAGACCAGATGAATAAGAAAGTAGCAGTAGTAGCGACCCGACAACCCACTGCCATATAATAATTTGCGGGGCTAACTGATACAATCCGCATCTTTTCCCTTTCCTTTCAAGTTCCAAATATGTCGACACCCACCCGACGACGTCTTATGCGTGATTTCAAGCGTCTTCAAAGCGATCCCCCAGGTAATGTCATACATCCCTTTGACAGAGCTGTTTTATTGACTATGCAACTATTGTATAGGCGGTGTGTCAGGTAAATTGGAGACCAGTAGCTACCCATCAGAGAGAGATGCATACTCGAGAATCCTTCAACGAACGATTGACCTTGTCTTTGATAGGTGCCCCATGTCCAGACAATATCATGATGTGGAACGCTGTTATCTTTGGTCCTTGTAAGTAAAGGGTGTAGGAGGAGGTGTACTTGCGTGTATGTGTGTGCTGCGGGAGCTTGATAAATAACATGGATATATTGGATAGCCGATACCCCCTTTGAAGATGGCACATTCAAGCTGGTGCTTCAATTTGATGAAACCTATGTAAGTCATTGTGGGGTGGATCTATGGATGATGATCATAGCATGTCACTCACTATGTGATGATGATGATGATGTATATAGCCCAACAAGCCTCCTTCTGTCAAGTTTGTGTCAAAGATGTTCCATCCCAATGTCTATGCAAACGGCGAATTGTGTCTTGATATCCTTCAAAATCGTTGGAGTCCTACTTATGATGTCGCTGCCATTCTCACCAGTATTCAATCGCTGCTGCACGATCCCAACCCCAACTCACCTGCCAATGCCGAAGCTGCCAACCTTTATCGTGAAAATAGAAAGGAGTATGTGAGGAGAGTGCGTGAAACCGTCGAGTCTTCCTGGGAGTAAATTCAACAACAACAACAGCAGCAACAGCAACGTCCTTGTTATATCTTTAGTCAATTCATCTTTGCGTTTCATGTATAAATCCCCCCCCCCACTTTTTTTATGTTTCTATGAAGTGGATATTGGATTCTAGTGTTTGGAATGATGAGACCGGTAAATGCGTTATGTGAGAGACCCTAATCCATCAATGACTTTACATGCGTTGCAGACATGATAAAACACTCCATATCCTTGGTTTCGCTATGTTACAATAGACCATGATTTTATTTGTAAGCTGCAATCATCTTTTCTACACGACTCATATCAGGGCGTCCAAGAACGGCTACTTTATGATCCCAATCAATTACAAAAGGGCGCTCAAGCATTGCTGGATCTTGTTCAATAAGGTCAAATGCCTCCTCAAAAGAAGACACCTTGCCTTGAGCCTCTGGACGCAAAAGATAATCCCATGGCCTGTCTTCCTTCCAAGGATGATCAGCAGTACCTTCCTTGTTCATACCCAAATAGTCAACCAGAGCCTGCAGAGTCTCGCGTGTTGGTGGCGACTTTTTATATTGAATCACCTCGACTGAGAATTCGCACTTGGGTTGCTCATCTTCGAGAAATGCCTTGGTATTACGACATTTGGTGCATTGCGGGTTATAGAGAATAGTGACACCGGAAGTGGGAAGCGAGGACATTTGTATCTTGTAAAAAGGTAAAGAAAACAACAACGAAAATCTCTACCCTTATATGAAGCAGCAGCAACAAGGCAGGCGTCGTAATCATTCCTTTTTTGGACACTTTTAGTCCGACTTGATCTGTTTGCTAGCGGTATAAGCAAGGGAGGGATCGAAAAAATCGCTCCAATGAAAGTACTATAAAGGATCAGGTCTGACCCGCCAAACATCCTCATCCATCTTTTCCTGTTCCCCATCACAAAAATGTCACAGTCTTATCCGGTGGCACAGGATACCTGCACTACCAGTAATAACAATAGAACACCAATACGCATCGAGGATAATCAAGAAACATGCTATGAAACTCCCACATGCAAGTTTGATTATTGTGTAAAGCGACATGATTATTTGGCTATGCAAGTAAATTCTGATAGCAATGATAACAAAGTGCATGCTGGCGGTAAGTATGACTGTACATTAAATTGCAAGTAGAATCTAATATTATGGATTAGCTTTGGTGCGGCAATTGAGCTTTCTTGATCGTTTCCTTGTGCTCTGGATCTTGATTGCCATGGTTGTGGGAGTTGTTATTGGATATTATGTACCCGGTGTACAAACGGCGTTTCAAACCGTACAATTTCATTCAGTATCCGTGCCTATCGCCGTTGGATTGCTGGTGATGATGTATCCGGTGTTGTGCAAAGTGCAATATGAACGATTACCTTCGATTTTGGTGACACGTCAAGTTTGGATCCAGATTGGCATATCCGTATTCATCAACTGGGTTATTGGTCCCATCATCATGACAGCTTTAGCATGGGCAACATTACCAGATTTACCAGGTTTTCGAACGGGTGTCGTCATGGTTGGCCTTGCACGATGCATTGCCATGGTGCTGATATGGAATCATCTTGCTGATGGTGATGCCGATTATTGTGCCTTGCTAGTTGCCATTAATTCGATCCTGCAGATTGCATTGTTTTCACCATACTCGGTGTTATTCATCAATATTATCCCTTCGTGGTTTGGTGCTACCGCTTCTTCAAGTATCCACGTTGATGTGGAACCAGTGGCAATATCAGTGTTGATCTATTTGGGCATTCCCCTGGCAGCTGGTGCCATAACACGCTTTGCACTGATGGGTCTTTTCGGTCGAAAATGGTACGAGAACAAGTCTCTACCATGGGTTGGCCCTTGGGCATTGATTGGTTTACTCTACACTATCATCGTCATGTTTGCCAACCAAGGTCACCAAATCATTGAGCACATTGGATCCGTGTTCCGCGTCGCTGTACCACTCTTTGTCTATTTTGTTGTTATGTTTTTTATTCCGTTCTTTGTTCTGAAGCGTATTGGCATCCCTTATGAGCTTGTAGTGACCCAGTCATTTACTGCTGGCAGCAACAACTTTGAATTGGCCATTGCTGTTGCAGTTGGCACCTATGGTATTCATTCTGAACAAGCTCTTGCCGCTACTATTGGCCCATTGATTGAAGTGCCAGGTAAGAGGGATGGGTATGTCTATCGTATAATTCCACTCACAAACTTCATTACATCCTCAGTATTGCTATGTTTGACCTATGTGGCATTATTATTCAGGAAAAAACTTAAATGGCATGTACGGCCGTTCTTTATCAGCGAAAAGAAGAACGAAAACCAGTAAATGCATACAACCTAATTTTTAACGAGCATGCCTTTATTAAAGCAACGAAAGTTTGAAAGAATATCCTCGTATCCCATATAATCTATAAATCCATATCAAACCCATAAACGATGAAAGATAAGGATCGTATCATTTGATTTTGCGAGACAATCTATTTAGAATGTCCCCTATGTGATACTCAAGACCTTGGTTAGCCTTGTGAGGGGGAGTGATACACGTGACCGGACGTATTTGGTTTCTGTTCCTCATTTTGCATCCTTCCTTGGCTTTCCCTATTTTCTTGCAACTCTTCCACCTTTCCCGCATACACACAAACTCACGGCCACATATATACATATACACATACACAGCATGCCATCCACCAATACTTCTCGGCAGTCTTCAGTATCAACAAGAGACTGCACTGTGTGCCCCACCAATAAATCCAAACGATTTGCAACAAGAACGATCGCCGATACCAATCAGACCAACGATAACACCAACACAAGTACTCCCCATGACTTGAACGACGAGGACGATAAAACGATGCGCAAGAAACGGTGCATTACATCACTGACAGCACGCAACGAAGATGAGCTGTGGGTCGACATTTCAAACAAGCGATTGCCCAATTCCCGTCTCGGTGCCCTCTACGCAGGATCACGGTTTGTTGGTATTCAAGAATGCGGTAGCACGAGTTACGAAGTGGTTGTCGATATCCAGGTATGCCCAGGATCAAGAGCAAAAGGGAGGAAGGGAGGGAGATCGGGTTGCGTGGGAATGGTTGGCATCGTTACTACTATGCAGCAATAGCTCATTTTTCCCTCTGTAGCATGTTGATTTGAAAGAAAGCACATTGAGTGGATACTTGAATATCAAAGGCCTTACAACCGAGTTCCCTGAGCTGACAGTAAGTGATGATTGCTACCGATAACAATGAATAGGGATGATGGTATTAACAATGACACGATACAATAGACCTTCTTTCAAGGTGAAATTGTGGGGCCGAAATACTCGTTCCTGACTCGCAAATGGCAAGCCTACCAAAAAATTGATTCAGCCCATTGGGTGAGTACTTGTGGATTGAGACAAACGCAAAAGCTTTTCAACTGAAACCTCGTTGTTTCTCTCAGGAACGGTTCCCATCCTTCAAGCCCTATGCTGATGTCTTCAATCAAGATGGTTTTGTCTATGATCCGACCGATAAGGATTACGTTTATATGCGATGGAAGGAACACTTTCTTGTACCAGATCACCGTGTCAACAACATTGATGGTGCAAGCTTTGCAGGATTTTATTATATATGCTACCGGCGATCTACCAACGAGATCTCTGGTTACTACTTTTACAGACACCATTACGAATTGTACGTATCCTAGCAACCATTGATTCGATCTATATCCCTAACCCCAATGCTTCTTTTAGGTATCAAGAATTGAAATTGAGCCATGTTCAACAACGTTCTTTTGGCAACTTTGAATTTCGCTGAACCTCACTTAAATAATGTCTCTCCAACCACTCACCTACCAACCCACCTACTGTGTATATAGTCTTTTTCTCGATTCCCTCATCTTTCCCCCTATTCCCTATCTTTTTAAATTTCTCATCAAGCCTTACAACATGATACGAAGCCTGCGCAGCATATAAAGATATGCCTATTCCTCCTCTTGAGCTTTATTGTTTTGGCATGTTGATGAAATCAATGGTACTTGGGCGAGAGGTATGGTTATTCATGCATTGTATTGCTTTAAGCTTACGTCATGGAAACATCATTGAGATGGACGACATGGGAAAATGCATCATGACGACACCTAACATGCAGCAGTATGAGATACCCTCACCCACTCAAATCACCACTTGTTTTTCAAAGATTCTCAAATTATGTAGCATGATGAGTCCATTCGAAAGGAAGAGCCGACGTACAACCATGAGAAGGTTTAAACTGAATGAATCCGACATCAGTTCTTCGAAAGGGTACTCTTCTTTATCGAGGCAACGCTACCACATGCACAAAACCCGCGCGTTCCTTGTATATCCATTTCCCAACATGACGCTATCACATTCATTCTCCTGTTGAAGGAAACGATCATATGACTGGTTCTAAGCACTGGATGACATTACTCGTTCTAGATACAGTGGATGGGATTGCCAGCTAATAACCTAGTCCTCATCTTCTCCATTGTTGCCCAAGCCAGTGCATGTGAACGATTGTCCTTCTCCAGCCCATCATTCCCATAATTCAAGTTTCTTGATCTGAGAGGATTTGACTGAGAAATGCTCAAACACAGAAGTATCATCCAAAATCAGAAAAATTTATCTGTTTAGTTATACGTAAACTGCCACTTGATAACCCATTCCTCCCATTCACCTTTGTTGCCCAACCCAATGCATACGAACGATTGTCTTGCTCCAGCCCATCATGCCCATCATTTAACTTTCATGATTCGAGCTAACCTGGTAGTAAGGTAATGGCTGTTGTTGGATCATCATTATCATGTAAAGTGTACAATGGCACACACGCTTTTGCTATACGTGAGGATCATGTCTTTTATTTACGTGTACCTATTGTATATCGTGAGGGTGATGATGACGATGGGTGGATGGTGTGTGTGGGGTCATTGAGTGGCCTCAGTGTAATAGCAGTAGGGGGATTTAAACTTGGGGGACAGCAGCTCCACGACTTGAGACAACGCTTCTCTTCTTTTTCTCCCAACTTTCCTTATTCCATTCACGACATTGCGATCAAGGTAATGTATTATAGAAGAGTGCTCTTGTTGTTTGTGAGGCATTAACATAGTTCTGAACATGCATTGTCAGGGAGTGAGTGTGTCCAAAGTGCCGAGGAATGAGCGTGGTTGGTGGTTGGTGGTTGCCATGGCGATATTGTTGCTTCCTTTTGCTCGTTGCTATTCCCGCTCTACGCTTGGTGTCAACAGGTACATTCAGAGTCCAATGTTGCAGCCGAATTGGTTCCATTGATGTGCTAACTTGTATAGAGGGCAAGTTTGGTCTCAATACGTGGGCTCGTTTGGCGTTTTGTTTCGGCTCAACTATACTACACCATGGTTTTCGGTTTCCCGTAATCATCGACAAAGGGTCTTTGTGTATATGGAACAGGCAAGTGCAATAGATTGAGGAACAATGAAGAAGATGTTTATTGCGTATGTGTGCTAAAAATGAATTGTACAGGTTTCTTTGTCAGGCAGTGCAACTTGGGGCATCATCATCTCTTTGGGGTTCAAGTCCCAGCCTGTACCTTTGACCATTGATCGTTCTGGCACTAGCGTGCTTGGCTGTAAAGGTTCTTGGAGCGAGATCAGGATCCGTGTGCGACACAATTACAAAGGATGAAAGGCTTTCGGGCAAGAGCTTGGTCACTGATAACAATTGAGGACGACGAAAACGGAAAGGATTAGATAGACAAGCATGGTTGTTTTCTCCCCCACCTCTTCCCAAAATGATTATCATATATAGGACTCTTGCATTATATCCTGATGTCTTATGAAGCGTAATTTCGCATGCCTGTGATGAGTGTAACTCATTTGGTCGCAGTGGATAGCAACGAGGAATGAGGGAAATGGGATTGATGGATTCATTGCCGTCGTTTTCCGTTTAATGATTTCAACATCGAATGTTATCATTTTTCCCTAAAAGTACACGCACCCTTTGTTTAGGCTCATGGTGAGTGAATGTCATTGCTGCTTTCTGATAGTATGACACTACTCTGCATCATAAATGAAGGATATATGAGCAAACAATGAACAGGCTTCTACTCTATAAAGTTATTATTGGAAAGGGTCTCGCAGTAGTAGCATTAATATTAATAGAGGTGTGATTATTGCAACTTTCCATTCAGTATTGTTCATATTACTAGTACAAGTTTAAACGTCCATTGTAGCGTTCAATTGATGGTGTTGAATGGCTTTTAATATACGAGAGTACGTAGCATAGTGAAACAACCGGAGAAAGAAGTCAAATCATGCCATAAGTGTGTATGCGGGGCCAGGTGCTGTTACACCGGTTGCTAGGACGAAAATGGCCGGCTGTTCATTTTTTTTGCCTTGTGCTTTTCTATCTTCTTCCAACAAAGCAAGCAACCCCTACATTGTAAGTAATAGCCACCATTGTATATACTGAACATTGCGAGTCGATGCCACACCTTGCTCACATTGAGATTCGCTTTAGCTTTTTTTTTGTTGAACGATTGAACAACCCCTCTCTTACTTGAACAACAACAACAACAACAACCATTTCAGCTGTACCATTCGTTCAGGATGGAGCAATACAAGACAAGACCAACCAAACAGTTCCTTCGACGCAACTCGGCACCGAGTATCGATGGTATTCAAGGTGCTGATGCAGCCGATTTTGGAGTGATACCTGCAACATCGATTATGCTATCACGTTCTACCGTACTCGACAAGGCGCCATCAGCAGCAGCCAGCAGCACACCCCCCGTGCCAACACCGTCTCCTTCTATGCAAGCAGCACGTACCCATCAACACCGTTTGAATGCAGCCCAAGAGCAACGCACTTATCAAGATAGCCGTCAACGTCTTTTGGGTCACATTGGTACGGTGATGGGCATTTGTGAAGATTTGAAACGTGAGCGGCGATTCCCGGTTCAGTATCCCAAGCAGCCATTTTCTGTACTTGGCTTGGATATGAAAATGGGTCATCAAGCTGTCAATGACATCCACAAGCTTGAGAGTGGTACTCTTTCATCATTGCTTTTGGAAGACAAGTTATCGCATTGCCTTGGTCATCTCGACAATTTACGTGGAAGAGTAGCCGACACATCGTCCAAGGTGTTGGTGACAGGTGACCTCAACTCGGGCAAGTCCACTTTTGTCAATGCCTTGCTCAAGCGTGAGCTTATGCCAGCTGATCAGCAACCATGCACCAACATGTTTTGTGAAGTACTCGATGCTACACTTAATGATGGCGTTGAAGAAGCACACGCTATTCCAGACGTGACACAATATAATCGTCTTGACTCATCCACTTTCCACGTGATCGAAATGCGGCATCTCAACAAGATCATCATGGATGAACAACCCTCGTCTCGATACCAGATGCTCAAAGTCTATACCTCTGATCGTCGCTCTACCAATGAGAGCTTATTACACAATGGTGTGGTCGACATTGCTCTTATTGACTCGCCCGGTCTCAATACCGATTCCGTAAAGACCACTGCTATCTTTGCACGTCAAGAAGAAATTGATGTTGTTGTCTTTGTCGTCAGCGCTGAGAATCATTTCACTCTCTCGGTAAGGTCATTGTTGCAGTATTTATTGATTCAAGATATTAACTAACTTTTTGAATAGGGCAAGGAGTTTTTATTGAATGCTGCCAATGAAAAGACCCATATCTTTATCGTTGTCAACCGCTTCGATTCTATTCGTGACAAGGAACGATGCAAACGTCTTGTGCTTGAACAAATTCGCCAACTATCACCCGCTACTTATGCCGATGCCGAGGATCTTGTCCACTTTGTGAGTGCCGGCAGCATTGATATTTCAGAGGAAGGCACTACTCCCAAGTCTGTGGATGCACCTGAATTTGCACGCATGGAACAACGCTTACGTGCTTTTGTGCTTGAGAACCGAGCCAAGTCAAAGCTTCAGCCTGCCAAGCACTACATGGTCAACTTGTTGCGTGATGTCTCATTGTTATCCGAAAGCAACCGAAGCAATGCAGCACAAGCGAGTGCGGATGCACAACGACAACTTGAAATGGATCAACCCGCCTATGAACACTTGTTGCAGTTACGTGATCGCTTGTTGCACCGTGTTGAAAAGATGGCTGGCATGGCAACATCCCAAATCCAACGCCAAGCTGCTGCACGCCTTGAAGCGGCTGTACAAGCCATTGGCGAACACACGATCGATCAACTCGAATATCCTGGCATCTTGCTTATTTGGCAATATGCTCAAGACTTGGCGGATTGCATGTCTCAACGTCTCTTTAAGGAGGTGCGTCAACAAGAAAACATGACCAAACGTGAAACAGCTGCTGCTCTTGAAAGTATCCATACCATGGCTGTTGAACATCTTGGCGACTTCCCTGTGCGTGCGGATGTGGATAGCATGAAACGTAATCGTCATTGTGTCACTATTGACGTTGAAGCTACGGACTTTTTCGATTTGGATGAGAAGCTTTCAGGATGTGCCATCTCCCTTGGTGCTGCTCTTGCTGTTGGTAGTCGTATGATGGGTGTCAAGGACGTTGTCTCAAGCTTGGGTGGTGTCAACAATATTCGTCGTATGGTGATCCCTGCTCTTGGTATTGCAAGTGCTGGTCTTATATTGTACGTGGTGTCTGATATGCGCTCAGCTCTTGAACGTAAACTCGTTCGCAAGTTCCAAGCTGCAGCTCGTGATTCAGCACACACTGAACAACAAGCACGTCGTATGGCTCGTGAGTCACGTAAGGTGTTGCGTGTTGAAGGATGGGATATCCAAGCTCGTTTGCAAAAGGCTATTGAAACCAAGGAGAGTCAACGCAATGAGATGACCGAGGTGGTTCATACTTCTCAAGAAAGCATTGAATACTTTACGGCTCTTCTTGAGAAATCAGATCAGCTACTTGACAAGGTTGCCAGCATTCAAACGGATAGCACCACACGTCTTTATAACTAAAGTATGCCATTATGCATGATATTTACTAGAATGATAAATAAAACAGTATATGAATTCTGTTGTCTATTTCCAGAGGAACATGGCTAAGCTAGCAATAACTCCACCGGCAACTGCACTTTCTACTGAATACAGGATCAAATCCCGTTTACGCATAACGAGGTTGTCGTCTGATGATAAGGTGGTAGAGGTAGAGGAGGGTTGTTGTTCTTGTTCTTGTGTTGGTAAAAGTGATGATGATAATGTATCAGGTTGTAGTTGTTCGGATGGTTGAGAAGTAGTGAGTTTCAATTGTGATTCGAGATGTTGGTTGCCCGATGCGACAGCAGCTGCAAGCTCGTTGACTGCATTAAGCACAGATAGCTGAGTATCATCACGATCCTGCATCAATCCACGGAATTTCGCTTCTTCTTCATCGACCTTGGCAATGAGCAACTCTTCAAATCGATCCGTAAGCCGTTTGCGCTTGTAAGGTTCAAAAATGGATTGCATCATGATGAACAAGACCAAGTTGAGAACCATAAGAGCCCATGTACCATAAGTGCTCACGCTACGAATCTTGTCGCTCCAAAGTTGTTCCTCATGATATCGCTCCATGATCGATTGTGCTAATCCCATGTATTCACGATCCATCTGCTTCTCAGCATGTTGATAGGCCTCCTTGGCGTGAATCTCTCGCTGAGAATGTTCATGTTCCAATCGATACAATTCTGTAAATCGGGTCACGTCTTCGCCTGACCAAAGGTGTTTACGTTGCAACAACTCGTTGATTTCCCTTTGCGTCGAGGATCGTGTATCGATCGCACTTTCATAGGCTCGTTTGGCTTGTTGCATTTGATCTCGCGATGATTCAAAGGCTTTGGCTATATAAAACATGAGTCAGTTACTCCATCCGATATTTGCCGATATCACACACACACCTTGGTCTGTAACATGTTGCTTGACTTTTTCAATTTGATCATATCCAGTCAACTGATTTAGGGCCACACCAGCTCGTTGTATCGCTTCTTTGGGATCGTTAAAGTCGCGTGTAATATTACGCAGGGTATCGCTAGCGTTCCTGACCTTGAGCAAGACAGGGGTCAATCGAGGCTGAATCGTCGCTTGAAGTTTTTCCAAATATTCATTGGCGGACGTCATTGGAGGTTTGTTGTTCTCGGTTGAATAATAGTAACCAAGTCGAGGTCCACGTCGTGGTCGTAGCCATGGCAAAACTGCGGGTCGTAATCGAGATGCTGTGCTCATGTCAAACAAAAGAAATAAAGAAACCCGATGGCCCGGCCAAACCTTTCCGACTGAATTTGGAATCATCCCACACCACACATTAGCTATCATGTCTCTATGTAACAATCATTGCACGATACACACATACATTGTTTTTATAGAGAGGTATAATAAAAGTCTACCTATGCAACCATCATTTTGGTTATGGTCACAAATGAATTAAGGTTGCTATGCAGCAATTTCTTGGATATCCATCATGATGATGATTAACTAACTTTAGCGTGCAAATGTACTTGGTCGTCAGCGTCATTGGATGGACAATGGCACCACATGCTTCTTCTGTGTGTGTGGTAATAGCTATGACAGAATTTGATGGGAAGAAAAAGACACGAGGGCGAGATGAAATGATAACATTTGCCTTTGGTACTTCTCTTTCAATTTCTAGTTCATTCGATTGTTCACGTATATGATATCCCAGAGACCTCCCCATCCCTTGTACTCAACCTTCCCTCATCTAAAGCTATAAGCGATATCTTTTTCGTTCGTTCTCGACGTTGGGATTTCGTATTTCTAATGCTGATGCGATTATGGCTATTACAGTAATAATGTTGTCAGTGTAAAAGTTGCGATCCATTCTACGTGACCTTCCTTTGCTATACTTCTTCTGCTGCCGAGATGACCGCTTTATTCAAAGACGTCAAGCACTCCAAAAAATTGTTAGGCAACAGCAATGGACACCATCTTGATTCTATCAACAGATGTTGGTACATAAACATTATGCATCACCGCGAAAGCAGCTACATTAAAAGGATTGCAAGCTATATAGTTGAGTGACAATGATGACCATAACAATGAAAGGTAAGATAACAATGAAGCTAAAAATGACCACAAAGAAGAGCTGTTGGGGGATGATGGTACATGTGCTGATATTGTAGAGGGACACCTACACCAGGATCATACCTGGTTCTTTGTCAAAGTTGTCTAATTAGGATTGCTTGGATGGATAAAATGGTCAAACTACCAACCTAATTTGAAGCATCGGCCTTGCGGATAGCTTTGAATCGCTTTGTACGGGAGCAACTGACACCTGATCAACGGTAATGATGTCCTTGCCGAAACAGAAAAGTGCCCTTTACACGTCCCTTTTATAACTATCAATAAACCATCATGCGGATGGCTACTAAGTCATGCTTCTTGTGCTGGTGCTCAATTCGAGCCTTACATCAAGGGCACGTGCAAATCTATCACCGCCTGCTTCTTGAGCGCGCTTTTCTTTTGTCTCTTTCCACTTCCACACAACCCAGCCAGCCATGGACCGATTAACACAGTTGCAAGACGGCATTGACGCTGTGCGTTGAACAACGAGGGGGAACGATCCGTGCTCTATCTTTTACTAATGTGCTTTTAGATGGCACGCATGTTGACCAACAGCCTATTCTACGTTCATGAAAAGTCGTCCATGGCCCAACTCAATGACAGTATACCCATAGCACAACCCAAAGGTACGTATACACACACACACACACACACTTGTCGAACCAAACACAGCACGCACTGACGCATTGATATCTAGTACAAGCTGATCCACCTGAAGTCTTTCAACGTAAGCACTGCTATCCATTCATGCGTTCCTTGGCTCACACACACACACACACATGACTTTTTATGATCAGAAAACTTGCATGAGCTCGCTGGCGATCTCGTAAAAAAGGCAAAGGAAATCGATGCATTGATTGAAGTGTTACCAGGCATCAAGAATACAGAAGAGGAGCAGGTATGTGATAGGAAAGAGGGGAGAAAAGACGTTGTTACTGAATATCACGTGATAGATGGAACTTCTCAAGGAATTGGAAGAAAAGAATAAGCAGGCAAATGAAGAATATGAGGCGGCTGTAAGAGAAATGGGTATGTGTAGAATGATGGAAGAGAGAGGGAGAGAGAGAGAGGATTTCATGCTAAAGTTGAATTGGCAGAATCGGTGCAAGCCAAAGTCACTGAAACTTTACGGACCATTGCCGATGATTGGAGTCAATCAGGGGATCAACAAGTAAAAAAAGAATAGAAGAGAGCGGCGTGGCATGGATTATTTGCATTGTATATACACATAAAGATTTGTTTTATCCATTTTATTGCTCGACAAGTATACGTCGTGATGCGTGATCCCTGCATATTGTAAGTAGTACAGAGACGTTGCTGACATCCCAATGCACATATACCCGCAAATTCCCAACACCCAATACATTCGAAGATACCATTTAGAGTTTACCATAGCAATTTAAATTGGATATCAAGTAATACATACATGTAATAATAATAGTACAAGGTGGTATATGAATGGATGAGGAGACGAGAGTGATCCTTGTAATCAGTAATGTGGTGGGTGAAGAAATGCGATTGATGCTGAGGATCATAATCCTTCCTGCTCGGATAATGTGTTGTATGAAGAAGGAGTAGGTTGCTGTTGCTGAAGGAGAGCATCATTGTCATCATTGGAGGGTTGCTGCTGCTGCTGCTGCTCTCGTAGATCATCAAGTTTTTGGTAAAGTAACTCTTGGAAGCGTTGAGAAAACATGGGCGATATGGTCATGAGAAGGCTTTCCATAGTTTCAAAGGGTCGATTAAGGTTGGCAACAACGGATTGTGTAGCCGCTACTGTATCTGATGTGCTGTATAAAGGCGAGTAGGATGTGATCTGGAATCAAAAGATCGAGTGAGCCACTTACACATATGAATACACACCACTACTCGTTACTACCTTGTATCCTTGATCCCCTACTTCGATAACAATCATAACTCCCTCAAGCAGTGTGAGATCGAGACGACCAATGCCTTCCAACTCGTCATGAACAAACACCGTAGCTGATCCAGGCACTATACCTATTATTGCTCATTGTCAATATAGCTGTCATTATAGTCTCACACGCGTTGCCCTCTTCTCCTCACCATAGTCGTAATTGTGGGTAATGGCGTCCAATTCCTCGCTAAGTGTCGGCAATCTCATGTGGTGGAAGGTGGCGTGTTGGGTAAAATGTATAGAATGTGCGCACAACCAACAATAAAGGCTGGCAGCTGGGCTGCTGCTGTTGAAACCAACTTATCTGGTGGGGTTCATGATTGCCTTGTGCGACCCGATTCAAGATTTCTGTTGCAACATGACGCATAAACCACATGTAAACAACCCTGGTAGTGGTAACATGTTGTTGTAGGGTATATACCTGTTATGCATGCCATGCATGATATAGTTGCCATGGCGACCCGGTATCCAATGGCAAAACCCGTTAAGGTTACCAATGATTATTGTTGTTGTGGCATGTTGGCACTATCAATAATGGGCATGCAGCATTCAAAGAAAGTAGCATTGAAGCAAGCACAGACGTGCTGCAACAAGGAAACATCTGTTTTTGTAATCATAGTCGTAGCACTCACTCCCCTCTGTTAGCATTCGACCACCTTACCGCCAAACACCTCCTTGAGAAATCTCCCCCAAAACAATCCACCCCACCCCTTAAAAAATTCACCATTCTCGTATATGCATCCAAGCATTGTAACTCTCACACACACAACATGTCTATATAAAAATGGAATTGGAGTCTCGATCTTGTGACGTATGCGGAAAAAGACTCTTGTCAAGCCTATATGGATAATACGAAGCGTTCGAGAATGAAAGAAAAAAGGGCGTGAGAATGAAAAATAGAATGTTCAGGGTTGTGGATTCATGCTGTACTCCTAGTGTGCCGGTGTAGGTAGGTGGTGGGGGATCTTATGACTTACGCTTGCAGTGCGCCGCATGTATGTCTAAAATGGCGAGTGCGTAACAAAACCAAAACATCCGGTTGTTGCACGATGTCCAACGTAAATGTGTTTGCGGATATACTTTGGGGGTGGGATACCAATGGGTATGTACAAATGACACTATGAAACATAACCCACTCATTGTCGTTTTCCTTCTTGATTGATGACTGAAAGAGGTGTACAGTACCGAGATAATGGATATCATCCACTCGCACATGTTAAGAGCGGAAAAGAAGGAGAAACATTACCATCTTCATTGCTGGGGTCCGATCCTTTTTTTTATTGTCTGTCAATTACAATGATATGGATACGTATAGAATCCATATCCATAACGTGAAGAAGCACATGCTCATCATCCTTTTGGCGGGTGTTTTTAAAGCTAATGCAATATGTAGAAAGATGATGTGTCGCCATACCAAAAACTTGGTCCGTTATCGCGATATGGCAGTGCTCATCATCGTAAGCGTTATCATCATTCATTGCGTCCTAGAATGTTTTATTTTCTATATTGACAAATTTGTTTGGGACCTGAGAGAGCAAGTGGACATGTGTAAATGCGCCCATGTGAGTATGTTAGAAGGCGGGGCAAAAGAGGGGTTAATGCATGTATGTTGTCTTGAGGTATCGATTTACACACACAAACACAGAGTCGCTTTCTTTCTTTCTCTCTCTCTCTCTCTCCTGTGTACTTGTGTGCCAACCCCTTTTAAGTCATTCTCTCCACACAAAAAAAGCCCTTTCTTTTTTGCTTTGGTGCTTACCCCTTTTCTCTTTTACTCACTCTCTTGTTCCACTTTCTCCCTCTTGCTTTCCTTTTCCCGCTTTAGTTTTCTTTATTATTGCTCGTGCGTTGGATCATATATACAGCGTGTGAGAGACCTATACACAGAGCCACTACCTCTCTATCTATCCACTGCTCTTGTTGCCACGCGATAACCAAAAGCCACCTGCACTTTTTATATATCTTCACGAGGACGACAAGACCCACGCGCGACCTATACACACACCAATCAATATTTTCTACGTATACAACCAGCTACTGCATAAACTCACAGTCGTTGACTGGCGTGTTGAACAGTACCTGTAGTCAATAGTTTCCACATTCGAAGTACCATCTTCGCGGTGGTAGCGAGTTACCCTGCCAGAATCCACGTTGCGTGTCAATTTGGAAAACGATCGGTCGTTGCCATGACAGATTTGACAGCCATGACAGCAGCAGCAGCCACAGCCCCACCCATTGCATTAGATCCACAGCAACAAGGAAAAGTGTTATCCGGTAGTCGAGAAGCTGTAAGTTGTTGTCACCAAAAGAGAGAGAGAGAGCACGGACCAAGCAAGGTGTATCTAACAATGCCGCTACTAGATGGAACCACTTTACGAACGGCTATTGGCGAAATCATTCAATGACAGTGCATCCGCTGTTGAGTTTTGCCGATCATTGTGTAGTGAGTTTGGATTCACTGTTAAGCAAGAAGCCAGTGCCAACAAGGTATGTACACTATAAATCATGTTGTGTCATCATCTAAGTGGGTGGTGGGTATCATAGCACATTTACGTGTATTGTTCTCGGGAAGGACTCCCTGATTCACAACGACGACCACGCACATCTCCTCAACGACGTAGACCTTCCAAGCGATGCAATTGTCGATGGCGAGTGGTGTTATCAGAAACGGATAGTGGACAATGGGAATTTAGACGCTTTTTGAACCCCAATGCATCCGAGCACAATCACGAAATGATGTCACCTGATGAAATGATGCATAATTGGCCCAACGAAGTCAATGATCTTATTATCCAATTGGCACAACAACGTATGCAAACAAGTGAGATCCGTGAAACTGTCAAGCAACATTATCCACACATCTCTTGGAATGAACGTCGATTCTACAATCGCCTTACGGAGGAACGTAAACGAATACGACAACGTGACGTGCTTGAAAGGAGTAGACGATTGACCTTGTTATCTGCACAATTATGTTCCATTGTCACTGTGCATGATACATGGGCTATGCATGTGGAATCGGAAATGATGCGCTTGTTTGATCATTATCGACAATTGGCTCGTGTGCAGGATAGTGATACCCTTGTTGATTTGGTCCCTGAAGCCATCCATATTAGCAACAATCCATCCGATGAGCAACAACAACAACAACATGTCAAGAAACGTAGAGTATCAGCATCCTCTTCATCATCCACAACGCCTACACCTCCTCTTAGTACAGCATCTTCGCCACCACAAACGTTCAGGTCCGGTCAACCAGTACATGTGCCTAGCTACACGCTTTATGTGAGACCACAGCCCCATCGTGCATCACCATCCACAGCACGTCATAGCAGTCATCAACAGCAGCAAGCGGATCCTTTGCCCCCTTTGCCACCACAGCAACAACAACAACCACAACAGCAACAGCAATTACAGCAGCGACACCGGCAACAGCAACAACAACAACAACAGCCATTGATTTCATCTCCTGTTGCATCGTCTTCTTCGGGTTCTTCTTTTCAGCAATATCAATCACCTACCATACAACAACAAAATCAGCAACAGGCACCATCTACAAACGATATTTTGCTTGTTCAACAACAACAACAACAAAGAAGCCATCCTCCATCTGCTACGCCCCCTGGTAATACGTATACTTTGGGACCTTATTCAGTGCAACCTTTTGGATTTGATTGGGATCCTACAAGAGCGGTAACGGACGCCAAGCTATTTGGTTATGATGTCCCACTACAGCAGCACCAGCAGATTATTCAATCCACTCATCCGGCAATGATGCCGCATCATCCTACTTCGACTACTACGACGAGTCAAGCAGTATCTACAACCACAACCACAACCGCGCACCACTATCACCATCATCCTATGCCTGACGACACTTCGCAACCACCACAATGGGCTGTATAGTGATTTCAAACACACTGTGGCTCAAACAAGGGAAGGGGTGTTTTCTCTCTACCTATGATGTCGTTTTTCTCTTTTCTTTCTTATTGAATATAGTAGTAGTAGTTGTACAATGTTATTGATTACCTCACACGTTCGCGCGGCGATATACAGATATACGAATCATGAAATTCTCTCTTTTTATTATTATTACTACGAAGATGAAGAAACACAAAAAAAGAAGAGATGAGAATATAAAAAGGCGGAGGGGTATAGTTATATATGTTCTTGAGAGAGAGAGAGAGAGAGCATGTTATATGACGTGTGCAGGGATGAAGGAGGATGGGTGGATATGGATGGATGGATGGATGGATGAAGAAATCAAGCTAATGGCAGCTGGGTAAAAATATCAGCGAGTGGCGGTAAAGAAGTTGTTGTGGATTGTCGTGTGAAAGGTACTGAGGAAGCAGAAGCAGAAGAAGATGTTGCTACAGCAGCCGCTTGTTGTTGATCGCATCGTTCAATTTCCAGCCTGACCCACCTACACAATTCACTTGCAACCAATCCACGCTTGATAGTAAGCCAACCTTCGAGTAAATCCACCAAGAGTGCTCGTTTGACAGGTCGTAAATGTGGGTCCGAGAGCAATTCACATGTCCTTTGTACTGCACATTCAATATGGTTTTCACTCAAGAGCTTGCCTACGAATGCCGCTCCCATCAAATCAAAGCATGCTGATATGCTGTGTAATGTCACGAGTAAGCTCTGTGATATTTGCTGTGTTGTTTTCTTTGTGCTGGATGATGATGTTGAGGACGAGGATCGCCTTGATGCATTGTTGTGATTGAAACTACTGCTGCAGCACAAGATGGATGATTGACAAGCAGGACCAAATACCATGGAATAAATGTGCTCGGCTGAAACGGCACCACCTTTGGATTTATCAGCGATCGCCAATAGCTTATAGCCCGTGTACTCGAGAAAAGCCTTAATGTTATCCGCCAGCGTAAAGGTGATTTCACGACAACAAGCTGGGAATGCCGCATCGAGGCGAGTGAGTAAACGCACCATCATGGCAGCTTGAGCACGGTTGGTGGAACTTGCATGAGTACAAGCTAAACGTACAGGTGCACGCGACACGGCAGCAACAAACACAGCATGATGAAAGACGACATCCACTGCTGAACGAATACGATTGCGAATATCAATGTCTTCAATAAGAACATACTTGTGCTTGTAGGATGAAATGCCTGCAATGATGCGTTGATGTAATCGTTCCTCACGTCGCATCAATTGTTGGAAATGCTTATCCTCCTCTTCCTCCTCTTCCTCTTCCTCATGATGACTTGACTCTTCCTCCATCATGTCACCTCGTCGTTGTTCTCGTCGTTGATGTATATTGATTCTCGTATCAAACACGTGATGATCATCGTCATCGTCATCCAATAGTAATAGACGTTGTGGATTCAATGTTGCTGCTGCTGTTGCTGCTGCATGTTGATGTTGATGATGATGGCGGTGATGATGATGGTTGCTGCTGCTGTTGTTGTTGCTATGGTGATGATGATGATGATGATGATGTATGAAACCAGTCTCATCTGCCATGACTTGATCCTCATCCTCGTCCTCTTGTGGATACATCATGGTTGTTGTTGTTGTAGTAGTAGTAGTAGTCGTACCTTGATCAATGGGGTCATCATCATCATCATCGTCTTCATCTTCCAAGAGATCCATCATGGCGGATGCGGAGAAAGAAGAAGAGGCTGCAGCGGGGTTGGATGAATATGCAAAGGAAGTTGTTGGAGTGGAGACTTTGGTCTGGGTTGTAGACAGCTGACAAGATAGACCTTCCAACGCAATAAGGGCAGCTCGACATTGAATCTTCATGGTCGTCTCTGGTGACAATTCAATCTTCCAACGACGATGAATAGTGTGCACAGCAAAGTAACGGAACGCTCGCGACACCTGTAACAATCGCCATAAGTCACCCAAATCAAGAAACTCTTTCAGAATGTACAGGAGTAACTCATTGGGTAAGCCCATTAAGGCACTGTTGCTATTCACGCACGACGACGACGACTCGTTCAACTGCAACATGGATGTATGCGTGTGTGTGTACAAGACCAGAGTGTATATAGAGATGTTCCTGGCAAGATGTGGATGATAAACGTGCGCTGTTGTAGCAGTCGTTGTAGTAGTAATAGTAGTAATAAAGTATTGCCTTGTAAATACAAGATGTGGTTGGATAAAGAGAAAGGGAGAAAGAAAGAGAGAGAAAGCAAGGAAAAGAAAAAGAGAACAAGCGTTGGGAAAAAGTGAAAAAGAGTACAAGTGTGAATGAGAAAGGGAAAATGATACAAAAGATCGGGGGGCAAGACGAGGGTGGGTGGTCCTTACCTTTCCTCTCCCCCCCCCCTTAATGGTGGATGGCACTTACACACACCACGCTTAACATAACATAGTTACCCCGTTTCATGATTATTATAGTTTCTTGTATCAAACGGATCTCTCTTCTTCAAAACGTTTTGCCACATTGCGGCTACCATAACACAATCACACATCTCTTTCTTTCCTCTTCTCTATGAAGAGCACACACACACCCCATGATCGACGCTGCATTGGATGATGCATTCACTAAAAGTTGGATCTCTTTCATTCTTTATCCTTCTCCATAAATCGAGACGGGGTTATTATATATATGCCACTCATTTTCACACTCTGAGGACTCCACTTTTTCACCCCCATGGGTCTGCACGCTTATGCATCCTACATGTATATGTACTTTTATATATATACGCACACACTGCTCTTGTTCCCGGACCCCATTGCACTCTACTTTTTTACATTCTTGGGGGAGAGAGAGTGAGCCTGAGGCTTTCTTGTCTTGATCCGATGATAATGCAGTGATTTCCCATATTCAAGGACCGGTCAAGGTATCCCGCCCGATAAATATCAACATTCGCATATGATTTCGTCGTTCAATTGGCCGTGAATAATATAGCCCGCCTTCTTACTCTCTCCCCCCCCCCTGATTGTGAAATCTTATCTAGAAGGTGGTCCATCGTTAACAAAAAATGTCAACCTATCAAGATCTCGACTGACAGCATTTTCACTTTTGCAACATGCAGCACAAATTAAAAATACATTGCTTGCACACACATCCATCCATCCATCGTATGTCAGAAATTGACGGGTGTGAGTTCATGGAGTTTGTGGATGTGGCACCATTCAACAGCCCACTTGTGTAACACATGCTGCCCATGGGACATTGGTCACCATCATCATGGGTAGCATAGTCAATTCGATACACATACTTGGGCAATCACCCATTATAGTATATACATGCTCTCTTGCTATGCTTTGATAGCATACATGATGGAATGGTACGCACGCATGATGCAATGCAGCTAAATGCTGTTGCTGTGTGTGTGTGTGTGTGGTCGATGATGTGAGTAGGGAGGCATATCGTACGTAGTTGTCGAAAAGTGGAGTCCCACGCACACGCATGTAAGTATTATCCATTTGGTTTGTTTGGGGCACTCGTGTCAAACTTTATATACATCGACCCATCTTTATCCTCCTTGTCAACCATCAACGATAGTATTATTATAGATGTTCATAATACAGGAGATGTAAAAAGGGGATAATGAAGAAGAGGGGAAGGGAAATAATATTAAAGTTTTCTTTTTGATATGCACACGTTGTCTGTGGATGTTGTTGATGATGATGATGATGATGATGGATGATGGATGGGTGGGTCTGATTGGGGAAGGGAGAGTATAAGTAGTGCCCACGGCCATGTGTTACGTAGTTGTGATTGGGTAAGACCTGCATGAACGAATCGCAACTGGGATATGGCAGGTTCCCGCGACACTTTCATTTTCTACTCCATCCTCCTTTTTTCGTACTCACTCACACACTTACAAACGTACACACGTTCTTTCTCTCTTTCCCTCTCTCTCTCTCTCTCTTTTATCTTCTCTCTCAACTCACTCACTCACCCTCTTGTGATCACCACCAACCCGGGATCAATGGACTACATGCCACACATTGCTTACAATTCTCACTCTCCATTGGCTGATCCACGTCTACACCAGCACCGTACGTTGTTCTTTTTATTGACATGATGGATTTCCACTCATGGATATCAATAGGTAACAACAATGGCTTGTCATTCGAATCGCAAGAGTATGATCAAAAGATGGCTAGTATCATCAATGCTACCATGGAGCAGGTAAATAACATACATCATCGTTGCTGCAGGATACTTATTATAGTATTCTTTGTAGGGCTTCAAGGGGGATCTCAACCATGTTGATCATTGGTTTCGATTACTGAGTGATACAGAGCAATTGGCTGCTGTCTACACGCTACTTCAACACATGTCAAAGGACAATGCACGATTCTTCACAAAGGTCTTGAAGCAAATGTCGGGTGATTTTGAATCATCATCCCCTGCAGGTAATACTCTTTCATTATAGACACAAAAGACAATGAATTCATTTCATTCAACGCTTATAGGATATCTTCAACATCAACAACAAGCATTCGCATCAAGGAGATTGAGTCATCCAGTAGCAGCATTTTCTACCACTACTACTAATATCAACAACAACAACAAACTTGGAAACGATGTACTTGGTGATCATCGACTTTACCATCCTCTCATGTCGTCGGACCTCTTTGGTGGATCCTCAATCATCCCCCCTTCTTCTTCTACAACTACAACAACTAATAATGGCCGTCCCCGATCTGTGATTGAAGGCAGCGGCTATCTTTTACGAGGAGGAAGTACTGCTTGGGGAGGAGGAGGTGATCTTGGAATACAACCATCCATTGCTGCTGCAGGTTCAGCATCCATGTCATCCTCATCATCAGGTGCCCGATCCTCTGTGGGAAGTATTGGCGATCGCAGACCACGACCTCAATCAGTTGATATTTCTGCTTGGACAAAACGTCCCGATTTGACATTAGCCATGGGAGGTCGAGATGAAAAGAAGAATACAAAGTCGTCTCATTCACCCTTGCCATCATCATCATCATTGGATAAGAATCATGACGCATCATCAACTTCATCATCGTCTTCTTCAAGTCAACGTGGTGGTGGTGGTGGTGGTGGATCATCAACAACATCAGCGTCCAATAGCGTAACATCCAGCAACAACAACAAGAAACCAGCCGAGCCATCGACAATTGACTTGAAAGAATTGGAAGGTACATAAGGATGAGATAGCATCATGAAAGCAAAGGGTGAATGATCATTGACATTATTATTGTATGTAGACATCCCAGGCTGGTTTAGGCGTTTACGTTTACACAAGTACACAAGTTTATTTGAAAAGCTCGACTGGAAGGAAATTGTGAAGATGGATGATGCCCAATTGGAAGCGAGAGGTGTTGCTGCATTAGGAGCTCGGCGGAAAATGCTTAAAACGTTTGAAAGGGTCCGTGCACATTGCGATGCAAAGGTAAGAAAAGGAAGGTTTATCATCCATGATGAGGAGAAGGAGTGCTCACATGCTTCTTTATAGGACATTGAATACTGACATGGTTGCCATCTGGATATAACATAGCCCTTCTTATTGTGAAGATTCTGTCATCTATACTAGTATTATACGCACCAAGAATAAAGCAAAACAACGAGACGTAAAAAGTCGGTGATACATAGGCATATCTATTTGGACCAGGATTATACGGTGGCTGATGCTGTGGCCAATGTGGCGACATTGAATGCAAACAAGTGAGAGTAGCTGATGTGTGCTGCCTGTTCGGATGGTTAGGATGGATATGGGGATATTAGCATAGGCTTATACTCGCATAGGGTGCATACCAATTGTAAAACAAACCATGGTATTTCTTTTTGTTTGTCGCATGGCCGGATTGATGCATGGAAATACGGGATGATCCTTTATTCCTCAACAGCAGCAGCAGTGCAGGTCCTCGCATCGAGAATAGTAGAGAGCCATTACGTAGCCACCAAAACCAATTGCTCTCTTACATAGATAAAGCATCCTTCAGTAGATGGATTGGTAAGATGAAACATGACTTAGCTTTTACATTTCGTCAGTGTCAAAAGTTGCAGCATAATGATGGACGTCATGCCTTACGGACCAATGTGGGACACCACATGCCATAGCAAACTTACATGCAAAGGCGGGTAAAAAGTACAAAGATGTAATAGCGCCTGTGTGGATGCAGGCTTATAGACCGCATGCAGCAGCAACAAGTATAATCACTAGAAACAAGATGATTCTTTTAATTGCAAGTATATACAACAAGAGAAAGGTCCAGATGTCGTCGTGTGGAAAATGATACCGCCATTGATGCCGTAACGATCTAGCCATAATGACGACGTATCGAGGGATGATGATGGAATATCACAAATACCGTTTAGATAAGAAGAAAAGAAAAAAAAAACCCAGCATGGATACCGTATCCATGGCAAACGCAGGCATAGATGACAAGTGGTGGTGATCATGCATAAAAGAATAAAGATGGCTACTGCTGATCGACGTGTATGTAGTATGTATATCCAAGTGCAAAACGGCCATCATGTTGGTATATAGAGGTCCCTGCATGAAGAGGTCAAGGCGAATGACCCATCCTGTGCCAGACCTTTCGATTGTTTCCATGAATTAAGCGTTTATGCATTACCCATGATGTTAGTTGCACCATGTTAGGAATACGACTGCTTTTTCCACCAGGATACATAGGCGTGGAACCTCGCCATTTCATGTACAAGCGCGATTTATTCCTTGTTGTGATGCGAGCACATTTCATGCATTGCATATGCCGGATAAAGCACCTTCACCCACTGTTGTTGTGTTGTCGTGTTTCATGCATGTGGATATACTACGCGCGTGTGTATATAAAAGATGATCGTGGCTCGTGCTCGTGATCGTTATCTTTCTCCTCCTTTTTTTCACTCCTTTCCTCTTTTACATGCTTCAATTTCTCCATTCTCGTCATGTGCACAATATGCGTGTCAGGGCAAGGCGACAACAACGGTACCTTCAACAATGCAGTGCAGCAGCAACAACAGCAACTTCATTGACCCAACAAGAGGAGGACGAGGACGAGAATGAAAAGAGGATAATAGAAGATGAAGAGGACGAGGAGGAGGATACATCCTATCGCCGTGTCACTTTTTCGCGTGTGGTCATCATCAACAATCCCACCACATTTTTGATTGTCAAGGACGATCATTCCAATGGTTCCAGTCTCGGTCGGCGTCCGAGTAGGCAAAAAATTGATGAATGGTTACGTCAAGCTGCAGGAGGAGCAAATAGTTGTTGTTGCCCATAGCAACGATCCATTCTAATGTAGCAACCCCTCCTCGTTCTAAAAATCGGCAACTTGTTGTAATACACGCTGAGCGTTTATTGTCTTGTAACATAACATTCATAATAAACCAGGTCATTTGATTCCTCCTTGCTAGGATCTGCAATGACAAAATGATACAGTCATATATGTAATTGAATAACCTTCAATGACATGTGCCATCAATTCGAGTATGCAGAAGATTGCGTCTTGCATGCACCTACATCCGCCACGATGCATATGAAACAGGACCATATACAATCATTGCATCCATCATTTTGGGGGAATAATGGGTCAAAGAGTTGAAAGCAAGCAATTCCCTTTATTGTACCTTACAACAACAACAACAACACATCCATCACATCTCTAATACGTCTCACGTTTATTGGTACGTTGAAGCATAAGCCATACAGTGTATCATCTTCTCGAATCACGGGATCGCCTTCTGTTGCCGGATCTATCATCTGGGGAATATCGCCTTTTCCTGGAACTCGAATATCTTTCTCTTGAACGTGATCGCTTTCTAGATCTTTTTGAATCTCGAGAACGGGAGCGTTGTCGTCTATGAGAGGATGATTTTTTGCGAGGCGAATAAGACCTGGATCTGGATCGATGTCGTTTATCAGATGATGACTTTTTGGAAGGTAGTGGTGAAGGTGAGCGTGATCCTGATGAAGATGAGCTAGGCGAATAATATCGACGTGCTGTCGTTTTGGGAGTGGTGGAACTACTTGATTCACGTTCATGTTGAGCGCTCGCTGAATCTTTTTTGTAAGTGCTTCTGATCTTATCCAGTTGTTGCTCACGCTCACGCCATCGCTTTTCCCGTTCCTCAGAATGAACTAAACGCACTCGTAAGATAATGCAATGGATCATGACAAGTATACTCACTTTGCTTTTCAAGGCCTTGACGCATCTTGAGTTTCAGCTTTTCCATTGGTGTCAACTTTTTGGGAGGCTCACTCTTTGTCGTTGACCTGCTATAATAATAATGTTGCTGTGATTAGCTAAGGGATACCAAAAGTAGATTACGTGCCTACCTATTACTTGCTGTAGATGATGTTCCTGTAACCCGCTTTGGCTTGTCAACATCCACTTCATGCTTCTCGGAAGGCGCCGAGCTGAATTCAATCACCACGTCTGATTGCACGGGATTCTCCTCAACAGATGCATCGCTATCAGAGCTCTCATCCCGCGTATCCTTGCTGCGATAATATCGATCATCGTGTCTACTACTACCATGATTTGATGAATATAAAGCAACTATAATAAGTTCCTCGATGATCTTACCTAGGGCTATCTCGATCCGATCGATATCGCCTTCTCTCCCTGGATGCATCACGTGATCGTCGACCACCGCGTTCTTTCGACTTGCCCTTTTAACCCAACACGTGTGAGACACAACCATCATCCAAGTCGCGATTCTCCAATCCTACTCCTGTACCTGCTTTGCTTGTAATTCCCGCAATTCATCATCACGATCCTTCTTGGCCATGCGCAAGAGTCGACCATAGTTTTGGATACCATATTTTTCAGCCATATCATTTAAGATCCTTCTATCCTTGTCGGTCAAGTCATCAACGTATTGCAAGATATCGGCCTGTAAACATTTCAGTCAAGGTGGTTGATATTTCAAAAGTCGCACATGGATCGTTGATTGAATGAGAAAAAAGGATATCTTTCAATAGCTGTGATTCTTGCTCATGATCCATATTCTCGTTTGAGTCATTTGTGCCATAGTCAAAGGTGTGAAAGCTCTGAGACTTTGATCTATACAATGTTTACAATTAGCATGAAATGGATAAAAATAGCCATAGCAACGCTTACCTGCCGCTGTTGTTTAGCATAGCCAACAAGGCCTTGTGTCGATCCAGTAATTTGGTCCACTCGGTTTCCACTTCAATGAGACGTTGCTTCTCTTCCACTAAAAGTGACATCAGCGCAATGTATGATAAATCCATCCTTAGGGCATGCACTATATACCTTGCAGCCGTTCCATCTCCACCAAATCATGATATCGTTCAAAGTTGAGCTCGTCCTGAATATCCTTATCTTGCTTTGTTGCAAACTCTTGCTTGGTATAGGGACCAGGGATGTAATCAAGTAGTGAACGACCATCAAACCTGCATAAACAAAAAAGCGTCATTGAATAGGTAGGCCTGGTGTAATGTAATACACGTTTTTGTTGCATACCGATCAATCCTAATGTCGGGATCCACAGGCCATGGCATCCTAGATACCGGGATTCTTGTTGGTAAAGTGCATGATGATGATGATCCTCCATCCATCCAATGACTTACAAATTATCAGTGTTCTCGTGATAGTAATACTGCTCTGCATCAGGATATAGCTTGCAAGATGAGCCAATAACACGTAGTAGTTGCCGTGGATCCCCCAGCTATTATCAACAAGCACATTCGGATAGGCGTCAATGGAAGTGTACGTCGTGTAGGATACTCGTTGCTGTGTGTGTGTATGCTTTTCTCCCTCTCTCGCTCTCACTGCGTGGAATTTACCCGCGACTCATAATATGCGCGTCGTCGTTCAGCACGCTTCTTGTGATCCACCATCAATTCCTTGATCTTCAATACAACAAGTACAATAAGCTATCAAGCAGAGGGGAGGCTCCATGAAGGAAATGTCTTTTGAACAAGTACCCGTTTTTCATTTGCTCTTGCTTCATGCCACATGGTTTGCCAATAGAGAAGTAAGGTTTTCCGACGTGGCCAATAAGGTGAGATAAAAGCTGGTTGAAAGTTAAAGAAAGAGAGACCCTTTCTTCCTTTTGGATATCTAATTTTCTATTACCGCACGCACGCACGCAGTATGCCATCGTCCCCCATCTACCAAGCGGTTCCCATTCAAGAGAATGAGCCTCAGGCACGAACATCCCGGTCTCTACTTGCTACTGTCATGCTGACAATCTGTGTGGTTTCCTTTGTTCTTCAAACAGAGCTAGCACAGTATGTCCAACGAACCACCAACTATCAAAAGCCTTATTTCATTCTGTAAGTATTCTCTTTCCACACACCTCTTTATCCTTTACCCTCCCCCCCCTTTATTATCACTCTCTTTTATTGATGGGTTGTGGGGGTGTGTGATTTCGAAACAATGTATACTTTATATTGGAGGATAGATGGGTCGGTCACTGTGGATACATCTTTATGGGAGTCTTGCAGCTGGTAGCCGAATGTATTGCTCGACGACACATGCCACACAAGAACATCGTGCATTTGATCCGACTGACAATCAAAGAATGTAAACAAGAGGTCATTGAATCAGCTGCTTCCTTGGAACCACGCCCACGACGATGGATCTATCGCATCATTGCCATCACTATCCTACTCACCCTGCCAGCCTACTTGTGGTTTGTAAGCGTCAACCTGACAACCATGTCCACCCTCACCGCCATTTACAACACCGGGTGTTTCTTTGCCTATCTATTCTCCATCATCATACTCGGGGACCCCATCATGAGATCAAAGGTCATGGCCGTATTGTTATGCATCATCGGTGTCGGCATTATGGCGTTTTGGGCCGACGACAATGACAATGATAATGGTGACGACAAGTCGGGTATTATGGGTCTACTTGGTATTCTTGTTGCTACAACATGTGCTGCCACCTATGGATTTTACGAGGTGTTTTACAAAAAGATTGCTTCTCCTCCTCAGCCCTCTGTTCTTTTTGCCAACGTGGTTACCACCGGCATCGGATTGGCGACATTGTTGTTGCTATGGATACCGATCCCATTGTTGCACTGGACCGGATATGAAACATTTCAAATGCCTGATCCCGCTACTTTTGGCTATATTTTGTGCGTCGGCTCCATGAGTGTCATTTACAACGCCACCTTCATGTGTGTCATTTCCTTGGCCAACCCCGTATTTGCTGCCGTGGGTGTCATGCTCACGGTCCCTGCTGTTGCTATTGTTGATGTCCTGGTGACTGGTGTCATGATCCCCACAGCTACCATTGTTGGAAGTATTCTTATCTTAGTCGGTTTCTATATCCTTAATCGTGACATGAAGGAGAACAATGATGATGATCAATAAAGTATCTATGCCCATCAACCCAATATGTATACATCGAGAGATTGAAAACCAAACACAAGCCAAGACATGCTCTTTTTGCACTTTTTTTATTGTTTTTGCTTTGTCTTTAATAAAAGAAACCAAGGATCTTGCCACCAGCATGCTTGCGACGAGCTTCCTCGTGATCCATAATGCCAGCAGAGGTGGTCAAAACAAGATAACCAAATTGACGGGAGGGAAGCAAGTTGGAGGTCCACTTTTCAAGATCCTGCAACTTGATGTTGAAGCGGGGGGAGATAACACCGCACTTGTTCAAACGGCCGTTCAATTGGATGACAATCTTGCCAGAGCGATGATCATCAATTTCCTCAAACTCGCCAATATAACCTTCATAAAGAATGTTAGAGATACACATGTCATGATTAAAATTTCTTTCTCTAAGCTTACCATGCTTCTGCATAACCGACAAAAACTTGACAATGACCTTGGAAGAGGGGCGGATCATCACTTGGCGCTTACCACGGCGCTCGGCATTGTTGATGGCATTCAAGCAGTCGTTCAAAACGGAAACACGGACCATGGCTTATAACTGTAAAGGGGAGGAAAAGGGGGAAAATTAGCACGTACGCTTAAATGAGTGTCGTCTTCCTTTTTGGAAGCGATTCATAAAAGCATCGCTGCTGCGTCTCAAGCAAGTGGCATCCATCCTTGTGATGGATGCTTTGCAAGTGACTCAAGAGGATGATGGATGGATGGATGGATGGATGAACAACATACCGTTTGTGTGGATGAAAAGAAAGAGAAGGAAAAACTTCCATCACCCACATCCCTCCGCTTCTACAAATTTTCGGAGGATGGCGAATAAGCAAGCTCAGCACGTTGTGTCACACATGCACCTTCTAGCACAAATCCTTAAATTCAATGATTGCTTTTCATGTTGGTGACTAGTTTATATGACCAAATGGATCATAAAGCCGTATTTTGTTTCTTATGATCCAGCTGATAATGATGATTGATATACATCAGGGGGGAGACTATAGGGGTGTTGGGTAAACCAAAGCCAAAATAAGCTTCCAACGCAGCATCTTTGTGCGAGAAGCTTCTATTGCATAAACAACAATGAACGCAAACAACAATGAAAGCGTAAATCATCACATGGGTGGCCAAAAGTTGGATCATTGGGGTATAGTAGTAGGCAGCTCGAGCTTCTCACAGTCAAAAAACCATATCACTTAAAAGCATCTGTATATGATCCCCACCAATGAAATGATGCTTCTCTTTTCTATAGGTCAATCTATCACATGGATCATGGTTATAAGCGTTGTAGGCAAATGTTACATGTCTCTTTTTAGAGGGAACCACCAATGCTACTTAAAGTAGTTTAGCGGATGTTCTTTCTTCTCAGGCAAGTTCTTCTCATTTTCCTTCACTGGCAATACCATGCGCACATGTTGATTTTCTGATACACAATGACTTGTTCTCCTTCTTTCCGCAAACACGCTCCTTGATGCCATAATAAAGTACCAAAAACTAGTTTACTGCAGCTACACATGGATGGATCACCTTCCTTGTATGTAGGATAGTTACACAGGATTCGTATCTTGATCATCGACAGCTGCCGATCACTTGTAGGTCCGTATGGATCCAAAATCAAGAATTTCAATTATAGGATAGGCATCCAGCAGCATGTATACGTAATCCAAGGAATAGTAATTGATCAACAACATGCCCCATAAACCTCAAATTGCGTCGCGTAGTTTATTGTTGTTTGCGTGTGATGGTGTTATAAGGTTGGCACTAGTCGTCATCACATTCTTAGTTTTACCTCGTGTGCTTATGCCTATGGCGAGCATAAACACCATCATCTACCCAACAAATATGATGTCTCATCCCATGTTGTTATTAAATCAAGCATCTCAGAATGTCTAAAGACCACAACATGTGGTTTTACCTTTGCCGTACATGTCAATGTTTTTGACCTGGTGTGCGAAAAATAAGAACGGCACATGATAATGACCGCCATCCTTGTCAGTGGTTGCAATTCCCCCATGTTCCCAATTAAGCCGGATATAGATAAGCCCAACGAAAGATGCCAACAAGGAAAGGAAAGCGATTCATGGATCGAATGTAAACAAAGGAGTGGAATGTGCTGTGAGTGCCAAGCCTATGTATCGCATGTTGCATGGATATAAGAAATCAAAAGGCAATAACTTATCGACCGGCCACGATCCGACTGGACTAGCAACTCGATATTGTGCAACGAGGGACATGGGGCGCTTTGACAGCAAAAAGTGGGAGAGAGCGAGAATAAGATAATAGAACGGATTCTTTGCCGACCCAAAGGTCTGGCCCGCATTTTCCCCACAAAGCACAAACAATTACGGCTCCTTTTTGGTTTTCCCGGATTGGTGCTCTATTCCTCCCACCCACCCCCCCTTGTTGCAGTGATCGCATTTATTTACGACAGCCGGCAATCAATCGATGGACATCATCAAGAATAAGCATTCCGTGGGTAAAAACATGTGATAGTAAAGCATGCTCTTTAACATTCTTTGTTTACTGTTTGAGCGCGCAGCATGCTTTCGACATATGCATTATCCGAGCAATGGTATCCAATCGAAATCTGTGAGAACAAGGAGAAACCCCATCTAGTGGGTTAAACATAGACTTTATTGCATGCATAGTTTTGCGTTCTTTTTTCTCCACCTCTTTGTTATTATCGATCAAAGAATAGCCTAAAAGTGAGCTAGCATTGTCAAAACGACGACATGTCATAGGAGTTTGGTGCAACATGCAACATCAGTGGGGGATCCTATCAGCCACAACGACAAGTGCAGTTCCCAACATTGCAAAGACCCGACATGACCAATTGCTGGATACATACGCGTATCGCTTTTGTGCCACAACGAATAGTAAATGTTCATTGGGAATCGAATTTCCCATTCTTGGGTATAAGCCCCATCATCCTGGAACCGCCTCACTTTTTTTTCCTCTTAAAATGACGACGATGCATCATTTATCTCTGCAACTCCCTTTCCCTTTCATCCTTCTCAATGTCTTCTAATACAACAACCACTGCTACCACTGCTACCCGAAACACTAGTGGGAAAAAGCCCATTGAATACTATTTTGTTGATATGGCCAGCCCTGATCGCTTTAGTAAGCTCAAGGTCTCGCAAGCATGCGACTTTTGTCGTCGACGCAAATCAAAGTAAATCATCCTTGTACACGTGAAACAGGACATGCTATTGACACTTTGTCTCATTTTTGGTACATGATAAGGTGTGATGTCGGTATTCCAGGATCACGGTCATGCTCCAATTGTCGCAAGGCTGGTGTTGTATGCATCTTTGCCAAACATCGTCCACATGGAGCAACAACACCATCACCCAAGATGAAAGCTGTGCCACCAGGAAAAGCATCATTCGTCTTCAAAAGCAAAAAAAGTAAACGTCAGCGAGTCTTGGTCATGACAAGTACTACTTCATCAACACCAACACAAGTACAAGCACCAGCAGCTGTCAATGATGAAGGCAAATCAAGTCCATCGTATCAAAATCTGGTGCAATGGATATATGGAGTATTCCCACCTCTTGATGTAAATAACACATGCACCGCCACGACATATCCAAACAGCATGTCTTCATTTGTATACAGCAGCCATCCACAGCAATCCCTGGAAGATTTGGAACACGAGTTGCTTGATGTTTATTTTTGTGACATTCATCCCTTTTTCCCTATTCTTGATGACCACCACCTCCACCAAGGACACATGAGTCATTTATTACGCTGTGCGTTGTTAGCTCTTTCGTGTGCTGTTGCACGACCCACTATGTTGACATTAGCATCATCCTATGCTGATCAAGCGAATGAGCAGCTTGAACGATCACCAGCCAATATCGATACAATCCAAGTGCTGCTTATTCTTTACAAGTACCAAGAAGTCATCGCCGGCGGCTTATCGCCTCTCGAGTACAGCACACCTTCCTATCTTGATCGAGCCAGGGATATGCATAATCGGCTATGGGCTCTCAACGTGCATGATCCAGCAGTTCACAGGATACGATCTATGCTCTATTTGATTGCTTTTTGGTCTGGACTAATAGAGCAAAGAAGCACGTGGATCAAATGGTGCAGTGACTGTGAAGGCGCTTTGGAACACTTTTCGTCTGGACATGGTGGTTTGGATGCATTGGTACAAATCACCACACGCTATCGTAATGGCTCCTCCTTTAATCATGATGACCCTCATCACCCTCATCACCACCATTATTATTATACCCGTACAACATCACCACCACCACCAGCAGAAACAGCCCTTGATGGAAGCGTCTTTGAGATCTATTGGAGTGTGATCCACGATATGACATTCTTATCATCACACAACATTTATGCAGCAGAACGCATTGAGCAGCACGTAAGCCATTTGCTGGGTACTGTTACACACCACGCTTGCATTCTTGGCAGCCATATGCTTGTTCATGCACTTAAGCTTGCACTGCATACGTACCTTTGTTATTATGCTACAGCCACGAGCTCACTCCCTACTTCATTGGCCGCCACCACAACCACCACCCATGATGATGCTCGTGACGATATTGCTGTTTGGACACACGCACGTTTGACACAACTATCGCAACTTTTTCATGAGCTTGGTGCTCAACCAGAGATAGGCATCAGCATACAACAGCTCATCCATATGCTTTGTGATGGTCATTTGTAGCAATGAAATCCATAGTAATGATGATGATCTTGTCTCTGTTTATAAAAGAACATGAAAATGATTGGCGCCATGTGAGTACAAATGTTGATAAGTGATATAAAAAAAGATCAACAAGAGTATACTGCTTGCTGCTAGTATTGCTTCGGATGATTGTTTATTGCAAGTGAGTATTTGAATCACGGATTCAAGAAGGATTTGGTTGACCCGGTCAAGATCCACACCTCGATCGTGGCAATCATAAATAAAGGAAGAAGATGGAAAGGAAAAAATCTTCCTATTTGAAAACGTGCATGAAGGAAGGGTTGCAGTGCATATTCCGCGGGCACAATGGGGTTTAATCATGATCGATTTTGGCCAGGATAGTTGACAGACTCTCGTGTGAGTGGATGTGCATATTGGTTGGTGGGAGGGGGATGGCCATCATTCTCACCAACCATACGTCGCGTTCGCTTAGGCATCATAAAACACAAACAAGTGCACATACATACATACATACGCTGTATGTACGCATCATCAAAACACACACACACACACATAGACACACACGCACGCATACGCACATACACATTCCTTTGTCTAGCGTATGTGCCATTGTGGATGATACTGCTACCATCCTAGCGTTTTGCTCTTTTCTTTTTTTTCGCGCCAAAGTTGGTTTGCTTAATTATCCGAGAGTGGTTGACCCCAACATCCTTTCGTCATTGTTGGTCCTTTCATATCTTACTCGTTCTCCTCTTTTTACACAATCGCACACTCTCTTCCTTTACTTCATTTTTGCTTTTATTGTAACTTGTTCCCCCTTTTTTTCCGCATTGTGTGTGTGTCTGTGCTATGCCATCATTTAATCCATCATCTCCTGCACCACAACGTCGAATCATTGTAAAGCCCCAATCACCCGGCAAACATCACATCCCTCCTCCAAACCTCAGTCCTCTCCTTTCACCAGGCACAGGTCGACGACGAAAAGACATCGGCGATTATTGGCTTGGAAAGACCTTGGGCAAAGGTTCTTCAGGTACCGTGTTTGGGAACATTTTCATTCATTCAACCTCTTTTCATTCCCGCCCCCAACACACACGCACCCGTCTTTATTCATTGCTGCTCATGCGTGCCATCAACTACAGGTCGTGTCAAACTTGGCATACACAAGGTCTCGGGTGAAAAGGTTGCCATCAAGATCATATCCAAATCACACCTTGCCACCAATGCTTCTGTCGAACGTGCTGTCAAACGAGAGATCGCCATTATGAAACTCATTCACCACCCGAACATCATGAGCTTACTCGACGTGATTGACCTCTCGGATTCACCCAATCTGTAAGCACCATGTCAGCACCCTATATACACGAGCGTACCCGTCAGCTTTCGTATCTCATTGATGCCTATTAGATACTTGATCCTGGAGTATGTGCAGGGCGGAGAATTATTCGACTATCTTGTTTCCCAGGGACGACTCTCTGAACCCGAGGCTCGCAAATACTTTCAACAAATCATCTTTGGTTTGGATTATTGTCATCGTCATTTGATATGGTATGTGTTGCATGGCATTGCGTGTGTGTGTGTGTGTGTGTGTTGTCATGGAAATGAGGGTTGGGTGGATACAGCAGATAACACATTCAAGGATAGTCATCGTGATCTCAAGCCTGAGAACTTGCTATTGGACAAGGACAAGAATATCAAGATTGCTGATTTTGGAATGGCTTCGTTACAGCCTGCAGGATCATTGTTAGAGACAAGTTGCGGGTAATTGGATATCGTGTGTTGTGTGTGTGCGTTGTAATAGGATGATGATATTGACAACCTCGTCGGCGTAACATTCTAGATCCCCGCATTATGCAAGCCCAGAGATCGTTAATGTAAGCAGCATGAATTTGTGTGTAACCAACCCAATGTGCATTGACCACCACCACTATCATTCTAGGGCGTACCTTACAATGGCTCAGCATCTGATATTTGGTCCTGTGGTATCATCTTGTACGCATTGCTTTGTGGACATTTGCCATTTGATGACGACAACATTCGAGAATTGCTCAACAAGGTCAAGATTGGGAAATACAAAATGCCAGACTACGTATCCAGTGGAGCTCGTGATCTTATCCAAAAGATCCTCGTCATTCATCCAGAGAAAAGGTTAACGGTAAGTACAATGTGAGAGTGGGTGGTACATCGGGTCACGTTGCTGATAAAGGGGATGTGTTTTTTCTAGATGAAACAAGTACAACAGCATCCTTGGTTTACTGCTGATCCACCTATCAATCCATCCATTTTACCTGATCCTCCCACGGCATCTGAGATTGGCCGACCCGTGTCGGATGCTTCCGAAATTGATGATCGATTACTGGAAACTCTCAAGGTGTTATGGACTGATTTAAGCTCTGAAGAGGTTCTCAAGGCACTTTTGAATGAGGAGTATGTATCATGTGGTTGTGTGTGTGTGTGTGGCATTGCCAGCCATTGACTTTTATTTTAGGTACAACATGCAAAAGGTCACCTATGTGTTATTACAACGACATGCAAACAATTATTGGCAAACTGAACGAGATGATGATATAAGGACGGGTAAGGGCAAGAAGGAATCATGTAAATGTGTATTACTATTATTAATACACATACATCATGTAGCTGAATCACCTGCCAAACGAAGACGACCAGCAACTATTTGCAGTGCGGCTACCACGACCACTACATCTGCTCGTGACTCACTCCCTGGCATTGATGGGATGATGCATCAAATTGCCGGAAAAGAGCGCAACGTTGGGGATGTTGATTTACCTCCGCCAGTACCTCCCAAGCCCATTGTCATCCGAGCTGACCTTATTTACAATCAAGCATGTGCGGATGCATCTGCCAATCTTAAATCGCCTCGACCACCACATCACAGCCCTATGCGACAACCACAACAACACCGTATCTGGTATAAACATAATCAACAAGCGTGTGAAATAAAGGTAACTAATCGAAATCCTTTTATTCATTTAGGCGTCAACCAGTGCCAACATTCTCGCCATCGCCACAACGACGACCTATCTTTAACCCTCCACCATCAGCACAACAACAAACGGAGACACAACAACAAGAACATGCTCCTGCAGTATACCCACCACATCAATGTTGTCAGCATCATCATCAGCCATCTATATTTAATCCTCCTCAACCTCCTTCTACTCCCCAACAACAACAGCAACATCTCAATATCGCTCATATGCTCTCTCCTCGAACACCAACACGTCCTTTCCTTGTACAGCCAACAACAGCATCAAGTCATCATCAACATTATCATTATCCAAATCAATTCCAATCACCTTCCCAATCCACACGTTACACATCAACTACCAACACCACTACAACTGCTGCAACAAGTGATCATGTATCAGCTCATAGCTCCAGCAGTAGCAGCAGCAACAATAACAACAACAATAGTAATGGGGGAGAATCATCCAAATTGAATCGGATCATGCATCTATGGCAACGGAATAAGGTTGAACCTGTCACTGCTGCCACCAATATGAAAGCACCCAACAAAGGAAGTCATCGCTTATCCATGCCTGCACCCATCGTTCAACCTCCTCATCCACAACCCCATTCACCGTTCCATCATCGCCATCATTTTCATCAGCCGCAACAGCATGATGTGGATCCCACCACTGGAAGAGCAGCATTAGTAACAGGGACCACAACAGCAGCATCCCCCATGTTGACATCCGCGTCACGTGTCACAACCACTCCTCGGCAACAAGGAAGCCCACGGCTATCGTCTTGGTTACCTGGTCTCTTCCATTTCAAGCAACCCAAAGTATGTTCGATTGATTGTGCTGCGAGAGATGAACGAGAGGCTATTGGAAAAATCAAACAAGTGCTTGAAGAGGTACGTAGATACCCCCATACCCATCGGATTACGATGATGACTAATATCCTACATGAATAGTGCTTGGATGGAACCATTACCGAACGACAGGATTCTGAAGGCAACATGAGGAGAAAGGGTGAAATGGTGCTTCCGGGTAATGGTAAGTACTCTCTCGTCCTCCTGCCATCATCCATTTCCTCACCACCATGCTCGCTTTTATAGAAACAACCACCAAAGCAATACTCTTACGATTCAAGGTAGAGGTGCAACTACCAAGTTCAAGTAGACTACGCATGGTTCGGGTGAACTTCATCCAACAACAAGGTATATAGGAGGAGAAAAAGGATGCTAGGATTCGCTCATCACTCACGGCTTTGTACAATAATAGGCGATGCAGTAGCACTCATGACCGCTGTGCGGATGGTGCAACGCACGTTAGAACTCTATGAACATGAAGCAAATCTTATTGCCACCGCAAATGGATGGATCCCACAATCATCTTTTAGCTAGAATCCTATCCAGCGCGAACCGATCCTTAAGCAACAACAACAAAACATTTCTTATATATTATATTGGCACTAGTACATTCCACAATTGAAAGAGAGAAAATATAAATGTATTTAAGCGCGACAATAGACACAACAAACAATCAACATCTATGATGTAGCGTGCATACTTGAAGAATGTTTGATGATCGATATATTGAGAAAGCGATGGTGGTGGTGGTGGTGGATGATTATGTTTTAGCGATTTCATTCGGCAAGTCGAGATAACTGTACAAGAAGGGTGTGGTATTGCTGTAAGGTGGATGAAATGTTCTAATCTATCATTTGCTGGATTCGGTTGCGTGTAATTCAGTGTGCGAACGCTGATGGTGATCCGTGCCTGTTGACCTTGCATCATCCATTTCCACTTCACTGTCACTCTCAAGCACCGGTAAATAGGTAATCTCTTCCTCCTGATCATCCAAGCCTTCATCCTCAGAGTCCACAAACGCTTGAACATCCTCACACGTTGTAATGTCAACAATGATTTCTTCATCATCCTCCTTGCGACGAGACACTTCCTCTGCTGGTACCTATTACACTTCTATTAGAATTCTCAAATTTGATTATCTCACTCGTGAGTGACGTACCACATCAAATTCATCTTCCTTTTCTTCGTATTCAAAGTTCTCTTCCAGCTCGGTGAAATCAGGTGCAAATGCGCTCCAATTCTCTTCTCGTTTACTTGTCCAAATATAGATGTTGCCAAAGCTGCTGACGGATGCAATCACCGGTTGTACAGGGTGCCACTACCATTAAAACGACCATCAGCCTTGTACTGATTTGCATAGACCATCACCACACTTACTGTCAAATCATCCAATGGTTCCTTTGGACCTTCCAAAATCTTGAGCAGATTTCCCATCTTCTTATCCCATATATAGATATTGTGCTCTGCTTTATGCCCCGAACCTACAAACAATACCATCATGAGTATGGTCCTCAAGAAAAGAAACAACGCCATTTACCTCCAATAACAAATTCGCCATCCGCACTAAAGCATGCACTATTCCATTGTATCCGGTTAACTAGGTCTTGGTACTTGTTCTCCAATGTAGGTGTGCCCTCATGTCTCTCCAATCGAAAATAACGGATGACGCGATCATTTGCATTGATAAGGATGTCTCTGTATCACAGGGATCAGCATGTCGTCCTTGCTTAATCTTTTCTTCACTCACTTTCCATTACGGCTCCAATGTATGTCTTTGATGGTAGTGCTAGTCACTCTTGTAGAATAAACCACCTATGTCATCCCATCCACCGTCATTACTTGTCATCCAAAAGCACCTATTTTGATATACACATACCTTGAGTGTCTCACTATCCACAACATAGAGATAACCTTTTGATGTTCCCACATATATCCTGCTTCCATTCTTGTTCCATGATACGGCTGATCCGAAAATCGTTGTGCTGAAATGGATTTTGAGTAAACTCATAACCTGCCTCAGCATAGCTCAATACCTACTTCTTCCCAGATTGCTCATCCAAATCTTCTAGTAGTCTTGTGACCTTGGTCCTGCCATTGACGATATCCACAACCACAGGTCGATCCTGATATACTGCTGCCACAAAGCGAAAACTAAATGTATATGATAAGCAAAGAGAAAATCAAAAGCCTATATAGTGGAGATGATGATGCTTACTTGTTCCTTGGATGCATATGTGCCATCATGAGAGGAGAAGAGAATCGTACACGTACAAGTCGTTCAGCTGTTAACAAATCCCATACAGCACATGTCCAATCCTTTGATGCAGATAAGAGATATCGACCGTTACGCGACCAGCTGTTGACAAGAGGGTGTGTGTATGTCAATAGATAGAGTTGTCGTTTGCGTTGAAAAAGCTACTCCTGTACCTGACACTTGCGATAGACTTGACGTGGCCTGTTAGGCTTCTTGCAATGCCCTTTGTATCAAAGTCCCATACAACGCATCGTCCATCGTGGCAACCTGCTGCAAGCAATGTACCGCGTCTGTTGAATCGGCATGTCATGACATAGCCATCTTCGAGCGTTTCTTCGATCGTCTGCGGGTACTCCTGTTCCCAAGGATCTGGTTCGTTAAGTCAATACGCTACTTGATTCGCACACGCGATCTACGGTTGGGGATACTGACCAAGCAATTCCAAGTTCATGGCGTGGTGAGGAAGAGCAAAAGTATAAAAAGGAAGCCCAACTCGGGAAATTGGATCCACAAAGAGCTACCTCATAAACACCGACAACAATGATACTTAATAGTGCTTTGTTATGCGAGTACCTATATCTGCCTAGAAGGCCATTGAATAAAAAGTTATGATTGTATCCAATAGAACAGTCGTTGGGATAAGCGGTATGCAACTCTAGTGTGTGGTACTTGTAAGAGCCATGTAGTGGGTAATCACGGTGGCCTTTATACATGACAAATGATCATCAGCGCATTCAAAAAGTACGAAGCGTGAGACAGCGGCTACATACCGAGATTCCACTTTCTTTGTGCCGCATATAGACCACGAGGATGATCTTTAGCTGTAAGCAGGTTCATCCTCGGTGGCAACTATCAGGCCTGCAACTTTGTCTGTAGTAGACACACCTTGGGTGTTTAATGCATCACAATGGTGCTTCCTTCTATAGGACAATATAATACGGTGCTTATGATAGCCTATGTGGATAGGTTTTATCAACCATCATGGTGCCTTTGTCAGTACGTACAAAAATAATCAACGTCCTTAAAAAAGTAACCAACGGATGCAGCATAATGATACCAGAATTTTCTCTTTGTTGAGAACAAATGACACTGTAGCATTATTGGTAGACCAAACGCCTCATTTATGGATTACTTTTATTGGATTTGTATCAATAACTTTCAAAAAAAGCAGTGGATGATACCTATGTATCCGCATGCCATAGCAACGAGCATTTCCAAATGAGACAATGAGATGACCAAACGAACATTGTGACACCAAACGATCTTCGGAAAGTCAAAGTGGACGTACTCGTGCCCTCGGAAATAAAAAGTAGCCGTGCACAGACCACATACCCTTGTTTCAGCTCCTGGATGATGCACATACCCAAAAGTTACATGTGTACAATGCTTTAAACCGTTTGCTACTATCCATGGTAACGACTATCACGTGCTGTAAAAATGGCTGGGCAATTAAAAGTGTGACGGGGTTTACACGCGTCTCATAACAGCAGCGTTGCGTAGCCAAGGCAACGGTTGATCTCAACCAAAACCAACCAGGTTTCCCCCTGATCAAGACCGTTCAAGGCCATTGTCATTGTTGAACACTTGTGGGAAGTGTAAAGAGGTAAGTTAGAGTGAAGGATCGTTACAACTACGTTGTTTCACTTGGTTGTATTGGGTGGCAATAGGGTGCTCTTTATTTGGAACCTGTTTACAATTGGCATCTCAAGAGGTATGTTGGACTTGTTCTATTATGGCAATCTCTCACTCATTGTCTACTTTAGACTACACGACCATTGACTGGGAAAAGTTGGCTATGGGGTTGCGTATTATTGAATCTTCCACCTTTTGGCTCGTATTATTTCAGGACACTCCCTCGCCCCAGTATCGTTCTGCTGGTATCCCCCCAGCGGCAAGATGCACGTATGGCTGTGGCTTCACGCAGTAGGGGTGCGGCGCATATGATCGCAAGTGGTCTTTCGGCCTATTCGAGATCGTCAACAAGCTTGGTCCAACTGGGAAGCGTGAGACTGGATCATCGAAGGAAACGGATTCGTGTCGGTTCAATCGGGTCATAGGGTGGGGCCCGCATAAGGACAATCAATGTGTATCTTCTCTGGCCAAACAAGCGACTTTTCCTCAGCTTGTCAAGGAAGTTATCCTTGTGGTTCTCTTGCACCCAGAGCTCTCTCACGTTATGCTTGGTGGATGAGGGGTACGTTTAGCATTCTTGTTCTCTAAATCTGGGATTGGCAAGCTTGATCGTGAAACTTTCACACAAGGTGCTGTTGGCCAAGCCGAGCCCATTGCTCTAATAAAAACCCCACGTTTCATTGTAAAGTTCGGAGATACAGGCGTCTTTATGTTTTTACTATGCTGTAAGCATGATGCTATATGAAGAGTGGTCTTCGTTCAATGTCAAGTCGCTGGACCCCGGCAGAGCAAAAGATGCAGAGGGGCCTCTTTGTGTAACTCAGCTACTTTGCCTGACTAGAAGGATGGAAGGATGATACTGTATACTATTGACAATATCCCATACATTGCGAGCTAACAGCCATTTCCTCACAATCGGCAATGTTGCCCATTCTATGACAGTGGAACGATGCTCCTGCTTCAGACATTCATTTCCATGATTGGATTATGTTGATCCGAGTTGATTTGGCTGAGCTACGCTCATACAAGGTTACTTCAGTTGAGCAACATAGAGCATGGTTAGATGTGTGGATTGATGTAATCCCTCTTTGGCTGTATCTCGGTCAAATCAACTCGAATCAACATAATCCAATCATGGAAATGAATGTCTGAAGCAGGAGAATCGCTCACATGTCATAGAGTGGACAACAGTGGCTATTGTGAAGAAATGGCTGTTAGCTCGCAATGAACGGGCTTTTGTCAACAGTATACAGTGTCATCCTTCCATCCTTCCAGTCATGCAAAGTAGCTGGGTTACACAAAGAGGTCCCTCTGCATCTTTTGCTCTGCCAGGGTCCAGCGACTTGACATTGAACGAAGACCACTTCCCATATAGCATCACGGTTACAAACATAAAGGTGCCTGTATCTCCAAACTTTACAATGAAACGTGGGGTTTTTATTACAGCAATGGGCTCGGCTTGGCCAACAGCACCTTGTGTGAAAGCTTCGCGTTCAATGTCGCAAACAGCCCAAAAAATATTTTTTTGGTCATCGTCGAAAGAGGTTAAGCCCCGGATCCAGTTTGGCTGGTAGCGACATTGCGAAATCTGGGATTGCCCACGATGAACTTCATACTTTGACACAAGATTCCTTTGACCCCGACGAGCACGTTGATCTATTAAAGAGCCCACGTTTGATTATAAAGTTTGGAGATACAGGCACCTTTATGTTTTACATATGCTGTAAGGGTGATGCTATATGAGAAGTGGTCTTTGTTTAATGTAAAGTAGTATGACTATAATAGAGCAAAAGATGCAGAGGACGTGTTTGTGTAACTTGAGTCATTCAGCACAGGCGATGCATGATTCTTGTACACTATCTAGGAATAGTTCAAAATGCCAGCTAATAGCCCATTCCTCCCATTCATCTTTGTTGTCCAATCCAATGCTTACGAACGATTGTTCTGCACCAGCCCAGCATGCCCATCATTTAACTTTCATGATTCGAGCTAACCTGGTAGTAAGGCAATGGCTGTTGTTGGATCATCATTATCATGTAAAGTGTAAAGTGGCACACACCCTTTTTCTATACGTGAGGATCATTTCTTTTATTCACGTGTATTATTGTCTATCGTGAAGGTGATGATGACGATGGGTGGATGGCGTGTATAGGGTAATTAATGAGTGGCCTCAGTGTAATAGCAGTAGGGGATTTAAACTTGGGGAACAGCAGCTCCACGACTTGAGACAACGCTTCTCTTCTTTTTCTCCCACCTTTCCTTATTCCATTCACGACATTGCGATCAAGGTAATGTATTATAGAAGAGTGCTCTTGTTGTTTGTGAGGCATTAACATAGTTCTGAACATGCATTGTCAGGGAGTGAGTGTGTCCAAAGTGCCGAGGAATGAGCGTGGTTGGTGGTTGGTGGTTGCCATGGCGATATTGTTGCTTCCTTTTGCTCGTTGCTATTCCCGCTCTACGCTTGGTGTCAACAGGTACATTCAGAGTCCAATGTTGCAGCCGAATTGGTTCCATTGACGCGTCAGCTTGTATAGAGGGCAAGTTCGGTTTCAAGACGTTGGCTGGTTTGGCGTTTTGTTTCGGCTCAACTATACTACACCATGGTTTTCGGTTTCCAGTAACCAACAACAACAACGGGTCTTTGTGTATATGGAAAAGGCAAGTGCAATGAAACAAACAATGAAAAGGGTGTTCATTGTGCGTGTGCTAATAATGAATTGAATAGGTTTCTTTGGCCAGGCAATGCAACTTGGGGGATCATCATCTCTTTGGGTTCAAGTCCCAGCCTGTATCAAGTGGCCGCTGCATCGCTCTGCACTAGCCAAGTGTGCTGGAAAAGCTTCTTGGAACGCGTCCAGGGCTCTATAGGCCTGCGTTGAGTTGAGGATGGGTCGATGACGATGGATTTTTGGAAGAGCATGGTCACCGTGTTGAGGTAAAAGGGGATTTGCAACAGCTTGTGAATGTGTTTAACCAACACGCTCTTCTCGTGATAGGTTCGTTCTTTCCCTTAAGGATTTCTTTTCATGAGGTGGGAAATGATTGGAAGGATTGGGGATCATTCTTTCTTTGGAGAGGATGAATGAGGACAACGATGAGCCTGGACTCTACGTAAGTGATGTCCTTCCTTGCCATGGATCGAACTGGCCTTGCGTGATTCGTGCAGTGCCTTCTCAAGAACAAGGGATCGCCCGACGTTGCTCGTATGGTGGTGATTTGGTTTGTGAATTCCTTCTGATTTGCTTTCTTCCTTAGAGAGGATCGCCTAACGGTATACCAAATCGTCATCCTTCCGGTACCAGATGGTCTAACTTGCCTGCTTTCTTATTTGTAGAGACGACAATTACGATGATTACCACATTCACAACAATGACGATTACGATGATCACCCCATCTACAACAATGACAGTGATGATGACAACGAGATTCAAAAGGAAGCCTGCAAGATCCCATTCTTTTCAACTTGTGTACTTTTGGATGTTGGTGTGACGGATGAGATTGACGACTGGTGACGAGTACGAGTGGGAATGATGACGGAGGACGACTACGACGATGGTGGTGGCAATGTACAGTACATAGCAAGATAGCTAGATGAAGTAAAGCATTGTTTATTTATTACACGCTTGTTGGAGGTTGTTAGCTTGTGGATTACATACTATTGCTTCAAAGATGGAATAATAAAGGTGGTCCGGTTATCGGTCATGCAAGAAGTACATGGCTTTTGTAATGCGATAAGGAGGAGTGGGAAGTGGGATGAGCTTGAGAAGAGAAACAGTGAAGAGATCCCTCCATTGAGTTTCAGGATGAGTGACTCATTCAATATGTATATGTATCTTTTTACATATACAAATTGGTTTATGCAGCTCGACTTTCTTCTACATGCAAATGTGATGCATACCTTGACACACCTTCATTGTTGGATGTTGTTTACTTACGTACCTTCACAAAAGACTATCATCATCATCATGCATTTATGCAGCAGCTTGCCAAGGACGTATTTGTGTCACCACCACGTGCCATTTCACTCAGCTCTCTATCTTTTCGTTAATGCAGCCGACATCGTCCATTAGGACAAAGCAACTCCACCACGCTTACATCATAGTAAAACATAAGGCACTTGTGTCTCTAAACTTTACCATCAAACGTGGGGTCTTTAAGAGAACAAAGTTGCTCGTCGGGGCCGAAAGCACCCTGTGTGGAAGTTTCACGATCGTGGTTGCCAATCCAAGATTTGGCGAATGTCGCCACCAGCCAAATTGGAATCGGGTCGACCTCTTGAATTTTTTTCGACGACGAGCAAAAATATTTTTTGGCTGGTAGCGACATTCGCCAAATCTAGGAATGGCCACGATGGACTTCATAGTTTGACACAAGATCGCTTTCACCCCGCCGAGCAAGATTGTTCTATTAAAGACCCCACGGTTGATTGTAAAGTTTTGAACTACGGGCGTCTTTATGTTTTACATTGCATGCTATATGAAAGTGGTCCTTGTTCATTGTCAATCAACTAGACCCTGACTGAGCAAAAGACGCACAGGGGCGTGTTTGTGTAACACATCCCATTTTGCATGAATGGAAGGGTCAACGTACGATACTTTATACACTATTCAGTACAGCTCATCATTGGTAGCTAGCAGCGATTTCTTCATAATCGACACTGTTGTCCTTTCTATGACATGTAAACAATGCTCCTGCTCCAGACGATTATTTCCATAATTCAATTGTCTTGACCCGAGCTGATTTGACTGAGCTACGCTGAAACAAAGAAACATCAGTTGAGGTAGATCGAGCACTCTCTATGTGCAGAGTCATGTAATCTCTCTTTGACCGTATCTCGGTCAAATTAGCTCGGATCAAGGCAATTGAAGCATGTAAGTAAACGTCTGGAGCAGGAGTATCGTTCCCATGCATTGGAATGCTCAACAATTGGGATTGGGTGGAAGTGGCTTTTAGCTGGCAATACATGCCTGTTCCTAGATCATCCATAAAGTATTATACATTGACCCATCCATTCATGCAAAATGGGCTGTGTTACCCAAACACGCCGCTCTGCATCTTTTGCGCTATCAGGGCTGGCTAGTTGACAAAGAACAAAGACTACTCTTCACATAGCATCACGCTTACAGCATAGGCAAAACATAAAGACGCCTGTATCTCTAAACACTACAATCAAACACTAGGTCTTTAAGAGAACAAAGTTGCTAGTCGGGGCCGAAATTATCATGTTGCCAACACGAGATTTCGCAAATGTCGCCACCTATTTTTTGGCTGGTGGCGACTTTGGACTAATCTGGGGTTGCCCATGTTGAACTTGTGAGTTGGGATAGTATATGCTTTCGGCCCAGCCGAGTAACATTGTCCTATCAAAGATCCCATACTCGATGGTAAAATTCTGAGTTAAGGGCGTCTTTATGTTTTACATATGCTCTGATAGTGATGCTATATGATAAGAGGTCATTGTTCATTATCGAGTAGCGAGCTCCCGGTAGAGCCAAAGATGAAGAAGCTTGTTTGTGTAACACAGCTGATTGGGTAAGAGCAAGAAGGCTAACGTTATTGTTGGAGAATGCATGGTGATGATTACGTGTAGTAACACCCGCCTATGATAGCCCGCATGGAATCTTTTCCACTTCAACCATGGTATGGGAAATAAGCTAAATACGTACAGCTGATCTCATCAGCGCATTTTAGAGTACTTTGAGTAGTGAAGAAAGGATGAGAGTTGAAATGATGTTGCTGGTCTTCAGGACTTGTTCTTATGTAAGACTACAGGTATGCCGATACTTGCTATAGGTGATAATCATATACTTGTGCCATATTGTGCTAGAGCTCACTCTTTCATGAGCATAATCAATCACGTTCACAACAATGAATCAAAACTTTTGCATCGATCAAGCATCGATGGTGGGCAGCCATCACTATGGGTTTATTATCTTTGCAATAGGAACGTTTAATACTTGCTACTACCTATGGAATATTTAGAACCTGGTCTAGGAAGCTTTAACGAATGTAATGTGACAATAGCGACACCTCGTCTCAATACGATAATGCGTATTATCATCTTTCTTTGGTGCATACAACAAAGCGTTAAGAGGCTATTGGGAAAGTGGTAACATTCGTTTTATTCATCATCATGTTATCGACAGCACTACAATTGGAAACCATTATTCAATCAATGGGCGTATTGAATGGGAGCTTCAAAGACGGTGGGTGGATCACCATCTTATTGTTCAACCTGAATGTTTCACCAGGAGCATTGTAGCGTGACCATAAAAATTCCCAGCATCTCAGCCAGAAAAAAAAAGTTTCAGCAATGGATTCTTGCACCTTCAACCCTTTTACCTCGATCGGCACGAGCCTAGTACAAGTAGTAGCAGTATGGGAGTTCAGCAACGACATAGGCCAGGGCACCTTCACCAAAGCAACAAACCATTCAAATCGCGCCATGCGTCAAAGAGTTCGCTCAAGGAGAAGTCCAAAGGCAAAGTGAATCGCTCTGCTGTCAAACAAGGAGGAGGCAAGGTGCTCAACAAGAACGATCGTCGCCATGCTGCCAAAATGGAACAACAGAGGAAACGAGAAGAATTGACTCGAGTGAATCGTATCTTCGAAGGTCGTCATGGTGCACCCAAGATCATTCCTGTACTTGCACTCTCGCCTGACACCGACGTTCATGTTGCTATTGCTTCCTTGTATCGCTCCATCGGCCAGGAACCACCAGAGAACGAATACGAGTCTTCCATCATGCATGTCGATCGCTTCAAACAAAAGATCCAATTCGTTCCCTTGCGCCGTAACTTTGTGGACGTCCTGGATGCCTTCAAGGTTGCCGATATGGGCATCATTCTCTTGTCAGCTACTGTGGAAGTGGATCAATTTGGTATCAATTGTTTACTTGGTATCCTCAATCAAGGTCAAGTCAACGTCGCACCCGTGGTTCAGGTAAAGCATTCAGGTTCATGCATGCATGCATGCAACTTTATATATATTGACATTGCATCCATTGTAGCATTTGGATAAGGTGGCTCCCAAGTTACAACCAGCCGTCAAAAAGTCTTTGGTCGCATTCAATCAACAATTCTTCCCCACTGAGGAACATTTGTTTACACTCGACAATGAATCAGATACCATCAATGTCATTCGCTATATCACATCCCAACGACCTAAGCCTCTCGCTTGGCGTGATCTTCATCCTTACATGCTTGCCGAACAAGTAGAGTATGCTCCATACAATGAGGTAAATGATACAATCACTCTCTTTTGGGAAAAAGGACAAGGGATGCTCATGTCAGGGTTATTAGGAAAAGGGCACTTTAAAGGTCACTGGTTATGCTCGTGGTAATCCATTCAACGCCAATCGCTTGGTTCATTTGCAAAACTTTGGTGACTTCCAGATCGAGCAGGTGTGTTAAAGGAAAGCAAGGATGAGGTGATATGATACCTGACACAGCTATCTATTATAGATCACTTCAGCACATGTCGGCAATGAACAATCGAATGGCATGGATGAGGATGATCAAGTACTTGACACACCCAATCCGGAAGAACAAGATGATCTTCTTGCCGAGAATGAACCCGATTTCATGGACAATGAACAAACTTGGCCAACCGAAGAAGAATTAGCAGAAGCTGATGGTATGTAACAACACCAAATCTATTGCATGGAGAATTGACCTGGGGTCATATATATAGAGCGTATGCGTGCCATGGGCCATGAGATGTTCGAGGATCGTCCCCAAGCTACAAAGACCAAGCGTGTACCCAAGGGCACTTCACAATATCAGGCAGCATGGATTGTTGATTCTGAAGATGAGGATTACAGTGAAGATGAAGAAGATGAGGATGGTGATATGGATATGGTTGAAGAAGATGAGGAGGAGGTCGTTCCTGCAGCCACCGAATTCCCACGTGACGATGAAGAATCCGAACAGCTTGAGTTGGAAGGTCGTCAAGAATACAAGGATGAATTGACTGCTGAAGAAGAAAGACAAGCGTAAGTGGATCATAGAATGGTAATAAGGATGGCGAAGAAACTAATTGCATATGCGTATTGTTATAGTTATGAAGAATACATGAAGCAACGTGAAAAGCAATTTGAGGACAATAAGGAATTCCCTGATGAAATTGATACTCCTATTGATCGACCTGCTCGTGAACGTTTTGCTCGTTATCGTGGTCTTCAGTCATTCCGCACTTCAGCTTGGGATCCATATGAGAACTTGCCCATTGATTATGCACGCATCTTCCAGTTTGAAAATTACAAGCGCACCAAGTGCAGAGTGGTTAGCCAAGCCATTGTGGGTCAAGTAAAACCTGGTACCCGTATCACGATTTGGATCAAGGATGTTCCTCCACAAGCTTATGCTGCCTATGATAAGCAGCGTCCCTACATTGTATTTGGTCTCTTGCAGTATGAGCACAAGATGTCGCTTCTCAACTTCCAGGTGCAACGTGACAATGCCTATGAGGAGCCTGTCAAGTCCAAGGACCCCATGGTGCTTCATGTTGGTTTCCGACGATACGCTGTACGACCCATTTATTCCCAAAACACAAACAAGGGCACCAACCATGTACACAAATTTGAGCGATTCTTGGAAATGGGCAAGTCCGCTATTGCTACCATCTATGGCCCCACGGTGTTTGGCAAGGTCCCTTGTCAGCTTTACAAGGAAACGGACAATGTCAATGAACCCATTCTTGTCTCTAAGGGTGTTTTTGTCAACACGGATGTCAAGCGTATCATTGCCAAGCGTATCATCCTCAGTGGTCATCCTTACAAGATTCACAAGCGATCCGCTGTTATTCGATACATGTTCTTCAATCCAGAAGATATCAACTACTTCAAGCCTATTCAACTTACTACGAAATACGGTCGTGTTGGTCATATTCGCGAATCTTTGGGTACACACGGCTATATGAAGTGTATCTTTGATGGGCCAATAACACAACAAGACACCATCCTCATGAACCTTTACAAACGTGTCTATCCAAAGTGGAACACCCAGATCTGGCAAGGTGGCCTGGACAAGAGTCAATATGAATCGGACAAGATGACCGACTAAGTGCATTAAAAAAGTAGTAGTAGATGTAGTATATTTGTTTTCATTTTTGTTTTATCCCATTGTTTATCATGCTGCCTTTTTCATTCGAGGCGGAAAGAATACATTATACAGATTGCGATAAAAGCCTTCATCATAAATATTATCCAACTCTTCTAAACTTTCCACCTTGCGTTGTCGTTTCTTGGAACCATCCATTCGTTTCTTGACCTTGTCTTTATCATTCGTCGCGGTATTCTCTTCTTCAAGCCAAAGTTCGCCACGATCAATAGAATCTTCAATCAATTCCCACTTGAATGCTTCATTGGTTGTTATTCCACGGCCAGCAAGATAAAGCCTATAGCCTACATTAGCTTGTGTATGGATGAATACCTCTTGATGTCAACTTACTGGTAAAGGAAGAACAAGAACACCACCAACGAGACTACAGTCGCAAGAATACCAATTGCTCCAATGATTCGATCCTTTTGCAACACATGCTAAGCAGAGAAAAATGAGCGACCATGAGCAAGGGATCTATGTAAGATAATAAGACCTACCAAGAATGCTTTACGAAAAGTGATCGGTGAATGTTGTCCTGTTTTCTTGTCTATCACGTAAGCTGCATCCAATCCCCATTCGATAATCATGCCACGATAAATCTGGAAGCACAAGTAGGCACCATAGGCACAAAATTGGACCAATGTAAAGAGAAAGATGAAAAAGAAACGGTGATTGTTCACACCCACGCAGCGATTGATCCAAAAGCAATGATGGTCTAAGCGTCCGATGCATGCTTTGCACATTGAACAATGCTTGGAACGTGCAGGTCTAAGGTGGTATGTCAGCATCCCGTTGCCATGTATGGTGATAGACCATCATCCAAACTTACTTTTGTAATCGACATGTGGAGCATTGCTTGGGTTGATAGAGTAAGCCATCATACTTGAAATGATCTAGGTATTGTTGTACATTCTCGGCAGTGATGGTGCCTGGGTCGACCGTGCACGCCATGTAGTACGAAAGGTAAAGTGATACAATTTGGCTCGGGATGATGATTCTATAATGTATGTTGGATCAGTCACCATCGCACCAGCAGAAACGTCGCTAGGACTTACAAATGAGTAGAGTGTAGGTAAATGCCAGGGATGTGGGGTAATCCGTATTTGAGAAATAAATAAATGGAACCACTTGTAAGGATCATAAAGAAGATCTAACACGACATGTTAATCAATCATCGTATGCACGTGATCCTCGTAGCATATATACCTGTAGGAAGGGATTACGAGATTCAAAACAATAATGCCATAAATGAGAGAGACGATTCCAGTTTTTCGGACCGAGGACCTTCTTCAATGTCCCTCTAATAAACGCTGTCAGGAACCACCCAACCATGAGCGGAACGTGATATATACGCAACATACATTATCCATCGAGGTATATACACCGTCAGTGCCCGGTTTGCCTTGCCTATTATACCATTCCTATTGCACAATGAGCATACTTTGTATATGAATAAAAGCGTCTGATCGACTTGCCTTAATCGAGGACTTTCTCCAAACAACAGAATGAATACAATGAGACCAAAGAAGAGCAGTATGGCAACTGCAATAAGCAGTAGATTCTGATGGTGTTGAAATTGGCAATGCGTTTAGTATGCAAAGAGGTGGAGAGTCAATGGGGGGGGAAAGGTTGTCATTACCATAAGGGCAAGGTTCGGGAGGAGAGAAAGTAAGGTTGAACAGGGAAAGAGAGCTAATTTCCTTTTGCTATATACACACACCACACACACAAGGTACGCTTTAACGTCGTCCTCGACGAGAGCTGGTGCTGACACGATTTACTCGGATACGAATATCTGAAAATGGATCTCCTCCTTCACCACCACCTTGATGGACCTCATCATCAAATCCTAATCATTTATCCCAATGTCAAAAACGGGTCCCCTTTGATATACACACAATAAACCCACTTACGTGAATAATTGATACCACCACCACCTCCTGTCCTCATATGCACCAGTCTTTCCATCAATTGTGTGCCTCCAACATCCGTTTCCTTGGAGACAGGGCATTAGAACACTTGCAAATGATATTACAATGAATGGTATTTACCTTTCGGAATCGCTTTGTATTGATGGGGATTCCATTTGCTGGTGTTTCATCAATGGCTCGTTGCGTTCCTTGTTGTTGTGGTGATGATCGTGACACAACCAATTGGCACGTGGGTGTGATAATCTTGGCTTTGCGTGTTACGTTTCTCCGGCGGCTATTCTCGGCAGCGGTGGATGTGTCCCTTGGTTGCTGGTTTGCTTCATTGCGAGATAAGGTTTGTGGTGGTGTTGAAGCAGCAGCTGAGGTGGTTGAGGTGGCTGTCTCATTGTGAGCTAAAGGTGGTGATCCAGCAGCAGCAGCAGCAGTAGTAGTAGTCGTAGTGGTTGAAGGATGAGTAACAGTCGTTGATGATTGAGAAGGTTCCATTGTGCGAGCAGGTTGAGATGTTGTATTCTTTTTCAGCTGTGATGGTGGAGGAAGTGGGTCGTCGTTATCATCACCAAGAATATCATCAAACATATCATCAAGTGCATTTGACGTCGTTGTTGAAGCTTGTGTCACGTCCCTTGCATGAGGTGGTGATCTGTGCGGTAATGGATCATCTTCATCAAGGTCGAACAAGTCATCCTGCTCATCCTTTTGCTCATTGTGTCGTGATAATCGAGGGTTACACGCCCTTTCGGTAGAACATTCAATGATAGCCGTAATGATTTCATCGCTCTCAATATAACGTCGATGCCTAATTGAAAACAATTAGGCTCTTGATTTGGTTCCCCTGATGATCTGTAACACTTGCCTATCCTTAAGCTTTGCCTTGATCTCGCGAAATACAGCATGTCGATCGTTTGGTGGTGCCACTATGATACGCTTTTCTTCGGTGACTGCATCGATGGTATAAGTGCGATTCATGGAGCAATACTTGGCGTCTCCTTCTGCTGCTTGAATTGCTGCGTGATATCGATTGTACTAAACACCTTGATTGGTTACCTTTTTTCAGCACAAAGAAAACGCAAATCACTTACATTGTTCTCATCAAAGAACCAAAATTCCAAGCCTTCAAACAAAGAAGCACGACTATTGTTGGGTAAACACTGTTCTGGTTTGACATTCTTGCACGCCTTTCGAATGGGTGGCAAATATTCCTCGGTTGGCGGCCAAGTAAATTCGATCGTTTTCCCCATCTCCAACAATGCGTCGAACCATGCAAGTGATATAATAGGCTTCCCGTGAACCAAACAAAGCATGAAATTGAGCGTGTCGTCAACCTCCTTCATATACAAATGTGTGCAATCACCATCCCATTCTTTCTTCAATTGGATGCCTATATCACTCTTTAGTTCTACATGGATCACACCTGAACATGGATATCGTTTACCTAGTGATGCTGCGCTTTCTGCAACTTTGGTCTTATCTTCAGAGCCCATTGACGAAACACAAACAACAACAGGTACCCATCTCAATCTACCAAAGTGGATGTTAACGCTCATATTGCAAGAGGAAATCAAGTCTTTTGTACGTACCTGAAATAGCTTTTGAGAGCACCAAATCGGACGACGTCGCCATCATAGAGATACAAGGCGGTCTCGAGCTTCTTTCCATTGACATACGTGCCGTATTTTGCTTTGATGTCTTCAAGCAGGATGGATGGTTTGAACTTTTTGTTGTACTGCAAAGGATCATTCAGTGATCGGCGCGCAGCTACTAAAATCACCCATTCCACTTACCACAGATCGCTTCGTCGCTGTATCCACCTTGAGCACTGCATGGTTCCTGCTGATAGAATGGTCGCTTTGTATTACAATGTCCCCCACTATAGACAAGTAAGTATACCAAGCCTATCATCGATCCTCTTCACGTTCTCTACCTTTTCGACTGATCGTGTACTCTTGGCCGGGACATAGCAAGATCTTTCCACATTCTTAATAAACAGCCATGAGCGAGCTTGAAATTGAGAACATGGGTCGTTAAAAGTACCTTGATTTTGGTCATTGAGAGGATTGAACAACCACATGGTGGGTGTGGCAGGAAGAGGAAGATAGAAGAGTCTGGGGTCACTCGTCACACGAAAGCCTGCATGATATATGGACACGATTTCCCGCTTTAAAGACAATGAATTTTTATTATGTGTGATATCTAGAGTAACTTTACAGCTTAGCCTGTTGTTGTTGTTGTTGTTGTTGTTGCTTTTGACGTGCTTTAGCCACCATAAGTGCTGCACCTGCACGTGAACCAGTCTCACGACCAAGCTCTTCAGAGATCCATCGTCCAGTCTCAATAAGCGATTCCATATCAACACCCGTTTTGAAACCCATTCCATGGAGCATGTAAACGACATCTTCAGTAGCAACATTACCCTTGGCACCAGGAGCATAAGGACATCCACCTATATTCCCATGATCTCGTTAACATCATCTTAATTCCCTCATTTCATATGCTTACCAAGTCCTGCTACCGAGCTATCTACAACACGAATACCATACTACACATAAAATAAAATAAGGTCATTCATGAACCATTTCCATTTGACCACCATCCTTTTCCTTTTTACTTACGTCAAGAGCCTTGAGGATATTTGCTAATGCTTGTCCATAAGTATCATGGCAATGAACAGCAAGGGCCTCAACAGGAACGACCTTGAGCACTTTTTCAAGCATCTTGGCCATGGATCCTGCAGTACCAACACCAATGGTATCACCCAAACTAATCTCATAGCATCCAGCCTCATACATTTGCTTGGCCATATCAGCTACAGCATCGGGAGAAACTTGGCCTTCATAAGGACATCCAAGGACACAAGAAACATAGCTATTTTCTTATCATCAGCTATATTGCTTGCTATTCTCATTTGTGGTAATGACTTACCCTCGTACTTTGAGGCCCTTGTCAAGAGCAGCTTGGGTGACTTGACGCACACGTTCTAATGCCTCCTTGGTCGAGCAGTTGGTATTCTTTTTGTTGAAGGATTCTGTGACAGCAGCAAACATGGCAACCTCCTCAGCACCTGCCTTGAGGGCATTCTCGACACCACGGACATTGGGCGTAAGCACTGGATAAGAAACACCCGCCTTTTTCTCAATGGTCGTCAACACCTCATTGTGATCACCCATTTGCGGCACCCATTTAGGACTGACAAAGCTGGTTGCCTCGACGACAGGAAGACCGGCATTGGCAAGACGTTGAATCAACTCGACCTTGACGGGTGTAGGAATAACTTGCTTTTCGTTTTGCAACCCATCGCGTGGTCCCACCTCGACAATCTTTACGAATTCAGACGTTGCTGGTGTCGAGTAGAAACGCTGGTAGATAAAAGGATGTATAAGACCGAGTGCTATATAAAGTGTTGATATTTTACCTTGGAGCACATGGATCGCCAGGCAACTGAGCGAAGAGCGGGTGTAGTAAATCGTTGCATAGTGGTGGTGGTGGTGGAGGAAAAGTGGTTGTGGGGAAAAGAGATGATCCATGGATACACATTTTTATGTGGTCAAACTTTCTCACGGTCCAATGCAAAAAAACGTGTGTATGAATTTTATTTCCTTTTCTTTTGAACATGTCGCTTATTCTTCTTGGTCTGAGGACCACCTACTTGCTCCTCTCTATCCCCATCTTCTTCATCGTCATCGTTCTTGCGTCCTCGTTTGCCTTTACCACTGCCACCACGTTCCTTGAGTTCCAATACAGCTAAACGCTGGGCATCTGATACTCGCTCTGAAAGTAACATCACATCGTCCTTTTGCACAGGGTATTCATCCAACTTGCGACCCAGATCCTTTTCAATACGTTGAATCAATTCCACATCATATTGTGTCACAAATGTCATGGATTTGCCCGATCGACCGGCACGAGCTGTACGACCCACACGATGAATGTAATCTTTGGAGGAGAGCGGCACATCGTAATTGACAACAATATCAACCATGGGAATATCAAGACCTCTGTAATATAAAATAGGTGAGTATATATACATACACAATATGGCCTCCCTATCCTTTTTCTCTTTACCTGCTTGCTACATCCGTTGCTACCAAAATGTTTCGAGATCCAGCTTTGAATTTGTTGAGAGCACCAAGACGCTTTGATTGTAACATTTGACCATGCAAAGGGATAGCGGCAAAGCCAAGAGATCGGAGCATGACGGCAATCTTTTGAGTGTCGTTACAGGTGCGAGTGAAAATGATGGTCGAGTTGCCGGCAAGTTCATTGAGCAGATAAACGAGATAGCAATCCTTGTGCTTGAGAGGAAAGAATAGATAATATTGTAACAATGTCTTGACGGTAGAATACCTAATTCACTCTTGGTTATAAAACCGCCTCTTTCCCTATCCTCGCTATCCTCCTTATACTTACTTGGTAGCCACTTCAACCTTGACGGGTTTACTTAAACTAGCACGTTGTAACTTGGCCACCTTGGTTGTCATGGTTGCGGAGAAAAGGAATGTGTTGCGTTCACGAGGAATCACCTTCAGGATTTGATCAATCTTTGGGCCAAAGTCCATGTCGAGCAAACGATCGGCTTCATCCATGATCAAATACTTCAAAGCACGCAAGCTGAATCCCTTTGTGTTTTCCAAATGATCTTGAAGACGACCAGGTGTGGCGACAATAACGTGGGGTCGTTTGGAGAGTGCAATCGATTGAGTCATCATATCCATACCACCCACAATAACAGCACATCGTACACCAATGACAGAACCCAATGCTTCAAATGTTTCCGAAATCTGATATGCCAATTCTCTACAGGTGTATCATAAGTTTCCTTCTTGATGGTCCCATCGATGATATAGACATACCTGGTAGGAGCCAAGACACAGGCGAAAAGTGGTTGTGGGTTCTCCCAAAGCTTTTGAATGATAGGAAGTGCAAAGGCTGCTGTTTTACCGGAACCCGTTTGTGCCAATCCAATGATATCACGGCCTTCGAGTGCCCATGGAATCGATTCCTTTTGGATCTCGGTGGGGTGTTTGAAATTGAGCTTTTCACATGCTTCACACAGTTGTGCATTGACGCCCTGAAAGAACATATTAGCAAAGGTGTCTTTTGGAAGTAGAAGTATGAGATCGTACCAATTCAGCAAAGGTGGTTTCTTCTGGTTTCTTTTTGGAGAGTGCCTCAATGTCGACGGCAGTGGGTGCGGTGGTGGATTCTGGCATAATCGATCGGGTTCAAAGGAGAAAGAAGGTTTTTTCTCAGTCGAGCGAACCTCTCCGAATTCATTCATTCCACCCACACAGGCTGATTTGGACCCGCCACACACAAAACACTACTTGTTTCACAGCCATTCCCAATCCACACATCTCAATGTTTATATACATGTGTATCCATCTTATTGGCATGATACGATACAACATAGAGCAATGATAATAAAGTCATGGACATCCAACAAGAGGATTTCTTGCGCCAAATCACTTGAAGATGACTCTTTCTCGAGTAAACCATTTATTTAGATATGGACGATCATTGATGAATAGTGACTATAGAGATTGTGTTGAAATAAAAGGTTGCATGATAGTAGTTACTAGGATGATAATGATGAGCTTGAATAAGAGCCACTGCCAAGCCACTGACAGCCCGATCCCAATTCGAGAAAGAGGAGATCCAACTTGTCTCTTTCCCTGAGCTTTGTTGCCCGTTTTATTTTTCCAACTTTTACAGCCATGGCCAAGATCCAAAAGAAGGGAAAGAAAGGAGCTGCTGCCACCTACATTACGAGACAGCAAGCACTCAAGAAGCTTCAAATCTCACTTGCCGACTTTAGGTTTGTTATCGAGATCGTCGAGATCGTGGGGTTTGGTTGTCAACCAAACTAACTTTTTTGCTTGATCAGACGCTTGTGTATTTTGAAGGGTATCTATCCTCGTCAACCCAAGAACCACAAAAAGGCCAACAAGGGATCAAGTGCACCTGCCACGTTTTACTATGTCAAGGATATTCAGTATCTTATGCATGAGCCCCTTCTCGACAAATTCCGTCAATACAAGACATTTGCACGCAAGCTCAACAAGGTACTTCACAAGGGTGATTACAGCACTGCCAAATCACTTGAGGAGAATCATCGTCCTGTGTACACTTTGGATCATATTGTCAAGGAGAGGTAAATACACATTGGATGCGAGAGGAAGGATGATGATGATGATGATGATGGATGGGCACAATGACTGATGGACATTTATGTAAAGATACCCCACCTTTGTTGATGCATTGCGTGATCTCGATGATGCCATTTCCATGTTGTTCTTATTCTCAAAGATGCCTGCTGACAACAAAATCAAGTCTCGTGTCGTTCATGATTGTCAACGATTGATTGCCGAATTCCAAGCCTATGTCATGAAGTCTCGTAGTTTGAGAAAGGTGTTCTTCTCCATCAAGGGTATCTATTATCAAGCAGAGATCAAGGGTCAGACCATCACCTGGATTGTTCCTTATCAATTCTCTCAATCGGTATGTGTACTTGGATATGGTAGGGCTCAACTTTATATATACTCATATCGTACGTGTTTGCGTAGACCCCCACCGATGTCGATTTCCGTGTCATGCTTACTTTCCTTGAATTTTACATTACTTTGATGGGTTTTGTCAACTTCCGATTGTACAACGAGCTCAACATTAGCTATCCACCAAAACTCGAAGCATCGAGCGGCAGCATTCAATTGGATAATGTCCCAGCAAGCTTAAAGCAGGCTGATGATGACGAGGCAACTGGTGCTGATGCCACGACCACGCTTGACGAGTTTAAGACGGTTGGATCCAATGAGAATGAGGATGAGGAAGAAAACGAGGATGCTGGTGCAGCCACATTGCGTCAAATCCAAGAACATTCACAAGAGGTTTCGTCCTTGCGCAACTTGTTCTCAAAGTGCGTCTTTTTCTTGTCACGTGAAACACCCCGCTATGCTTTGGAATTCATGATTACATCGTGTGGTGGTCAAGTCAGCTGGGATGAGACTGTGGGTCCCAATCCTCCTTATCCTGAATCAGATGAACGTATCACTCATCACATTTGTGATCGACCCACTGTCAACAATCGTGTTCTTTCTCGTGCTTATATTCAACCCCAATGGGTGGCCGATTGTATCAACCGTCGCAAATTGGTCCGTCCTTCTCTTTACGAGCCTGGCAAAGAATTACCTCCTCATTTGAGTCCATTCGTCGAAGTCAAGGAAGGCGATTACGTTCCTGATGATATTGAGGATGACACTGCTGAACAAGACACCGAGGAAAAGGAAAATGCTGCTGCTACAAACGAGGCTACCAAGAATGAGGATGAAGTATACGAAGAGGAATTGAAGGCAGAGGCTGAAGGTGTCACCTTCTCTGAATACAAGGGTGATGATGATGGCAAGAAGAAGAAGAAATCAGCTGGCAAGAAACGATCAGCCACGGAGATTGATGAAGACGCTGAACAAAAGGAAATGGCTATGGGCATGATGAGCATCAAGCAAAAGAAACTCTACAAGATTATGAAGGCCACCAACCAGCGTAAGGCTGATGAGGTATGTAAAAAAGAATGTTCAAAACATCAATGGATCATTGTTAACATGATGATTGCTGTTTATAGACTGCCAAATTAGAACGCAAAAAGAGAGCACTCAAAAAGTCAAAGAACTAAATAGACATGATCAACAACTTCACATTTGCTTATCCCTCATTTATCGTTGTACACTGCATTCCATTCTTTCCACACGCTCGCTGCATATTTTTAATACACACATGTTATTTGGATTAATTACAATGGTTGTTGCTATGGAGATGGTATCTTGGTTACAATGAGCCGCCTTTTGAAAAGATTTGATCCCAATCATCCTGTTTCATTTGATGGGCATGTTTTGCTGCTGCTTCCACTTGACCATGTGCATGACCTAATAAGTGATCGCGTACCATAGCCAATCGTGATACTGCAGTATGGTTGGATGCTGCTGCTGCTGGTGTTTGTGGTTGATCCATGATTTCTTGCTGAGCTTCCTTGATGAGAGATTCAATCGCCGGTGGTGCTCCATAAATATCATCCGTGTATTTCAATTCCTGTAAATAAGCAACGATATCCTCTGCAGCCAAAAGCTCGGTCCATTGATGGCGGCGGCGATGTTCAGCAACACTATGCTCATGATCCGCTTGATGTCGATGAGATTGATAGGTCTGGGATTCTTGTGCCAAATCATCGCCATGGATGGCATCCGTATACTCTGCAGAACTCAGAAAACCAAGCACCTCAGCGCCATCAGTGGCAACAGGTGGTGCTGGAGGTGGATGATGGATGATAGATGGTTCGCGTATAGGTTGAAAAGAAGATGATGATGCTGAAGGTGACGACGACGATGATTGTATAAATGTGTCAAAACCAGTACTGTCAGACTGATCTTGAGTAGCAAGGGACGATCGAAAACGTGCTGATTCTGCTTCACCGGTGGGACGATACTGATGGGTGTTTGCAATGTTCTCATCGCGTCGAATGGAGGTAGAAGCTGATGACGAAGAACCTGCTTTATTTGACCAGGGAAGCATTGTGTATAATAAAAAAAGAACAAGGGGGGAGGAGGAGGAGGAGGGAATCACGGCTAAATCTTCTTTGAATCCTTGATCGTATACTTGCCGTACTAAGGAGAAATACGTCATATTAGCATGTGATCTCAACTGTCAACAACCGGTATCCATAGCGATCAATACTCACATCCTTCTCTGGATCAAAGACCTCCCAACGACTAGCAGGGAAAATGTGCTTGTTCTTTTCATACCAAGATCGCTCCACGACTTTACCAGCATGTGACTATGACAAAGCATAAGTTAATAAGCTTCCCCAAAGTGCCATTGCCAATAAACCTACCTCATCCTTTTCCACCGTAGCATCATTAATCAATCGCACATCGTCATGAACATCGAAACTGAAAAGAGGACCGGACTTGCCACGAGCCTTGTTGATGATGAAATCATAAAACGTATAGTGCTATCATCCATGCTGATATGAGAATTCACTGGCGACGACGATGATGATGATGGTGAGGGTACTTACATGCGGGATGATTAAATCTTCCTTGACATAAATAAGATTATCCACATTGACACCACGCAATTGGGGGAATTGTTGTCGACATGCCTCGAGAAATTGAGCAATGCTGTCACCTTTCTTGCACTATTTTCGTTCAATCCATCTTAGCTCCCTGACCATCCAAGCATAAGAATACAATCCAATTACCTGAACCGATTTTCGATGTCCACTGCCATCCCAATAAGAGTATGTGATTTGGATAGTTTCATCTACATACCAGTATTACTGGAATCCATCAATACCGATGTGTGCTTATGATCCTGTTGACTCACTCTTAATCTCCTCTTGTCGCTTGAGCCATTGTTGTCGAAGCTCTTCTCGTTCCAAACGTTCTCGTTCTTCTCGTTCACGATCAGGAAGGAAACTTGTATCCACCGTTGGATCCTTGAGCATCTTGCGCTTCTTGGGTGTTGCTTGCTCTTCTTCTTCTTCATCCTCATTATGCTCATCATCATCGGCAAAGGATAACTTGACACTGGCCTTGTTCTTTTTCCTCTTTTTCCTCTTTTCCTCACTAGTGATGCCCATGTCAGTGGATAAACAGATGCATTGTGTTGTTACACCAATATTTACCCAAGAGGTGCCGTTTTGGCTGCTTCACGCATTTGCTGTTCCTGGAGGTTCTCTTTGATCTTTCTATAATCGCGTAGCTCGGTCAAGCCGATCGTGCTGCTCTTGAGTTGAGACTCAATGTCGTTCTTGGTGGTGACGAACTTGTCGCTGCCCACTCGCACTTCATTTTGCTGTACAAAAGCTGTGTCAACGAATCCAGAACGATCTTGGCGGCAAAGCGATGCGTTACCTTGGCGATCTTTTGTCGTTCTCGTTCCGACTCCTCATAAATCTTGCGACGTGCCTTTTCAAGCATCGTTTGGCGTTGTCCCTCTGCTTTGGAATCCATGTCGATGACTGTGTGTGTGTGAACGGGGCTGGAAGAAAGGAGGAGGCAAGACAAGAGAGAGACAAGAAAAAAAGGCCGATCGAATCGGTATCCCATTCATCCCGTCACGTGCAATAGATATAGAAAGAATGATTGTATCCAGGATACCCCACATGCATTCGCTAGAGGCTCGATTCTTCTCGTAGGGTTAGCAACCATCATGCTAGATGTTGTCTTTGATTCCTGCTTATAGTACCTGAAATACAATACACTTACCAGATCTCTTACCCGATGAGAATGTGTTGTTTGTGGATGAAAGTGGTAGCGACTAGAAGTGTATTAAGAGTGATTGGTGCCATTTCTTGGTGATGTTGCCGGTTATGCATCATAAACAATCACAGCACCTAGCCTCCTTGATAAAGAATCAGGGTTGAACCTGGTATAAGCGTTGCACTCGATTTATTATTCATGCATCATCTCTTTTACGCTCTTATTGATAAACAACATCACCTTTATGAATCATACATTTTATTGTGCTCACAAACATTACCCATTTTGCCACCCACCGTTCTTCTCCCACACGCCTCTTTTCTTTATTCTATCTCTCTTTGATTGCTGACATCTTCAAAGCCCCGGTCAATGTGAGTATCATCATGGTAGGTATTGATGCTATGGATCTTTGTGGCCATTCATAGTAGTGATGGATCATTGTTATCCTACTTTCATTGTCATTTGATATTCGACTCCTTTGATAAGGTAAGAATCCAATCATCTTGCATGATGAAACACGTACTCACACTCATTTCCAATGTGCCATGATCGACGACTAGCAAGTATTTTTCTTCAGCTCCTGCTATCCCACTCTCAATCATTGAAATCCCCATTTATTCATACTCTGTCCACCATCATTACTATAATCCCAATAACAAGATCATGATGTTGAGGTATTTGACTAGCAGTAAAGATGTATAATTTCTAGGGGGGTGGTTGTTGTAGTGATGCTTGCAGAATGTTGTTGGGCGGGAAGCGAAAAGCCCAATTCCTTGTTTGTTGTTCTTCTTCCAATACATAACGACATGGCGACCAATCCACTGGCCGGTGGTGCAGCACAACAAGGCATGACGCCTGAGCAGCAACAGCAAGTTAAAATGATCACGGGCTTGATGGAGTCGTGTCCTGTAAAGACAGCCATGGCAGGTGGTGCTGGTAGGTGTCCTTTTGTGCCCTTCATTCCTTTGGAGATCGTCGCCGTTGACGCTTTTCTATAAACAACTAGGCTTTGTTATGGGTGGTGCTTTTGGTCTGTTCATGTCATCGTTTGAGTTTTCAGGACCAAGTATGAGACCCGAGTTATTGGAGCAAAGTACCAAGGTTCAAATGAAGGCTGTTCTCAAGGATATGGGCACACGATCCTATTCGATGGCAAAGAATTTTGCAGTGGTTGGTGCCATTTACTCTGGTACTGAATGCTGTATTGAATCAGTAAGTGGGATGGGATGGATGCAATATGGATATCGAATGAGTTATTGATGATGATGATGGTCTTTGGATAGTATCGTGCAAAGAACGATCTTTACAACAGTGTCGCTGCTGGATGCTTTACAGGAGGTGCATTGGCTGCAAGAGCTGGTCCTCAAGCGGCAGCTTTTGGTTGTGCAGGCTTTGCTGCTTTCAGTGCTGCCATCGACTATTACATGAAGAGCTAAATGATCCAACATCAACAACGCCTACCTATACGCACACACACACACACACACACACACCAACCACATATTACAACATCAGCATTTCTAATGGAACATACGCACACACACGCATACACGTAGAGGTTACCTGCACATACACAGCACGCCATATATACAACAACAACAACCCATATAGACTTGTTCCACCCAATGCAACCCTACCACATCAACACCCCCTTCCTCAGCAAACCCCTCTATTACAACAAAAAGTCATGTATCATATACCTCTATATTCGTCAAAAAGAAAAAAGAGTCATGCCTATATGGAATGTGGATGATGATTACAGGATTGGAGAGAAAGGAACATGGTGAAAGGGATGGGTGACAATGACGGGCATGTCATGTTGATGGGCACGTGGATTACACAGCATGATCTCCAGATCGCATCAATGCTGCTGATGTTGCTATTGTTAGTGAGCAAACAATCATGAATGATCGGCAGCCAACGGGAAAAGCTTCATGTATTTTGTGATCAAGATGGCGATAAGCTATATCGATGTCGGGGAAATCCCAATGTCCCAGATCCCCCACACACGCACCTACCCCCCGTCCCATTATGCTCTTGCCTTTTACTGTTGGGGAATGGGAAAAAGTGAGTCATGTATTTGGCTAGATCATATTATCCATTGAGAATTGAAGAATGTAAGATGGGTACTGTACTAATTTTTAAAGAGAGAGAGAGAGAGAGCAAGAGAGAGCAAGGAAGGAAAGGTGGTATATAAAGAGAGATGGTATTACAAAGAGCGGTGGTCATGGAGGTATGATGAAAGATGAAAGATGGGATGAAAATGACATGAATGAAAAGATGAGAATGATGATGAGTGTGTGTGTGTGTGCGTGTTTTGGTATATCCTTTTTGTGCTTATCGCCGAGAGGTGTTACTGTCACCACTGTTACCAGAGGACTGGCTAGCGGCTGTGGAACTGGATCGTTTAATGTCACCCGCGGCTCTTGCTCGATGATGCGCTAATCTGCGACTAGCAGCTACTATAGCACGTGTGGCGTGTGTTAGATATCCAAGATGAATGATGATCCTATCCCCTTCACATTTTTTTACTTACTTTGGCGAGCTCGTGCTGATTCTCGATCAAGAACGTGAACGACGTTTTCGAGTTGTTTGACCCATTCGTCACACTCAGCCTGACTATGCGTACGAAGAACATACACGGTGCGAGATCCCATGTAAGTGGAGTTTAGAGTATCCACGCCTTGTAGTGAAGATGTAATCTCGAAACAATAGGGATGGCCGGCAGCATCCTCAGGTGAAAGAGCACGAATACGTGCTTGTTCAAGCTGTAAGTGGCCTTTGTATTGAAGTACGGTGCGCTTGGATTCTTGCTTGGGACGCACAAACATTAACAAATCTGAGAACAAAAAGTATGTTTGTTCTTCGCCCACCGTTTTTGAGCTGACAACCACACGACATAAACTCCCTTGAAGCACCAAGCGTCGTTGTGCTTTGACACCAAAAGGAGCACCCATTAATGCACGCTGAATCATAAGCACTTGATCAACATTGTCGGCATCATCCACCCTAATACCACCGCCAACACTATTAGTATACACGTAACAATAGCATCCTTTTCTCTCTTTTTTACCTTGACTTCATTTCTTCGGCCAAAACAAGAATACGTTGTTTGCATGTTTGTAGACCAAAATGATCGGGATGCATGGGCGTCGTTAGATCGGCTAGCTTGCTAATAAGGTGTGCATATCGATTGATGGAACCTGCTGGAATTTGTAACAAGGATAAGAGCGTTGCACCTTTCAGAGTCGGGTTCTTGTGTGCCGACTAAATATAGATAATGGGTGTGTGTGTGTGTGTGTGCCCTTCGGTTAGTAGGATAGATAAAATACCGAGATTGTGTATTGATCAACTTACATCAATAAACTTTTTGAAAGGTTGGTAGCGTGTCAATCGTTCATAGGTGGTCACAGCGACGTCGTAATTGTCAAGGTATGCCTTGTAGACATTGAGTTGCTGGAACTAGATAACAATCATCACCCGATGAGCTTAATGAAGATGCGCGATAGTAGATCAGAAACATACCCAATTCTGAAACACGTCCGATATGATTTGTGTTGGACCCCATATCTGTAATCTAGACTCGTGCATGTCAATTATTATGCTTTGCAGAAATGCGACATGCATTGCGTGAGAAAACTGTACCGTTGTTCAAGGCTAGTCAAAATGTCACGTTGGACTTGAAGGATTTGGTCAAAATTGCCAAATAGCCATCGAAGCTCTCGTTCGGTACAAGCTGCCTTTTTCATTCCAAGAAAACTAAACGTCGTTTGCTTGGCGTCTTTGCGCATTGGGTTCAAAAAGATGTTGGCAACAAGCTGCAATGATTCGAGGTAGGCATGTTCTGAATTATATAGTTGTTGAACCAAGGCTTCGCGATTTCGATGAACAAGCTCATGATCTGGATACGTGCATGTTGTCAGTGAATTTGCCATATCGCGTCATGGTGGGATGCATTACCTAGCAACGCATCATCTACATCATCGTAGTCAAGGCTATCGATAATATCAAATTGGTCTTCCGTTAATTGCTTGGCGTCGTAAGTATGCTGTTGTTGTTGCTGTTGGTAGTGCGAGGTGGCTGTGGATGTGGTAGGTGACGCGCATATGGATGGCACTTCAACCGATGTATAGCCCGTCATGCTCGTCAAGCCGCTTGGATATCGTGAACTCGCATAGTTACTGCTATCTTTACTTGAAATGCTGCTGGTGCTAACAATGCTTTGGTGATGATGATGATACTTTGCTGGCTGATTGCGTCTGGATGTGGTGGATGGTCTTCGACGTGATGACAAGGTCTGCGACGTTCGAGGCGAGTCGCTATATGATGGTGAAGGTGTATTCATAAGATGGAAAGAATGGGGAGGAAGGAAGAGAAAAGAGAGAAAGAAAAACTTAAAAAGAATGCACGAAGCTTTTTTTGTTGCATGCACTTTCCCTCTTTGGGCTCATCGTCACATAGGTAGTACGTATTGCATATGTGCAGAGATGGGCCACATGTTGCACACCACTAAGCAATTGATAAATGGTCAGTCGCCCTTTTCGGAGTCAAACAATGGACGTATTGTATGGAGCGATACCACCAGGAGTCATATTGGAAATAGTCTAGGGAATGATGGGGGTGATCCTCGTTAATGGACATCATCTCTGATTCACGTCTTGTACTCTCCACTCCCTCGCTAAAGGTACAAATTACACAGTTGTACAAAAACCAAAGATGCAGGGGGCCATCTGTCGTTGACTATTGATCTATAATTTGAAACGTGTGAGGAGCAACCAAGGGTCGAAAAGTGTGTGTGCCATCCAAAGATGTGGTGAATATAGACTTGCGTTAGCGTGTTTTCGTGCTGCAGCAAAAGTCATTTACCGGCAAACGAGATTACCAGTGGTAAGGTGAGTGATGACTTTGAGTGAAATGATCGACACGGCTATCCCTGTTGTCATTGGTTTATCATAGCTAGGTGGTAGTCAAATGATGTGTGCGTAAGCGTGCCCAATACACGAGGTAAGAACAAAGCAAAAGCCAAAGACAGCGTGCGTGGGGTGCGTGGCCTTGGCCTTCATATCGGCTGAGTTTATTGTTAACCCCCTCTATGCCATCATCATCTCTACCCTCCTTGGTTTTCTCCACAAATGAGCATGCATTGCTTGTTTGCTTTGTCTCTCACGATACTTTGTTCTACTTTTTTTAAGCCATTACTACTACCAACATGTCACAAGACCACAAGATGGTGTCACGGATTTACAGTGGTGCATTGGCCCGATCATTATCAAATGCTTTGCTAGCCGTTTCATGTGAATCTCATTCCCTTTTTGCTTATGCAATAAAGCAAAAAAGCAAAATCACCAACCATGAATGGTAATGTGTATACACAATGACGAATGCGTATGGAGGCGGCAACAATGAAAAAAGGAGTATACGATGTCGCAAAAGAAAAGGACCCTGACGTATGTGTACATTCACTATGCGTGTGAGTGAGAATGCGAGGGGGTCTAAAAAGACCCACGGGCTTTCTTCTTCTCGTGCACTGCTAGGGATGTTTATGCTGATTTGTGCACATGATGCATCAGGGGCATGGACCCGAGAAGAACCGATCGATGTCTGCTTGTCATTGCCAAATCAGGATTACATAAAAGGGGAAAGGGGAAAAACGCGCCCAAACATTAAGAGCTATGGTCACGTTGATGTTCACCCGCCCTTTCCCCATTGTTTGTGAATTCTTGTCATTCTTTTCGTTTTCTCACCAGCTCTTTTCAAATGCTATCTCAGGTATACATCACCTTCCCCATAGCACGCGCACACGATTTTATAGCAGGGCAACCAAATGCTACTATCATTTACAACATCAATCTTCTCAAGAGACCAAATTGATTAATACCCACGGTCAATATTTGCTTATGTACACCACACACACATTGTTGGGTAATAAATTTGTTGACTTTGCTCACTACCCGCCACCGCTTAGTGATACGTGTTACCTGTACAAAAATGCAGGTACAACACAATTCGAGCTAAGCAAGGTGGTATCGTTTACTTGACCATGTTCATGCACATGCATATGTGTCAGCAGCCATCAACATCAACAACCCTTGTACATCACGTGTGTTATCCACAAATGCAGCTCTTAAGGGTATTTAGCCATTACCTAACATATGAAACAAGCCCATTTTCATTATGCTTGTGGTTGCTATGGATACAATAAAGGCGATGATTAGCTGCTTGTCCGTGCGTTTGTTTACATGTAGCTGAAACGGCTGCCATACAACATAGTGCAAATCGTTCCACACTCACACACAATTGGCTAAGGTCTTTCTTCAGCATGGGAAATCTCCGGGAAATATGGGTCGGGTCGTTTGCCGCCATGTTCGTATGACGTTTGACGTGAACCATGAGATATCGATAAGACAAGAGATACAGGCATTAAATTTGGTTTGCTTACAGAGCAAGTTCAACTTTCCTTTGACAAACAAGGAAATCCGATCTATGAAACTTTCAGATTATTGGTGTTGTGGTGGTATATACAGCTACATAAAGGAGCTTGTGGTAGGAGCAGATGTGAACGGTAACAACAGAAGAGCGGCCCATGGCTTGATCACACGCTAAAGAGCAACCTTAATATCACTATATCCGGCAAGGGGGGTGTGGCAAAGAATCAGAATCGTGGTATTGGGTGCTGCTTGTTGCATCAAAGAAAGAGGGAGAGAAGGCTGAGCTTGGCGCGAGGTATGCTTTTTGATCAGACAGTATTTTCGTGTTTCAGCCTCCCTCTTGCATAGAGAGCAAGAAAGGAATGCAACACACGCACACACAACCTACTGGATTATGCATGATGCAAATGGGCAACAAAAGCAAGATCTGATGATGCATGCATGATGCTTGTCAATTTATCAAGTAGCCACGTTCCCCTACATATCAAAGGCATGGATCCATTGGTGCTCATTCCTTGTGTGCTCCCCCATCATCATACATAGCCTAACAACAACACGACAGGTCTTGTGTTTGATTGACCACGATAATACCTAGCTGCTGATCCCAAACTTCCTTTCTTTGTGGGTTGCGAAAAACGCTTGTGATCGCCAAGAGTTATAAAAGGATACGTTGCCGGGTTATATTTGCGTCAACGATTGGATCTATGCGTCATTTTGTATATCGATCGACATTGACGGATGGCTTCTGTTTACATGTTTACACCCTTTTTTCATTCACGATCATGATGCTTGCCCATCCTGACACTAACTTTTACCTTCGTTGATTACACAAGTGAGGCGCTTGATCAAAGGGTCGTATCCGCATGCGTTTTCAGCCTCCTCAAAACCTGGCAGGGTGCACAACAATCGGCCGAATCACTTGCTTTGTTGTTTGTGTTGTGCGTGTGTGTCCTTTGTAGGCCGTGTGTAATGGTCGTACATACTAAAACCGAATTTTTCCTGCAAAGCTCCACTTGTATCTTCCTCTCTGCTTCGTTTCTGTGGCACACTTTTTTTCTCTTTACATTGGGTGGTGCAAACGATGCTACGGGTGAATCATAAAGTTCTTCCTTGTGTAGCGTATCTTTCTAGACTCATTCGTCAATGAGTGTGCGGATCCGCAGAACGACCATAGGTTGCACAGAGCTTGTGTGTACACAAATTTTGCAACGCACAATTCATCGAAACATAGGCTTGGTTTGCATTTGTGTCACAGAACGACCAAAGAAAAAGGTAAAGGGGAAAATGGAATCTTGACATACACACACGCACACACACAATACGTAGCACTATAAAAATGGTCATAATGAAAAATGATGGAAGAGAAATGGGCGTTGCTATGGAGTCACATGATTCATGGTAAACAAGAGAAAGAAAAGGGAACGAGGAAAACATCATTGGCGTTGTTATCGGTTAGGTGCGACAATCTATAGCTGTCACCTGAACCAAGCATTGTAAAACGCTCTTCTTTTTGCATGAGTCAAAACCCATTACTCGAATAAAGGAAGGGAAAATTGGTGTCAGCGCGCGGCTTTGTTCCGTTCTTTTTACTTTATTATGCATTAACCTTGGCACTTCAACCTGTAGGTTGGTTCGGTAGATGGTACACAAGAAAATAAAAAGACTGGCATATGTGTATGTGTGAGCATGTGTACGACGACCCCGTGGTGAGCGATCAATTACATCATGGAATGACCCAACCGACGCAAAACGCCCATCATCACGATTAAGCTGTGTGTGCATATGCGTATATATGTACACAAACACAGGACAGGTAAAAAAGCCAACCAACCAACCCGCCATTTTACCTGTGCACCCATTGGGATTTAGTGAAACGCACAACAACGGGATGAATTGGGGGTGTTAACCAACAGAAAAAGAGAAGCGAGTGACCCGTGACCATAATCCCATGATTGTATGCAACCAACTTGCGGACACAACGTTTTTGGTATATCGTACCTTTACCTTTTGATCCTCGTTGTTATTGCTGATGATTCGTCATGTTAGGAGACTCTATCTTCCCCGCCCAAACGACATTGAGTCGACCACCAACCTTATATCATTTATCCTCTCCTCCATATAAAAAGCTGTATCCTCATCCGCAAATCCTTGTTTCCTTCTCCCCGCATTCTCTCTCTCTCTCTGTCTTCCTCTCTCACGCTCTCAAATCCAATTCATTGTTACTTCTTTCTCTTTTTCACTCTTTGTCTTTCATTTTTCAATGATCCCTGCCGAGCAGCAACATCCTACCAACACCACAACGGTCGCTTTTTACCCTGATCATCCTCATCTGATGGCCCCACATTATCGCTATCATCATCCTCATCGCCACAACAGCTATCATCATTACGATCAACGATCCATGCCTATGGGGCAGCAGCAGCAACAACAACCATCACAACAACAACAACAGCATCATCTTTTAAATCGCAAGCGGTTATCTACGAGCAAAACAGCTACTATGCTTATGGATAAGCCAAGAAAGTCATCCACCACGGTGATGCCTTATCCTCTTCGTAGGCCACTGTTGTCGCCATCATCACCCGAACGCCTGTTGCTGCTCGACGAGGTTATCCCCGTTGAAGCACAAAAGCCATCACCTTCAACATCTTGTTCATCTTCTTCGACCACCTCCTCATCACCTTCTCCAAGGATACTACAACCTCCTCATACTACAACTTCAGCAACATCGAAACCCAATACCAGTACCACACACCATTTACCACCAGCAACACCAGCAAGGACATTATCGCCACCATCAATGTACTATTTTACATGGCTGGTATTCTTGCATGAGAAATGGGTTCCATTTGATGCTGCCAATCAATCCAAGCTGGAGCAAACGCTTACCTTGGGTGGTACCTTTGTTGATGTTTCGGATACCCATTTCCCAAAAGTCAAGCGTGTGCGTGTGTTTCCAAAGAACAATTACCTCTCGTACTTGGGCGTCAAGTATCGCTTGTCGCGAATCATGCAACCCGATGCTTGGCTTGATCATAAACATTTGGCTGCTACGTCGTCGTCTTCGCCTGATGATGAGGCGATTGATAACAGCTGCAATCGAGAAAACGCTGGTATCAATGGCAACCACAGCAGTGGTGCATCGCCATGGATACCGTGAAAAGGAGAATGAAAGAACAATGAATACTAGGGCCCGTTGGAGTTGACAAACAACATGCACAGAGCAAAAGGATCCCAGGTCCCTATTACTACCATTTCACAACAACCCATCGTTTCCTTATCCTCTCGATCGATTATTATACACTATCTTGCGCATACCTATATATATATATAATCCATGCAAAACCGCTTATCGTTTTGGAGCTCAAGGAGATTGCCGCTTGCTATAGTCTACATACAAGGCCGCTGTCCCGATACCTTGAGCCTCAAGCTTGAAATGAGCTTATACATACTTTTATACAACAGCCATATATTTATTTCTCAACACCCAGCAGGAGCAGTAGCTCTCGCCTTTTTGACTCGCCTTTGTCTACTATTACGTTGTAAACGAGCACCCATTGTTGTGTTGCTTAGTCGATAGATTGCCTTCTTCATGTAACAAATCGCTCCTTTCTTGTTTCCATCCACCACTACCACCATCATCATCATCATCCCCGCTGTCATCAGCCGATATAAATTCGTATATACCCCTTGTTAAAGTTTTGTTGTTATTGTGTCAGTGCCGAAGTGTGTATATGGCTGAAACCACTACTGACAAGGTTTTATCACCTGATGGCTGGAATATGCATATTTGTATGGATCACATATACATACAGGCGCATGCACTGGTGGTTGTTGTTCATCATCATGATACTAGGATTGTACACTTTTGACCCTTCCTTGAAGATACTCATTATCATTGAACATCTTTTCACATGGGATGCGGTGGTATTCATCACGTCGTCGATGTGGGTCTATCAGGTGTATGTTGTGTGTGTGTGTATAGTGGTGGTACTCCCGCTCAACGCATGGAAAGGGGGTGCCCCATGGCTCATCAGCCTGTTCCCTGTCAGACCATGTGAGCGAAAAAAAGGACCATGACCCCAATTATTATGCTCGGACATAATTATCATGGCCACATCTACCATGATGTGCACGCGTGTTTTATCACACTCATTCCAAAGTGTCCTTTACGGATGACATTGCCCGCATTTACATCCACAAACGGCATCTTTGGCTGCTTTTGGTTATCAACACCGTAAGAAAAAAGTAGTAGAATCTTTTGTTTGCACGATCCACCATGTCGTCTGTTGTATGAGATGCTGCACAAAAGCGTGCTACATGTCGCGTGGTAGCTGGAATAGGCGAGCTTTTCGCTTGTACGCCATGAAGACATTGGCTGTGAAGGTTCATTCACTGTAAAGGGAAATGAATGACCTGGCAGAAACTAGAAAATAACGATTAGCTAATTGACGAGGAAACATTTTGGGATCTTGTCACCATTGTAATCGGTGTTTTTCATCCATTCACTTTCGTTTCTCCCTCATTTGCTCCTTTTTTTTCTCTCTGGTCTCGATGCTCATGTGGCATCACGTCATAGTGCATGGATTTGGAATATCAAAACAGGATATGCGCGCACATGGTCGGAGGTTGTATAGCCTATTTTGCTCGTGCGGCAAAATCACCAAAAGGTGTTCAAAGTAAAGGGGAGGGATGAAGGAGTAATCTTTGTCAGGAAGAGAAACTGAGTTGGACGCCTCTTTGAGATCCCCCTCATGAACCTATGTCCTCGACGCAAACCTCAGTGTATGTGGAGAGATGGTTTTATTTGTTGGCACCCATCATACGGGTAGTAGTAGCACCATCATGTACAAATAATTGTTGGCCCTGAATGATCAATACGCATATTCAAAAGCACGTTCCATCTCGTCTTTGGAAAGGATGCTTGTGAAGGCTGGATTACATAATGAGGCAATCGATACATTCAGGGAGATAGAGCCCAAGGAGATCAATCTTGTGCCTGTTGGATCGAGAGGGTTAGCGTTGAAAATGTTGCACAAAGTTGAACGACCGCCATTAATTGGCATGCTTAGAAGAGTCGTGGGTCCTGCTTGTTTATCCAGGCAACATCACCATGGCAACTACGCAGCTTAGCAACAATGCGGAGTCGTTGCATCCTTTATCATTCCATAGTTAGGAGAAAGGTTGCTTAATACGCTTTGTGTGTTGGGGGTCAAATTCCAGACTTGGCAGGTGTAGTGCGTCATTGTTGGCTGCTTTGATTCTTTTGTATCATTGAAATGGTGATGGCACACCAACCATTGACTTTTTGGCATCATCGTATACGTGATAGCTTAATGAATGTCCCAAACATTTAATCACAAAGATATTAAAAAAGAAACGATGGTGGGCATGTGAAAGATGATGTGGGGGAAAAAAGTCACCATCACCACATGAAAGATGCGTGTGTGTGCGACATTTGAAGAAGGGTGGTTAGTATACCATGATGCTATGTAAAATATAGGCGGGTCCCAGACCCCTGTATCTTTGCTGATATACTCCCAAGCAATCATGGACGCATGTTGATCTATGCAACAATCAATGAACTGCATCTGTCGTGTCATGCAGATCAGTGCAGTGTAAACACTATCGCCATGTGTCGCAAAATTGACTTTTGTGCACCAGCGTAAGGAGCAAAAAATAGTGCCAGAATATCCCGCGTGTACAACATAGCAGCCGTCTCATCCACTATCACCATAATCATCACTTCCATTGCTACAACCCTCCTCAACTACCCCTTGATTGTCACTTCTTTCCTAGGTAAGTGATGACAACAGAGAAATATACTCTTTATATCGCATGCTATCGCACCTACATGCTCATGTGTGGGTTTTGCATATACCTTTGGATCAACAATAGAGGGCTTTTATTATCTCGGATGTTGTGGCTGGCAACTACCGCTTCTGTCAAACGACGACTTGAACTCAGAGAAGCAAGCTTGGGCCATGCAAAAGTCGGCTTTTACGGATACTCGCCCGCAATTTGCATCCATACCTCTACCAACAAAGCGGCACAAGCACCCATTGATACGAAACGTGTGGTGGTACGATGGGTGTCTCAACTTCCTTTTTTCACCTTTCCCATGCTAACAGCGTACATAGCATTTTACCCCTACCCCTAGCAAGAGCTCGTGGTAGGAAGCTCAAGGTTACATTATACTCTTGGATTTCAACTTTTTGTGATGGTATATCGATCATCATCAATGTATTGCAAGTAATGATGCTATTACTGCCTGTTTATGATTAGCTAATAGATATACCAAAATGGATTTGCAACATTCCCACCTCCTTGGCCCTACTACTTTAAGACATCACTGAAACCTGCATGCGTCATGATGGGGGGAGAGTGGTGGTAGTAAGGAAGATTAACAATGGATGCCATCGTGGTATGATTGATGGGAGAGATATTTAGCTACTCGGGTGCCCGTGCACCTTTTTGGGAGAGAGCATCGTGCGTGGCATCCATCAAGATCGCACGTACATTTGCGAACATTCCTTTGCAGAGCCCCTTGTTTATTTCGTCATCTTTGTGTTGTGCTCTCTCGCTCTCTCTTTCTTTAAACCTAAGGAGAAAGGGAGATGAAATAGACATTGTCAGCTTAATGACCTGGGTTCATATCAATTTTGGAAGCGATCGTCAAAGCTTGGATAGTAGTGGTGTGAAAAGATAATATGGCTCGGGGTGCTCCGTTAATACACCGACAAAGGTGGTTTACTGTATAGGGATAAAAAATCTCGAGATGAATGTAATGATTAAAGCATGCGTGCCAACCGTTGCCAAGCAACACATATACACAATCCACGTAACATGCACACGACTATATGATAGCTTTATGGGTTCGTGACACCCGAGATGATTAGCCAAAACGTTCATGGTTGGCCGACCGAATGACCGGGTACGACCGAAAAATCCACCCGCCCTTTTTCCCTTACTGATTTTGTTTGCCTTTTGCTCGCGTGGCAATTAAGGGTTGCACGGGGATAAGATGCGCTGAATAAGCACAATACAGAAACAACGTGCTCTGCCCAAAAAAAGAAAATGGCGGTTTATTTTGCGTGTGGTGGAACCCTATCGTGAGTGCATTCATGCCAACTGCTACCTTCCACTACCCCCGCGCGGTTGTATCCCGATCACACACACACTCCTTGTCAAGGAGAAAAATGATTCTGCCATGTGGCCCAGCACAGCTTATTACATTTATCTCCCAAGTAAGTGGGTGTGTTGTCTCTTAGGAATGCTATTCGTGTGTGTATCATACGTAATGGAAATTGCCCCTTATTACTCCTTCCCCCCACTTTGTGTCTTTAGTACCCGTGCGTGCTACATTATTATTGTTTTCCTGGTTTCCCTTTATTGGCTTGTACCAAGGGCCACAATCATGGTTTAGCCGACCACAGGGTTTTGTATGAGTGGCACAGGTACATTGACAAGCTATCAACCAAAAAGATGATGAAATGGATACCGGGTAATTGTTTATTTGTAGTAAAGAAAACGAAAAAGGGTAGAGGAACAGGTATAGTAATTGGTAATCAACCTAACTAGAAACCAAAGGATACGGAAAAGTGTTGGTAGGCTTACGGACCAATCATAAGCCGCAAAGACTAAAATAGGTACCCACCCAAGTATATAAGAACCTACCTCGACCCTGGCAGCCTGTCATTTCCTCAACCCGTTTTTTACTTCTCTGACACAAATTACCACTCACAGCTTTTTGCAACAATTCATAATGCAATTTAACAATCAACACGATTATACCAATCTTATGTCCACCACGTTTGGCACCACCAACGCCTACTTTTATCAACAAGAGCCTGCTGCCACTACTACTACTGCTTCGGCTGCACCATTGTTGTTGGAGCCATATGATCACATGGTGCCATCGAGTGATGCTGCCGTCGTCAACAATACAAAGAACAATGATCGAGACCAGACATCGGCTAAAGATAACAACCGGAAGAGACCGAAGCGTAAGCAAGTTAAGAATGCATGTGGTAAGTTATTTTTAACCCGACGCAAAGTGACACAAACATGTCTTTTCTCGGGTCTTATCCATATTTGTCGTATGAAGTTGATTGGATGGCTCATGTCGCTTATCCCTCTTTAGTTAACTGTCAAAAGGCATGCAAAAAATGTGATGATGGTCGTCCTTGCCAACGTTGCATCAAGCTTGGTCTCACCGCCACATGCACCAACTCCCCTCGTAAGGAGCGCAAGAAAGGTGTTAAGCGTGGTCCCTACAAGAAGCGTCAAACTGCACACCAACAACAGCAAGAACAAGGTGTGATTGGTACCTCGACATTCAACACCAACAATGACATGTATCAACAGCCCCTCAACATCACCCCACCTTTGACTACCAACACCTCACCTTTGTCGAGCTCGCCTTTGTCTGCCGATTTGGGATACAACTACCTCGCAACAACCCATGATGTTGCTTCATCAGCTTCTGCTTCTTCGCTTTCACCAGTGTCACCCCACTTTCCTCAACTTGCTTGGGAAAACAATCCTCGCCAATACGATGGTTTGTGGCAAGATGCTCCTGGAATCGATAACACCAATGTTATGGTTCAGCATTTGGATGCTCCTATTACCAACAACAACACCATGACTACCACCACTGCTTTCGACTCTCTCGCTTACAACAACATGGTGAAATCCCAGCAGCAACAACCTTACGACTTTTTGTATATGGAAGACCCTTGCATCATGACCAGCGATGATAATACATGGGCCATGTACTCCCAACAACAGCAACAACAACAACAAGTTCAGTATTACCAGCAACCTCAATCGACTGGCTACTGGCAGACATTTTTGGCCAACGCCTAAATTCATCTCATCGATCGCATTGATCTCTGCATTTATCTCGCCGACTCGCTCACACACGTGTTATTCCCATATCTCATTGTTCAAGCCATTCACATCCATCTCATCTTACACATGCTAGACCACTCTCATACATCTCATTATACACATGCAGAATCCCCTCATTTATGCTTCATCATGTTTCCTCCTTTCCTATCGCTGTATATATATTCTGGCGCGCCACCTCATTTTCATTTTACGCATCCTTCATCATCCATTATATGCATCTCCTCTCTTCATCCTACCTAGACACGCACACATACACATATCAAAACCACCAAAAAAAAGTTCCTTCTTATATCCCTATTGTACAACCCCATCTCTTCCCCCTCCATTAATTCGCATTACCATTATTATGTATCATCATGCCTTCATCTCTAGAGTAGAACTCTTTAGACCTTTGTTTTTTTTACAATAGACGGGAACAACATTACTAAATTATATTACTTCTCCTAACTCTGCTCTTATTCAATGCAATGAATCTTTTTGATGTGACTCAAAGTTGTTGTTGTGGCCACCACAGCAACGTCGAATGATAGCGTCTCGTTTCCACCAACAAATATACAATCCTCCAGCCACTACGAATACAATGACGACGATGATAACCGCCACAATCCATTTTTCGAGAGGGCCCTTTGGACGAGTAACAAAAGGACGTGGATCAGAGATGGATGCATAAGGTGGATCATTGACGTTGTCCAAACTCAGCTGATGAGCAACCAATCCTTGAAAGGGGGCATTGTAGTCGAGTGCCACCTCCGTTTGTGCCCAATCACTGCGCTGATCATAGAATTTGTCGTCGTGGTCCGGACCTCCTACTACCGCGCCTAAAAAAGTTCATGATCCCAAAATTAGTCCCAAATAATAGATCACTTACAACCACAATTTATACCATAAAGAACATGTTCTTCTTCGGGAGGAGATGTATCCACTTTGCTGATATCTGTACCGCCCGAAGCTCCCGCGTGGTGTGGATTACGTGGCGAATTCATGTGGATACCACACACATAAGGTGTACGCCTATGATGTAAAAGAAGCATGAATACATGATGTAGCCACTGCTGCTTTCATTTCAAACTTACATGTAGTTGTTACCGAGGACATAGTCAATCTGACTGGTTGCAAATTGCATGTAATCGCTTGATTTGGATGTATCCAGTGAGCTGTAAATCAGGGCAAGAAAGGCCGTATCCATGGCTGGCACCAATGCATTGCTTTCACTTTCATGCTCGCACCATAGCAATCCACCCTTTGTAAATCCACAAACGTCGTTGCCATGGATGATGGCATCCAGATAGTAGATGGCTGAGTCCTTGTATTTGGTATTGTCAGGATCGACTTGGGTTCCCAATACGTAGATAGCACCTGCTGGATCACTCCAATCCATGATATTGATCGGCTGGTATTTGTACAACTTGAATTGATCAAAATAGGCTGATGCCTTATCGCGGTAAGAAGGATTGCCTGATGCTCGGTATAACCATAATGCCGCATACACCAATGGAATCTTGTACCCGCTACTTGTATAGTATTCTTGTGATGCTGAAACCGCTTCTGTATAGAGTTGTTGGGGCATGGCTGTATCCGCAAACGAAAATAATGCCTCGGCATGAGATTGTAACGTGTCGGCATAGTTGGAGTCGTTGAAAAGGTGGCGGAACAAGTAAGATGCCGAAGCGAATGCAGCAGAGGTTTGTGCAGCAATATCAGTACCAGGCGCATCGGATGTGATCGAGTAAGAAGGTCGTTTGTCGGGTATATTGGTATCAGGTCCTTTTTTTATACATGCGTTGCTTATTAGTACAACAAAGCTTGATGATAATGGTATAGGTTTCCTTACCCCAGTAATTGTTGTCGATATCACCATCGCCTACCTATATAAGATAAATGGGCTGGTCAATGCATAAGAACATGTGGTGTTTGCATGAATGTTTACAGGTTCCTTACCTGGACATAGAGAACATTGGGTTCTGGATGGGCTTTGATGAGATAGTCGGTTCCCCAACGAATGGTGTTGCGTAGGTATTCGATTTGCTTGGCTTTGCTGTAACCACCAAACCATTCAATGCCACCCCATGCAAGTAATGTGATCGAATGTGCCAAAGGAAGCGTAAACTTGAGGTAATCACTGCAAGGCGTCGTGGGTTAAAGAAGAGGTATTATCGCTCCGCTGTCAGCACTTACCCAGCGTCATAGTAACCTCCAGTAAGGTCAATCTTGTGGTCACTGCCATCATTGAGTGCTGAATCACTTCGCCTAGCTCATTGCCTCGGCATTAGCAAGTAATCGTGTATGGAGAAGAAGAAGAGATAGCTTTACCAAGGTACTCGATTGTCTGGTGGTAATCTCCCACTCCGCTGTGCTTCGTAAAACCACATTGAATTATTCAACAAAGACGTATAGTATGGGTTGGCATCTTGTTGTTGTTGTTGTCCAAATACGACTATCGTGGTTGACAATGAGAGCAAAGCGAAGAAAAGGAAATGGGTAAAATGAAAGTTGGAATGCATGAAAGAAACGAACAAGAATAAAAAGTAATGGATACCTTTGTCTTTTGAACCATGGATGGCGTCTCTCCTCGTCCTCCCAATTGGGGCATTCCATATGCGAACACATACACATACACACACTCACATAGAACCCCCTCGAATCCTGTTGTAGGCGCATACGAATGGCAGTATTAGACAAATAAAGAGGCTTCCGATATTCCACGTGATGATCTGCATCGATTGGGATCGTTCCTTGTGTATAGAAGAAAGAGACGAAAATGGGAATTGTTGATAGTCGAGTGGCAATAATAGGAGACAAAGATATGAATTGCTTTGTACATGAGAAGAGAAAAAGAGACTTTTTTTTGTTTGTTGAATCGATCAAGAGAGCCTAATTACAAATGAGGGGAAGTAAGGAAAAAAAGGGAGGGAGATGTGAAGTGAGGAGAGAGGAGAGAGGAGATGTGAGGGTTTTTTTTATGGTTGTGGAACCTAGCAACTAGAGAGAGAGATATGTATATAAATGTGTATTGGGGGTGGTAGATATATGCACAATGGGTTGTTTCATCTTTTGGATGCTTTTTGGCCTGCCTTCAAGTGGGATAGACGTCGATCATCGACACGTTGCAAGAAAGCAACCTTTTCCATGTAGCTATGAAGATGATACGATATGAATTTCATTGTCTCCTCTCTCGTTGTATAAATCTTTCTCCTACTTACCCATCCTTGTTCTTGTACTTGAGCTCGTCACGAATACCCTCCTTTTCAACGTAGCCATTCCAATCCAAACGACTCTTTTCAAGTGTATTCATCTTGGGCACCTTGATATTGTATTGTGACACAAGCGCAGATAGTGTTGATTTAGGTCGTACAATGCCAGGTCGACGTGTTGGAGTTCGCGTGTTGTTGGTGCATGTCGACTTTGTGCTGTTGTTGATGGTGCTGGTGGTAGTGGCAATTTTGCCCGTCATCATCGTTGAAGCGCTTTTACTATACAACAACAACAAACAAACAAAGCGTGTGTTAGCTTAGAGGCTATTACTTTTTTTCACTTCACACACACTACACGTACCTCTTTTCCGATGTTGATGACTTGTTATCATTCAATGTAGCAGAAATATCATCCAACGGCTGCTTTGTCGTGTCCTGCACCAATGCTCTCCGTTTGGGTTCTTCCCTTTTGTTCATTTCAGCCCAAATAGCGTCTACGCGTGCTTTGCGCTTGGCTTCTGCATCCAAATCCGTCGCCTCAATCCTATGACAAGTATACCATGAGTCATCCAACACCTACCCAATAAATGAATCTACCTACCTTGTCTTTTTGATAGTCGCAGCATCATCAAAGGAAACTTCTTCCTCTACGTCGCTTGCCTTTCGTTTGGGAATCACAGTCGTCATTTCTACTGGAGTCTTTGGAGACTGGCTGCTGTAATCATCGTCTGATTCCGCGTCAGAGCCATCCTGAGCTGTTGGGAATGTCAATGGCAAGCTTTTTGAGGGAAAGAGAGAGAGAGTTTCGTGTCAAACACATACCATCGGGTGTGTAATCAGAGTCGTTATCAGAATCGTCTTCTTCAGCCCAGTGGTTTATCGGTTTCTCGTTGTTGGTTGCTTTGTTGTCATTCCCGTCGAATTGCACCACAGGGTTCATAGTCAAGCGCGGGTGGTAGAAGAGTAAGGAAAAAAAAAAGACACAGCCGACGACCAGATTTTTTTCCTTTGTTCCATCTCGTTGGCTGTGTCTCCGATGTGTAACGTGTTACACTTGCAACCTGTTGTTGCTATCAGCCAATCAAATCACATCTTTACAAGTGCAATGGTTCACTACCTTATGCAGACATCCCACCATTCTTGTCATCCATCATACTTCATTACAATAAAGCCATCTGTTGATTTGTGTTTCATTCTCTTAATACGCTGCTATCATTGAATTGTATGTAGAAGAGGGGTAGCAATGAATAGCTCTTCTATTATATACAGCTGTAAACAACATCATCCTACATTTGTAAACGACGACAATCCATTATTATAAAGTACCAACAACATCTGCTGGTGTCAAGAGGAGCTGTTTTTCGAGTAGTGAAAAGCATTCGTTGAGTCAAAATGGACGTCTACTGATCAACGTGCATATTCTGCTGCCTCATCGATCATTGTTGTGTTGTCGTCTTACATTCAATTCAACAAACTTAAGATTGTTCATCAGCTATGATGTGTTGATTCCCTTAATGTGAAGCTGCTGCTGATGATTACCTCCTCCATAAACCATTCTCAAAGATGCCAACCCTTCATTCATGTAGTGATTTTTCGACATCCTTGTTGCTGTATCTTAAGGCTTTTATTACATGCATGTGATTCACTAGTATCGGGAAAACGTTATCATACTGCTGATTTCGATACTTCTGGATACGAGAATAGGGGATCTCCATTACTCTAAAGTACCAGCAGCTACTGTAATTTGACATTCTTGGGTTAAATGTTGATTCTGATGATAGGAAAATGCAATTGAAAGAGACCACAATTCACTCACTTGGATCAATGACCTGCCTCTACTATGGCATTAAACGAAGGTGTTATAGATGGATGTTTATAAGAAGACAAGCATTAGAAGTACACAAGAATGTTAACGATTGACCCCATGATAGAGTCTATATATGGTGGACGTAAGTGCGCGCGCGTAATGGTGTTTGTGAGTGTGATGTGTGTACAACAAGACCCTGCGTGTGCTGTGTGCTTCAACCGCTCATATTAGGACATGTGATACAAGGCATTTGCGGGACAAGGTTGTTTCTCTCCGTGCCTGTTGTACCTTTTTTCTCTCTTTCCACACTCCCTCTTTTTTCAACTTTTGTCATCCTGTGGCGATGTTTGGCATTAAGGGGAAAAGCAAACCAAAACGACCTCCAGGTACTGAAGTCCCTCCATCGCCGGCATTACCGCGTCAAGGTAGCGGACATGCCAACATGTCTCAGCAATCATGGAACACGGCAGCTACCAGCTCTACGTCTTCCTCCATGCCCACAAGCAGTCTACCACAAGCATCGCCATCTTACATGTTGGACAGCTATTATCAAGGCAAGTATTGCTTTATTTCACTCGTTGACAAGTCTCCAAAAGTAACGTCTTGTCTACCTGCAGGTGATAATATTTCGATCGCCAGTTCCCGATCTTCTAGCAGAACAGGGTCGCTATCAGTGGGAGACGATACAGGTCGATTCAATGGCATGTCTGAAAAGCAAGTGGAGGATTTATTTGAAAAGATGTTGGTATGTTTTGATGCAAAAAAAAAGAAGAGAGAGATGATGAGTTGATGCTCATGGATTCTATCATAGACACGACGAGGCATCCACGATCAAAATGTACGCAATGCCATGCTTGCATTTCCAACAGAGAAAAAGTGGCTCATGGTGTCTCAAGATATGCAAGCCGAGTCCTCGTTACCAGCACCTTCCATGTCAACAAGCAAGAAAAGCAACAATGATCCAAGAGAAGTGGATAAGAGCACGCCTGAATTCTATATCAAGCAATTCCTCGAACCAGACATGAAAGGTGTCACCCCGCGTTTGGTGGCTCACTTGGCTGTGAGTCTCCGCACCATGCCGCTAAGGTGATTACAACTGTGTGTTGGATTATGCAATCGGGGCTAACATTTGGTTTCACCTTTTAGCTGGGTACGTCAATTTATTGATGCAAGAGGTTTACAAGTGATCACCAACGTCATTGGTATCTTAAACAAAAGGGATACAAAGTAAGTCATCATCTTCAAGGGTATCTAGTGGTATCGTCGTTATTCACAAGAGATGCTTTTTCTAGGACTGAGGAAGATTTGCAGATGGAGGCTGAGATATTGAAATGTTTCAAGTCGTTGATCAACAACAGAGTAAGTAGTGCATTTCCAGGCGATGGAAAGATCAAACTTATATACCTATTTCTTGGTAGTGGGGTGCTCGTGAAGTGGTATCACATCCTGAATGCATCTATCATGTCGTCTTGTCATTGGTGTCACCTCCTATCCAAACAAGAAAGCTTGTGTGCGAGGTCCTTGCATTTTTGTGTCACGTGGATTTACCCAAGGGACAAGAAATCGTTCTCAAAGGATTGGACAAGTTGCGTGAATATGGACGTGAGTTTGGACGATTTGATGCATGGCTCAAGCTTCTCGATGCAACATTGGATGGTCGTGGACGAATGGGAAGTTTGGTGGGTGCGAGTGACGATGTACGACGACTTGGTGGTCAAGGTGCTCCTGATAATCATCTCAGTGACTATGCGGTAAGCAAATGATTTTTGATTTGGGTAAAGGAGTCATTATCTAATTACTTTCTCTATAAAGCTATCCAACATGATGCTGGTGAATTCGTTGATCAGTGTGGTCGAGGATGTCGAAGTACGAGTCCATCTAAGGAACCAAATGAATGCATGCGGATTACAAGCTATCACCGACAAAATGCTTGAATTCAACAACGAGCACCTTGCACGACACATCAGCATCTTTAAGCAAATGAGCGACAATGATTACGAGGAAGTGATTGAGACGCATACCGAAAACATGCTGGAGAACATGAACGATCCACGTGATGTCTTTGAAGCTATCTTGGGACGAGTGGAAGGCACACGAGGCTATGATTTCTTCTTGAGTGCTCTACAACATTTATTGCTGATCCGGGATTCTGGAGACACACAGTAAGTATAACCTTCGAAACTCTATTATGCATTTCGCTTATGGTGGCTGCTATATAGAGTGCGTTATTACCAGTTGCTCGACAATTTGATTACACAAGTGGTGTTGGATCGGAAGGGCTTATCAGCAGAAGACTTTACTGGAGGCTTTGGTTGGTCCGTGGCATCCTTGGTTGATAAGTTTGCCGAACAAGATCAGCTTGCTAAGGCCATTGCAGAAGCTAAGGAAGCTAAGCAAAAGTATGAGCAAGCTATCAAGGAGAAGCAAGATCTTGAGACTGAAATGAATTTGCAAGGAGGTTAGTATATGGATTTGATAAATGGGCTACTAAATCTTACATGTATTATGCTAGATGGTCTTGTCGGCCAACTACGTGAAAAGACCAATTCGCTAGAGGATCTCTTGCGCATGTCACGACATACGATTTCGACTCTGCAACGTAAAATCAAGGATTTGCAACAAGAGTATGATCGCAACATGGCTGCTATGGATAAGCAACTCCGAGATTTATATCTGAAGGCTTCTATTGCCAACGCCAATGATCAGAACGAGCAAGGTGATGAGGATGCTGAACATGCTATTGCACGAAAGGATATGCCACGAGCTTACGACAAAACATGGGCACGTGCTTTGCTTGAAAATCGTCATCCTGAGCTTGATAGCGATGGCAATGAACTCGAGGTATGAAATAGCTGATGAATTTTAACGCTTTCTTCTAACACATTTACCGATTTTTAGGATCTTCCAAAGGCTGAAGGGCTATCGGATAGCTTCAAGGCTTCATTACGTGATCAACTTGGAGGTTCTGGAATACCATCTGGATTCATTATCCCTGGCACTATGCCATTGATCGGTTCCACCAGACGTCGTGGTCGTGGATCAGAGTCAGCTGAGGATACTACCACTACTACTACTACCACCACTACAGCAACAGCGGCAGGAACACAACGTGATGCGGCAATTGAAAAAGAGATCCAAAGCCAAGAGCAGCATACTATGGCACCCAATGTACAGCGCCACGATGCAAGAACACTCGCATCCAATGACAAACCTATTTCAGCACGTGCTGCCGAACTTGAGGAGAGACTCAAGCCAAAGACCACTGATTCGGCGGATGATGATCTTGTTAGTAAGGGCGATGCACAAATACAAACAAGCGCGGGTAGTACAAGTGCACAGACCACGCATAGTGTTGGGGTTTCAACATCTACAGCGACTGAGATATCGACACAAACAGCATCAACGTCTACCGATGGGGCACCATTACATCCATCATCTCAACATCAATCAACAACATCAGCATCCACCTCTAATGGTGACTCGACACAACCTAGCAATAGTTTGGCCGCACAAATTGCTTCCGCGGCAGCACAAAAGCATACAACAGGAAGCACATTGGATGAAAGAGCCGTATCAGATGCAAATCAAGGCACCCATGTATCTTCATCTCAACATCCTGGAAAGACATTTGATAACACCACTGTCACTACAACTGCGAAGCACACTACTATTTCACAGGCAAATGATATACCTCCTCCATCATCAGCCACAGCATCTTTTACTGGATCAACAAACGATTCATCTATTCCACCACCTCCACCACCTCCACCAGTAGCTGCTGTTGGTAACCAGGCAACGGATGCATCAATTCCACCACCACCACCGCCACCACCAGTTACTGTTGTTGGTGGTAACTCAGCAACTTCTGTGCCACCACCACCACCACCGCCACAACCATCATCATCCATTTCAGCATCTACGAATAAAGACAATGCAGGTATACCGCCACCACCTCCACCTCCACCACCTTCAGGTGCTACGGGTATTCCACCACCACCTCCACCACCTCCACCACCAGGATCATCAAATGCTACTGGTACAGCTCCACCACCACCTCCTCCACCACCACCGCCATCATCAGGCTCTACTGGTGCAGCTGCTCCACCACCACCACCTCCACCACCTCCAGGAGGTGCTCCACCACCACCGCCTCCTGTTCCACAAGGACCTACACGTAAACGAATGCGATATCAGCCTGATGTCAAGACACGTGCTTTACAATGGACCAAGATGCATAATCAAATGGTCGGCAAAACAATTTGGGGTACTGAAGATGTGGATGAAATGGCCTTGGAAGACGAGCTGCAAAGCCTTGGTGTGTTTTCATCCATTGAAAACTTGTTTGCACAAAAGGTGATTCAGCGAAAGAAACGAGATCAGCAACCCAAAAAGCAAGAAATTCGTATCCTTGATCCCAACAAAGCACAAAACATCAGTAAGTCAAAACAGCTTGCAAATACAAACATAGATATCTAACAGTGTGCTCTTTAGATATTGCCATCTTGTCACGTCTCAAATATGTCCCCATTGAAACAGTGGTTGCCAAGCTTTTGGCTGTGGATGATAGTTTATTCAAGGAGAACTTGCTCAAGAGTATGCAAGAGTTTGCACCAACCCCCGATGAGACTGGCAAGCTGAATGTCTTTGTCAAGAGTGCATCAGAAGAGGATTTGGAACGGCTATCAAAACCTGACACTTTTTGTTATGAGGTAAAAAAGGGATGATGATGATGGCAGTGGTGGCGGGATATAGGCTAATTTATTTCTTTCCATCAAAGGTGATGAAAATCGATCGTTACAAGGAGCGAGTGGACAACATGCTTTTCAGAGTGACCTTCAATGAGAAACATCAACAACTTAGCCAGGTATGCATAGATGACATGGTATCTACGTCAAACAAGTAGGCTGACATTTGTGTGTTTTAGAACATGGCATCTGTTCTTGATGCTTCCATCGCCGTCAAGGAATCCAAATCATTCAAAGAATTACTCAAGGTATGTGCTTCTCGCATCACCCACTCTATCACAAGTCCACTTATCATTCTTTCACTAGCTTATCCTTACGCTTGGTAACTACATGAACGGTTCCACATTCCAAGGTGGCGCATTTGGTATTCGTATTGCTAGTATCAACAAGGTGAGTGAGAAAATGTGATTCAGTCGTGTAATTTTACTTACATGAATGTTAGCTTGTGGATACCAAATGTACGGATGGATCAAGCACTACTCTCTTGCACTTTTTGGTGGATACGATTGAAGAGAAATTCCCTCGACTTCATGGTTTTCTTGATGATCTTAAAGAGACTGGTCAAGCATGCCGAGGTAAAGCCCGAAGATGTTGTCTTTCTTTTATACACGCACACTCACAATTGACACTTCTCTGTCTTTTTAAGTCACTTTGCAAGATGTGGTCAAAGAATACAATGAGCTGCGGAGTGGATTGCAGAAATTGATTGATGAATTGGATGCTCATTATGGTGATGATTATAAGCCTGAACAAGGTGACAATTTTGCCAAGACCATGGTGGAATTCAGGGACAAGGCATTAGAAAAGTTTGAGGAACTTGAAGTGCGATACACATCCATGGACGTTGCTTACAAGGATGCTGTCTCTTTCTATGGTGAAAATGCAAATGAAATGAAGCCGGATGAATTCTTTGGTATCTTCAAGACGTTTACGTCGAGTTGGGAAGTAAGTATAAGGTACATAGCAACGTAGATATGATCACGTACTCAATCCATTCTTACTAGCGTGCCATGAGTGATAACAAGAATGCACGAAAGAAATTGGAGCAAATGGAACGAGCACGACGTATGGATGAAGAACGACGTGAACGTATTAAAGCACAACGACAACGTGGTGTTGATACCAGTGAAGGTAAATCTATTTTGTGTGCAACTATATACATGTATCCATGGCAACTAAAATACCATGTATAGATAACGGGTCGACTGGTAGTGAGGAGGAGAAGAATCTTATGGACAACTTGCTTGATCGGTTACGAGCGGGTGATTTGGATACGGGCAATAAGCGAGCACGAGGGGCAGCACGTGAACGACGTATGCAACGAAGTGAATCGGTTGCTGTTATGGCTGAGGATCTTCTCAAGAGCATTCAAACGGATCAAGATAGCCCACCTGTACCACGATCTAGACGCTAGACTTGCTTTATTTATCATCCTATTCCCCTTAGTAAATGTGCACTCTTTGTTCTCTCTTAATGATGTGTGCCGCCTAAAACGTGGAGACCCTGCATTGGATCAGCGGCATTGTAAAGAATTCATTCATTAACTTCTTTTTCACGTTCTTTGTTCTATCCATGACAACGGCCAAGGGCTCTACCAGTAGCTCTGTTCAGTCAACGGGAAAAAGCAACAACAACAATGACAACTTGCTAGCGTCTACAGCCAAGGGCGCTTACTATCTCGTGCTGTTACAGTTCTCTTCACGCATGTTGACATTCGGCCTCCATCAGATTGTACTTCGTTATACCACAGCAGAAACACTCGGCATTGCTTCAGTCAAGCTTGAGTTATTATTGTCAACCATTCTCTTTATTTCACGCGAGGGATTTCGATGTGCATTGCTACGAGGTGGAAGCGAGGAGAGTAGTGACAATGACAAGGAGCAGGAGGAGGAAGAGCAAAAGGTCACCAACCTTGCCTATATTCCTACAGCTCTTGGATTGATAACGACGTTGTTGGCATGTGGATACTATCTATCAACCATTGATGATGCGACTTCATTGAAGTATCCTTATTATCGTACCTCCGTGATTCTTTTTGGTGCAGCAGCATTTGCAGAGTTGCTTGTGGAACCTCTTTTTATCCTCGCCATGAATCGGCTGTACTTTTCGTTACGTGTCTCGGTGGAAGGTGTCGCTGTATTGGTTCGATGCTTTATTACATTCGGCATGACACTACTTGGAGCAACATCATCACACAATGCCTATGGTGTACTTGCCTTTGCTGTTGCACAAATGGCATTTGGATTGATCATGATGTTTGGATACTTTGCTTTCTTTTTCAACAAGGTGCGATCACAACAAATGAAGACAAGTGCATTATTCCCACAGAGACTCAAGGCATCGAATGGAAGGTACATGGTTTATGGCACGTGATGCATCTCTTTCTCACACACATATGATGTAGGTTTTATTACTTTGATAAGACGATGCTCAACCTGGCGTCTACATTGACCAAGCAATCTTTGCTCAAACATGTGTTGACGGAAGGAGACAAGATGCTGATCTCTGCTATATGCTCCGATAATGACCAAGGGATCTATGCTTTTGTTGTCAATTATGGTAGGTAGTGTACCATGCTTGCTATTTTGATATACATTAACCACGGGAAATGGTATAGGATCTCTTATTGTGCGTATTTTATTTCAACCGCTTGAAGAAACCACCCGTACGCTCTTTTCAAAGCTTCTCAGTAACGGGGAAAAGAACAAATCCAGTATGCAAACAGCTGCCAATGTGCTCTTGATGACGCTTCGTGGCCATATTTTACTCGGCTTACTTTTTACGTGCTTTGCCACCAACTATACAGCAACATTGATCGATTTACTTGTGGGAAAAGAGTGGTCAGTGCATCGAAATGCTCCAGCAGTGCTGTCAGTGTATTGCATGTATGTGCCAATCATGGGCGTCAATGGCGTGACCGAAGGATTCGTGCAAGCCGTGGCTACCAAAAAGGACTTGTCCCGCTTGAGTTATTACATGATTGGATTTTCGGCATGTTTTATGGTGGCTGGATACTTTTTCATGCACGTATTGGATTTGGGTGCCATTGGTTTGGTCCTCGCCAATATGGTCAACTTGTCTATTCGCATCGCCTACAGCTGGAATTACATCTCGTGCTATTTCGGTGATACGATCCCTCAGCTACGGATACGAAGCTGGTTCCCAAGCAAGCTCACCATGGCGGCTTTTATGGTTGCGTGGGGTGTCACTCGATGGTCCGAGCAAATGGTGGGTTGGGATACGTTACAACAAAAGGCGATCCATATTGGCATTGGTGGATTATGCGCATTGATCGTTGCCGGTATAACGTAAGTGGATTGTTGAATATCGAGAAACATGGATGTTGACCCCCCGTATGTTTCCACCAGGGTCTGGAAGGAAAAGGCGTGGATGCATGACATGAAGCAACTTGCCAGGTCACGCAAAAAGGAGGATTAAGAGTGATCCGATTTGCCGCATTAGCAGTTGTAGTAGAGGATACCAAATGGCTACGTAAAGAAGATGCCATTCTGTACAAATATGCAATTTTTTGACATCAAACATAATAAATGCTGCTATACTGCATTCAGCAATCATCTATACGACTTTCTCTAACAGTGGATCTTTAACATTAGATGTATTTTATTGTTACGCAACGATAATAAAACATGCGCTGCGTTCGACAAACCACTCTTCTTTGAGATCTTTGATCTACGTTAATATCGTTTTCCTGAGATTCGATGCTCGAAATCCTGCTGGCGTATATGGTTGGTCATGCCACCCCATTATTTGATATTCCTGTTTGAAGCATGTGGGTTTCTTACAAGTTGACTATGCATATGGCTGAGGGCATACAGTTGTCCCACGGGCTTTCACAAGATGGCTCACTCCATATGTAAGAGAGTGAACATGGCTAGCGGGGGCTGACGATACACAGGCTTGTAAAAGAGACGACGACGGAAATCGGAAAGGATTCATCCTCTGGTAACACGTGGCTGGTCTGCTGTTTGCAACAGTCATTGATATTGTTTATATGAAGGGAAACAAAAAACTAGTTAGTCCTGGGTTATGTGATATAGGCTGATGATCCATGGTGAGAAAACGGGTTGCGGTTGTACGTCGCTCCCATATGCTGCAACTGAGCTAATTTAGAGCGGTAAGGCTTATAGGTATTGTTTCTGCAACCATCTGCAGCCACTATTTCCCGTTTCCGCTTGCCATGGCAATACATGAAAGAGAACCACAAGAATGTTAATTAACTTTTTATCGACGTTTGTAGACGATGTTGGTTTTCTTGGAACTAGCAGAAGAGAACACACTTTCGAAAGAGAAGGTTTCTTGCAACATCGCCCATTATGGTTATTATGTTACACATGTTGAGGGTCCTCAATCATTCGCTGTCTCTCTCTCCTCCTTCCATCCCACCCCCCTTTTCCATTTCTTATTTTGTATAATAGACACAGATCCATTTGCAGATGCGACCTAAACCTCTCTTTCGCTTTTGCTTCTCTTTTGTATTTCGTTATAACCCCCATACTTTCCTTTAACAACAATACCATGCCAAGTGCACGTTCCTTGTTGCTGTACACTGCTTCAGCATTGTTTATATCCTCCTCCATCGTTTCCGCTATCCCTATTCAACTCCAAAAATCGTTTACAGGCGCAACAATCGCACCATCCACTTTTGTGCAAGACACACTTGCTGAGTACTATGAAGAAATTGTAGATCAAGTCATGGAAGTTGTCAGCGAAAGCATGTATGCATCAGCACCAACAACGTTAATGAGTGCTCGTCACTATCAAATCAAAGACGATGGTAAGTTCATTGAAAAGAGCACACATTGCATAATGGGGTTTTATCTGGGTCTAATCTTTATATCATGTTGCCTTGCCGAAAATAGTCGAGTGCCGTACATCGCTTTCACTGTTAATGCCATCACTCGAAAACCAATTGTCTCAGTTGCGAGCCAACCTTAATTCATCCATACGCCCTCTACTTGTAAATAACTTGCGAGTGGTCGTTCGTGGCCAGGATGCCATGATTGATCTCAACCATCGACTCGCTTATCAACTTGGAACATTGATCCGTGCTGAACAAACAGCTTCGACGATCGTTCGAGAATCTATGGTGGATTCTGCTGCTTTCAATCAATGCGTGGAAATGGATTCTGCTACCGTCATCAATGCCATTCTCAATTCCTTGTTTTCAACTACTTCCACAACAACAGCGTCCAAAGACAACACAATGTCATCATTGCCACCACCCAAAGCAAACGAAGCTGTCAACACACGTCAATGGCTACGTTCCTGGTTCCATGATATTGGTGGTATCCTCGCTATCGAGTTCGACAAGCGTATACACCAAGGTGTAAAGATCGTGCTTGAAAACTACCTAACTGAACAAGCAACCTTGTAAAGAATCATTGTCAAAGCTTCTTGTTGTACATTGAAAAAAGGAACATCCCTTCCAAACGCCGAGTATTGTATTCCCCCCTTCTTCCTTTATTACCAGCTTCCATAGCATGATGATTATTGTCATCCCACTACCTTCTCTTTCCACCGCACTTCTTATTCCCCGCTAGTATTCTCTAACCTTTACACACACACGCTCTCTCTAGTAGCAGTAGTTGTATATAATTCTCGATTGATGTCAGCAGTAACTCCCGCCGTATATTGATAAAATAGCTACCTTACAAGACCTAAATCACAAAGAGGAACGTGTGTTATGACGTTACTGACAAGATCTACATATAAATAGAAAAAGGGGTTGAGTGATATCGAATACAGCCTTTGTTCAAGACACAATGAATCAATCAAATCCCTTCGCTTCCTCTCTTTTTCCTTTATCATAGCATCAAAAGTGGATACAATTCTACATTTACCATATCATAAATCATTCTATGTATAAGGCAATCCATCAAGTCCTAACACACGGCGAGTCCAACACAGGAAGAAGGAAGATCTCTCACATCATAGAATCTTAGAAATGGTTGGCCAACACAATCCCGTATTCGCTAATGTAATCCTTTAATCCAACAACATTCACAAGAGATAGATTGATTGTGAGGTACAAAGAATTGCTCCAAACAGGAAGTCGCATTGATTTGGGAAAGCTTCTATCGTTTGAGCGTACAATGTGAAAAGATGAATGGATGAGATGGCGAATAACATGGATGGCGTGTCAAAACGTCGAGTTGGATGATGATGATGGTTGTAGATAGTTGTCAGGTTGCACAAAGGGTGGTGATCGCTGCCATGGAATCGGATGTAAAGTAGCATAATGGTCCAGGATGATAGCCATGTTGACAATGGATACACCCTCTTTCCACGTATTGTACATATACCAATCCTTTCATTCCACGTACAAAACCATTATTCAGATCCATATCCTTATCCATAAGAATTCGTTTGTATTGAAGCAAGTTGTTGCTACACGTAAATAAAGCTGCTTCTATACAATGGCTATCTGCTGTCCACGTGACAAGGCCGTAACACTAGTTGCTGCAAAGGAAGAACGCTGTTTGAGGCAATGGCGTAAAGACATCGCTAACAGCAGCTGCTGCAATGAATGCTGTTCGTTTGATAGTGGTCGAGGATTGTACAAGAGATGGGGAAGTGTCAAGGGAGGCGTATACACCATGGACGATGCCATTCAGTCAAAGACAATCGGATCAAGGTGGTTGTAGGATTGACATGATGGGTTGAAGCAGGACAATCGTTGGCAGTTGGTAGTTGTACTTGATTGGGGTAACAGTTGAGAATGGGAGGAAGAGGAAATAAAGTGGGAGAGGAAGAAGTAGAAATTAACTTGATTGTTCTGATACTTGGATGATGTTTCTGTGTTTGAGTTTGCTCATTCAAATCCCCCTGAACCAAGGAAGTTGAAGGATGGATATGATGGGCTGGAGCAGGACAATCGTTCATATGCATTGGGTTGGGCAACAAAGGTGAATGGGAGGAATGGGTTGTTAGCTGGCAGTTTACAAATAACTTTGCAAAATGATTTTTCTCATATTGGGCGATACTTCTGTGTTTGAGCGTTTTTCAGTCAAATCTCATCGGATCAAGAAAGTTGAATGATGGGAATGATGAGCTGGAGCAGGACAATCATTCACATGCATTGGATTGGGCAACAGTGCCGATTGTGAGGAAATTGCTGTTAGCTCGCAATGTATGGGCTGTTGTCAATAGTATACAGCATCATCCTTCCATCCTTCCAGTCATGCAAAGTAGCTGTGTTACACAACACGACCCTCTGCATCTTTTGCTCTTTCAGGGTCCACCTACTTGACAATGAACATGTCTTCCCAGAATTTAACCAAATTGCCTGATAAGGAAACAGGCACACAAAATCGTCCACAACGTCTCTCGTATGCTAAAGCTACACGTCGTCCTTCGCTCATTCGTGATTCTTTGAAGACACCTACAGGTCGTAAATCGGCCACACACTCCAACGTGTGGAAAGTAGGCGGCTCACCAGCTTCTTGTCCCAGCTTGTTTTTTGATTTCACCTCTCGACCTGAACACCGTGCTGAAATACTTCGTCATATCAACAGCAAGTTTCCTAACAACTGTGGAGTACGCCTCCACTCTGATCACGCACGTCGCATTGTCGAACTCTTTATCGCCGACAAAAAAGACTATAGCAAAATCAAGTTCATGGGTATCAGCTTCCCTGACAACCAATGTATTTTACCTTCGATACCTCTTTCTCCTGATGCTCGCCTTGTACACCTTCAGCTTAGTGATCTACCCTTTACCACAAGGGACACGTTATCAAATGGTATTCAAGAAGCACTTTCCGACTATGGCAACGTCCTCGACTATGGTATCCTTCGCGATTATGATTCTCACCTCTTCATGGGCAAAGGCTATGCCACTCTGGAAATTAATAATGCCAAATCTGGTACAACTCCATTACGCCACACAGTTCCATGGCCCAATTCAGACGACCTGTTTCATGTTACGTGGGCAGAAATGCCGCTCCATTGCCTTCATTGCCATCAAGCTGGTCACGCTACATCTGCATGCCCTAATCGTGCTACTCGTTCTCGTGTTTGTTGGTCATGTGGCCAAACAGGCCATCGCGCCGCTAAGTGTCTCAACCGTAAACCCAAGCCTGATTCATCCAGTCCTACGACACCACCTATGCCTCATTCACCTTCGTCGCAATCTGCCAACAGCCAAACGTCTGATATCTCCATGTTGAAACTTGATCTATCGTCTATTGAAAGCCATAACGACAATATCATTAACGAGTACACACCTGATAATTTCGATGACAACATGCCTTTGCCGACGCCACAATTCACCTCCGGGCTCCTTCGCCATATTCACGATACCTACCCTATGTCTGACCAAGCCAAGCAAATCACCGCTTTCTTGACACCTTCAGCTCTTGATCTTCTTGCTGAATCTCTTAAACAGAACGGTCAACCTTTTGCATCCTCTACCCCTTCCTCTCATTTCTCGGGAAGTCCCTCGCCACCGAGGGACTATAGCCCGACGTAGTCATTCCTTCAATACGTAGTTCTTGTACGTTTTTTCAATATCGTTCCGATTTTGGGGTGCCACTCTTCGATGCACTCCCAATAAAACGAGGCCAAAAGCCTCCATATAAATACTTGACAATGAACAAAGACCACTTCTCATATAGCATCACGCTTACAAACATAAAGATGCCTGTATCTCCGAACTTTACAATGAAACGTGGGGTTTTTATTACAGCAATGTGCTCGGCTTGGTCAACAGCACCTTGTGTGAAAGTTTCACGATCAAGCTTGCCAATCCCAGTTTTCGCAATGTCGCCACCAGCCAAACTGGATCTGGAGGTCGACCTCTTCGACGACGACGACCAAAAAATATTTTTTGGGCTAGTTGCAACATTGAACGTGAAACTTTCACACAAAGTGCTGTTGACCAAGCCGAGCCCATTGCTGTAATAAAAACCCCACGTTTGATTGTAAAGTTTGGAGATACAGGCATCTTTACGTTTGTAAGCGTGAAGCTATATGAAGAGTGGTCTTTGTTCATTGTCAAGTAGGTGGACCCTGGCAGAGCAAAAGGTGCAGAGGCTCGTGTAATGTGACACAGCTACGTTTGCATGAATGAAAGGGTCAATGTATAATTACTTTATGGATCATCTAGGAACAGGCATGTATTGCCAGCTAACGGCCACTTTTATCCAATCATCATTGTTGCGAGATCCACTGCATGGGAACGATGCCCCCGCTCTAGACATTCATTTCCATGATTAAAGTAGGTTGATCCGAGCTGATTTGACTGAGCTACGGTCAAAGAGAGATTATATCACTCTGGACATAGAGCACGCTCGATGTAGCTCAACCGATGTAATCTTGTGTGAGCGTAACTCAACCAAATCATCTCGGATCAACCTGCTTTAATCATGGAAATGAATGTCTAGAGCAGGAGCATCGTCCACCTACAATAGAATGCACAAAATTTGGGAATGCACAAAAGTGGCTATTAGCTGCCAATGTATGACATAAAAGTGAGGGTTGCGTACCTATCATGCATTGTCCCTGAAGTCCTGACTTTTTAGCTGAGTTACCCAAAGAGGACCTTCTGCATCTTTGGCTCTCCAGGGTCTAGCTACTTGGCAATGAACAAAGACCACTTGTCATATAGCATCACGCTTACAAACATAAAGGTGCCTGTATCTCCAAACTTTACAATGAAACGTGGGGTTTTCAATAGAGCAATGGGCTCGGCTTGGCCAACAGCACCTTGTGTGAAAGAATGTCGCAAACAGCCCAAAAAATATTTTTTGGTCGTCGTCGTCGAAGAGGTCGACCCCCAGATCCAATTTGGCTGGTGGCGACATTGCGAAATCTGGGAATGGCCACGATGGACTTCATAGTTTGACACAAGATCGCTTTCACCCCGCCGAGCAAGATTGTTCTATTAAAGACCTCACGTTTCATTATAAAGTTTTGAGATATGTCCGTGTTTATGTTTTACATATACTGTAAGCGTGATGCTACATGAAGAGTGGCCTTTGTTCATTGTCAATGACCTCACTCATACTAGTTACTAGACTCAGAGGTGCAGGAGACGTCTTTGTGTAACAGGTCCAATGTCAACACTTCTGGGTAGATCCTATTGGTGGAAAGTGCATGATTACCCATCCCCTGTATGCCTTTGATAAGGTCCGCCTATTGTAGCCTCGTACGGAATATAGTTTGTTCTTATATAAGGTTGCTTAGGATAACGTTACATGAAGATCGTTATAGGTAAACATGGTATGTTCATATACTTGTGTTTATGTTGCATTGTATCACAGCAGCTCACTGCTCACTCCTCGAACATAATGAATTAAGCTTACAATGAACCAAGCGTACGTAACAAGCACTCTGTTGGGCATCATCACTCTGAATTGATTATCCTCATAAATCAAGCGTATGAGAATTGCCGTTGCCTATCATAGTGATCTAGGAAGCTTCGACGACAAGGGACAACAACGTCTTGATACGATAACGTAAATGATCGAATCTCGCTGTCCGATCTTCTTATTTATCCTTCCCCTTTCACTCAAAAAATCAACCAAGTGATGCACATCTTGCCCATCCCAAGTATTACGTCGAATCCAATCTTCATTCAATGAAAAAGTATAAGAATAGCACATGGTAGTGTGGATGTCTATAAACTAATACTATGATGAAGGGGTAACATTGCAAGTTGATAAGATAAGGATGAATCACATCGAGGCAACAGGGATAGTTGTGTCATTGTATTCTTGGTTGTTGGAGAATAGGTGCTGCATGATTTGCCTTGAGTACTCCAATGCTATCCATCGCTGTAAAACACCTTCTTTCGTCAAAGATACAAGCCTTTTCGCTGATCCCATCCAAGCCATCATCATCCTCAGCCGTATCCACGCGTCATGATCCGTCGTTCCTGTTGACGGCGCGAAAAGTAACCAAAGCAACATTCCAGGATCTCTTTTTCATCGTTGCACTTGATCGCATCCATCCATAACCATTGTAAATCCAATACGTTGGTTGAAAGGGCCGTTGTTGATATGTTCCCTTTTCCATCCTGCTGTTGATCTACCATTTTCTTGGTCATTTCCAGCGCTGCTCAACCAGGTGTTGCGGCGTACTTGATAGCTGATATGGCATCATCCATTGGAATCCATATGTACCAAAGCAAGTTGCTACATGTAAATAAAGCTGCTTCCACACCATGGCTATCTGCTGTTCACGTGATGAAGGCCACAAGGCAGGCTGCTGCAAGTAACTTGAGCGAAGGGAGTGAAGACTTTCCTAATGGTAACTGCTGTCAAGTTTGGTCGTGGCAAAGAAGTGTGCAAGAGCGTGTGTTGTAGTAGAGCGACAAGAATGTGAATGCCGTTTGAGACAATGGAGTGAATAGCAACTGCTGGAATGAATGCCGTTGCGTTTGATCGTGGCAGATGTGTGTGCTAGACAGTGTGTAGTATCAAACAAGGCGTGTTGGGGGCGTGTACAAGCCAAAGGCTTTGCCATTCAGTCAAGACAATCGGATCAAGGTAGTTGTAGGATTGACATGATGGGTTGAAGCAGGACGATCGTTTGCAGATGGTGGTTGTATACTTGAATGGGGCAACAGTTGAGAATGGGAGGAAGAGACAAGAGGTTGTGGGAGTGGAAAGAGAGTGGAAATTAAATAGCTCGGACACCTCTTGTATAAATGCATGCACACTGTACATCACACCTTGATATTGAGCTTTCCTCTATCGATCCTGAAACTTTCACACAAGGTGCTCTTGGATATGCCGATCACGATATCCTAAAAAAGACCGTATGCTTCATTATGAAGAGTTCGAACGCGGGACGGCCCAAATGTAGGAGACATGGTGAATGGATGGGAACACAAGAGCGGGCGGCCCACCGCGCCGAAGTTGCCCACCTTGAACTTGAAAATAGGTCAGAAGGTGCTCTTGGGGACGCTGATCAAGTTTATTTTATAAAAACCTCATGGTCCATTACGACAATTTTAAATGGGAGCGTCCAAATGTTGGAGAGTCGGGGACATTCGCAGGGTCTGCGATTACAAAAATTGACAATTCTTTGTTTGAGCGTAGCTTAGTCAAATCCCCACGGATCAAGAAAGTTGAACGATGGAGATGTTGGGCTGGAGCAGGAGAATCGTTCATATGCAATGTATTAGGCAACAATCGAGAATGGGAGGAAAAGGGTATGTGTTCGTTGCTTTTTTGAACATTGTATCGGGGTAGGTTACCATAAAGATAGTCTTTTGATGTAATTATAGATGGCAAGGTATTGTAGGTTCTTGTAAAATGTATACTACCAGAATGTAGTGTGGTTGCATAAGCGTGTAAGCTTATTGTAAGATCTCTACTATGCATCCTATTGTTAGTAAGTGTTAAACCATTCATTCAACAAGAAGTCAAAAGTCTACGAGCAAAGCGAGAAACCAGGGTCACTAATCCTTTATATTATCAGAAAAACAATTATGATTGGCATGTACTAATTAAAGTAGCTGCATCGGTCTCTCCTAGCTGACAAAGTTTCAAGGCCTGTGCCCAAAGAGATTTATGCACATCATCCGGCTCTGAGCATGGAGTAGCGTGGGGGATTGGCTGTGGTACAGTATCCGAAAAGTATTTTCCACCATGTTTGACGAGATCATGCATGGGAGCAAGGCACAGGTATAAAGGTGTCAAACTTCCTTCGCTGGGAGTGAGCATGATGAAATCGAAGATGGTTTTCAACCATGGTAATGTGAATAGTGTGGTGTGTGCAAAGAGCTTGGTTCGAACGGCCCCAGGATGATAACCTAGTAGGTTGATTACCATAAGTATCGTGTCAATGTGCATGTTTTATCCATACTCACAGAAGGCTTTAATGTTCACATGATACTTGTCAAGATGATCCTGAAGACACCGGGTCAATAAAGCAACCAGTCTCTTGCTTTGTGAATAATTCGTCAATCCATCCACGATATATCGCCTGCCAGCAAGTGAAATGTCGATTTGAGACGATCCATAGAGAGTAGAGCTGGATGCAAACAGGATACGACCACGCTTATTGTTAATCCATGGCAACAACATCAGCGTAAGTAATAGAGGTGATAAACAATTCTAAATATCAGCATTAGTGAGGATTTGCATGAATGGAACCATAAATACATCTTACAATTTGGAATTGGCTCTCGAGATTATCTTCAGTGATATGACATGGTACATTCATCACGCCTGCATTATCTATATACACGCACTTTTCAGTATTCCCAGCATCATTATAGGCCATTGCCAATATACTCACTGATCAAAATGTCAATCGATCCTTTGGGTATCTTTTCTTGTACCTTGTTGACAAAGGCATGTACGCTTTTGAAGGATGCCAAATCCACCAAGATATATGATAATGCATCATCACCAGCACCTAGTTCCTTCTTGGCCAATTCTGCCATCTTCCTTGATCGAGAAGCTACAGGCACCACTATCCATGAGTCGACCAGCAATATGCGGTGGATTGGGAATGCGTTGATTACCAATGATAACACGATATCCAACCTTCAAGAGTCCTTTCACAATCTCAAATCCAATGCCAGAATCGCCACCTAACTAAGATGATTAGCATGAATCCTTGTATATGCCAAGTATTGCTGTACCTGTCACCAAGGCAACCCTATCCTTCTTGTCACATGACTGTGTAAGCTGGTCAACCGCGTCCTTGTACAATATAGTTCCAGAGACACCACGTCGCCATAATGTCGTCGTTATCGTATCAGTGACACCGATAGCATAGACACGCATGAACGTAGGAACGATGCCCAATGCACCCACTAAAAGATTGAGCCGTTGGGCCCATCGAGTTTGCACATTGCTGGATCCCAGTTGAGTTTCGACCGGCTTTGCATTGTTGTAGAGGATAAAGAAAAGTGGGCCTACTGCACCTAAGAGCAGCAGCAGGATCAGGACCGTCATGGCGGAATGGGTGGCAACGTGAGGGAGAGAAAGAGGCCAACGATTTATGCGCGAGGACGAGTCTCAATACGGAATTCACGTGCAAAATCCACCTCCAGCAACAACATTGCTTAAGACAGTGATGGTCATGATAGCGTTCAATCCACGTGAGATTTGTGTGTGAATGAATGGTATGTGGGATAATGAAAAAGACTGCGTCTTTATATATGTATGAGTAGTGTAGTATCGCTGTTGCTAGGTAGGGTATACATGGATACGGGAGGAATGCGTGCTAATTATTGGATGCAGTGGAGAAAGAGGATACTTTTGGCAATGAAAGAGCAAGAGACATGACAACAATGGCAAAAAGCATGATGACGGTTGCTGTGGTATATCCAATCCAGCCATGACCCACTGTCAAATACCGGTTGACAATCTGATTGAGATTACGCATATAAATGCGCACGCCGACGCATATAGTGATAATCCCCAAGGCAATAAAAGCATATGATATGGCTCGTACTTCCATCGAATCCACTCGTTCGGTCCATGGTAACGATTGTGAGGGTGCAAATACTTTGGTGCGTAAATCAAGCATTGTCATGAATCCTTTTTACCCGTTCGGGATTAGTAAGTCAATGGACATGCATGATTTTGTGTGGCCCCCCTTTTTTCCCACCGCCATTGGCATTCTTACCAATCAATGCAAGTATCATCCCAGTACGAAGCCAGATGAGTGTGTTGCGTTCATTAGCGAAATGGTCGCGCGGATCAGGACCGTCAATGAAGGTATGGACTGTGGCAAAGTCAAGGTAATTGAAACGTTTACAGCATTGCTGATCGTTGCAAAGAGTGAATCGTGTAGGTGCTTTTTCCTCCTCCATAACGGCTAAAAGGAGTGCTACAACTCAATCAAAGTACAAGCGTGTGAAAGCAAGAAACGATGTGATGAATTGAATGGAAGGCGACGAATATCGATCAAGGAGAGCCAACAAGTGTTTGTATAAAGGGCAAATCCACGTATTTGTGTAGGATGTTCGTGTTTGGTATATAGAATGTAGAAGAGAGATAGAAAAGTAGGTTCAGGGGAATAAAAAAGAAGAGAGATAAATATACAAACTTGCAATGTCTGTGTATCAATCATCCATCGTCGATCTTCTCCTTTTGGCTCGGTATGCAATCCACATCACTGCTGCTACTCAGCTTGACTTTTTCCTGGCATCCAAATGCAGGTACCGACAATGATAATTTACCATGTTACGATGGCCATGTGCATATACATCACATGTAAGAAGTGTGTCACAGTGGGTTATTGGAAAGGCAGTAATCGACTAAATAATATACAACGACGACAGCTCCCATTGAACCATGCAACCACATGGGCTGATGCTGTATGTTGGTCTTTGGCCTTGTTCTCCTTTCTCTCATCATCAATCTTGCACCTCAACCCCCCCCCCAACTCCCTGGTTTAGTTTGACCACGCTCGCTTATCTATTTTCTTTTCTTTCTTTTCGTTCTCGTTTCTCCCCATTCATTCAATCTACCATCCTCCGATTTTCTCCCCTTCCACGCACGCATCATCATCCAGCAGTCATTCATTTTTTTTCGGCTCCTTGAACAAATGTTGCTTTGATCACATCTTTTTTCACATCCATTCCGTTTATCAACTTGTACGATGTATTATTCATTTTCCATAATATCGGCCTTGATCACGATAGTATCACTTTTACTCCCAAGGGCTCATGCATCATTGTTCAATTTGTTCTCCAATCCAGCCATCACACAAGGTACATCATAATAATAATGAACCTCTTGGGCCTGATTGTCAACATGAATGGGCTAAATGATACCCCAACAAAAAAGATGTTGTTTGGCTCTATGCCAACTCAAGTTCAATTAGCGAGGTGGCAACCAACATCCCTGCTGTCATGTACGACGATGATGTTCGACCAGCTTCCAACCTGACACAACCAAGTGGCAGCGGATTACGAGGTATCTTGTACGACCGTGGCAAGTCATGTCCATCACAACAGCAACAAAATACCACAACCTTCTTCAACAATGACTATCAGCATTCAATTCCACGTGTTGCACTTGTCAAAGGCGGTGGACCGTGTACGTTGGTTGAAAAGATCAAGTTAGCACAACAGGATGGTGCTCAGGGTGTGGTTGCTTTTAGTGAAGAAGCACCCACCAGCGGCAATACTTTCCCTGGTGACTATGTGAATAATGAAATGGTAAATCATCCATGCGCATTAATACCTCTTGAGGTTTACATACGAACACCTTAATTTTGATATAGCACATCCCATCGGAGGCAGGCATCGCGATTCCGGTCTATCACATTGATCCTGATATGGGCATTCATCTTGAGCACTCGATTGCCGATTTAGCATCGAAGGCATCTCCACAACAACAACAAGCCATACGTGTACTTTTGTTGCCAGGAAACTCACATGGACCGAATCCATGGGAGTTGACATTGATTATTATGATCGTCTTACTTGGTATCGGCTTTATTACATCAGGTACTATTAGCATCATCATCCTTTTAGCTACATGTTGACATGTCATCTCTCTCTTTTAGTGGGCATGCATTTCCATCTTGTACGCAAAAACCGTATTCTCCGCCAACAAGTCGAAGCAGGTCTTATCCCACCACCACCTGACATGCTTCCTATGGGTAAACAACTTCTGGATTCTGACCAGTTGGATAAAATGCCTACACGCACGATTGGAGGTGAACAAGCTGCTCAAGAACATCGTGCTGTACGTCGTAAAGCGTCTCGTATTTCCAATGCGTCCAAGATTGATACATCAGCCATCCATAACAAGCAACAAGAAGATGAAGACGATGATGATGAATATACATGTGTGATTTGTTTGGAAAAGCTAGAGCATGGTGATACTGTGAGGCAGCTACCATGTGAACATGAATACCATTGTGAATGTATTGGTAAGGCATCTCTTACACAAAAACAAAGAAAGTGGATGATTGACAATGGCACGCTTTATAGATCCTTGGTTGACATCCAAGTCGGGTGAATGCCCATTATGCAAGTTTGATTGTGTGGCTGCTTTAGCACCTCCATCTGAACAACAACCAAGTAAAGATGAAAACGTATCATGGACATCACGCATAAAACGCCTCTTTATCCGTAGACGGCAACGCCAACCCGACGTAGAAGAACGTAGCGTTGAATTAGACAGCATTGAGCTATCATCGACCGCCACAGCAGCTCCAGCAACACGATAATAATCAATTAATCCGCTCCATTTCTTTATCATCGTCAAGGCTTCATCTTACATAGCATCCTTTGTACATAGTTGAGCCTTGTCAAATGTAAGATGTAGTAAATTAGCCTATAAAAATGATGTCAATTTGTGATGGAAATGCTACACAAGGATGACAAAAGGAGATTAATAAACCTAATGAAGGGAAAAGAAAACGCTCTTCTGATTTACCATTCCCACAGCTATTGATTTACCCGAACCAATTTACCACGATGCATGAGAATGATGGAACACGTTTCATTGTTACGGACTTTAGGAATAAAGGAACATGAAGACCTATTGCCCTATAATTGTAGGTGTGTAACGGCCTACTTTGGGAGTATAAAAGTGATCTCCAGGTGTGTGTGTGGAAACTAGCTGATATCCATAACGACAATGAAGCTTTCCTTGTTGTACGCGTTTGCAATGTGCTATGGGTGTTTAGTGGCTATTGCTGCACCCACCAAGGCCGATAACGTTGTCAAGGTCAATCAGCATGGTGATGGAAATGGTCATTTTCATACTGTAAGTGGGTTCTTATGGATATGCATGGTCCAGCGAAATACTCAGTGAATGAAAAATCCAGATTGGGGATGCGCTCAAATCCCTTCCAGATAACTCGGATACATACGTTATTGAGATTGAGAGCGGTGTATACGAAGAACAACTGGTGATTGATAGATCAGGTCCAGTGGTCTTGCGTGGCAATACCAAAAATGGCCAGCGTTCTTCATACAAGGACAATACAGTAACGATTGCGTGGAACTCGACGGCAACCAATGTGAGTGATAAAGGGGATAACGGACGCATGTAACACTAATTGATGTTAACAACTTAGGGCGTGAGTGATGAGGATTCCTCGGTGGTGTTGGTTAAGAATGATGGCTTTCGAGCCTACAACATCAACTTTAATCAAACCTATGGGCTATCATTCTCAGGTCCACAATCCGTAGCAGTGACCGTGGATGGTGACAAGGCAGTGTTTGACCAATGTTTATTTACCAGCTATCAAGATACTTTATTTGTTGGCAATCGATCATGGACGGGTCGCCAATACTTCAAGGAGAGCTATATTGCTGGTGCTGTGGACTTTATCTTTGGCAATGCATCGAGCTACTTTGATCGCTGCATCATCGCATCGAATGGTCCTGGTCACATCTCAGCCCAAAAGCGTCAATACCATGATGAAAATGAAGCTATTCCCTCGGCCATGATTTTCAATGAGTGCCAAATTATCACCGATCCGAACACAAATGGGGTCGATCTCACACAAAAAGTCGATCTTGGCCGACCATGGAGGAAATACGCCAAGGTGGTGTACATGAATTCATATATTGGTGATCACATCAAGCCAAAAGGATGGGGCGATTGGTATTCAAGTACTCTTGGTGATTACTCAAATGTTGAGTACTATGAATACAATAACACAGGACCTGGTTCATGGCAAGAGGTATGGGTATTATGCATTATGATGTTGTATGCAAAGTCATGCTGACATGTAGAATGGCATAGAACATGGATGCTCGAGCCGAGGTGAATTACACACGTCTTATTAATGAAGAAGAAGCTAAAGAGTATACGCTTGATGCATGGTTTCATTCTGATCTTTCATGGCTAAACTAGGATGAATGTTTATGGAATAAAAAGAATATACATAAATGGTGTCAGATTGATAAGAATCAAGGGGGGGGTGTTCTGATAATAGATATACGACAACGCCAAATCCATGGTTTATGCATAGGCTTCAAGGAGTAAATGCACTCCTTACATTTGATGGAAGACAAGAAGAAGGGTGGTTGGTTGATAACAAAGAACACTTGAATGGGATGGTGGAGCAGAGACACCAAACAAACTTGAGGGAACCTGTCAAACGTAAATGATAAAACTGGATTGGCTGTGATGATCCATGCAAAAAACCACCGCTCATTCGCAAGTGTGATTATATAACTCTTTGTTGGGCTTTACCCACTTACCGGCTCATACATAGCGACAACCCACCCTTTTTCCCATTCCACATTCTTTTCTTCCCTTCCTTCAACATGTTTCGCTTTGGACGATTCGACATGGGTGATGCGTCCTCTCCATCCATCGAGGGCGACCAGCAGCAGCAGCAACAACAACAGGACGGCGCTAGCAGCAACAGCAGCAGCAGCAATAGCAACAAGTCAACCAGTTTCTTACAACGAATGGCCAGTGCAGACACGTTGCTTCGATCATCAGCGCCTCTCATGAAACGGCCTAGCTTTTCCAGTCTTCAAAACAGCTTCTCTTCATCGTCAGGCTCATCGATAGCTTCCTCGTTTTCAATACCAGTACCTACCAACTCGTGGGGCATGTTAGCATTATCACGTCTTCGGGCAGCAGACGACGGCGAATTTGATGATGTTATTGATCTTCTTCTCACACGCGACAAGGTAAGCCTTCATCACTATTTACCTATATGTGTGTGTATGTGTGCATTGACAATTTCCTTTTGTAGGCCGTGTTATTGTTACCAGTATCCCAACCATCGCATCCATCCGCTATCATCGATCGTGAATTCATCCAAGATCATGTCATTTTGTATCAAGCAAGCAACGACATGTCGCAAGTCATTTCCCTGAGTGGCATACGAGGCACATTTCAAAGGTATATGGAAAGAGTTGGGGAATGCAAAACACACATCAGCTCATCTCGTGACCCTAGTGACCAATTCGTTGCTTTGGGTCTCTTGCCATCCGAACGAGAAATATCATCCATCATTTCAGGATCTTCAAGCAAAAAGTAAGTACATTGGATACATTGATGATGTAGAGGATGAAACTAACGCTCCCTTATGACAGGTCTTTATTTGACACATTCAGCTTGGATCCTTCATCCATACCATTGGATTGTCCTAAGTACAACATCCTTCACAGCCATGTTCAGTTACCACTCAAAGACGACAAGATCATCTCTGCCATGCTTATCCAAAAGCCTATATCAAAAAATGACGTTGTGGATTGGGAGGCAGCTCGCAAGAACAACCCAGGTGAACATGCATCCAATATCGCTTCGAGTAATTCCAATATTGAGAATGATCGGCGAGTCAAAGAGTAAGTGATGGAATGGGGGTCGTGTATATGTGTATAGGTTACTGATGAGGAAGGGATAGCTTTATCAAGAGTTATCGAAAGCGACCACCAAGAAATTTGGACCAAGCCAGCAATCATGTGCTTGACTTTTTGGATGATATGGCTGCAAGGAAGAATAATGACGAGTATATGGATGCATTGGAGTGCCACGTGTGCTACGAGTTATATGATTGGTATGCTGCAGGTTTATGGTGAATGTGCAAAAGCGAATGAACATTTAACTTAGTCGCTTATAGCTTATTCTCAACGCCTGGTGGAGATGAAACATTGCAGGATGAAGCACTTGAATCACGAATTGCAGCACTGAACTTACTCGACTTGAACCTTTCTCATTTGGGTATCATTGTGGAGGATGAATCGGATGTCAATGATATCAATGTGGTCGTCAAGGATGCCGGCTTGCAGCTTCAGCAGCTAAACTCAATCCCAGATGCCAAGGGAAAACTTGAAGGACTTGTCAAGACACACCAAATCATCGTTGGCAAGTATTTTCATCATTGTCTTTCTATTATACAAGTATAGCTAACGAATGAAATAGAGGCTATTGAAGGATTTGCAGAGAAATACCGACAAGCTAAATTGGACACGGATTTGGAAGTTGTGCAAGAAATGAAGCATGCCATGTCAGCTGCTAACGAAGAGGAAAAGGCCATGAGCCGGAAGCCATCTGCAACAGGAAGCAGCAGTATCCTTGGTGATAGCAGCAGCAACAACAACAACGACGATGACCATGGTCCATTGACAATGAATGAAGAGGATGAACCTAAGGAAGATGATGAGGATCAGGAAAAGGTCAAAGGAGATGAGGAGAAGGATCAGCAAAACGCTTCTGTTGAAAGCCCAGCTTTATCCGATGGAGGACAAACACTTGGATCTGCCAGCGCCGATGTCTTACTGCCACTCCTTATCTTCACCATTGTCAAATCCAACCCAACCAACTTTTTGTCCAATCTTCGATTTATTCATCGATTTCGGCGACCATCAAGGATATCAGGACAAGAAAGTTATTGTTTGACAAACATGGTAAGTTGTTATTGTCCAAATGGGTATGTATGTGGTTCTAATATTTGTATCACGATGAAAGATGGCAGCTGTATCATTTTTGGAAACGACAAATCTAGTTGGTCTTGGTCTATCAGCAGACAAAGTTTTAAGGTAAACAAAGAATTGGGGATATCCATATCGGCAATGTGTGCTCATTCATACCCGTCTTGATATTATAGCCATGTCACTGATTTGAACAGCAGCAAAGAGATGAGCGGTCGTATATCACCCCCTGCACCACCAACCCCACCAAAGACAACGCCTGCACCACCAGAACCTCCACGTAGTAGCAGTGTTGATGCAGCAGCTGGATTGAAACTCATGTCGGATATGGTGGATAGCTCTTACAAGATGTTTGATGGGCTTGGACGGTTATGGCAACGTGACGCAGGGAAACCACCGACTAAAGCGGGATTAACGCCAACCACTGATACCACTGCTGCTACTGCCGCTAGTCGGGGCCGAGCTTCAACCGTGACAGAAAGTGAACTCAAGGATATGCCTAGTAATGGAAGTGGTGGTATACGTGGTGCATTGAGCCCTAGCAGTAGTAGCAGCACCGATGGTGGAGGTGGTGGTGGTGGTGGTGCCACACGTACATTATCAAGACGACCTGATGCATTACATGCATTATTGCAAGCACCTTCACAATTGATTCATTCCGTTGGGAACCCACGAGGGCAGCAACAACAATCCATCAACAAGGCGGAAGGACCAATGCAAAAGTTTCTCGATAAAAAATCAGTGGAGGATCTCAAGATTGGTGAAGTAGCTGAGCTATTGGCGGATTACAAGCGATTGGCGGCAATGATGAAGCAAGCAGGTCTTTGCTGAGCATCCTCCCCCCCCAAAAAAGATTATCACACCATTTGCATTGATCCATTTTCTTGTTCCCCGTATACCATCAACACGCTCACACCCACACATATACGCATACATGTTTTAACAAAGATCATTTATGAAAGAGGAAATGGGTTTATATATGAGTAGTGTACAAGAAAAGAGTGGTGGTATGATATGCAAACGAAAGAGAGAGAGAGAGAGACATTGTGTATGGATGGAATGATAGGAAGCGAGAAATGGATAGGTCAATGGATATGGCGATATAAAGAATGGATGTTTTTCTCTACACGATCGAATAGCCTGCCGAAGATTTGATATGTTTCTTGCTTCTGAACAAGCTTCGACACATGTTGGTGAGTCGTGCGGGTCGAACAAGGATAAGGATGAATACACACACGCCACAAAGCACAACCCAGCTGGCAAGGTGGATGTCGTATCCTGCTGAATCTTCCAAGAATGAAGACTCTTGTTCTGAAATGGCTCCATTGGATGATGTTGCAGGAGGTATGATAGGTTGTTCATTTACGACAGGTCGCTTGGATACGAGTTCATTTGAGAGAGCACGATGACCAGCTAAGAACGATAATGCATGAGTGCTGCTGCGGAAAGAAATCCGAAGGTGATACCAAGCGATTATTTTTGGGTGGGGGCTATACTTTACCTCCAGTCATATGTACTTGATCCCACCATAAATAGTTATCAACGGGATCGAGGCATGATCCTTGACATGTTTCCCAATACGCATCTTCGACATTATCCATATTGTATTCTGCTGGATCACCGAGCACATAGCTGAAGAGTGTATACGTATCCACAAATTGAGCATTCCAGCTATCGGCCCCATCTTCGAGTCCGACATTGTAACCTTGTGTGCGTTGTTTGATGATGGATTGCTCCTTTTTGTGTGCGAGATAATAAGGCGAGAAATCGAGAGGCAACAATCCAATGACAAGGATTTCTGCATTTGGGTCTAAACGACTCAATTCAAGCTATGCCACAAAGAAAACATGAGCTTCCCATGATTGAAAACCCTTATTCAACAAATTACTACTACATACCACATGCTGCTTGACACAATCCACCAAAGGCTCTACATCGGTTGTCTTGCCTATAGAATAATCATGGTTTCATTAATCTCAAGAGAAAATGGGTGATGGTGGTGTCTTTGTATGTACCATCAGCCATATCCGTGTTGCCGATAAATATGGCGTGGATGTTATTTTGGTCTTTGGCTGTTTCAATGGCAGGCTTGGCTGCTTGCAACTGCCGTGTCAAATCAGAGGGAAAATCAGGGCGAGTGCATGCTGATGCGCCTGATTGGGCATAACTCTTTAGTGGAATATCCCATGCTCGTGCCAAGTTCTCGCTCCACAAAGGACCATTCGTTTGTCGAGATTTGTCATTGGTATCTGTTTCTATGCATGAGCACGTTGTTGTTGTTGCATGATCATCGTGATGAGCGCACCTGAATAGGAATCACCATACACAAAAAGGGTTGACATTGTTGTATTATACAAGGATCGACTGCTACTGCTGGTCTCGTTGATAAAGGGAGAAGGATGAATAAAGAAAAAGCAAAAGAGGTTAAAAAAAGGTATTTATGCAAATGAAAAAGAATTCATGGATGGCCTGACATTTCCCTTCTTGCTATTTTTATCCCTCTCTTGAATTTGTCGACTGATGAAAATCAGGCAGGCATGGGCTCAGCCTTGTTCCAGGTTGTGTGTGTGTAACTCAAATCTCCCATACAAAAACCTCCTTCCTTTCTCCACAATCCTCTTTTGCTTGTGTGCCATTAAAAGCTCTTTCGCAACCAAAAAAAGGTGCTCGTTAAGCCCATCTTGCTTTCTTTTTGCCATCCTTATCAAAACAACAGACCATCACACCACTCCCCATAATCATACGTTTTTGAAACATCCCTTTTTATGTAAATCACTCATCCACTATATAAATACCCTATCCAATCCATGACCGCGGCTATCCTCATACGAGCCTTGAAGTTTGCTGGTGGCATGTCGCTCCTAATGTGAAGGATGAGCAATGGCGGCACTTGGTTACCATGCAGTGAATGAAGCTTTATCCCGCACAAGGTGGCGTAATCTGGTGAGGCACATTGGGAATGAAACAAAGACATGTCTTGGTTGATGGAAAGCTCAGGATAAACGGCGTTGGTTGGGAGTATATCAAGATTGATTAGACATGGGTCTCTAAACAATAAAGAATGCCTCTCTTTTTCCGGCCAGCATTATCAGTGTTTCTCTTACGCATAGTTACATACCGGGGGAAGTTGTATTATGCATGTGTGTGTGTATGCGTCATATTCCTGCATTACGGGGAAAAGGCTGTTTGAGAGCTAGATGAACAAAGTAGCGAATGGGAAAAGAGAGATGATATCTGTGGTGCTTTATAAGCGTCATAGACGTGGCGGAGGATGAAATGAGGGTCCAATTGAGCAAGAAAAGGGTTCAAAGGAAACTTCCTTTTCGTTTAGGCGGTCGGGTATTCTCACACTGATCGATGAAAAGCTATCTCAGTGAGTCTTTAGTCAGGGTGGCTTACCTATAAAACATCTTGTTACAAGGCATGTGCTTATAGCATGCTTCCTTTCTTGTGACCATCTCATGTGATCCTATCATTTTCTTGAATGAAAGAGATGGATTTGCCTTTCTTTTATAATCCCGTTATTATCCACCATTGAGATGTGCTTATCAAAAGGAAGGGTTTCAGAGATGCTGCTGTTTTTTCAGGGTGCACATATAAAAGATCGGGGACCCCGTCGTTATAGGCTGAGAGTATTATGTAATTCCAGGGTCCCTACTGGTGCAGTAAATGACGATTAGGTAATGGGGCCCCGACCCTTTTAAATTTTCACAACCCAATGGGCCCTTTTGTCTTTTTCTCTCTTTCTCTTTAACACACACACAACACTTTTCTTTCTTTTTACCTTCCCCCCTTTTTCATCCGCATACATATATAAACATGTCACCTGTCAAGGACTCCTCAGCACCCATCTACAAGATTGTGAATGCCAAGCTATTGCTTAACCATGAACTCGTCGAAGGCTCCTATTTGTGGTTCCAAAACGGCAAGATCATTCATCCCCAGAACCTCTTTTTCGACCTTCATCGTGAAGCTGATGAGATCATTGATGCCAAGGGCATGTTGGTGGTGCCTGGTTTTATTGATACCCAAATCAACGGTGCATATGGTATCGACTTTGCTGATTATGAAGAGACCGATGAAAAGCTCTCCAAGGATATCGATACCGTGGCCAAGGGATTGTTGAAATATGGATGCACAGCTTTTTGCCCTACCGTAGTAAGCTCAGAACCCGCTGTCTATAGCAAGGTAAGGTGAAATGGGACATTGTTGTAAAGGAGGAGGAGGCAATGCTGACTCTTGTTTTTTTTCCATGATGGATTGTTTCAGGTGTTGCCTTTACTTAGACCCCGCAAAGGAACTGCCGATGGCGGAGCAGAGATCTTGGGTGCACATGTGGAAGGACCCTTCATCTCACCCGAAAAGAAGGGTGCACACAAGATTGCCGTATTGCAAGATGCCAAGAACGGTATTGAAGACTTTGATAAGGCTTATGGACCTGAACTCAAGAAGGGCAAGGATGCTGTTAGCATCATGACATTGGCTCCCGAACTTCCTGGTGTCACTGATGCTATCCCTGACTTGGTGGCACGTGGCATTACTGTTGCTCTCGGTCACAGTGCATGTCAAATCGCCGATGCTGAAAAGGCTGTCAATCAAGGTGCTAATAGCATTACGCATTTGTTCAATGCTATGCAAACTGTAAGTAGTAGTGGTGCTAGCAAGGATGTATTGGGAAGGTGGAAATCTAATGATGTGTGTTGTGGATAAATAGTTCCATCATCGTGATCCCGGTTTGGTTGGTGTACTTGGTGCACATGACTTGCCTATTCCTTCGAAAGCTAAGGGCCACCCATTGCCTTCCAACACATCTCCTTGCCGCACCAAAGCTGATCCTCGTCCTTTCTATGGCTTGATTTGTGATGGTGTCCATGTCCACCCCAACTCTATTCGTATCGCCTATTACTCTCATCCTCGTGGTGCTGTTCTCGTTACTGTAAGTATACATCACACACACACATCTCCATCATACATGTAGACTCATGACGTGATCATGTAATCATAATAGGATGCTTTATCAGCCATGGGTCTTCCTGCTGGCACCTATTCCCTCGGTGGTCGTGATGTTGCTGTGGATCACAATGGTGCAGCTTACATCAAGGGTACCAACACTTTGGCTGGCAGCACTTTGACAATGGATGCCTGTGTTCGCAATTTCCAATGCTTTACCAATTGTACCACTGTTGAAGCCTTGGAGGCTGCCACTCTTCACCCTGCACAAATGCTTGGTATTGCTGATAGAAAAGGTACTCTTAATGTCGGTGGTGATGCCGATCTCGTCTTTTTGGATGAGGATTTGAAGGTTAAGCGTGTCTTTGTCGCTGGCGAGGAAGTCAAGTTATAATGTTGTTATATCTTTTCATATTTATATACACACACGCACTCACATCATTATACGCTAAACACCATCACCCATTCAATGTACCAAAAACCTATATACGAGCCATAACATTTGGATTCCCTTTTCATCCCTTTTGATCATCCCCATTTTACTTTCTTTCACTCTCTGATGTAATCTATTGTCAAACCACTCACACACAAATATAATATAAACATCGCACAAACATGCATCCCTTGTGTAACTGATCTTGTGCTTGATATGGAAAAGTCGGTTCTGTCAGTGATCTTTTTTTGTTTCGGGATTCACAAACCATGACGTTATCCCACATCTCAGTCATCATTATGATCTATCTTTTCCCAATTTGAGCCAACATGGTAAACATTTGTGAGTGGAGATGATAGCGGTGAGGTATAATTATAGTGATTGTAAAGGACAAAGAAGGAGTCATAAAGGAATGGGAATACAAAATATGGACTACTAATACTTGAAAGCATCAGGTGTGGTGGATCGTTGACGGCGACAGATGCACTGAAAAGCATACCAACCAGTGGCTAAGGCTGATGCAACCATCGAACCGAGCAACATCCACGTGCTTGGACCAATGTGAGCATTGATATTGGCTTGGCCTGCTGCATCCCGAATCTTTGCAGCTGCTATCACCACCATGATAAAGATGACGCATAATGCACCGGTTGCCATGAGCGACACAAACGCCAAAATGAATTTAGGGATCCGCCGGAAGAATGTAAATAGGGTCACCATCATAGCAAATGCATTGGCAAGGAAAGCGACCCAAAATAGAATAAAGATGGCAAGGTAAATGCTGTCAGGCAAATCCACGCTTAGCTTCACATTGAGTCCTTCGGCTTCGGCTATAATGTTTAGGATCCCGTGTTAGCGCCTTTGAATCAAATGATATCACGCAGCATGATATTAATGCAGAAATCACTTACGCCAATTGAATGGCACCGTGGGTGTGCTACATTCATCCACTGTGTCGCCCGTGCCATAGCAACTTCCCCTAGTAGTAGTAGAAGATGATGTTGGTACGATCATTGTAAAGAGGAGGCCCATTTTAAACGTCGTTTTTTACCATAGACCGAGACGTGTAAACTTATTCTGATATTCCACAGAGGCAAAATAGAGAGCACGTAACACTGGTAGGTTGCCAGATCCGCTCACCAGAACGAATATTTCCAATACCAATGCTGCGAACGTTAAGAATGTTGCAAAAACTTCGCCAAAGGATAACATAAAGATGAGATGAGAAAAGAAAAAGGTTGCTTGAGGGAGAAGAAAGGGGAAAAGGATATACAATGGAAAAACTCTTGGCTTATGGTGGCACTGCGTGCTGTTGTCCCTGTGCGGCGGAGGTATGGATTGCAACACCTTTTCCTTGCCGAACCTTTACAACCACCGGCTCACTGCCTTTATAGACAAAGATAGCTCTACCAATGTACAGGATGTTGTAGTTTCATTGTTGTGGCCTACCTCCATCATCCTTCATAATACAATCACTTCCAATGATGCCATTGCTTTGTATTATTGAATAGTTATCTACATCAGTAGTAGAAGAGGATATGCATCTGGGATTAGGAAAGCGACAGGAGTAAATCATCAGGGATGCTGCACGGTGGTAAGCGGGGAGGTACAAATGTGTCACGGCATCAAGCGTCTGAGATCTTTTTTGACGTCCTGTTGCCAAGTCATTCAGTTTTTCAGCGCGCCTGTTGATGCAATTGCACCAACACAAAGAAATCAAGACGCTCAAAATCACGTGATGTGCCTTTGATGAAACGTATGCATGTCATTGTCATATTTCATTCATTCATGTAATTTCTTAACAAAGAACAGCAATAAGCAATATAGGGGTGATCAATGGTTCAATGGCATACATAAACAAATGGGATAGGATGATGTTTACAGGGTCACTGCATACTATGCTCTACTATTATCTCCCAAAGATAAGGGACGTTGTAATGTATTCCACAGCTATTGTAACGGCGTACAGGCGACGATAGGTTGAGCACAACGGTGCTTTGAGAATCCTATTTCCAAACTCAGTGAACCAAGCTTGCACAAAGGCTCTCTTTCTTACTGTTGCCGACATCACCATTTACTGCAGCTCATGAGTGGAAGGAAGGTCACAGTAACTTGTATGTTGATGGCATTACCTTGACGAGACTGTTGGACGTTCTCATTCTTACACGCGACACGCCACATAGACTGCGACGAGTTTGGTGTCTGGCCGCTTATTGCAGACGACCTTTCATCTCGACTCCCTCTCAAGAATCTTCATTGGCGTCCATCGAGTCAACGTGCTGAACGCTACATTCCTTCTCTCGAAGTCGACTTGCAACGATTCAACTTTGAGCAGGTGCCTCAGCCTCTTCTTGCAACCCATACAACGTACTTGAACCTGTATTTCGTCAACTGTGAGGTAGGATGATATATGCTACACCCCTTTCCCGCCAAAAACCATATTCATTCATCCGTTGCTAGGATAATGATACGTACAAGAACCGTGTCAAAAAGCAGATCAAGACGTGGGTGGATATGTGCAACATGAAGAAGAATCAGGAGTGGATGATTGTATTCGTTGCTGGTCAAGACGCCAAACGTAGCAACAACTATCTCGGTCTCAAAACTACCGTGTATGATAAGATCCGTGCCGACTTTAATCAAGGAAAACGAGATAGGTAAGGCTGATCATGATAAAGGAGCAATAGAGCGAGTTTACTCATTCATGGATGATGATAATCAGATGCACGTATATCCGTATCCATGATCCTGACGGCACCAAATCAGAGATGTGGGATGACTTTTATCAAAAGGTCAAGGAATGCATCATTCTCGGCTTCGATATGCACGTTGTTCAAATTGAGGAAGACACGCGACGCTTGGACATGCAAAGGCATATGCCTGGTTGGAATTATTGTACCTTTTTCATTCTGAAGGTAGAAGGATTGGAAGGATTTAGGATTGCCCAAATTGCTGATAAGATCATCATAGGAAGGGCTGGCCCAAGCATTTGAGATCATGACATTGTATGAAGACGCGTTGATCCAATATGATGAACTTGAAGCTTCCTTCTTCCAAGTACTAAGAGGTAAGGCGTATAAGGGAGAGGGCATGAAAGAACGTGGATCTAAAAGGTGATCTTTCATTTACAGACAAAGCTCTCGCATGGTTTGGTCATTTTGGTGCCACAGAGCCTGGAGATGACAGTGACAACATTCTCGATTTCAAGCGCAAGAACTATCGCGAGTTGATCAACAAGAACGTGATTTCAGTCTTTGATTTTCGATGTTATTTATTTGCGAGACAAGCACGCATGCTCATCAAACTCCAACGCATCATTGAAACATGTCGTCGTGGCCAGCTTTTTATCAGTAGCTTTATTCCAGCAATCAAAGAAAACGAGGCAAGTACAAAAAAGTGGATAGATATTGGATCACAAAACTTATCCGTGTGCATGTTATAGGATATGTTGGTTGAGAATTTTGTGGAATCTTGGGTTTTCTCAGCTTGCATGAATATCGTCAACGAGTGTGAGCCTTTGTCAGTCAATCTCGCTGGTGCAGATCCCAATTTCATTGGCCCATTTAATGCCGTCAAAGCCGATCTCTTATTGACAGCACGACGACAGGTACACAACGTCTATATCCCACCTCATATAACTCTTTCTCTCTTTCTCATCCATGTCTGAAATAGCTCGACAAGCTTGGTGTCAAGTATAAGCATCTTCCCATGTCGCCTCCATTTTCGACCTACATTGATTCAAAGGATATGGAACAAGAAGCGTCAAGCAGTCCAAAGCCAAAGAAGGGTAACATGACCAACCAGAAGCTATTGGAAGGAATGGATTCAGTGGAGGCCTTTGACAAAATGTACATGGTAAGAGCATGATTGGTTTGGAGGGGTGTTCCGTTCACTCACTCATGAACGTGCATTTAAAAGGCTTTGAGCGCACGTGCTATCAAGAGTTATGATGTGAGCTTTCGACCAAGAGCCGCTTTGACAGTACATGGAGACATTGCTGGCTTGAAATAGTATGTGATGATTGGCAACGACACACGTGACTCCTCGATCACTGAGCGTTTTTATACATTATAGTACACGTGATAAGTTGGATGAAGCTGTCCGAATCTACGAGTCTGTGATTTGGCGTTATGGCGAGCAAGATTGGGGATCCATTGAAAACAGCTTGTTGATAAAATGTGCTGATTCTCAACGGCGACTTGGCAAGATTGACCAGTACATTGAATCCTTGTTGACGTTACTCAAGAACACAAGCTGGCTCACTGTTGAGGAGGCGACTCGTTACACTGAAGAATTGCTGTCAAACGTGCATAAACTTGACACTGGTAATATACAAAAACAAAGGTGCTATACGTTTTCTTCCATGTGGATTGATTTTTGTCACACTATCAGATTTACGAAGACTATTCGAGCCCATGTTCTCGATTGCTGTCGTCACAGTCATCGATGATGAGTCAACAGTGGAAAGCAGTAGCGTGGAAATCAACATTGAAAATCATTTGCCAAAGGTTAGCTAGCGACAATGCATTGATTCCTTCGCGTTTACAGGTACTAAGGCCATGTTTTTGACTTTAGAGCTTGCATTGTGATCGTCTTAGTCTGCGTTTGGTTGGCAACGATCCTGAACAAGTGTGGTTTACAAAGGAAGATCTCGATCTTGCTCCTGGAAAGAATAAGGTTTATCTCACAAGCAAGGTTTGTTATATACTTTTGCATGCAACAGCCAAATGGCGAGGTAACTCATAAGTGCTATAGACATCTACATCTGGAAATTATGTTGTGGAAGAGTGTGACATGCATGTTGGCAAGCTCGTTTTCACACACAACTTCATGCGTGATGGTCAAAAGAAGCGGATCATGCGATTGAACCACGATATGAAGCGTCTTCAAGCTACAGTGTCTCAACCTGATGAAGGTATGATTCGACTACCTACTACAGCGCAGATGCTTATTTGAAATGTAGTCTACCTTGGAGAACGGCAACGAATGGCATTACGTATAAGTATCGGTGATCATGCAATTACGGGTGGTAAAGCCCTCCTGGAACCTCAAATGGATGGCTTGTTGATGGCACAAACGGATAAGGTTGCTGCAAAGATCGTCGAGGGTGAAGGTTGGTTTTCATTGCCGACATCATGGATTCTCACATAGGGTGAAGCGCTAATGGCAACGTATAGATAACGGCACTACGCTTGAACTCGACATGCTAGAGAATGGTGAGATCGTTTTGCCGGCATGCAAAGCACATCAAGTGTTGGAGCTGCTGGTTGGATATGATGGCGCATACACGGAATTTGAGTATAGGGTATGTACGCTATGTTCTCGTGCGTGATGTTTTTATTCTTTGCTAATGATGATCCTAGGTGAAAACAACCATTACCTACAACACAGAGGCGGGCGAACGCGAATTCGTATCGGCTGACACCATCCATGTCACCGTCCCATTGGTTGTGACAGAGTCAAGCGTTTTCCGTGAATCATGGTAAAAAGTTTGCTGCATATTAACAATGACCCCTTTACTCATTACCCATCATCTCGCAGCATCTTTCTCAAGGTTGAAGTATCCTGCAATGGCGAAAACCCAGTCCGGATATTGAATACCGCTCTCCTACCATCACGCACCTATGCTGTTGAAAAATCCAACACAATCAATGACTGGAATTTGGTATGTTTATGATTGAGCTGACCCTTCAAGCTGCTGCTAATCATATCCTTTATGTAGACCATCTTCCCTAAGCAAGTCGCCACCTTTGTATATAAAATTGTCAAGAACACAGATACCGATCTACAGGGTATGCATGCAACCAATCCACATACTCCAAAAGCTTATGTATGGTTCATAGATCTTAAACCCAAGGTCCGATTTCATGCTAAATATCGCACGCTTAAAGATGGTACGTTTTTGCACGTTACATCATTTACCCATGTGCTGATCTTTTGATAATAGAGGTGGAAGCTAGTATCGGTGCCATGTTGCAAAAGAAGCTCCAAGAAAACGATTCTGCACAGCACTTTTCATATATCTTCTCCAAGGTCAAGGAAGCCTTCTTGTCATCAGTGGATTATGTCAGCTATGGCTTAACGGACGTGGTGCACCTTGATGACTTTGATGCCGAGTTGTGCGAGTCCTTCCTTTTGAATCGGGATTTGAAGACCAAGGTGAAGCTGCTCGACATGATCGAAGAGTTTTTCGAAGTGGGTATAAAAATTACATTACACTCTCTCCTACCAATGCTGAGCTATCTTTGCCGTTTAGGAACATGAAGCAATTACTGAGCGCACTATTCGTGAGAACTCACCCGATCCACGTATCAACGGCATCCTTTTCCCACTTGAAGTACCTACATCCAAAGTAAGTGAAGTTTGTTAAACCATCGTTTGATTTCCTCCTTATCAACATATCAAATACAGGCCTTACATACAGCCGAGTTGGTGCTTAAGATTGACAAGGATTTGCTGGTGGCGGAATCTTGCCCATGTTTGTTGCGTATAAAACAATCGACCTATTGGACAGCGGATGACAACGACTCGGAAGAGGCTCCAAATGAATTCTACTATGATATTGCCGTGGATTATGACAATTGGCTACTAGCAGGAAAGCGACGCTTGCGATTCCAATCCAAGGTATACCAAAGATGAAAGTGTCTTTTATATCAGCGATCATAATACTAAGATGTTTTTAATGATCTAGCCTGGAGAAACACTTGAATTCCCTATCGATTTGGTACCTCTGAAAACGGGCAATCTTTTGCTGCCAACTGTGCGTGTCCTGGCGATATCGCCCAACGTTTCAGCAGCAACAATGTATGTCAATAGTGCACAACAAATCCTTGTCAAGGCCAAATCCAAGACGGCTACCTTTTTTGTTGAACAGCAGCAACGTTTCCTTCAACCCCAAGGATCCCAATCCTTTGTAGGTTCACCTCCACCACCACCTCATGACCGACCCACTATTCCTGATATCACCGCATCCTCTTGAGACATTTGACCCCACAACACATATACATGAATATCCTGATCCACCCCTCTTATTGTATTAAAATTTTCTTGTTTTCGTTTATACGATTGAATATATGTGCAAAGCGCCTAGATTTGATGTCTGTCCTACACCAGCAGCTGCAAAACGACCTTCATCCATTGAACAGTATTCGAGCCAATTGAGACGTGCCATGGTGGAATCAAGTTGGTATGATTGTTTGGGTTCAACATCTATGCTATCAGTCAACTCCCAAAGCTTGACGGTGCCATTGGCTGATCCAGAAAGCAGCTGTTGTGGTTTTCCTTTGGTGGATGGCAGGAATGACCTATTAAGCACAATAAATGAGACACCACATCATGCTGAATCGTACTATCCCACCAACAACTTACAAGCAATTGATAAGGTGATTGTGTGCATCCGTGAAGCGCATTTCTTTGGTTTTGCCCTTTTTCCCTCCATAAACAAGTTGCAAGCTTCCATCACCAAGACCTGCTCCAACCCATTGTCCATCAGACGACGTATCAAGTGAATATACAAAGGGTGGATTGAACATTTGCTGTTGACCTGGGGCGGTTTCATTCGTATCTAAATTGGCGTGTTAGGAATGCTGTGCTGTCCATTATGCAGTGCAACAAACACATACTTGTAATCTTCATTGGTGTACCACGTGAAAAATCCCATTGGAAAAGCTGGCAATCCATTCCACCCGACCAAACTACTGAATGTGAGCATGCCAGTCGTTCCATCTCTATTCCATTCCTTTTACCTTCCCATGGTTTACGTGCTCGGAATCGAACGGCCATACAAATCTACAATGGTAAACTACCTGTAAGCTATTTAGCATGGATAAAAGTCATCTCACTTACACTGTTGTGCTTCTTTACGAGCTTCTTGTAGATCTTGTTGTTATCCATATCCACTATGATAGCATGCCATGTCAGCCATTGATTGATTTGTTGAGGTGTAATAGCCACTCACTCACCCACTTTGACATCGCCTTGGTCATCGCCTGTTGCAAGGAAGTTGTCTCTCACATCGATCTATAGAATCCCAATTCAACATTCATACTTGTATTCTTGGTTGATACACACATACGCTGTTGATCTCATCTTCGCTAAACTCATATTCCTGTGCTGGTGTACTGAGGATGAGCCCCTCGTTTCGTAGATCAAAAGCATAGACCTATTGTTGACGCATACCCACACTCTCTGTTAGAAAGCCATTATGTATTATTCGATTAGACCCTTTACCTTTTTTCCTGACGCCAAATAAACGAGTGGCTTCTGCGTAGCAAAGGCAATACTGGAGACCTAGCGATCGACATACGACAACGCACGTGGATCAATGAGCACAAATGGACAATGACATAGATCTGGATGTAGTACCGCATCACCAAGCTTTTGAATTCCTTTGATGGCTCGCGCTTGTCGTAGATCCCATAATCGGCACGAGTTGTCCTCTTTTACGACATTAGCTTCTTGTACAAGCTTTACAGCCAAGGTATCTTACCGGCACCCGATGCGAGCACGTGATCCCCTAGAATGGAGTCTTGGGCGTATTTGACGCAGAGAACGGCACCTTTGTGACCATCCAACCGAGCAACTGGAGTTATCGAGTTCATGCAAGAGAGATTCAAGGAGAAGACGGCTGCTGCAATCCACTCAAGGAAATCCCCCGCGTCCAAAATAGTCAGTCGGGACTTGTGTAGTAGTACTCCAAATACGATTGATGCATTAAAGAACACTATCGTATCATATAATTCAATGCCATGTTACAAAAAGGGAACAGGGGGAGGAATAAGGGATGGGATTACCCCTTGTGGCAGGTCCATATGCAAGATGAAGAGACAATGAAATTCGATTACTATAAAGCTACTTCTCCTAAAATCTTTCGTGTATGTAACAAAAGTTGTTTCTTTTTCGCCTTTCTCCCATACTACGACATGCAATACACGCGTTTTGGAAAGACGGGTCTTCGAGTAAATGGAATAGCTTGAGTTGGCATTAATCATGGTATTCATCATTCTTCTGCACATCAGGTATCCCGTATTTGCCTTGGTTGCATGTCCTTTGGTAATCCAGACTGGAGCGATTGGCTTCTTGGTGAGGATGATGCTATGAGCTTAATTAAGAAGGCCTATGATGCTGGCATCAACTTTTTTGATACAGCGGATGGCTACTCTAGCGGCGAAAGTGAAAAGATTCTGGGCAAGGCAATTCACAAGTATGGGTTTGCGCGAGATCGTATCGTTGTTGCCACCAAGGTGTACTTTCCAGTCCAACGCTTTGTGATGACGGAGCAAGAACGTATTGCAGGTGCTGATATTGTCAATCAATCGGGTCTATCACGCAAGCACATCTTTGATGCTGTGGACGCGTCTCTCCAACGCCTTGGTTTGGATTACATTGATGTTTATCAAATCCATCGTATGGACCATGTAAGTAACAAGGATGTATAGCCAAACTTTTGTGAGTGACATTTATTACGCAAACACCAGCACACCCCTATTGAAGAGACGATGGAAGCGTTGCATGACCTGGTGAAGAAGGGCAAGGTGCGTTACATTGGCGCAAGTTCGATGCATACATGGGAGTTTCAAAAAGCCAATCACGTTGCTGCTATGCATGGATGGACCCAATTTGTCAGTATGCAGAACCTTTACAACTTGTTGTATCGTGAAGAAGAACGAGAAATGATCCCCTACTGCATTGATCAAGGCGTGGCACAAATCCCATGGTCACCATTAGCTATGGGTGTCTTGTGCGGCAAAAAGCGTGATACCAAACGTAGCGAGCAGAGTATTCCAATGATGCAATTCTATATGGGTGGTGGTGAACGATATGCAAAGACCAATGATGACATTGTGGATCACGTGGTAACACTTGCAGAAAAGAAACGATTGAAGCCAGCTCAGGTAATGTTGCCATTATCCTTTTCAGCCATAGACAAGGAATGTGAGAGCTGACTACGTACATCATAGGTTGCTCTTGCCTGGCTATTGTCAAAGTCTCATGTCACAGCACCCATCATTGGTGTGACAAAGGAACAACATTTACAAGATGCCATTGATGCTCTGAATATTGAACTTACTGAAGATGACATCAAGTATCTCGAGGAGCCATACATTCCCAAGCCCTTGTTACCTTTTCAATAAGTGGGTTTATGATACACGTGAATGACATGTTTCAGAAGAATATACAAAGATGTGAACTGGGTATTGCATGATGAAGTGCAGGGTGTAAATGGGGTGGTTACAGGTGGTGGTGGTGGTGGTGCATTGTGGATTTGTTTGTGGACCTGGTTACATTGCTGCACGAGTGCTCCGTTCATGGTGACACATTCTATGTGCCTGGAAGTCCGTTTCCGATTTACTTGATTGAATGAAGAAGCCGTTCTCAGCGGGGGATGATCTCCCGACGACAATAACGACGCCAACAAATGATGAGAACAATGACATCTTTATATAAATAGAATGGTTTCTCCACACACAAAGCATATGTGATTATAGCTTTATAATAAACATGTCATTCGGATATTGAACCTAGAAAACGAGGGTGCCACCTTGTTGATCGGTTTCACGAGTGAAAGAGAGTGAATAATAAGACGTTGCAGCAACCAACAGCAAACCAGCCCCGCCCTCTCTTTGTACACAGAAAAAACAAGAGGAAGCAGGTTCCCTTTTACTCTCTCTCTCTCTCTTTCTCCTCTCTCTCTCTCTCTCTCATTCTTCCTTTCTCTTGTCTCCGTCACCCCCGCTCTCTTCCACTCGTCGTTTACAATGGACGAACTCATTCAGTTGACTAACAAGCTGCAAACCGTGTTGGCGTCCATCAGCTCTTATGAAAGCCTCGACCTTCCTCAAATTGTAGTGGTGGGCTCACAATCCTCTGGCAAATCCTCTGTATTGGAGACCATTGTTCAACGCGACTTTTTACCTCGTGGCAGCGGCATTGTTACCCGAAGACCTTTGATTCTGCAGCTCATTACACAACGTCAACCAGACGCTCTTGAATATGGCGAGTTTATGCATGCCAGAGACAAAAAGTTCTACGATTTTGACGAGATTCGCCAAGAGATTGAACGTGAAACGGCTCGCTTGGCTGGTAGCAACAAGGGCATCTCTCGTACACCTATCCAGTTACGCATCTATTCACCCAAAGTGCTCACACTCACACTCGTTGATTTGCCTGGTTTGACCAAGGTATGGTACATATATAAAAAAGGATCTTTAGGATGCGTTTTATTCATGCATGTGATGCTTTATCTCAATGTATAGATTCCTATCGGTAAGTATAGGAGATATCGATCAAGGAGGAGGAGAAGAAGATAAGGATCATATATATTGAATGCAGCGTGGAATAGGTGATCAACCACAGGATATCGAGAAGCAAATCCGAAGCCTTATCATGGACTTTGTATCCAATCCAAACAGGTAGGTGCATATGAAACTTGGAGCCACAGGAGGAGGAAATGTGAAATTTAACATGGCGATAATATTAGTATCATTTTGGCTGTGTCACCGGCGAATATGGATGTTGCCAATTCGGACAGTCTCAAGTTGGCGCGCCAAGTCGATCCTGAAGGCAAACGTACGATTGGTGTTTTGACCAAATTGGATTTGATGGATGCGGGCACAAACGCTTTGGATGTGTTGATGGGCCGATCATACCCTCTCAAGCTTGGATTTGTTGGTGTTGTCAACCGTAGCCAACAAGACATCTTGACCAACAAGCCCATGTCGGATGCATTGCAAGCTGAAACAGAGTTCTTCCGGCAACATCCTGCTTATCGCAACATTTCAAATCGATGCGGCACCAAGTTTTTAAGCAAGCAACTCAACCATGTAATGTATTGCTATGGAAACGAATGACCATGCCACATGCTTATTCTCTCATCCCCTTATAGATCTTGTATACTCGTATCAAGGAGAAATTGCCAGAGTTACGGACCAAGTTGAGCTCGCTCGTCAGCCAAACACAACAAGAATTGAATCAATACGGCGATCCAGCCTTTACTACTGGGGCAGTGCATCGGGTAAATATCTTTTCATGTTGTCAAGGTGGTGCATTACAGTGTTACTTATATCGGATGATGACGTGTTAGGGCTCGTTGATCTTGAAGTTGTTGACCAAATTTGCCAATGACTTTGTCGCTGCCATCGATGGTACCTCTTCAGAGATGTCTACCAAGGAGCTGTAAGTTGATGATGATGATAAAGATGGGCATGAGGAATATAGGAATCTAATCATCAGCCATATATAGATGTGGAGGTGCTCGTATCTATTTCATCTTCAACAATGTGTTTGGCAGCGCTTTGGATGCGATTGAACCATGTGCCAACCTTACCAACAATGATATCCGCACAGCCATCCGAAACTCGACAGGTCCTCGGCCATCGTTATTTGTACCTGAGCTTGCTTTTGACCTGCTGGTCAGACCCCAAATCAAGCTTCTCGAGACTCCTAGTTTGCGATGCGTTGAACTCGTGTACGAGGAGCTTATGAAAATATGCCATAGTTCAGATAACAAGGTATGTAACGAAAAAGGACAATAGCATCAAGGCAGAGGAATCTAATGGATTTGGAATAGGAATTAATGAGATACCCACGACTGCATACGAAGCTTGTTGAAGTTGTATCGGAGCTTTTGCGAGAACGATTGAGTCCTACATCCAACTATGTCGAGAGCTTGATTTCCATTGAACGCGCTTATATCAATACAAACCATCCCGATTTCTTGGGTGCAGCTGGTGCAATGGCGAATCTTGAAAACGAATCAAAAAAGAAAAAGAAGATGGAACGACGAAAGGTAAATACACTCAAAAAGTGATATCCAATGGAAACAAAAAGCTTATGATGGTATTCGATTATAGCACGTGCGAACAGCTTCACCAGCATCCAGTGTTATCAGCGCCGGAAGCCGTGCAGATGAAGAAGGACACCCCATGCCAAATGGTATTCATGCACCCAAGGAAAATGGTATCGGGGCACACCCCGATGGCAAAGAATCATTCCTTACCTACTTTTTCGGTGGCGCCAATAAGAATGAACGGCCGGCCCTTGGTCCTCAAGACATGGTCAGCAACCCCAGCTTTTCTTCACCCATGTCGGTCACCAGCATGATGGAAAGCGAACTTGAACGCAAATTTGAGCAACAAGCATCACTCAATGTACCTTCGGAAGAACAGCTACAAGCTTCGGATAGAGAGGAGATTGAGATTCAATTAATCCGTAAGTTGAATAAGGGTACATGTACATCAAGGTCCAAAGAAAGGATATTAACCCCACATTGATAGGTACCTTGATTACCAGTTACTTCAATATCGTAAGGAAAAACATCCAGGATCTCGTTCCCAAGGCCATCATGCATCTCCTTGTCAATCATTCACGTGAATCGGTGCAGAATCGTCTTGTCGCATCCTTGTATAAAGAAGACATCTTCAATGACATGTTGCAAGAGGATGAAAATGTGGCAGCTGAGCGAGAAAAGTGCAAGACCATGTTGGATGTATACAAGCAGGCCTTTGAAATTGTCAACAATGCCCTGTAACTTCCCCCCCTCTTTACCCATCCTAGATAATATATACACACACACAAAATGAATGATGTACGCTATCTAAAAGTATAAAGCATATACATATACATATATATAAAATGCCACAACACATTTTGATATGGGACAAAGCTCTTGTAACACGCGATCGTGTGTAATGTGATACTGCGGCTGCTGCGCCTCAAGGGTTAAAGTGCATTTAACCAAGGACGAAGATCTATATACAAGTATCATCCTTTCTTTATCTTTTCCCACCATTTCATCTATGAAGGAGTTGTTTGCAATACCATTTCGCGAATCATTTGACAATACGAATGCCCTGGCAGCGAACCATCGGATCATGTTTGATTTGGATGATGTGGATGTTTTTCCTCCATTGGCTCCATATCCTGAGTGGCAAATGGTAGATCGACCTCATCATCAGGAACAAGCAACGAGTTACCAAGATGGAGATTGGATGTATGTAGATCACCCACGGCGTACCTTTGCCCAAGTCGCAGCGTCCAGTGGTTCATTGAATCAGCCTATCGCCAAATCACGATTTTTTTGTGGTCTGGAGCATCAAACTAGAAAGCATGTTCGAGTCGCCATCAAGAAAAGTGGGGCTTCTTTTGACAGCTGCATAAACCACAACGACAATGATGACAACCTACCTGACTTTGAGCTTGTATATCTGACACGCAAGGATGGTACAGCCATCAAGAGACGCAGCACGAGGCATGAGCAACAACGACAGTTTAAGCTTCAAGAAACGCTTTTAAGGCCTTACGGACGTATTATTAAAAAGCAGCAGATCCACCTTGCTGCGCGTCAACGTTACTATGAAGCAAAGCTTGCTGCGGCTGAAAAGCACGAGAAGATGGAAATGGGGAGGAAAAACGACCTTTTGGGTTATCGATATTGGCTTTATTCCTCATCTGATACCTCCAATCAACGTGAGGTTTATACACGTAGATTGGCGCATGAAATCAAGACACATGATCAGAAATCACCAGGCATCTATTCTAAATGCGACACGGATGAAAAAGTTGTTGACTTGTATCGCAAGCGACTACGTGAATCAGTACAGCATTTGCCACCAAGCCAGCGACATCTAGAAGCCAAGTATTATTACCTATTCCCTAAGCGCTACCACTACCTTTATTACGCTACCATGATTCCGGCACGGCTTGATTCAGGGTTTTTGGAGGCACGTGATTGCCGTGAAATGCTAATCGAATTTCTCCAAACGAAGGTTTTGACGCCTGCCCGAAGATGCGTGGAGCAATATAAGAGTATCATTGATCATCTAAAGGATGACTCAATACGACGTGCAGTACACGCGCTACCAAAGAACATCCCTAACCGTAGAATGAAAATGTCAAAAGTGCAATACGCAAGAGCATTCATAACCCAACATCCTTTATGATACCGAATAAAACATTCATACAACAAAAGATGTAAGCCAAATTGGGTTAACATTGGGAGACGCTAAATGAGATTATGGAAACTAGGGTAAAAATTGCATCCTTTGCAAATTGGAAAGCGATGCTATACCCAATATCCCAAAGCTCTCCTCTGATAACCGCATCATTAAAATGCCATCAAGGGGACAAAATGCGAGGCTCTTTGTACCTGTAGACAATGACCAGTTGCATCAATAAACCAATACATTCAGTAGCACAAAGAAGCGTCAGCAACAATGTGTGATTGATTGAAGTTGTCAACTACGAACGTTGATGACCATTCAAATCAAGCCTGCATGTGAAATGATATCATTCATTGTATTTGTACATATAAGAAGGCCTAACAACAATGATGCTGCATGACAGCGAGTACCTCTTTTCATATAAAGGAATGAATCACGTATTAAAAAGAGCTTGTTTATTGATGACCACCATGAATGGGGGTGGGGGGGAATGTATTGGGATGGTGCTTTGACCAACAAGGCACTGGGATGTGTCGGGAGTTCAAGTGAATTGCTGATGCCAAACAAGCAAATGGGAAACCCTGTGTCACTAATGCTACTGACGCCTTCCTTCCCAGCAAGTGTGCATACTCCTTCCAACGCTCTCTGTTCTTCCTTCTGTATTCTCGATCACCACCCTTAACACTTCTGGTTCACCTACTTTACAATGTCGACGGATCGATTCTACGTTCCACTCAAGAACCAGCAATTCCCAGTTATCATTTCGTATCGCGATCTGGTCAAGAGTCGACGTAAAGAGCAGCTCAAGCCTGTGGAAGCACCGCCCATTGTACCCGATAGTGCCGACAATGATTTCTTTGCAGGCATTCTCGAACGTGCAAAGAACTACAGCTTGACTGATGGAGACGACGTTGACGACAATGCTTCGGAAGGTGACGATGATCCATCGGTAAGTGCCATTCAAGGGCCTCCTCGTTGACGAGTTGATATAATACCCTGACCATGGCTATAATAATAGGCCGACAAATCGAAGCGCGCTGTAGGCGAGGACTACGACTTTGATGATCCATTTATCGATGATAGCGACTTGCTCTTTGAAGATCCACAGACGAGCTCACATCCAGAATATGACGGCTGGTTCGTGTATCATGGTACCTTGGATGGCAATGATCAGTGCGTATTGATGACATTCGATCAATCACAAGCCTTGTTCACTAATACAAACTTTTCCTTTTAGACTCACAACCAAACGCGACAAGACCAAAACGACATCATCAACAGCCACCAAAAAGAAAGCAACAACGACAAAGCAAACCAAGGAAAAGACCAACGTTGTGAAGAAGGATAAGGAAAAGACTGCCAGCACAACCGCCAAAAAGACCAATACAGCAACATCATCATCATCATCAGCAATGGGTTCCACCTCTTCTCAAAAGTCATCCCAACCTGAGCCATCTACTTCAACAGGCATTGCTGATAAAGAACAATCAAAAAAGTCATCATCAACATCTACAGCAACACCAACAGCATCTACATCTACCGATAAAAAGGCTGTGAAACCAACAAAGTCTTCTTCATCCGAGACAACAACTCCCAAGAAAAAGGTGGCATCTTCAGAGACTGTAAGGACTGGTCATGTGATTGAAAAGAGCCTCAATGACTCACTTTGGTTATCCAATGTATAGCGCCCATTAAGTCCGGAGATTCACGCTCTATTGGAGAAGCTTAAGCAGGATGCCGTGCATGGTAAGGATGATGCCTTGGATGGATGGTTTATATGGGGCATACACTGACAATGGGCACGTGATTTGCAGAGGATTTCAAATACAAGGCCAAGTTTCCACCTAATTTACGACCTACGACATTGGATATTGGCAGACTCATGTATCGTGAAAAGAACATGCTTGACAACAACTTGATCACCCATTTGATGAACATCCTCCCATACAACCGATTTACATTGACAGTAAGTTGTATTCGAAATCATGTGAGAGATTTGGATACTGAGCATGTTTGCTCTATATATAGAAATTCCTTACGACAAAGACTGGTCCTGAGCGTGTACAAGAATTGCAAGAGGAGCTCAACACGATGATTGAGGAATTGAAAAGTGAGGTGAACAAGCTTATGCCCGAGCAAAATCGACAACACAGTGAAAAGGTGGCATCTTTGGTAGCTGCCAAAGCAAGTAAGTATTACATGGCATGTCCACGTATGGTAGGAGATATGGAGACCTGGGTATATCTTACTAATCATTCTTGTTGTAGAGGGAGGTGATGCATCCACCAGTACGGATGATCCAGCATTTCTACCAAAGTTTAAATGGAATGAGGAATTGCGACAAAAGCTGTATAACATACTCAAGGTGGACCAGGCAATTATCACAATCTCCAATGATATCGCGTAAGTAACAAGAGGAGTGCCAATACCAAAACCCATTTATTTATCGTTTGTCACAGCAATTACACCAAACAAGATCCAGTGAATGAAGTCAGGGCACGAAAACAGATCCATCAGAGGGTATGTATTGGGAAATTCTGGGTATAAAAAAAGAGACAGGAACCTAAGGGGAAGGTTACAATGCGTAGCTCCTATCATGTTGGCCAGAAGGATGGATGACCACGGGCGAATTGAGTCGTACCAACAGCGCATACAAGGTCAAGATGCGTGCCAAGTCATCTTCAGCAACGAGCACAAGACGACAGCATAACACGACGACCGATTCCAAAAATGTTATTGGCACTGCGCCACCACAATCTGATCAGGATAAGGTTTCCGACACATCAACTGCCACCACAGCTAAAGTACAAGGTGCCAAGCGTGAGGCTGAGCCACATCCAAACGAACTTGATCCAAGCAAACGGCATCGTGGTGAACAAGGTACGTGTCGTGTGTGTGTTGTTACACCTCTCCCCCCCTCCCCCAACTTTGCTCTTTTAACAAGGTAAATTTTCTAGGCGTCATTGTCATACCTGATGATCAACCCACAGATGTGGCGTTAAACGGCAGCACTGGCAGTGGCGGCGGCGGCAGCAGCAGCAGTAGTAGTATCCAACCTATCACTCAATCCACTCCTACGACGGCTCCAGCTATGACGCCATTACCTTCACAACTATTGCAACAAGCAGCCAATGCAGCTTCTATTGCTCAACATCACCAACAACAGGATCGTTCTACTACTATTACTACTACCACAACACCAGGAGCCACGATGGCCATCCAATCCTTGATGAATACCAATTTGCTTCACAATCCTCCCCAAAACTCTTCTTCTCCCAATCAACAATGATATCACTTGACTGTTTGCTTTGTATTATAAATATCGATTGGATTTGTCATCAACGAGGGAATGGTGGGTGCTTGGATCTGATTGGATGCCGATTTCAATTATGCCGTCCTAGAATGCGGATCATGATGATGGGAACTATACGTCACGCGGTGAGCGCCGCTTTTTCATTTTTTGTTACAGAACAACCCATACGCGCTTTATTTTCACCTCCCCAGTACTTTTATTTTACTATGGTCAACGTTGAACAACTCGTCGAAGATATTATCAAGAACAACAAGGTCGTTATCTTTTCCAAGAGCTACTGCCGTAAGTCATTGTCATTCAACACATGAGTACAAAGGTTTGGGCAATGAACTAATGAGACGGGCTGGTGGCGTGTGTGTGTATGTTTCACCAGCTTTCTGTAAGCGCGCCAAGGATCTTTTGCAGTCGTTGGGCGTGGAATTCTTTGTTATTGAGCTTGATCAAGACTGTAAGTTTCAATGTATTTTATGAATGGCATGGAAGCACGTGTTGTCGAAAGAGAACGGTGATGATGGGTGGTGCCCGTGGTTGGGGGTTGGGGTTTGATTGATGATGGGTGTGTATGGGTTGTGTGTGTGGTGTATACATATTTATGGTAGTCAATGAGACACACATGCTAATTCGGTCGTATAGCAAATGGCGGTGCCATTCAGGCCTACTTGTTGAAGCGCTCTGGCCAAAGAACCGTTCCCAACATTTACATCAAGGAACAACACGTTGGTGGTTGCGATGACCTTTTTGCTGCCCAATCAAGCGGTCAACTCAAGAAGCTTTTGGAGGCCTAATTAGATGGTGGTGGTGATGATGTCTATGATAGGACAGGGAGAAGCATGGTTACAATTCCCCTTCCCCCACCCCCCATTTTTATCCCGCCATACGTACATGATTAAACAAGCTGTTGCCATTGACTCTCTTTTTTACCATGGTTGATGATGATGATCATTACTGCAACAGATGAGATTGGGGCCCGTGTGGTACAAGTTTGAATGCCATGCATAACTCTATTTTTGGCAAATGGAGACAGGATTCATTCATTATCCAGCAAATAGAGACCCGAGAATGGTTGCCATAGAAACAAGCACACAAAAATGGTAGTCCATGGAGTGGCAATGGACAATGAATATGGGTTTTAGCGTACTATTCTTATTATTGCAATGAGGATGGCCATTCAAATAGTGTAATGTGTTTTGCGCAGCGTTTTGTTTTAGTAAATAGCTTGTGCACATGTTACGCACACACGTCTCATCGATGATGCCATGATGCACCAACATGTGTGTGTGTGTGTGTGTTCGAGAATCTTACGACATAGCAACAAGAGCTTAAAGTAAATCAGATCAATGTATATAGTAGAACCCCCTTTTTGTCGATCAGGAACGAGAAGAAGAAACAGGTTCTGTAAAAAGTGAGCAGTGAGGTGCGGTCTTGTGAAGGTAATATCCGATCCCAGGGCCATGCATAGCAGGTTTTGACTCATTTTACTAAAGGGAGAGAGAGGGAAAGAGATTGCTGCGCAATAATGCAGGAACAACAAGAGCACTGAATCACGCAGCAGCAGCATCAAATAGAAAAAATTGGGGGTGTTAAAATTGAGTAAAAGAGGAAATTGCCTTTTCAGTATCTTGGGTGAAGCAAAGGACACTTTAGGTAATGGGGTCGTTGTGGCCGATCGCCCCCGGAATTGTTGCTATGCGCGGAGTCCCCATTCATTTCCGCGAGCTCGCTCGCTCGACACTGTGTTTTGCTGAGGTGAATGTGTAACCTTCAAAAGATATCCTTGTGGTTGACGAGCGGATCAAAGTGTATTTAGGCTGGTGTCATGTGAAGAGCGAGAGAGTGAGACACTCACTCACAAACACACTTTCACCCCCTCGTATCCAAAGTGTGACAAATATGATCGCTTCTGTTATATATAATGCTACCCAGACGACTCGATTTATCCTTGTCTTTTTCTTCTTTCTTCACTTTCTTTCAACACAACCATAAATCATGGATCAGTACAATAACGTCTTCGATATGCATTTTGATGCATCCGTCGACTTGTCATTCTCTGAGTTGCATCAAAAGCCATTCGACACCAGCATGTTCGATCAGTACTACCCTGTTCCAAGCAACCATCAAGAAATGGTTTACTTTGATATGTGGGAAATGCCTTCTCAGCTGCTTTCAGATTACAATCAATCTCATCCACAACAATCACAACTACAACCTGCACCTCCACCACCTGCTCAACAACAACAACAACAACAACCTACACCTCCATTTTCACCTGCAGAGTTGACTTTATCTCCTATGAGCTCACATGAATCTTGTAACAACACCATGTCACCACCAATGATGCAACACGATATGGAGCAATTGTTGCTTGCTATTGCACCTCAACCCGCTTCCAACGTTCCTCCAACATCATCATCATCTTCTTCTTCTTCTTCTGTTTCAGCTACTACTACAACAACACAATCATCACCGCCACCTGCAGAGGTGCCATCAATAATGGAAGCCGCCAATGAAGAGAAACAACCAACAATCAAGGAAGAAATGACCTTAAAAGTGATAAAGGAAAAGCGCAGCAAGAGCAAAAAGAAGAACGGTACCACTCGCAGCACGCGGCGTCGGACCGTGCACGATTTACCATACGCACCTAATCTACTCAATTTGAATCTTGCACCAACAAAGCGGATAAGGGCGTCATCATCAAATAGCAATAACAGCACACGACATCATTCTTCATCGTCTCAGCAACCACGTTCAGCAACCCCGTTCCGTTGTGATTTCCCGGGATGCGACAAGACCTTTACCCGCCCCTACAACTTGAAATCACATCGACGCACTCATACACTTGAGCGACCTTTTGCTTGTGATCTTTGTCCCAAACGTTTCGCGCGACAACACGATCGAAATCGTCACACAAAGCTGCATTATGGCATCAAGCCATACGTATGCCACATTTGCAACAAGGCCTTTGCACGCCAAGACGCATTAAATCGACATCAACGTCCTGATGATAATGATAGCAATACCATTACTTGTGCCAGTGCTGGTCATCGCTCTCGTGGTAGTGCCAAAAGGAGCTCAAGAAAGAAATTGTAAGCACCAATCTTTATGCCAACATAACGCACAACCCCCTTTGTCACATTATTAGCATTTGCATTTGCATCATTCTCTCTCTCTCTCTCTTTTTTTTTCTCTCTCCAAAATAAGCCAAGCAATTGCGCAGCCATACATATATATGCCTATAGTTTTCTTTTCCCATCCCATCATCAACCCCAATGTACATTATTACTACATGACACACATTTGACCCCTTCTCTTCTTTTCCTAGTATAAGTTTATGTACTATCTTGTTTATTTGTAAAGAAACAATCGCCCCCGTCTTTTCCACTATCCGGGTACCACAATATCGTTTGTCTATATTTCTACAGTTTCGCGCGTAAGAGGGTGACAAAATGGGGATGTATTCTTACTATCCTCCCTTGGCGGGTACCCAGCATTGATGTGTGTGAATGCCTATGTTTCTCTTTTTCTGCATTGTTTAGCTTCTTTTTTCACAATCAGAATAGAAAACAATGCGACTGCTGCCATTTCCCCCGAGCCGATCATTGACACCAAATGAATGGTACAGCGTATCAAAAAGTGATCAAAAATCTGGGGACATGCAGAAAGTTAAATTTAGCACCTATGAGACATTGTTTATCGCGCGACATGGGATCCTCCTCCTGCTCCTTGTGAGTCAATTTAGTGGGTGGTGATGGATTTATCATTTTATTACCACGCACCATCATCATGCATTGCATTGCACAGATATGACTCACGCCACAATAGCAAAAGGCGGCGGCCCGATCGGGTGAAAGGAAAGTAAAAAAAAGAATTTGTGTAGAGTGAGAGATACGCGTTACACGAATCAAAAAGCTTGAACCCACCCTCCCCCCAAATCTCTACCAACCTCTTGTTGGATCGAATTTATCTTGCCCACATGAGGTAGCACAAGCAACCTTTTTCTAGAAAATATTGGCCGTTCAACCAAATCAACATGGCCCATTGCATTTATGTGAAAGGAGCTGATCACACATTTTGATCCGCTGATTGCATCGTCGTCATGGCAACCTATGAAATTATCCTTGATCCAATGCTTAACACTCTACCTACCTACCCCTTAACCCATGTCATACACATCCACAACCTGTTGTTGTTGTGTGTGCGATGTTGCTTGTGAGAAACGTCGACCGGGTTTTGGGGTTATTTCGCGCGTGCAAGATGGCACTTGTACAAAAACGAGATTCACGCACACACACCTCATATGTAACATCTTGTCAACTTCCGAGTAGTGGGTGGGTGGGTGGGGGGAATGCATCATAGTCCGAGCGAGCGCGCGGTTTTTTTTTACATTGCGGACTTGATCTACAACAACGACAACGACGATCCCACATGCTTCCTCCTCTTTCACTTTTTGGATCAAAAACGGTTATCAATCATGATTACCCCATTGCACATCCAATAAAGATCAATGGCAAAAAAAGAAGATTGCAATAAAAGTAGATGTGACCACGTAGCGTCCTTGCCAAGTGCATGGGTGTGGGAAACCAGGAATGTGGTTATGGGGATATGTGCTCGAATGTTTCCATTTCCGAACGCGCCGCTTTTACTATAATCAAACAATATCGGCAGCATGGAAGGTAAAGAAGACTTTTGTTATGATGTGCGGATCAACAAGATCACAAGACATAGCCATACAAACGTCGCAGCAACAGCAGCAGCTGTCCATATTCCTTGTACATGAACGTTTCACTAATAGACGCTATCCACACGAGCTTGCTTGACCTCTAATACAACATGGGCACCATGCTGATACCATTCGAGAAGTGTGCAACGTGATCTGATTGGACACAAAGAAAAACTGGGACAATGACAACGAGCAGCTGACATGATGCATCTTGCATGACGTGTATGCTGTATGTATACGTTAGGGTGTGTGTAAGGTGGGGGGAAGAAAGAAAGGGGAATCCATCGTGACCTTGTTCTTCTTTGTCAGTGGTTGTCAACGTGACAATGCTATTCATATTTTTATCCCAACATCATCAAGGTTTCTAAACAGCAGATCGAGAGTAGCAATGTTGATGTATTGAAAAATAAACGATGATAAGGGTACATAATAAAGAATCGTTTCATCTTGCGTTTGGAGATGTGGATACAACAATGCATTGCTGCGACATCAGACACATGTTCAGGTGTGAGTCGTTTTCGTTTGACTCGCCAAATTCGGTTTTCATGAATAGTGATTGCCATATCAAGTGCTGTGCCACCGCGAGCTTCGTGTTTGTGTTGCTGTGGCGAGTACTACGAGGACACAAAGAACACCTGTATGGTGGTTACTCTTGGTGTCCAGACCACTTCTCATCTGTGTAGCCGTACATCCAAGCACAACAATACATAGCTATGCCAGACACTGGATGTGTAGGTCGTATGATCACAAGAGAAGAAAGAAGATTTTGGCGGATTCAATGCAAGCGGGATCCATCCATGCGGCATGATGTTCATATTCATTGTTGGCAATAGAGTCATGATCAATCGCATGAGGAGTGAGTGGCTCATGCTGAGGTGGTGAATGACGCCATTTCCATCGCCCTTTTTTGACAACCACCAACCATCCCACGCTCGTGTGAATCATAGATGATGATTTGATCCTCGCTATATGCTGTTGTAACATAGCTTTAGTAGAACAACAATTGCTGTTTGTCACAAAGAAGATGAAGGATGGTAAAATGCTTGTTGGGAGTGGTGATGAGCTGATAGATTGATGGGGCGCCTTCACAAAGGGGGTTGGTGTGGTTGATGGTTTATGCATAAACCTGGATCTACATCATCCATAGGCTATACAAAGAAGATGTTTGCGTGAGCGCTCTTTTCAGAGAGGGATGTCGATATCACCTTCATCGATAAACGTAGTACGCAAGTATTCATGTTCCCGACCACAACAGCTCACGCACGGCAATGATGTAACGGCTTCCGAGTAGGCGATCTTTTTCAATGTATGGGTGTTTCTATGATCCCAAAGAATGGAGAATCGGTTGTTGGGGATGATGCATAAGACGCTAACACCTCTTATATAAGCATGGTCGCTTCATGATACAAGCGCAATAAATGGCACAAAGAAGATGAAAACCCATCCTTCAAGACACTCCTGTAACCCGCCATCCCACATTCAAAATGTTGTCAACCTCATCCAATTGAGCATGTTCCAAAAGAGATATCACTTGTTCCAATGCTTCATTCTATCTATATATACATGGCTAGGTTTACAGGCGTGTAAATGGTATGTGTACGTATCAAAGGGATCCACCACGTGATGACTTGTTCACCTAGGGCTGACCACCACAGAGACAACGCCGATCGATATGTCATTCATTAAGACGACTTCTTCTCATTGTCCTGGAAAGAGGTTGAGGGGAAAGGTGCTTCCTTGCGAGACTCATCGAGCAATTTGTCGATACCCTTTTCTTTCAATGTTGCCTGGAAACAGAATCAAAGGTGAGATCGAAGCCGTGGAAATCACTGTCAATAGACGAGTTACCATGACACAAGCTCTATAATCCTTGAACAGGTCTTCGCATTCAGGCGTTGTATCACCCTTGAGAAACTTTTCCGAATACCACTTGTTGAAGCAGTTGTCGTACTTTTGCTTGAGCTCTGTGCAATTGGCGCCAACACTGGAAGACATTGGTTGTTTATGTGTGCTATGGAAAAGGAAACGCTTTCTATCTACTACCCCCAGCATGGGCGGGCCAACCTACTTTCGGAATATCAATCCAACGCTTGGTCTTTGCGTTTCCTCATTCATCGTATCCTTGGTTACCCTTTGAATAGCTTCCTTTTCATTCAATCCACGAATAAAGAGACTATTGACTATAAACACATGCAACGTTTCGCAATGCTAAAATACTCGAATGATGCTGCTGAAGACCCATATAGAGCATACATGTTGTACCTTTTATTGCTTGGAGCATTTTGGAAAGCTGATCAATAAACAACCACTGATCTCTACGTGTGCAGGACCACTGGCAACGTCTATAGAAAGAGTAGTGGTTTCAATGAAAGACAATAAGAAAGTATATTTGAGGATTCAGTATGAACTTTGAGGGGGGGAGGGATAGGAGAGAAATGAAAGCTGCTGTTATGCGCCGTTACAAACGAAGAGAGAGAGAGAGATAAAGAAAAAGAAAATAATGCCTTATGTGTGTGGAGTAAATGAGAATGCAGGGGAGAAATAGGACAAGCTAGGATTCAACTTGCTGTTCTTCTTTTTTACCCATTGATCCCGTTTCCATCATTATGCCATATCCTTTTTCTTCTTTCCTCGTTGACCAGCATTAGGTCGTCCTCCTGCTCCTGCACCAGCGTAGGCATACTTGGATTTCTTTTCAGCAGGCTTCAAAATCTATAATTCACATCGTTAGGATGCTATTGTAATCAACACCATAGACACGAGAAAAACATACCTGGAAAGAGCACATCAAAGTCTCATCCACACTCATCATGGCACCTGCATTATCGAATTCACCACAGTAGTTGGGTGCAGAGAAAAGCGTTACCAGCTGACGTTTTGCAAAGAACTCATACCCATCCTCGACGACCTAAGGATAACAACATGTTATTACATGTAACATACATCGACAAAAAGGCTATTTCGTACCTGATGCGCACGACAGACAAGGTCGAGATCATGCTTTTGCAGGAATCGTGTGACAATGTCGGGGCCAAATGTGAACGAGACACCACGATCATTCTCGCTCCAACCTTGAACATCCTTCTCTGGATCGGACCAAAGCAAATCACACAACAAGCCTAAGACCAATTTTCATGTAAGCATCGTGTTGAATGGGTGATCATAGTAATATTACCTGTGTCGGGCACATCCGTAGGCCGCATAACGCGTCGGATTTGTTCCATGCTCTGTAAATCAGGCGACAAACCACCATGCATACAAAAGATCTTTTCATCGATAATGGCAGCGATAGGGAGACAATTGAAGCAATCGGTAAAGGTCTTCCAGAGCTTGATGTTGTATCGTCGCTTGCCTTTTAGAATCCCATGAATGTTAGCAACCACCAAGTTGATCCTCCTCCTCATCCTCCCATATACTTACATTCATCGTAGAAACCATATATACGGTTGATGCTTGCACATTCATGATTGCCTCTCAGGATAAAAAAGTTTTCAGGGTATTTGATCTTGTAAGCGAGCAAAAGGCAAATAGTCTCCAAGGATTGTTTTCCTCTGTCTACATAGTCTCCGAGAAACAGATAGTTGGCCTCGGGTGGGAAACCACCATACTCGAATAATCGCAACAGATCATAGTACTGGCCGTGTATATCACCTGGACAATAAATGGGTATATATAAGATCGAGGGATCATCATCATCATCATCACGTTTCCTTACCGCAAATCTTGATGGGTGCTTCTAGATCCAAAAGGATGGGCTGGGACATGAAAATCTCGCGTGCACGGCTGCAAAGAAACTTGATCTCGTCCTCGCTTAATTGAACCTGTTTGCCAGGCCGACTGCCTCGCACTACAAGAGACGTATGTATAAGCAATTCTGGTATCACAACAACAAGAGACCATGTAAAAGGATCAAAGTTCTTTTTTTCCCTTTCATTCAATGTAAACCCCCTTCTTTTTTTACCTTCGAGAAGTCGTTCTATGATCGAGTTGACGTCAAAGTCGGCCGTATCTGCCATAGGCTGAACAAAAGAGGGAAAAAAATGTAATGTCAGCGATCGAGTTGTCATGGAGTGGGTTTTTTACTCGTGTTGTGCTCTCTCTCGTATGTCTCTCTTCCCGGGTATTTTGGCGATGGGTCATTGCAATAGAGTAGAAGGACAAGAAACACAAGATGTTATAATGAACAGCATGCATCGTGTCTCAAGCCGAATATCTCATCCACACTTGTTCCCCCTGGATCACCAGTGTCCCATGCCGTTGATCTTATCCATCTGCCGGTTCTAAATGTATTTTCTCTTTCTCACGCGCACAATCAAAGGAAATAAAACGAAAATGGAATACGTACAGATTCAGAGAGTAGTTAAAGAAGTCGAGCTTGCTGGCTGAGCGGGAACGCACACACACAAGTGACTTTACCACCAGCGCTCTCGCTCTCCAAAAAAGAAATCACGTACGATTGGTTCAGGATCCGTGGTCGCAGCTATTTCATATTCAGACAACAAACGAGCCCGAGAAGAGGTGATGGACAATAATAACAACTCGTCGCAACAGCTCACAACGACAACAACCAATATACATAGCATCATCATCTTTCTCTCCCATTCATATCACATCTATCCACCTTGGACAACTTTTCTTTTATCGCAATAGCTAGATATGGAAACGACCCATCGAGACCATCCACAACAACCGTCATCGCATAGACTACCCTATACCCCTTGTCATCTTCTCTTCCATGAATAAATTCTGTTGTATCTTCCAAGTAGGTCGTTCACCACACGCATACACTGTTGGCCCTTTTCAAGAATCATCCCCATCCCTCACTTTTTGCACCTCCTCGGTCCTTTGCATACATTTAGGGAAGAGCGACATGACAATGGATCCCCGCCTTTGTCATCTTAGTAATGTCGCAAGCCAATGAGATGACACTGCTGACCTGAACAGATTATTGGTACCTACCTACACGTGCTATTACCTATATTTCTTACCACTGCTACTATAATGCTGCATTACTCATGCATCAAAGAAAGGAAGAAAAATCCTATCCTAATTGGAAGGCAATCTTATGCAGCCCAAGGTTTCTTGATCAAATGCCCAAATGGGTCATTTGCAAGAGGTACGCGGTTACTTTGCGGTTCGGAACCAGCTATGACAAAAAAAGGCCATCCATCATTACAAGGATTATTTTTGAATGCATCTTCATATTGGCGACAATTATTTAGTGGCAAGCATGCTGATACCTTTTAATAGAGTACCTCGATAATACAAGCCATTTTCATTGTCCAAATTATACTCTAAGTGGATGGACTTGTCGACCATCAACATCAAATTGGCATATGTTGCTGTCAACAAGGCATTATTCAAGCTTGCTTTCAGAGGTGCAGGACCCTGTTGTTGATGATTAAGCCTTATCAAAGGAAGTACATCATGCTATACCTTGTATTGGGCTGCAATGGCTGTGATGGAAAGGCGGCGTATGACATCCACAATCCCAAATGGTAGGCTATGGGTGGTTGCTTTGAAGTAGCAAGGAAAAGTGGTGTTAATGGCTTATGTCATTCGATGAATGGAGGAACTTTGTAACCCACCATCACAAAGTCTCATGGTGTACATTTTAGGGCGAAGGCATCCATTCGTGCTTTGTTGTCAATATCAGCAAAGAGGTTATTCTGAAAACTGCATGAACCCGACATAAGAGTAAGTAACCAACATTATATATCATATCATCATGTACAATCATTTGTTTACTAGTTCATGCATATAAAGCACTCTTTGATCGCTTACGACTATTTACATTGCTGCTGATAAAAGGGGAAGGGGAAGAATTGTATCATGCATGTGTGTTTGGCTATGCTCTTTGTGTAGTACACGCACTGTCATTACCAAATCAGGGTTGCCATCCTTTGTCCAGCATCATCATCAGCAGCAGCAGGCTCACGTTGAAACTCGGGTGTGGTTGTTATCTCTTGCTCCGCTGTTCTTTTCTTGTATGCAACCCGTCCTCAGCACTTGATACTCCTCCTTCTCCCTTCTCCTCACTTTACTGTGCACCCACCCACTCTCACTCTCCTCACATTAGGCGCTACATACTTCTGTCACCTTTCTGGACTGGGACGATCGCCCATTCGTCAACATCAATGAGCTTTTTCGGATCCAGCGACTCTACACGATGGGGTGGTCTTTTGAAACAGGCCATCTCCAATGTTGAAACCACTTTTGACTCTTTACTCGAACAACAAAACAACGAACAAGCACAACAGCAACAGCAGCAGCAGCAGCAGAGGCAGCCACCACCACGACGAGGTAGGTATGGAGAATAAAAAGATACATTACACGCGACTCAACATACGTAAAGATCAACTACAGGATGGCAATAGATCACAACAAGATACAGAGACAGAGACCTATGTGGATCCAATCAGTGGCATGGTTACGACAGTGCAACGACCCAAAAAGAAAAAGCAGGATAATCATGCCACCGCCACCACCACGACTCCACCACCTTCCTCAACACCGCCACCACCATCATCGTCATCACCAACCATCAATCCTTATGAAGCGAAAAAGCCGCCAGAGCGATCCGGCGATTTGGCATCACGACTTGCTGCAGCCGTCAATGATAAACCTCGATCACCCGATATTAAAAAGAGCAACAAGGATACGTCTTTACCACGACCATCCACAGAAAGTGACAAGGCGTCTGAACCCGATGTCAAGAAACAAGCTGCATCAGATGAGAGCCCCAAAGCATTGGATGAGAAAGAGGTATCCACGACAAATGAAGAGGACTCGGAGACGATTACGACATCACCTGAGAATGATGCGGCAAAAGAGGATGGCATGGCCAAGTTGAAAGAGCGCGAGGAATCCAAGGATGATGATGATGATGATAATCATCCCAGCGATGAAGAGCAAAAAGGATCTGTTGAGAGCATTGAAAAGGTGGAAAAAGAAGACGAGGATCAACCCGTGAGGATGAATCAAGAGGATGATGTGGAAAAGGATATCAAGGAGGATCATGTCGATATGGAAGCGCCAACAAAGACCATTGAAAAGTCGACCAAGGAAAGTGGTAGTGATGAGCAGCAGCAGCAGCAGCAACCTGCCGCTGATAGTAGCAGCAGCCAATCGGTGGATATACCCGAGATTAAGACTGACAACAAAGACACGATCCTTCAACAACGTGAAGCTCAGCTATTCCAAGCTATGCAAAACATTGCACAGCTTCATGATCAGATCCACACTTTGCAAGAACAGGCTGACAAGGATCGAAGGAGCTATGAGGATCGTATCAAAGAGCTATCATCACGACCTACGGCTGTTAGTGGAGGAGGAGATGCACGATCCGTCAAGAAGCTTGAAAGCACCATTGAAGATCTGCAAAAGCAATTGAAGGGCAAAAATGAGCAAATTCAGGGACTGATGGAAGAAGGTATAGGAATGGATGAAGAGGAGATGTCACGTGACTCATTTCGATGGTTGGGGGATACATAGGTGAAAAGCTTTCCAAGACCGAGCTCAAGCACACCACTGCTATCAAACGATTGCGAGCTGAGAAACAGGAACAAGAAAAGAGCTTAGCCGATTTGCAGAAGAAGATCGAAAAGACATCAGCTGACTTGGTGGAGGCGAATGCAAAGTTGATGAAGGCAGGGGAAACTGAAAAACGATCGCAAGGTATTGTATCTTTTGCTATGGTGTATGAGATGAATGGCAATTGATGTTGAATTTGTGTTGTAGAAACTGTCAAGATGCTTTCGGATATGACTGAACAACAAACAAAGCATATCAACAAGTTGGAGACGGATGCAATGGCACTCAAGAATGAAAAGACTAAGCTCGAGGTAAGAAAAACGAGTGGAATTTAATAGTCGAAGGGGGGGATATTCATCACGTGGATCATTAGGCCAAGCTAAAGGAAGCAAAGGAAAGTTTGGAAGCGGAGCGAGACCGAATTCATGCCGAGTCAAAAGAAGCACATGCAGCTGTTCTTGAAAAGGAAGTCAATACCACAAAGAAGCTTCGTGAAGAGTTGCAAGAAGCACATAAAAAGGCAGATGAACAAGAGCAGCGGCTCAAGGATCAGGTAAACAATGGATCGGGTGGGCTTTTTTAACAGTGGATCGCTGACCCTATGGTATCATACAAAGATTGGTGAATTGCAAAAGGCGTTACAAACCACACAATCTCAAGCTGGTGAACGAGAGGATAGTCTGCGTAATGAGATATCTGTAAGTGTGTGTGATGGAGTTATAGGCAACAACAAACCAGATGAGCTCATAAAGTCAACTAGGAATTACAACAACGCGTACGACAGCTTGAAGCTGAGACTGAGGATGTTGACAGCACTGTAGCAGAAGCAACTTCATCTTTGTTACAGCAAATTGAAGCACTCCAAACACAACACTCCATAGCCATCAAGCATCGAGATCAATCAGAGCAAAGGTATTTTCCATATACTCATGCATATAACCACGTGGATCTAACATGGTGGTATGCTAGTATCATTTTACGGTTGCAGAATGCAGAGAGTGAAAGAGATGAAGCCAAGAGCAAGTTAAATGAGATGGAGCAGCAATTAGCGGATATGGTAAGTGTTTGAAGAAACGTGTAGAATCGTTGATCTAATTCCAACATGATGGCATAGACATTGCAAGTGGAACGAATCGAGCATGAATTAGCGGACAAGAAGCTGGAGGCTGAAAAGCAGCGAGCGCAATATGATTCGGAGCGTACGACCTACGTCAAGCAATCAGAGGAGGTGGAACAGCTTCGACAGATGATGGAGGAGCATAAAGCCAAGGAAGAGGAGCTCGAGAATACCATCAAGGTGCGCTATCAAAAGTTAATGAAGGAGCGATTACAAGAGGAGAAGCGACAATGGGAGCAAAAGTATAAGCCTGAGAGATCAAGTCCTATACGAAAGAACATAAAGGCTATGGATTCAGAAACTAGTTCATATGAGAGTTCTCCTTCGGAATCACCTTTCAACAAGGTCGCTGCTGTAAGTGAGGAAGGATCTTGGTCTACTCCCTTTTATTCATTGATGATTTTATTTATTTATTAGTCAAGTAGCCCTGTGGCAAGTCCAAGGTCCAGCACTGATACCAATAGCTATTCGGGTCTTACTACCATTAGCACCAATCCAGCTTCGAGCAACATCATGCATACCAATGTCCGACATCTCGAGAATCAGCTTAGCTTTTATCAAACACAATTACAAAGCACCACTCAATCAAGAGGTACATGTCTTTGACCCTATGATGAAGGATATGGGCTCACTCTAACCTGGATTTTTATTAGACGAGCTCTCTGAAGAAGTGCTACAATTGACCGTGGAGATGGAGAACCTGTAAGTTGAACAAGATGTAGTATTCACACTTCACATTGTTGACATATTGGCTTGTTTAGTCGAAAGGAAAACATGAAAATGCAAGGATTGGAAAAGCAATTACGTGAGCTTGAGGAAAGGTAAGGATGAATGTTGGGTGTAAAGAGCAAAGAAAGCTGATTACATTATACAGATACCATGCATCATTGGAGCTTTTGGGTGAGCGAACCGAGCAAGTAGAAGAGTTAAAACAAGACATTGCCGATCTCAAGGAAATGTATCGTAATCAAATAGTGGAACTTGTTCAAGGCAAATAGTAGTGTACATATATATCATTTCATCATTTTAGAATTTTACTATTTAAGCTCTATCTTCTTCATCTTGCTTTGCAAATATTCTGCCATTCCCAACATGTGTCCTATTTCTTCTTGTGTGGCTTCACCATGAGCTGTCCATCGTACCCTGCATTGTTCGTCCACCAAGAAAACGTAGCCAATGTATTGGTTTGTCATGTCGAGCATTTTCCGGATTCGTGAAATGTCTTGAAGCAATAAAACATAGTTTGCCTAGATCATCATCATCATTACATGTTGAGTTACACAGCAAAAAGTGGGACAATGAGAGCACTTACATGACGTTCCTCGGGCAAGTTTTTGCGAATGCTTGGTACGAATGCTTTCAATAGCCATTGCTTTAGCAGATTCTCTTGCACATTAACCTATCACATGCTTGTATCAGTATTTAGCTATCATCATCCCATTGTCTACATTCATACCTCGACCAATTGCACATCCGAGTTTTTGCCAAAATGCTTTAAGAAGGGATCGACAAAGGAATTGACATGGCTCTATTTCATAAAGTGTTATTCCAAAGTCGATCCAATATCATCATCATGACCCACTTACCTCACCATATTTTGCATAAACGAATGACATCAAAGAGATTTTGCCTGCCAGGAGATCGGTCGTATGGATAGGCTTCTTCTGGAGATTAGTGCCTTCGAAATCAGGCATGTATCCTGCTTTCTATATGCATAAGATTAGTGATCCGACATACTCCTTTTCCATCCCCTTGGGTGTGAGTGTGAGTGTGTGTAAATACCTCGGCCTTGATCAATTTGTCTGAAGCAATATACATTTTCCCTCCATGTTGTCGCATTTCTATCGAGGCGATTTTTGTTGTCAGTTGGAAGATGTCATTTGTCAATACACCATTAACGTTACCATGTGCATCGGCAAAATAAGATTTGGTTGCCTCTTCCACCCTAATGATAATAGGATCAGATGAAAGATCATTCGACGACAATGGTGTCTCATGTTTTTTTTTCGCTTACAAGTGACGACGTTCGGCTGCGTGTGCTGCAAAAGCCTTTTCATAGTCTGTCAAGTCGCGTAGCTTTTGTTTCTTGCGTTCGAACCAGCCGCTACGATCGATAATGGGAGCTTCACGGACACCAAGGACAGTGGGTGGTTGACGTGTGGTGTACATGCGGACACATTGGCGTATACATGATCGTGCGTTGCGAGTGAGCATGGCGGGCTGAGTCGATTGATTGTAAACAAGGGAGGACAAGGACGAGGACGAGGAGAGGAGGTTGCGGCTGGCTGAGTTAAAGCAGCTCCCAAAGTATATCAACCACACCCCACCGGAACCAGCTTCTTGGTCTTTCTTCATCTTTTCCCGACATTCAAAATTCGTTTCCTTTCAGACCTCATTGCAACTGCTCTTGGCTCAGCTGGTGCTGGTCAAGCTGACGGTGATGACAAAGGTAATGGGGGCTCAACCGAACATGTCAACAAAAAGACACACAGCACGTTCTCAAACGTCAAAACGATATTGACACAACCCACCCCAACTCTCTCCCTCTCTCTTTATAGTGAATCTATCCCAATTCAAGCTTATGCGGATTGTGGGTCGTGGTGCATTTGGAAAGGTAACAAAGCAAAAGAGATCGATCGATCCTTTGTATTATAGGCTTCATTAATTCCAATGATTTCAAGTTGCTATAGGTCCGGATCGTGGAGCATCGCGAATCACGTCAATTATATGCATTGAAATACATCAGCAAAGAAGAATGCATTCGTATGGAAGCCGTTCGCAACATCATTCGAGAAAGAACCATCCTTGAACAACTCGATCATCCCTTTTTATGTCGTCTTCGATTCGCGTTTCAAGATCATGAATACATGTACATGGTAACAGATCTCATGTAAGTGATGTCTATGTGTATGTGTGTATAAAGAATGGTGTATTCATGAGATGTATGGATGCTAGGCTTGGTGGCGATCTACATTATCATATTACAAGAGAGCACTTTGGCGAAGATGTGCTGCGATTTTGGTTTGCAGAATTGGCTGCGGGCATCAAATACTTACACAGCAAACTCGTCGTGCATAGGTGAGTGAGATGATCATCTTATTTACCCTTTGGCGTATCCTTCTAATCCTTTTATTACTTTTGCAGAGACATCAAACCACAAAACATCTTGCTGGATGACAAGGGACATGTACACATTACCGATTTCAACATTGCAACCTACCTTACTGGCAGAAGGGCGTTGACTTCTAATTCAGGCACTGGCTACTATATGGGTAAAAGTTGGATTACTGGCAAATTGGAGTAATTAATGCTCACAGTGCGATTCTTTTTATTTATATAGCCCCTGAAGTTTATCGAGGTGGTGGATACAATGAAGCAGTCGATTGGTGGAGTTTGGGAGTGACATTATACGAATGCATATACCACAAGGTAACGAACGCATGAATACAGTAAAAAGATCATCTCGCTCACTGTATATATTATATATAGCGACCATTTGAATGTCAAACCAATGAGGAATTGAAGATTGCTGTACGACGAGGGGTGGTGCATTATCCAGATGATGTGGCAGTGTCAGCTGAATGTTTATCGGTTATCCAAGGCGTAAGTCATCTCACGTTTGGTCACGTGCATCATTGTTGTTGACATGGCAACCTGTTTTTCAGTTTTTAGAAATGAACCCGATGAAACGATTAGGTCAAGGTGATATTGGATGGGCCAATCTTGTTCGTCATCCTTTCTTTCGTCCTGTGGAATGGCATCGTCTCGAATCAAAAACGTTGACGCCACCCTTTCAACCATCGACTGAACGCAACAACTTTGACCCAACCTTTGATCTTGAAGAGCTTATTTTGGGGGAGAGCAGTATATCGCATCGACGACGACAACAACAACAAGCAGCTGAGCGTCTTGCTGGACCCCATCAACGAGCTGATGATACCCGACGTGAGCGTGATCTACGATTAATCCAAGAAAAGTTTATTCCATTCGACTATACCGTATTTGAAAAGTATGAAGGATTCAAAGATCCCGTAAGGATGACTGTCGGTGAACCACCTGACTGGGTCAAGCCTGCGTTTGAAGGTGCAGAGTTACCCGTGATCACTGCTATCGAACAAGATCAACAGGATATACTTTCATCTGCGACAACAACATCTCCAATTGTACCACATCCCCTTGCCAAAGGACCCAACCGCTCTGCATCTACGAGTAATCTTGCAGCACGAGCAGCAGCAGCAACGGCTTCCACGGGGATACAGCAACAACAAGAGAATGAAAAGCCAACATGGAAACGACGTAGCCTTGGCGTTGTGCGTGCAAGTGGTGAAGCTGGCAACACGAGTCTAAGTGAAGAATACGCCATTTCGTTACAGGGACTACGTAAGAAACAAAGCACCAAAAGTTTCCGGGAACGACGTGAACGTGATAGGAGGAGCATCACTAACCAACATGTCGAGGATCGGTGACACACTCTCGTCCTTGTCCCGGTAACACATTATAATGGAAAAATTTCTGGTGTTTATACAACAACTTTATCTCGCTCTCACACACGCACGCACCCCCACAACATACACGCGCTATCTCACTCTCTCCGTCTCCAACTACGATGCATGTAATATTTTGATTGTCTAATAGACAATACCCTCCTACCCATCCACCCATATAATAAAATGATTATTTTTTATCCTCATTGTTATCCTCGCTTCTCTTTCTTTCTTTCTTTCTTTCTTCATTATCATCCAATAACAACAATGACATGCACAACATCCATTCCTGCTGGTACCATTATCAAGCACCATGGGTCATCCTCCTCCTCCTCGTCATCCCCTGCTTCTGTTACCACACTACAAATCGTCAAGCGACTACAACAAATCCATTCATTTCTTGTATCCATGCCGTCGTTGAAACCAGGTGACGCGGTGAATAGAACATTTGGTGAACTTGTTACCTTATGCATTGGCGTGTACCCAACAAGCACTGTACGCTCGGTAGTGAATCATCCATTGACGCAGTCTCTACTCCCCTCGCTTCGTACATTGGCGGCCAACGGCGAGTACCTTTTGGAAAAGACATGGGCAGAGGCGTTGACACAAGAGGCACTTAAGAAAACCAACAAGCAATCCACAAGAAACCTAGCAACAGGCCTTTTGCAAGAATTTGTGTACTATGACAACTACGAGCAGCTGGTGAAAATGGAGTTGCATTGTCTGTTGGGGGTAGACGCACATCTTGACAGGGTCGTTTTTGTTGGCAGTGGACCACTCCCTTTGTCGTCGATCCTTATGGCGTCGCATTGTCAGCTCCCTGTGACCAATATTGATTATTGCGAGGATGCTATCCGCATTTCTACGGATCTTGTGCACAGCCTTCATCTACAAGATAAGATGCATTTCTTTTGCGGAGATGCTACAGAGTACCCGTTCTATCAAGATGCCGATGTTGTTATTCTTGGCGCGCTCGTTGGAGCCGATGGTGATGCCAAAATCTCCTTCCTTGATCGTATCGCTGAAAACATGAAATCGGGTGCCATTCTTTTGGTACGTAGTGCTCATGCACTTAGAACAGTATTGTATCCTCCCCTTGATGAAGAAGGTATACCATCCACCCTTGTTCCTGTGCTCGAAATGCATCCACAAAATGAAGTCGTCAACTCGGTTATCCTATTCAAGAGGAGATAATACGTACACGTATGTAGCAGCCACCAACGCGCATGGATCATCCATCGCTTATCGTTTTCCTAAAAGAAAATAAAGTCCCCCATCATCTAGATCTTGTATCACTGATAAATGTACTAGCATGTGATGTAACAATGTCGATTTACTTTAAAATGATGGGATACAATTTATAATGACCACTTACTTCCGGTTCGGCTCTCCTATTTTCTTCTAAAGTAGATCTTTTTATATGGTTTCAGTACTATGCTAGTGAAACTTTGTTACATACGTCAACCTTAAGCCAAATTCGAGTTTCAAAAGCACGCTGTAGATCAATGCCATTACGTCTGTGCTCCCTTGACATTGCCTTGTCAGCAAGATATCCTTCCGCAGCATTGCTAATGCGCATTCTACGCCTGTATACCATTCACATTTAATAACAAGTTCTTGGCGAATGGAATGTAAATCATGCATGAGTATCCTTCTACGTAGCCAATGATGAAAGCCAACCAACACACTGCTCATTCAAGAAACATTGAAGATGATTGTCGTTGTTAAAGGGTATGTATGTCATTGTCTTTAGCTCTCACAATGATGCATGCAATAACATAGTCACTGTTACAGCGCCACACACACATTCTCTCTCCTCTCTTTTACCTCTTTCATAACTCGTCAACATGATAATGTTAAAGCAAGGTCATATGACATCTTGTGGGAAAAAAAGTAATCGACGTCGCAGCAGCATGACAATGGTGTCACATTTAAACACATTCACCCCATCCCATTCGTTTCGATTCAAATCAAACACAATCATGGACAATGAATACAAGCACAATGAGATTTTTTTATGAAGAAAGGAAACACTAAATGACTAGTCGACCTTCTTCTTAGTTGTGCTTTCTGCGGAAAGAGGAGCCTAATACGAATGGATTGAGTGAATAAAATGTAAAGAGAAGGAGTTGTTGTTGCAGAAATTTACCTTCGGTAAGACGTGCACGACCACCGGTGGGCTGGCAAAGGACAGTGCCGCAGGACGAGCAAAGGACAACAGTCTGGGCGTGGCTGAAGACAGTGCTGATGTTCAAGCAACCTATAAAGTGATAACGTCAATAAGATAGGGCCTCATCATATCCCACCATCATCTCCTTTTTACTTACCAGGGCACTTGACATCCATAAAGTAGGAGTCGGGAGACTGTACAAGTCTCTTGAGCTTGTGGGAGCGCTTCTCGTGCTCAACAGAAGGGTTAAGAAGATCGACAGCCAACTATATATAAAAAGACCTCATATGAGTTACCCGTGTCAAAAAGAAAAAGAGAGATCGGCCCAATGGAAGCAATGCGCAATGCCAAGAGAGAGAGAGAATATGACAACGGAGGAAGGAGACCAAAAGAGAGTATAGAATCAGGTTCCCATGGGTGGGGGGCAATTGGAATGGCTGTAAATGTGTATATCGTGTTGTTGATACGTTTTTCGAATTGATGATCTTTTTCATCCATCCATCCATCCATTGATATCCATCACTTGAACGCATGCATCCATTGCTTCTTGGGTCGATCTAATGAGAATAAGAGTGAATGGCATATACTTACAGTCATGATATCTGCAGCAGGGGCTCGGAAAAAGGAGGAAGAAGTGATTGCGAGGTTGGCGTCTTTAATGGGATTCACCCAAGTTTAACTCCCGCTTGTCGTTGGCTTGCTGCGTGATCATGTCGCAGCATACATCCTCGTGAGAGCGAATCATGTCTACCCTTTCCCATGCCTTAAATGTCATCCTTTGCTGCGGTAAGGTATCATGCGAGAACATGCGAGAAACATTTATTCACACACACACATCAATGGTTACTACGGCAACAACAACCTATATATGCAATATCGAAAAAGAGAAAAAAAAAAGAGGACACACTAACTAGGAGACGACGATGTAATGCACCCTTGACAGCATACCTTCTTTTTCATCAAGGAGAAGAACAGGGATGGGATACGAGTTAAAAACAGGGAGATGACCCAGGAATTGACTTGTATGCAATATGCAACATTACCCTTCTCGTAGTCCATTAAGGGTCCATCACGACGGCGGTTGCCAGGATACGAATGGGATGACCTCATCAAGTCACAGTCTTCTGAGACAAAACTTTTTGGGCTTGAACAAGAGCCATAGGAAACTGCCTTTGCCTGGAGACTTTATACACCATGTTTATGCCACAGGTATGTGTGTAGAAAACTCATTAGGAAGAGTGCAATGGTTGTTTGTACCATTGTGGGGAGTGGCATGGGCTTACCCTTGTGATGGCTAACGATGCGACATTTTATGCAGCAACCCAAGTTGACGCCTGAACAAAAGGCCATGTTGCGTTTGCGTACTCTCGGTACAGTGACCAACTTTGTCACCGTTGTGCTTGCTCTCCGTGCCGGTAAGTAGTGATACGATGATGCTGTTTTCGTGAATATTGCAAAGGAGGATATCGGAAAGGGAGGGAGAAAGTGAATGAGTGAGGAGAAGTGGATGTAATGCCAGGAAGCACAGTGCAGCTAATCAAAAGTGTCTTTTTCCGTATGTAGCGCCGTTCGCTATCGAGTATGCTCAAAAGTTGTTGCAATAAGCGCGCCTAGTTGCCAAATAAAAAGCACCTGTGTTTCCTATGCAGTCAGCCATTTTTGAAGGAGTTGTCGGTCTTTTGTATTCTCTTCTTTGCTTCTCTTTCTCTCTCTTCTCACACACGCACACACATACATACATACATTATACACACGCAACGCATACCAACACATTTTGAGCGCGCTATAGACCAAGACTCTTTATATAGCAACTAACCTTGACGACAACTTGCTTTCTTGTTCATCCATCGCCTGATTTGACACAACACTTTACTCCCTGGCGCTCTTTTTTCAATACGCAAACGCCTCTCCTATCTCTTTTTCATTCTTTATCTTTATCTTTCAACCATCCACTGCTTGAACGAGTTGCTTTTATCATTTTTCCCTTGTCACATACCGTCATTGGCGTGTTGAAGTTTCATGTTTGCAAAGTCGAAACGTTTTCCTGAAGGTACGAGACCGGAAGAGATCCCGACTCATGTAGAGTGCATATATTGATACAACAATGTGACACTCACACACTTTGTACATGCATCATGAATCATCTATACAGCCACCAAAGATTACATTCCCGGCCCTGGTGAATACAACATCCCTTCAGCAGAGGAGCTGAGTCGCCACAAGCGTTATGGTTTCCTCAATCATACAAACCGTTTTAGTGCTGACGGTCCAGGTATATAATAGCAACCAATACCCCAATCTCCGCGCAACTATCACCACGTTGTTGTGTTTTGTGTAGCACATGTCACTCATCATCACCTCTTTTTATATATTCAGTGGATATCACTGGTGATTTGTACCTTGGCAGCGAAAACTCCGTGGGCAGCCTTTCAAGCGAGACTCGTCTTTCACTCTCCACCAGCAGCAATAAGACTGAGGATGCACGTTCACGACGACAAATGAGCGAGATGGCTTCACAGTTTGAAAAGTATCGTCTTGCTATGCAAAAAGAGATTGAATCCTTGCAACTCAAGAATCGAAAGTTTGAGAACAACTTGAAATCGGTGACATCAGAGAAGGATGCCGCACAAGCTACTTTGCTTCACAAGGATCAGGAACTTGCTGAAATGCGTCTCAAGAATGCTCAATTACAAAAAACGGTAAGCCTGTTCCCCAACATTATTATCCATACCACTCCCCCCAAATGTATGTATTACTCACACACACATGTACATTGTACCAGGTGACCCGGCTTGAAAAGAACATTGACAAGTCGCCCAAGGTGATTCAGCTGCAGAAACGGGTGGACCAAGCTGAAAAGGAACTGGAAGCCAATCAACAAGAAACGGCATTGATACGTGAAGCAGCCTTGCGTGAAAAAGAGGAGCTATCAACGACCCTTTCCAATAAAGATGGTACGATTGAGCAACTTGAACAGCAACTTGAACAACAACAACACACGATGGATGAGCTACATACAAGGATATCGGATGGCGAGGAGGAGCTCAAGAATGTACAACATGCACATCAGCTGACAATGGATTCCTTGCACACACAAATACAGGGGTTACAGCATGAACTTGCCTCTACTCGTGATCAATTGGAGCAGCAGCAACAACAACACACACAAATGCAAAACGAAATAAGTGGATTACGAGACGAGCTCAGCAACAGCTGCATGCAAAATGCAACGCTCGAGGCTCAAATGCAGGACCTGAAGCACCACCATAAAGCGGAGCAAGAGGCGTGGCATGAGAAACATCAAACGTTGGAACACAATTATGCTCAACAACAAAAAGAGCTGCGTCAACGTGCAGATGAAATCACCCATCTTAGATCTCAACTTGATACCACTCGTCATGATTTGGAAACGCTGCAGCAATCACATGCAAAGCAAACAGCCTGCTTAGAACGCAAGAACGGACTCTGCCTTCGTCTTCAAACACAATTTGACGTTTACAGGAACCATGTGACAACCATCATGCACGCTATGCGTGAACAAATGAATGCACAGCAACCTCACCATCTCAGCCGTGAGCTTCTGGAAGCGAAAAAATTTATTAATCATCAAGCGCTTCAAATTGAAGGACTCAAATCAGAGTTGCACTGGATGTCAAAATGGAATCGTCAACTCACCAATCTTATTGATGATCTTCACAACGATGATGTTGCACAAAACGGAGCCGTAGCATCGTATCGGTGTAGCACCCGTACCGACAACGCCCCCGCCACTACCACTACCACAACACCCTCATCCTCAGCACGCACCACGCCACGACGTCGTCCTTACACACCATCCCCAATTTCAACATGAGCAACCTGCAACCAATGACTGGTATCACAGTGGATTGAACCAATCGGTTTTCCCCTCCTTTTATGTGATCAACACCCACCACACACACATACAACAACAACAATGTAGATACTCTCTTTTGTGACCATGCTACTCCAAAATTACCCAATCGTTGTTACCCAACCCATTCAAGCTCTAGCCTAGTATACCCCATCACCATCATTTGGTATATATATAAAGTCTTTCTTTTTTGCCAGCCACTCATGTGTAGCACTCATCTTGTCAATTAACAAACAGCACAGCAGATATTTGTTGGGGAAAAAGTCTCACCCAATAATCACATGCAAACTTTAATACGTAGTAGACCATGCTAAGCAACCATGATGTTTCACTCTTTGTTTGATTTACTATTGATCGCCATAGCAACGCTTTATGTATGTACCCATCACTCTATTACATTTCACTGGTGGTGGTGTCAAATGACGTAAACCCAGCATCAACATGATCCAATTATGGGAGAGAGAGGGAGTGAGTGAGGGAGGGAAAAGTGAGACATGTCATGATGAGACAACAACAGCACGGATCCAAAGATATGTCTTTTTAATAACTCATTTACTGATGGTGGAACCCTGAGAAAACAACTTTGATATATGTATATGTAGACGATCACCAACCACAACCACAGCCTTAAAGAGCGTAGATAAAAACCCAACAAAGAACCAATCAAAATGCACAATTGCAATCACGCAAGGTGCCTTGGAAATGTCGACTGTATTTTTTCTTGACATCCATAGGAGACACACACACATACAACTCGCTTAGGAAGAGGTAGTGGATGGAGTAGCAGCACTAGTACGTTCCAAGAGCTTGGGATCTTTTTCAACAACAAGAGCACGTAGCCATTTGGCTTCCATCTCAAGTTCCTTGACTCGCTTCTCAAGTGCTTCGGCCTTGCTAGTCATTTCCTTGGCAGTTTGCTCCAAAGCTTGTTCACGCATCTTTTTCTTCATACGGAATCGTGCTGATGCAGCTGTATTGCGACGACGCTTATCTTCTTCTGCAAGCACTTTTTCTTTGGCATCCAAAGTATCCGATGTCGATGGTGTCGGCGAGGACGAGGAGGATGTTTCACTTGGTGCTTGCTTGCGTTTTCTATTCGTCAATGTCGTCGTCGTAGTAGACTTGGATGGTGTGGGGGCAAGCACATTAGCCCATGAAGACGACGTCAAATCAATAGGTGTAGGTGCAGGTGCAATGCGTGCAAGACCATGATGTTGTTGTTGTTGTTGACTCGTCGATGGTTGCTGCTGCTGTTGCTGTTGTTGTTGCAAGGGAACAAGATACGATGCAGGTGTTAGATAAGCATTCGATGTCGTCGTCGTTTGTTGCTGTTGCTGTTGTTGCTGTTGTTGACCTATAGATACAGTATCATGGTGTATGTTTTAGTGGGTGCATAGCAATGAGAGAGCGAATCGCCATTACCAAGCTCGGTCAAAGTAGCAAATAGATCAGCATCGTTCTTATTGACGTCCTTTGTGAAATCGTCGAGTAGAGCCGATCCGGGAGTGGTGTCGAAGGTGAATTGAGCATTCGCCCACAATGAAAGCTCTTCAGTGAGCGTCTCCTCAGAAATGTCGGTAGACGGCTCTGTCCCAAGTAGGTTCAGAGAATTGATATAAGACATCCGTCAGTGTCAGTTGAAGAGAGTTAAAGAAAGAAGAAAAAGATAAAGCCAGGATCTGAGTTTTCTACTTTAAAAGAGAGAGAGTGGAGAGATCATCTTGTTCCTCCTCGCATAAAGTTTTTGAGCGGGTACTTTTGATATCAACCCAAATGACAGTGGCAACTCTCACGACAATGACGGTGCTATGGGTGACGGTGAGTGTACTTTTATAAATTAAAACTTATACTGTGCCACCCTTTTATCTTGATCACGCTTCTTTTACCATGTCATGAGAAGTCCCTTGTTAATGGCACGTGTGGAGCCGATCATCATTTTTACATGATTGCTACTGCTGCATGAGACAAGGGCAAATAACATTACACCATTGGCTGATTGTAAAGAGGGGGGTACCACCACACACATTACTCGAGCTTTTTTGTTGTAAGAATGTCGCCGACAAAAGGGATCAGTTACACAAGGCGCCTCAATCCCATTTTAGCATCAACCCATTTTGTCCGACATCTTTTTACAGCATGTGGACTCATTCTTATGGCATTTGAACAATGACAACTCGACCATTGTTTAGCAACTTGGATACGTACAGGTGGAGGTGGGATACAATTAAACTTTTTTAGACGTAGTAATGAATGGCGTATGAAAACAGCGAGGGGTTGATTGTACTAGTGTAGGCGATTGGACATGCATACCCTTTATATTTGAAAAACCGAACAACTAAAAGCTGCAGCCAAGCCGAACAAGCGATTACCCACACTCTCTTTCCCCTTTCCTCTACTTTTCTTCACTCACACAACATCATGTCTGGTTACGGAGAAGCATCTAGCTATCAGGGCGGTGAAGCCGCTAGCTACCAAGGTATGTGATGATAGGGTGGTTGGTTGGTTGGTTGGGTGTATATATTTTTCATGGAGTATACGAATGACACGTACGCGTTTAGGTGGTGGTCAAGCTGATCCCTATGGTACCCGTGGCAATGCCCACTCCAGTGTGACTCAATACGCTACCCAACACGCTGATAATGAAGAAGACCATGGTTTGTTTTCCTCTGTCATTTCCAACCTTATGGACAAGGATGATCACTTGGATACCAACGATGAGGAAATGGAACATGCAAAGAACTCGCGTCAACGTATCTATCAAGATGGCGAACAAAACACCTCTCCTCGTGATATCGGTTCTGCTGCTGCTGCAGAGGCTATGGAAAAGCAACGCTCAAGCGGTGGTGGTGGTGGTATGAACGAATTGCTTGGTATGGCTATGGCTGAAGCTGCCAAGCTTTTCGCAAAGCAAGGTGGTGGAAGTGGTGGTAGTTCGGCTGGCAAGTCTGAAGCCATCCAACAAGCTGCCATGATGGCCATGAAGATGTATGCATCCAAGCAAGGTGGTGGTAGCAGTGGCGGTAGCAGTGGTGGTCTTGGCACTGTCATGAGCATGTTGGCTTCTGCTCAAGGTGGCAGCAGTGGTGGTGGCAGTGGTGGCCTTGGTGGTATGGTGAGCTCCGTTTTGGGCGGCGGCGGAGGCCACGAACAAAAGCACTCTTCCGGTGGCGGCGATATCGCATCAAAGATCATTGGCAAGCTCTTTTAAGGTTCACATACACACACCCATTACTATCACACACCCTTTCATTTCTTGTTGTAAACCTCTCACATATCCCCCCATATCACAATAAACCCCTATAGCGTGCGTTTGTATATGTATATAACATTGGGAAAGGTGAGGAAATGTGAAAATCATCAATGGGCAATGTTTCACCAAAGGGCCAACCTCGGATGTGTCTTCGTGTTTGGATGTGACACATGATACACGGTATGCTTGTGCTAAACGGCATTGCTTTTTCAGATCACCCGATGCCCTCATTTTTTTGTACTTGATTCAATGTTTCATCTCCATCAATGCATTGTGGCGATGATGATTTGAGATTGTGTGTGTGAGTGTGTGTGTGTGTGAAAACATGCGCCCATCTGAAGTTGCCACGCATGCAGCATGCAAGACAATTAGCACGTGTAACCATGGCTGCTGTACAAATCAAGTACTTGCATATACACATTGGAAGCGAGTGTGGCGCGTAGCAAATGCTTCTCTAACTCGTAAACATGTCATCTCTTGGCTGGTTTGATAACGTTTGGAGTGATCGAGTATGCTATGCCAAGTACATGAACACTGAAGGCAAGCCATTCATGGCTTCCAAGTACCATAATCCATATCACATGGTATATATATGTCATAGCAACGAGTGGTTTCCACTCTCCTTGGGCTGTAAGTCTACATCAGAAGCTGATAGCAATACGTGATGTCTAGTCATTCCACTTGTATGGTCGTCCAAGAATGCATAAATAGACCTTTGTTTAATGAAGGATATAAGAAATTACATTTATGGGGCAATAAGAACCTTCCTTATGTAAGTTAAACAAAGGACGATCGTCATTGAGTGCTTGTAAACAAGAGGTATGTATGTGCCTGTGGATGTATTATGCGACGGGGACATGGTCTCTATACTCAGCCACTCACAGCCAATGCCACAGCGACGACGCGGATTGAACGCGTCGAGGGGGAATTGCAATTTCCCATTTCCGTTCTCTTGACGCGTGCCGGCACGGGCATTCCTCCTTTCTCTCCTTTATCTCTTTTTCTTTATCCCTTTCTTATATTCACATACTCTTTATTTAATGCAATCTGATCCATACGAAGGTGTATACAGAGCAACCTACTCTGGAGTCCCTGTCTATGAAATCCTTATCCAAGGCCATCCTATCATGCGACGACAAAGCGACTCGTATATGAACGCAACACAAATACTCAAGGTCGCCGGCATTGAAAAGGGAAGACGTACCAAAATCCTTGAACGCGAGATCCTCATTGGCGAACATGAAAAGATTCAGGGCGGCTATGGCAAATACCAAGGCACATGGTAAAGTGCATGGTTACCAGACTTGTACATCTCAACTTACATATACATGGTTGCTTAGGATCCCATTTGACACTGGCAAAGAGCTTGCTGAACGATACGATGTCTACCATCTCTTGAAGACACTTTTCGAATTCCAACCACCGGCTTGTGAGACAGACATACCTAGCAAAGACGAGGTTTTTAAGGGAAGCGGCAAACAGCATGCAGCAAGTAGTAGCAATAGCAACAACCATAACGGCGCAACATCATCCTCATCACAACAAAAGCAACAACAGCATTCTCCACCCCCTTCACCATCAACATCCAGCATAGCAGCTTCGCCACATCCTTCTAAACGACCACGGATATCCCACGAGGACGATCGTAGTGCGTTAATGGCCTTGTTCTTGGATGATGACTCTAGCACATTTCCGGATCTTTCTGATATTGATATTGACCTTGTGATTGATGACCAGGGTCACACAGCTTTACATTGGGCAGCATCTCTCGCACGTATCCATACTCTTGAAGCGTTGATTGCACGAGGGGCCGATCCAGCACGTGTCAATTATGCGGGCGAGACGGCATTGATGCGTAGTGTCATGATGAACAATTGCTATGATACGGGATGTTTTCCTAAATTGTTGACGATCCTACACGACACAATCCATCTTACAGACTACTATCGACGCAACATTTTCCATCACACCGTTGTGGCATCTGCTATTGATAAACACCAACACGTCGCCTTGTATTATATGAAACACCTTTTCAACACCGTCAAATCATCACCTTCGATCACCACCATCACTCCTATCACCAACTTTTCATCGTCCTCATCATCACAAAACAGCAACACCAGCATTCCAAGTCTCCAATCTCTCGTTGACATGCAAGATAGCAATGGAGAGACACCATTCAACATTGCAAATCGAATAGGTGCAAAGGAGCTAGCAGACATGTTGGCTGAATTCAATCACGTTGACCCAATATCATCACCGCAATCACCATCACAGGTAATGTGTGCATGGAATTATAGAGGAAATGGTTACTCACAAAGGTTGGCGTGATATATAGTCATTGCCAAGGATAGAAACGACCTATGCGCCTAATCCTCGAGGAAAGGAGATTGTAGCGAGTAAGGATTTATTGGGGATGGAAATGTGGATTGACGGTATTCACCATGTTGCTACTACTTTAGCTGTTCAAAAACTTGTGGATGCGTTGGATGAGGACTATACCACACAATTACGAGAGAGGGATGAAGAACTACAAAGGACACAACAAAAGCTATGGGCAGTGACATTACAGCTGAATGAGGCACAACGAAAATTGGAAGAACATGAGAAACAACAACGACTTCATGACAACAACAACAACAGCAATACCGATAATCTATTACACGACCTTGACAATGCAATTCAACCAAACGACAACGACCCTAGAACACGAGAACAGTGGTTAGAGGAGCGTATCAGGATATTACAAAGGCAAATCAACGCACAAAGCAAATCACAAGAGGATCTCACGGTGCAAGTCGATTCTCTTCAAACACAAACAAGTGAACGAGAACAGCAATGTAAACGATTAATTGCTGCATGTTGCAATCTACCACTGGAGCGAATAGACACTTTGCTAGAACCACTACTTGCAGCTGTGGAAAGTGATCCGCCGGATTTAGAATTTGGTCAAGTTGTTAGCTTCATGGAGCAGTTGCGTCAAAACAGCAATAATAAACCTTCACCACTGGCGTAAATCTACAATCAATATCGTTGTTGTTTCATTTTATGTATGGTTGAGTGGACTCTCCTTTTTTTGGGCTCCTTATTTTTGACAGGTCCAAATCATAATGAATAACCTTTTTGACGCACAGTCATTGAGTTATATGGCGTATATCATCTATCCCGCGTGTTGGCATAGGAACGGCATCATCATCTTACTCCTGATACCAAAAGTGGATGCGATCGGCAATTGCTAAGTAAGTAGGAGGCCATTCATGGAGGGGAGAAGTGATAATGTGATGCATTGCATACCGGCCCGAGGATGTGAGGCCTGTGCTTTATTATTGCATAGGGTTACTAACAACCGGATATTTAAGGGGTACATGGGAGCAAGTAGTAGGTGAGACTACCAGTAGTCAATATGGCCGTGTGCGTGTGTGGGTGGGTTTTTGACATGTCAATATGGGCAAGGCTTCTTGAGGATACTACATTTTGGCGGTACATTAGTTGTCGTCATCACTATCACGAACGCATGACTCTATGTACATACTAGGGCTAATTTAGAAAATAAAAAAGTGAGTTAAGGTTGTGATGGATCAGATGACATGAAAATGACACTTACGCATACTTCTCGTTTATGCGATGCTAATAAAAGTATACACATGATGTCGGTGAGATTACAATGATTAACAAAAAAGCAACATTACAACAGCTTACTGGATCCACAATTGTAACAAAAGATGGGTCGAGGATGGGGCATAGCCTGATAATTGGATGTATGTGATGTGCCTGATCAGCGCTTTTATCCGTGGTCTTTTATATATGTGACATGGACCGCATATCGGAAACCCTTACTAGTTTAGTAGTAGCAGTAGTAGGGATAACGTCAAAGGAGGTAAAGGTGGTGGTGGGATAGATCTTGGTAGTACCTCTATCCAAGCAGTGGGATTTACATGCATGACAACGACCGCGTGTATACTCCTTTAGGAGGAATAAAGTGACCCACATGATTTTTTGTTCTTGCCGTAGCAAAGTAAAGGTGCAAGTTGGGCCCGTATGGCATAAAGAGGAGAGCAACGAAAGAAGAAAAAGGAATGAAGAGTGGGCATCGTTCTTTGTTCTTCATCCTGTGGAAACGACAAGAACCGGAAAGAGAATCGTGACAAAGGGAAACAGGGATGATCGACAAAGAAACATCGGATTTGCTTATTCTTTCTTTCCTTCTCCTTCCTCATCGGGTGGGAGAGAAGCATTAAAGTTGGATTAGAGAATCGGGTATATGGTCGAATCAACAATCACTCCTCTTCAAAGACGAGACGCATCCGATTCATTATGTTTGTATCAAGGTGCATCATCATCACGCTCGCACTATTACGAGCACGTATGGAGCAATGGCATGCTTTATATAAAGATGTAGATTGAATGACATCAACTTTGAAAATGATGAACATTTGCTATCCTGAAAGTATCATGAGCTCTCTTTAACCCATGGCTACTGCCTCGTGCTAGTAACATTAACGGCGCTTAGTTCATGAAATGAATCGCAAGCTGCAAATCAGCTATCATCATCTATGATGGCATACGCAATCAAAGAATCTACCTACAACCTGTGTAATGGTCCTTATCTTGTAAAAGATTCAAGCCCAATGCATCATACGATATCACGAATCATTGATTTTACTATCACACACATTGTGAATGGCACGTTGCACAAGGGTTACTTACTGGTAGCTGCGGATCAAGTTGTGCGTATCAAGTGCTTCATTGAGAGACATGCCATCGCTTTAAAACGTGCACGACTCCCACACACGCACTTGCTGAATCTTGGCTTTTTTAATTAAGGTATAGGCGAGGCGTCATTAAAGGCTTGCAGCCTTTGTACACAAAGCTGCAATCAAATGTATACACATAAACAGTGCGCTCGTGTATTTGTTTACGGGCCAAATGCCAAACGATGGATCGACATGTGTACCCTGACAACCACCGTACTGTACCCATTGCTTAGCTGAGCAATTCTCACGCACGAAGAACCCCCTTTTCGTTTTTCCATAACGATTTCCAGTACTTCCAAGAAGCGTAGTAATTCGTTCCCTGCTGCTTTATAATACGATCTCCATGCTTGTTGCTGTTTTCTTTTTGCACCATTCGTGGCCTTTCTGGTGTATTATCCTTTTTTGGTGATATGGGAATTCGCTCCCTTATTAGCATAATAGGGATGCTCTATGACTACTTTGCACATGCATGGATCAATATGCGTGCGGATGATGTGATGTGGGCTTACATAGAATACCACCCACGTGCTTGTAGAATCAAATCCGTTATGCTGGTATATGGTTACAGCAGTAAGGATGTCCATTCACACGCCAAAGTTGTGTGTGTGAGTGTGTGTGTGTACGAGGTTGATCCCAGGGCCTAAATAAGAGCAGCAAGGTTCCGTTGGCCTTTTTTATCTTTGGGGATCATCCCAATACCTGGGTGCATACATTGTATTTTCTCACCGTTATCATCGGTTGGATGAGTGGGCTGGGTGGAAGCGGAAAGAGGTGAGGAATAGACCACATGACCAAATTTGGGCCCTTCTTGACACAAATCAATGCATGTTGTATTTATGTTTCTCACGTAATCGAAATGATCACATTGACGTGTTGCTTTAGGTGTGAATGTGTGTGTTGTGTGTACACACCTTGTAAGCTCCTGATACATGCTGCCGTAATCGACTATGGCGTGCGTGGATCAGTTGACATTTTTTTCCGTAAAAGATGGAAACGTTCGTAGATGGAAGTATCGATACCTTTCCTTCTAAAGGAATGCGGTATAACCACAGACCCAATTCTGGAGGTGCAATGTGGCACATGTCACAAGGGAAAAAATGCGGGGAGAGTGAGCGAGAGGTTCCTGCACAAATAATTGTGTGGTCCGACACGATTTCATTTTTCTCATCAGGAAGATTACGTCTCATGGGGCTTATCAGTGGAAGAAAAAACACGCGCACTGTGCCGATGTGGTCAAGGTTTATCTTTGTAAAGGTTGCATTTGTTTGGTTTGTGGTGGTGGTGCGGATCCTGACTTTGTCTCCTGAGATCGGCTGCATTATTATAAAAGAGAGCCTCTGTACCTTACATTGTGATTTCTTTCCCCCTCCCTTTTTTTTTCACAAAAAAAGCACAAACCCATTTCTGCTTTTTGACTGACGACTGTTGGGCAACCTTTGTTCTTCTTTTCTTCTTCATTCCAATACAACGAATACGTCATGTCTGTGGCAAATGTGCCTCCAGTGCCCCAAGAGGCATACGATGATGGTCTTTTTATACAAGAACTTGCACCAATCCGAGGCACTCTTGTTGGATCCTTTTTTGTTGCTGTGATCCCGCTACTTGTTGTGTTGCTGTTTCTTGGAGCATTTCGATTGCCAGCACACTTTGCATCATTATCCGGTCTCATTGTCTGGTACTACGAGAAAAAAATTGGGGTGGTTGTAGCGTGTAGAATGCTCATACCGAAAACGTTTCAGTATTTTCATAGCCATCTTTGGATTCCACATGCCAGCACAACAAGCTTTCCAATCCATCGGCAATGGTATCGTCTTTGCCAATTGGCCCATCATGTGGATTGTTGTTAATGCAATGTAAGAGGAAGGAGATTTAGTATCAGTGTATTGTTGATGGCATGTATTGAAGGATGACATTGTAGGTTTGTGTATAACATTGCTGTACGTTCCGGTGCTTTTGATATTTTCCGGCGATGGATTGTCACAAACACACCACCTGATCAACGTGTCTTGTTACTCGTTATTGGATTTGCTTTTGGCGCATTGTTAGAAGGTAAGCAACACGTACTGCTGTTGTAAATGATTTGAATGAACCATGATTCTGATGTTGTGTTATGTTGCTCCCAAAAAGGCGTTGCCGGTTTTGGTACACCAGGCGCTATTTGCTCCGCCTTGATGTCCTCCTTAGGGTGAGTAGTAGTTTACTACAATGGATGATGCATGCATATGTATGCATGAATATTGAGCTAAATGGATACTATTTTACCTTTTCTTGCAGCTTCGATAAGGTCGACGCACTCACCTACACGCTCATTTTTGATACAACACCTGTTGCATTTGGCGCACTTGGTATTCCAGTGACCACATTGGCCAACCTCACCGGATTGCCTGTGATGAGTTTGTCAGCTATGATGGGTCGTCAACTACCATTTGTCAGCGTGTTTTTGCCGTTGTATGCTATTACATTCTTTGCAGGCTTCAGGGCAGGATTATTAGAATGTTGGCCTGCAGCTGTGGTGGCTGGTGTTTCCTTTGCTGCTATTCAGGTATGTATAAGCGTCAAAATTAAAAGCTAAGAGTGATTGATTTTGTGTTATTAGGCTATATTTGCCAATTGGGTGGGACCGGAGCTCCCCGATTTGATTGCCGGTTTGGTAGCAATGATCGCTCTTGTCGTTTTTCTCCAATACTGGAAACCACCCTATCGTGCCGAATTTGCATGCACGTATACACCTACTCGGCCTGCTAATGATGAGGAATCCAAAGCTGCCGAAAAAAATCAGGAACAACAACAACAACAAGAGGATGTTCAAGATGGAGCCAAGGGTGACAAGACCCAAGTAACATACGATGATCATCCTCACGACGCTGTTGCTGGTAGCAGTGGTGGTGATAGCATAAACAGCAACAGCAACAAGGGAGTGGATGGCGTATCTCCATCACCCATCACCGAGCTGGCTAAACCCACTCTATTGGAATCCATTGTTGCTTGGAGTCCTTGGGTGAGCATCATTGTCGTGGTTATCATGTAAGTTTTTTTATTGTTATAGAAGAGTTGTACATGTTGTAGCTGATCCCATATACAAATTCCTTCAGCTGGTCTTTTGTCAAGGTCCCTAGTTATGGTGCAATCCATGTCTTATGGCCACAGCTTCACGAACGTGTATGGCTGACGTTGTATGGCGAACGATATGCAGCAGCCTGGGATTTCCAACCCCTTGCCACAGGCACTGCCATCTTGGTTGCCAATGTCCCATTCACGTGCATTGTACTTTTACATGGCGCTAAGCCTAAAGTCATTCCTCAAGCCCTATGGGACACTGTCAAACAACTTTGGTTGCCTATCCTCACCGTGTCATTCATTATGGCTCTCGCTTACCTTTATAACTATTCGGGTAAAACATCCCAGCTTTGCTTTTTGATCTAGTCTCACTCACCTAAAATGGCTCATACACGTAGGTATGGTGTACACTATTGGTCTTACCTTATCGTCGGTGGGCAACGCATTCCCGTTTTTGTCAGCGTGGCTAGGTTGGTTGGCATGCTTCTTGTCAGGTAGTGATACCTCGGCCAATTCGCTCTTTGGTAACCTACAAGTGGTTGCTGCTCGTCAAATTGGCTTATCGGCTGTGCTGATGGCATCCACCAATTCCAGTGGTGCAGTGACATCCAAAATGATTTCACCCCAAAACTTGACTACCGGTGTCTCTACCTTGGGCATGCAAGGAAAGGAAGGGTATATCTTCCGACGTACGGTCCTTCACTCCATTTTCATGTGTGCCATTATGGGTGCTATTGCCAGTATCCAACAATTTGGCACACCTGGTATCATCCCTCCTGGTGATGAGGTGCTACCACCTGTTGCTTAGTGATCCCGATCCAAAAAGTTACAACAATTTTGTATGCCTACATCTCATTTCCCTTCCACTCTCTGTAGTGTAGTGTATTTGATATACCTAAACAGCCACTATCGCTTTTATTCTCTTAATCTCTCATACATCCAGCTAATATAAATACATTATTATCTTATTATGTACATTGTCCTTTGGAGTTATTCAAAGAGGCCAAGTGAAGGCGAGTAGGGATGATGAATCACCCCATGCGTACTATCAAATGCAGCCTTTGTTCAAGACATAATGAACCAATCAGATTCCTTTTCCTCTTCCTTTCTTTTTCCCTTCATCACAGCGTTTACGAGTGGATCAACTTTTACAATCATGCATACATCTCCCATAATAATACAATGCATCCAATGCATCCAATGCTCACACACGAGGATACCCGACCCATGAAGAAGGAAGGTTTCTTACGCCTTGTAAACTGAGAAATGGTTGGCCAACGCAATGAGTATCCCTTTAATCCAACAACATTCACAAGAGAAATAGATTGATTGTGAGGTACAAAGAATTGCTCCAAACAGGAAGGTACATAATTTGGGAAAGCTTCTATCCTTTGGGCGTACAATGTGAAAAGATGAATGGATGGGATGGCGAACAATATGGATGGCGTGTCAAAACGTCGAGCTGGACAATGGTGATGGTTGTAGATAGTTGTCAGGTTGCACAAAGGGTGGTGATCGCTGCCATGGAATCGGATGTAAAGTAGCATAATGGTCCAGGATGATAGCCATGTTGATAATGGATACACCCTCTTTCCACGTATTGTACATATCCCAATCCTTTCATTCCACGTACAAAACCATTATTCAGATCCATATCCATATCCATAAGAGTTCGTTTGTATTGAAGCAAGTTGTTGCTACACGTAAATAAAGCTGCTCCCATACAATGGCTATCTGCTGTCCATGTGACAAAGCCGTAACACTAGTTGCTGCAAAGGAAGAACGCTGTTTGAGGCAATGGCGTAAAGACACCGCTAACAGCAGCTGCTGCAATGAATGCTGTTCGTTTGATAGTGGTCGAGGATTGTACAAGAGATGGGGAAGTGTCAAGGGAGGCGTGTGTTGTAGTGGAGTGTATACACCATGGACGATGCCATTCAGTCAAAGGCAATCGGATCAAGGCAGTTGTAGGATTGACATGATGGGTTGAAGCAGGACAATCGTTGGCAGTTGGTAGTTGTACTTGATTGGGGTAACAGTTGAGAATGGGAGGAAGAGGAAATAAAGTGGGAGAGGAAGAAGTAGAAATTAACTTGATTGTTCTGATACTTGGATGATGTTTCTGTGTTTGAGCGTTGCTCATTCAAATCCCCCTGAATCATGGAAGTTAAATGATGGGCATGCTGGGCTGGAGGAAGACAATCGTTCGTATGCATTGGATTGGACAACAAAGGTGAATGGGAGGAAATTACTGTTAGCTCGCAATGTATGGGCTGTTGTCAATAGTATACAGCATCATCTTTCCATCCTTCCAGTCATGCAAAGTAGCTGAGTTACACCAAAGAGGTCCCTCTGCATCTTTTGCTCTGCCAGAGTCCAGCTACTTGACAATGAACAAAGACGACTCTTCATATAGCATCACGCTTACAAACATAAAGGTGTCTGTATCTCCAAACTTTACAATCAAACGTGGGGTTTTTATTAGAGCAATGTGCTCGGCTTGGCCAACAGCACCTTGGGTGAAAGTTTCACGTTCAATGTCGCAACTAGCCCAAAAAATATTTTTTTGGTCGTCGTCGAAAGAGGTTGAGCCCCGGATCCAGTTTGGCTGGTAGCGACATTGCGAAATCTGGGATTGGCAAGCTTGAACGTGAAACTTTTACACAAGGTGCTGTTGGCCAAGCCGAGCCCATTGCTCTAATAAAAACCTCACGTTTGATTATAAAGTTTAGAGATACAGGCACCTTTAGTTTTAACTATTGATTCTATATGAAGAGTCGTCTTTGTTCATTGTCAAGTAGCTGGACTCTGGCAGAGCAGAAGATGCAGAGGGACCTCTTTGTGTAACTCAGCTACTTTGCATGACTGGAAGGATGGAAAGATGATGCTGTATACTATTGACAACAGCCCATACATTGCGAGCTAACAGTAATTTCCTCACAATCGGCAATGTTGCCCATTCTATGACAGTGGAACGATGCTCCTGCTTCAGACATTCATTTCCATGATTGGATTATGTTGATCCGAGTTGATTTGGCTGAGCTACGCTCATACAAGGTTACTTCAGTTGAGCAACATAGAGCATGGTTAGATGTGTGGATTGATGTAATCCCTCTTTGGCTGTATCTCGGTCAAATCAACTCGGATCAACATAATCCAATCATGGAAATAAATGTCTGAAGCAGGAGAATCGCTCACATGTCATAGAGTGGACAACAGTGGCTATTGTGAAGAAATGGCTGTTAGCTCGCAATGCACGGGCTTTTGTCAACAGTATACAGTATCATCCTTCCATCCTTCCAGTCATGCAAAGTAGCTGAGTTACACAAAGAGGTCCCTCTGCATCTTTTGCTCTGCCAGGGTCCAGCGACTTGACATTGAACGAAGACCACTCTTCATATAGCATCATGCTTACAGCATAGTAAAAACATAAAGACGCCTGTATCTCCAAACTTTACAATCAAACGTGGGGTTTTTATTAGAGCGATGTGCTCGGCTTGGCCAACTGCACCTTGGGTGCCAGTTTCACGATCAAGCTTGCCAATCCCAGATTTCGCAATGTCGCTACCAGCCAAACTGGATCTGGGAGTCGACCTCTTCGACGACGACGACCAAAAAAATATTTTTTGGGCTGTTTACGACATTGAACGCGAAACTTTCACACAAGGTGCTGTTGGCCAAGCCGAGCCCATTGCTCTAATAAAAACCCCACGTTTCATTGTAAAGTTTGGAGATACAGGCGCCTTTATGTTTGTAAGCGTGATGCTATATGAGAAGTGGTCTTTGTTCATTGTCAAGTAGCTGGACTCTGGCAGAGCCAAAGGTGCAGAGGGCGTGTTTGTGTAACTTGAGTCATTCAGCACAGGCGATGCATGATTCTTGTACACTATTTAGGAATAGTTCAAAATGGCAGCTAATAACCTAGTCCTCCCATTCTCCATTGTTGTCCAATCCAATGCATACGAACGATTGTCCTGCTCCAGCTCAGCATGCCATCATTCAACTTTCTTGATCCAATGAGATTTGACTGAAAAACGCTCAAACACAGAAACATCATCCAATATCAGAAGAATCAAATTGGTAAGTTATTTGTAAACTGCCGGCTAGTAGCCCATTCCTTCCATTCACCTTTGTTGTCCAATCCAATGCACACGAACTATTGTCCTGCTCCAGCCCATCGTCGCCATCCTTCAACTTTCTTGATCCGAGAGGATTTGGTTGAGTTACGCCCAAACACAAAACATCATCCAATTTCACAAAAATCATTTTGCAAAGTTATTTGTAAACTGCCAGCTAATAGCCCATTCCTCCCATTCTCCTTTGTTGTCTAATCCAATGCATACGAACGATTGTCTTGCTCCAGCTCAGCATGCCCATCATTTAACTTTCATGGTTCGGGCTAACCTGATAGTAAGGTAATGGCTGTTGTTGGATCATCATTATCATGTAAAGTGTAAAATGGCACACACCCTTTTGCTATACGTGAGGATCATTTCTTTCATTTACGTGTACCTATTGTCTATCGTGAGGGTGATGATGACGATGGGTGGATGGTGTGTGTGTGGGGGGGGTCATTGATTGGCCTCAGTGTAATAGCAGTAGGGGGATTTAAACTTGGGGGACAGCAGCTCCACGACTTGAGACAACACTTCTCTTCTCTTTCTCTCTCCTCTGCTTTTATCCCATTCACGACATTCCAATCAAGGTAATGTATTATAAAAAAGTGGTCTTGTTGGCTGTGAGGTGTTAATGTAGTTCTGAACATGCATTGTCAGGGAGTGAGTGTGTCCAAGTGCTGAGGAATGAGCGTGGTTGGTGGTTGGTGGTTGCCATGGCGATATCGTTGCTTCCTTTTGCTCGTTGCTATTCATGCTCTACGCTTGGTGTCAACAGGTACATTCCATTGACGTGTTAGCTTGTATAGAGGGCAAGCTTGGTATCAAGGCGTTGGCTGGTTTGGCTTCTTGTTTCGGCTCAAAATCACTACTATGGTTTTCGGTTTCCAGCAACCCAACAACAAAGGTCTTTATGTGTATGAACAAAGGTATGTGCAGCGAACAAAGACAATGGAAAAGGCGTTTATTGTAATAATGAATGCTGCTATTATTGAATAGGTTCTTGGTCAGGTAGTGCAACTTTGGGCATCATCTCTCATTGGGTTCGACTCCCAGCCTGTACCTTTTGGCCACTTGTTGATATAGCTATTAGAGTACTGTTAGTGATGCCCACGAATGCATAAAAATATATAAATGATAAGGTGGCAAATTAGCTTCCATGGAAACCCATGTACTGACAAGGATGGCCACGCGAAGGCTTTGCCGTCACCCTCTCCCCTACGGTGCACCATGCCGGATAACGGGGGCTGCCATTGTAAACAACAGCATCTTCTATAGGTGCTGCTCGAGCCAACATGTTCGGTCTGATAAAAGGGTAGCATCCCACGCCCACAGAGGCCGACCCATAAGAGCGAAAAGCAATACATGATCCCATATCTACCACAAGGCCACTGAGTAACAGTCTGACTTCCAACGGCTAAGGCAGTAATCATTAAATGCAATTGATAGGGCCAAGATAGGGCTGACCACACTGTCGCATGTAAATCATAGCTGCCAACGATGCTTTACACAAATGAGCAAGGCACCATCCCGTTCTACCCATAGCAAATAAACATCCGCCATATCAGTAGTTGCTGCCATCAAGCGACCTTTTTGGGTTGGCGTCATCAGAGAGACACATCATGCACTGCAACAAATAAATCCGGTCTTGATGAAATAGCATACGCGAGGATATTGACTTGCCAAGAGAACGTCCAAGGTATCCATACAAGTACTTGAGGAATGAGATCCGCCATGGCACCGATAAAAACATTGCTCTGAAGATCCACCGATAAAGAGACGACTTGCAAGTAGCTGATTTCCAAAACCATGGAAACGGTATCCTTGACAACCACAACTATAAGATAGAGATCGCTTGCTTGCTTCTGAGACACCCACCCAAATTCAAATGTTGATCTTCGTCTTCCAATTCAATAGGATTCGCCATTGACAACTGTAAGGAGAGACTTTGATGGCACCAAAGAGCACGCGAAATTATAGCTTGATGGAATGATGGGCCTATAAAGCTGCATATCACTAATTTATCTTTGAGGTAATGGTAACAATACTTAGCCAGTGTCATATGAGAATCCACGATGTTTCACGCCACCCAGTACATAGTCAGGACACATTTCCTTGCTGTAGAGATGTCGAACACAGTGACCAATTCTGATAGCCGTTTCTCCAAACGATACTTGATGATGAATGCCATGAGAGATGGATACACCTTGACAGCACCAAAAGGACACGTAACATTGTTGTTTGTTGCTGATGTGATACATCCATAAGATACGTGCGGTGAAGAGAGCTTTTGAAATCAATTGGCCAATAACGAGAACACCAGAGGATCAAATAAATGTTGTTGACACTAAAGATGTGGGCTCTGTTGTTCATTGCTGCTTCTTGTTTGTAGCTGACATGATCCACCGATAACAGGCATGCGTAGCAGGATATCCATTGAAAGGGTTGTCAACAACTAGGTCCACAATAAGACGAGATACAACTTGGTGACACCAAAAGGTATAGAACTTGTTGCCTTGCCGCTGCAGATGCTTATAAAAGGAAGTGTCCAATAGGTGGTACAGTAACGAAAACCATCGAACGATGTAATAAGGCAAGCTGACACTGAAGGATGCTGTCGACGTTGCTCTTTGACCCTGACATGATTCACCTATAAAAGATGCACGGTAAATAAACAGTTTCCCGAATCCATAGAACGATACTTAGCAATGATAGCTGCATCCATGAATATTCCAAAGGACCAAAATACAAGTAGTTTGCTGAATAGCACACATACTATAATAAAAGAGGGGGTTGGTTGGGATTGGAGCCAAAAAACGGGTGACCCACTATTACCAATGAATGCCATATGAATAAACCCCTGTCGACATCCAATGATAGCTGCATCCATCAAGAATCCAAAGGGAACAAGACAAGTAGCTCGCTGAATAACTCACATGAAAGAGGGTGTTAGTAGGCATTGAAAGAAAGAATGGATCATTATTTACCAATGACAGCTGCATCCATAGAAATCCCAAAGCACCAGAAGACAAGTAGCATCCTATAATAAAAGAGGAGGTTGGCAGGCGTTGAAGAAGAGAACGGATCATCATTTACCAATGATAGCCATACGCACGAAAACATGTTGACATCCAATGACAGCTGCATCCATGAAAATCCCAAAGGACCAAGAGACAAGTAGCTCGCTGAATAGACCACATACTACAATAAACGAAAGTGGTTGGCAGGCGTTGTAGAAACCAATGGTCATCACTTACGAATGATAGCCATATGCACGAAAAGATGTTGACATCCAATGACAGCTGTATCCATGAAAATCCCAAAGAACCAGAAGACAAGTAGCTTGTTGAATAGCCTGCACACTATAATAAAGAGGATGTTGGTTGGGATTGGAGCCAAAAAACGGATCATCCTCTATTTACCAATGACAGCCATATGCACGAAATCCTGCTGATATCCAAATCAAGCCGATTCTTTGCAATCGTCCGCTTGTTGATAAGGCCCGCTACGGTGGTACTCGGCTTGAAAGCGATGGAACGATACCTTATGGGCATATGCAGTGAGAAGGTTGAGTAATATTGATACCACCAAAGAGAGCATACTTACGTGATGCCGAAGAGCCCTTACAAAGAGAGACAACGAGACAATCCTTGCTGCCCAAGACCACATGCAAATCGAGAAAGCATTGTGCATCGAAAAGCCCAAACCAGATCCTAGCTGCGGAGTGACGTACATATGGCTAAAGAGCGATGTGAATGGCAATCGTTTTTCATTGGAAATCGAATGCAGCTTGACGATGAATGCCTTGAGGAGATGCATAAATGACCTTGGTAACACCAAAGATGTCAACGCGGACTCTCATCGCTTGTTGATGACATGATCCATCCATAAGACACGTATAGTTGTAAAGATCCATCAAAGGAATCGCCAATAACCAGAACCACCAAGAGATAGAAAGCTTGCTGATATCAAAGATATACAAGTTGTTCCTTGCTGCTGATGTGATCAATCGATAAGAGACCTTCATTTCAGGATGCCCACCGAATTGCCGATAACGAAAGAACCAGATGATGGGAAAAAGCTTGATATGACACCAACGATATGGATGCTGTTACTTGTTGCTGATACAATCCACTCATAGAAGACGTTCATTGGCTGACATTCCCCAGAGAAATCGCCCGTTGCTTGGTAACCAACCACCCGAGACGCAATAAAGGTTGACACCACCAAAGACATAAACACTTCCCCATGGCTGACATGATTCACCTATAAAGGATGCACCATAAACAATTGTCCAAACTCATACAACAATACTTAGCAATCATAGCTGTGATCTTGTAAACGTCAAAGCACCAAAAGACAAGTAGCTCTCTGCAACGGTCCCTCTAAATAATGGTAGGCGTTTCAGCAAAGGTCTCCAAAAAGCATGAGAGTCCTACATACCTGAATCACGCAATCATCACCCGCAGACTTGGGAACCAAATAGACCATCAGGATGTAAAGTAATAATAAAAGCGCACAGCCAAAGAAACGTCATAGTACCGGCACTCTCCTGTGGATCGACGCGATGAAGTGCATCAATAGAGATACCATCTTCTCTCTAAAGGCAAGGAGATCAATAGCCGTAAAACGATGGAGCCGTGCGAACAGAGGATGCATTTTTAAACCCCTGAGGGCGCAACATGAATCGCACTGTCCCCGGGCACAACATGTAGAGCTCCACAGGAAAGTGTAGTACAATGACGTCCTTGACGTGCAGCCTTGATAATAATAGTATGGCTGAAAGAGGCTCTGCCACTGTATGGTGTTTGGTAAGTCCACTTGAATCCAACCAATCCCATCAAAATGAACATCTTACCTTGTGGTATTTCTCAATAGCATCATTGCCTCAAATAAAACCGTATCTCCGTGTCATCCATATTGTCTTGCTGCTGTTTCACTGTAAGTCTTGTTAATTAACATGTTTTGCTTTGTAGATCCAATACCACACATACCATTGAGCCAACCATACAGCATTCTTGTTTTGATATCCGTATCCTGTTGCTGCCAGAGGTACCATCATCCAACATGTTCACCTACCATAAACGCAATGTGAGATAAGAAGCAAACCCAATCCACACCCTTTTGTTGTCAGCATACCCAAAAGAGGCAAAGTGAAGACGTCTTGAGAACTCTCATTGTGGACAACTCGGTAAGGAAGGCACACGACGCCCTGAACCATGGTGATCACAAGGAATTGCAACCAAATACACCATCCGAAGGCAATACAATAATCAACCTGCAGCGCCAAGGTATGCCGCCATATGTACCATACTCTCATTGGATCCTGAAATTGGCATCATAAGAGATATCCACCTTCTCTCTGTAGGCAAGGAAATCAATAGCCGCACTTGGATGGAGGCCGTGTGAACAGCGGATGCATTTTTAAATCCCTGAGGCCGCATCTTGAGTCACACTGTTTCCGGGCCAAAATTCCCCAGGAGAGCACAGTACTATACAATGACATCCTTGACGTGCAGCCTTGATAATAATAGTATCGCCGAAAGAGGCTCTGCCACTGTATGGCGTTTGGTAAGTTCACTTGAATCCAACCAATCCCACAATGAACCTCTTACCTTGTGGTATTCCTCAATAGCATCAATGCCTCAAATAAAACCGTATCTCCATGTCATCCATATTGTCTTGCTGCTGTTTCACTGTAAGGCTCGTTAATTGACAGGTTTTGCTTTGTACATCCAACACCATGCATACCATTGAGCCAACGAACGGCGTTCTTGCTTTGATATCAATGTCTTGTTGCTGCCAGAGGTACCATCATCCAATGTATTCAAGCTACAGTAAATGTAATGTAAGGTAACAAGGATAGCATTCGCTGTTCATGTCGACATACCCATAGTAACAATATGTTGCGACTTCTCCTTGATGACAAGCATGGAAAGCATACACACGACACACGACTCCCCCCTTTGGATCTCGTATAAACGTGAGAACAGCAAACTACACGTGAACTTTAGAACCACAATGTCCAACTTGAACAATAAAGTAATGCAGCGATTGAACATACATGTTGTACTGCAATGGAAGCTTGAGTCATGGGCAGATCGCGCGCGTACTTGCTGTTGAATGTCTGGAACTGGAAAGTGTTGCCTTTGACCACATGTTCACCCCAATGAACGCTGTACATTGTAAGGAATGCCAGCAATTAACGCGTTGTAGTTTGTAAATGGAGACACGCTTACCTTTTTTGTGAAGGGGAAGTGAAGAAGAGTGGCCTCTTTGTTCCTCCTGTTCGCTCCAATTCGTGCACCCCATGCCACCCCGCTTGCTACAGCTATTACTGTTTATACGTAACCTCAACAATATTCTATGCTCTTAGCTCAATAAGAATGATCACTGCTCAAGACTTCAATTGAGAACAGCCCTCGTAATTAAGCTATTAGGTCTGTGCGCATTCCATCGATCGATTAGTTATGCAGCTTCACCCCTGGACCAACTTGTGCAACCTACTGTGTAACCCCCTGCCAAATATATGATATCTCGCTTTTCACGTTTGCAGTTCCCCTTTTCAATGCAGGAAACAGCCAAGTGATCCACCCAATGCACATCTAAGCTGATCGTACGATACCCAAGTATTATGTTGAATCCAATTTTCATTCAATAAAAAGTCGAAGAACACGTAGACACGGCATTGTGGACGATGTACGTACATGATACATAAGGGAACAATATAGCCAAATTGAACAGGGTACAAATGGGCGAAACATATAGAGTCATTAGGGATAATTGTGCCATCCCATACTTGATTGCTGTCGTCATGATCACCCTTCATCCATGATTGCAAAATAGGTGTTGTATGCTTTTGCTCGAGTATTATTCCAGTATCATTCATAGCTGTGAAACACCTCCTTTCGTCATAGATACAAGCCCTCTCCTCAATTCCATCCGAACCATCCTCCCCCTCAGCCGTATCCACGCGTCATGACTCATCGTTCCTATTGATGACGCGCCGCCAAGCAACCAAAGCAACATCCAAGACTTCTCATCACTGCACTTGATCGCATCCTTCCATCCATAACCATTGTAAACCCAATATTGCGGCTGACACGCTTCCTTTTCCATCCAGCTGTTGGTTAATCCGTTTCTTGGTCATTTTCCATCACAGCTCAACCAGCTAAAGGTTACTTGTATTGTGGCGTAGTTGATGGCTGATAGCGCATCATCCAAAATAGACATCACGCTCCAAATGGGCCAAATGAACCACACCAGACAATGTATACACTTCCATCCATCCCCATATAGCAAACCAATATTCAGATCCATATTCATATTAACAAGAAGTCGTATGTATTGAACCAAGTTGCTACATGTAAATAAAGCTGCTTCTATACAATGGCTATCTGCTGTCCACATGAACAAGACTGTAAGGCAAGTTGCTGCAACTAAAGAACGCTGTTTGAGACAATGGAGTAAAGCCCTTGCTAATGCAATTGCTGGAATGAATGCTGTTACGATTGGTCGTGGTAGAGGAGTGTGCAAGAGAAGGTTTAGTGTCAAAGGACTCGTGTGTTGTAGAAGAGTGACAAGAGGGCTGTGTACACGCCATGGACTTGCCATTCAGCCAAAGGCAATCGGATCAACACAATGAGAGGCTCGACATGATGGGTTGAAGCAGGACAATCGTTCGCAGGTGGTAGTTGTATGTACTTGATTGGAGCAACAGTTGAGTGACAATAAGTTGTGAGAGTGGAAGAAGTGGAACTTTAAAATAGGTCGGACACCTCTTGTATAATAAATGCATGAACGCTGTACATCAAACCTTGATATTGGGAACATCCCTCTCGAACCTGAAACTTTCACACAAGGTGCTCTTGGACATTCTGATCAACTTTATATTATAAAAGAACCTACACTTCATTATCAAAATTAGAATGGGGGGGGTATAATGTGGGTTTACTATGGAAGTCGGACTGCAGGTCAGCGCCGGTTTCCATGATTATCGAAATAGCATGTATTATCTTGGGATTCCCCATTTCGAACCTGAAACTTTGTCAGAAGGTTCGCTGGAATATGCTTGATCACCTTCATTCATTTAAAAAGTCGAGACTTTATTGTGCAGATTTAAAATGCGGGGTGATCCAAATGGTGGAGAGACCATGATCGGACATTAAGCACGGTATATAGTAGTGCATACAACAACATACCACCAATGTCAATCAAATAAAGGAGCATGGTCGGCCCATTGTAGACTATCAGTTGCCTGCACACATAATGAAAGCACGTGTTTCATGGCATCAAGAAAAGAGCGCTCTTGAATGTTTTTAATGTCATCTTTCATACGAACATCGTCTTTGGGAGTATTTATAAAATCTACAGCTGTGGGCAATGACCGCCGTCGTACACAAAATATTATGCCGACGATGATATAAGCTCAGATAGCCGTAGTATGCTAGGTCACCGGATACGTATTTCAAGTTGCCATCAACTTCATGGCTGATATCTGATTCAGCATTCCAGGATAAGCAATCATTGACTCGTATCGAAAGTGGTGAGTGAAAGATAAAAGGGCACATTCCATGAGAAGTACTTCGATAGATAAGTGATGTTGTGCAACAATTGAACCTTCTCATAAGAGGGGCCGGAGCGGGCCATCGACGATTCGCTATCATCTTCTCGAAATCCGGATCATGTGGGGAATGTTTTCAAGTAAAGCTTTCAATAGCGTGAGCGAATGACCATAAAAAAGGAGGACTTTCTAAGCCTTGTTACGTTTGTATTGATATTGGAAAGTTAGCCATCATCGGTCAAACTATCAAAAAGTTTGATCCATTGATGTGGCATAAACTACGTAAAACTGTGATAGGTGATCAACTACCCTGATGATATAAGGCAGCTCAAGCTTTCAAATGTCATACATGGTGAGTACTTGTAAACTCGCACGGAAGGAAAACTCATGTCTTTTGCGAATATAGAAGATGATGAGAGTGGTGCAATTGTGCTATAGGATGAGTGCAGCTGTACGACCTAATTTCCTTTTTCATTGCCGAATCGAAAAGTCAATTGGAAGAACATCAAAAGTAGCTTATGTATACAATGTGGCTCATATCAACATTGGTTATCCACAAACAAAGCTATCGATGCATTATTTGAAGTAACTTGACAAATAGGCAATCAACCAGGTGGTATTTATGCACGATCTAGATGGATGATCAAGGCGACGTGGAGGTTGAAAGGGCAAACAATGACAAGAGGACAAGATGATGGTGATGATGATGCAATAGGGGGTGGGAAATAGCTTTAGCATTCTAAAAAGTCTGCCGTCATCAAGGTTTCGAGCACCACCTCAGGATCAATATCGAACTGTGGGATCTCGGTCGTACAGCCTTCATATTGCCACTTGTAGTAAAGATATCGGCACACGATCTCCAGGATTACAGCTCTGATAATACTAGTTAGCTGCTGCTGCGCGTACCCGTATTACTACTACTGCTACTACTCACTTGATGTCACGGAAAGGGATCTCGTTTTCCACCGATTCCTTGAATTGGGCTATCGCGTAAAAGAGTGAGCAGTTGCCATGGCTGCGCGTGCGTGTTGTTGCATTGTCCAACCTGGCCCAACGAGCATGTTCTTTATGGTGCCGGATCGCATGGCTGCTTCCCGATGAATGACAAATTCGAAACCATCAGCACTGATAAGTTTGACGTATTCGGAAGGTGTGGTGTTGTCGTTGCTCATTTATGTATGTGTGAAGTGTGATATGCGAATTGGATTTATAAAAGCAAGTAGGAAAAGAAAGAGAGGGAAAGAGATGCAATATGGATGGCTCAATTTGAATTGCTACATGTGTATTAATCCTCCTCCACCTCCACCCTCCTCCTAGGCTCGGTCACGCCGTGATTTCCTGCCCATCGTACCACGGCACTGAGGGCTTCCACAATAACATGTTTGATCTTGACCACCACCAAATGTAGCAAAGTTGTAATCATAAAAGAGTTCCTCGTCCTTGGATATGTCTCTCGATGCAAATACTCCCACAAAGATCTCGTTCCTCAATGACCTGCATAAATTAGAGTCACAGCGTGTCCTTTTTGTGAGATAAATAAAGCGTACTTACCATTTCTCAATATGACAATTGGGTTCACAGCTATGATTGATGAATCTCGCTTGACTTCCTTTGATACCAGCATCAATGACCAATCCAGGCGAATATTCCAGAAAGTAAAAGTTTTGCTTGTTCTTGTACGTGGTGCGCATTCGCTGATCGCACATGTCTTGTGTGATGATCTCGCCACAATATTCTGTAATCAATTGTCCCTTTGGAATATCAACCAATGTCCTCAATCCCCATCCTCGTCCTTGCATGGTCTATGCTCATAACACATTTAGTAAAAGATTATTCCTCCCACTTCCCCCATTACCGTATCCTACCTGGAAAGGCTCCAGTTCTTTCACAAATGCCTTGTTTTGAAACCTCCGATTCCCGCATTGATCACCACTAGCACATGTATGAGGATCGCATTCATAAAACATCATCCTATATACACTATTAGTTATACGTCCATACACACAATGCCATCCATGAATTGAAGGTACCTGTTTAAGCAATCTTCACCACATCCCATTTTGCCTTCAACCGGTCGTTTGCATTGACAGGGTGGTGTCTCTTGTACGCCATGCTTGCCCTTGCCCTTGGCTCCCAATGGAATATCTGATAGAGCATGTTGATACTCACGTGTATGGGACATGGATAGGATGATATATACTTACTTGATGTTATTTGTATATAGGTAGGTGCCAGGATACCAAGGCTGTGTTCTTCAACAATAGAAGGTGGGAGACTGAATTCCTTTTCTTTGCGCAAGAGCCAAACTCCTTGATGCATCGGTAATGGTAGACTGAACTTTTTCTTTTCCTTTGTCGTCGACTTTTTCTTGCCATTCAATGGTTGCTTATAGTGTGTGGAATACATGCCGGCCTTTAGAAACGATTTTCGCTGGCACAATAGGCGTTGACTACATAGCGTCATAGTGAGCACTCGTTTGATCCATTGATGGTACAATCCAAACTTACAAGGTATCTTGTGGTATGAAATCAGATAATGATGCAATGTGTTCCTCGATTTGTGGCGCTGATGAAGATTTTGTTGTTGTTGTTGGTGTTGTTGATTCGTCCTCGGAAGATGTGTCATCTGTTTTTGAATTGCTGCTACGGTTCCTTCGACGAGTGATAGCACGACGCTTGGTGGGACGTTCATCCTCTGGCAATGCTGGAGGTGGATAAGTCATGTGATCATAGCCTTGGGTTGGATATCCTCTGTTTTTCCATCGTAGACCACAAGCGTTGCACAGCCTGTATGATTCACGGGTAAGATCATTTGTCATTAATGCATCTCATTCCACAATCACTCACGTGCTTGTTCCTAAAGGACCACCACGCCAACGAGCTGTTTCGGTTACCCCACATCGTCGACACCATTTATTAGGAGGCGTGATTGAGATTTCTTTGACACTGATATCCGCAGCAGCAGCAGCTGCTGCTGATGATGATGACGATGATTCGATATGTGACTTGACGAGAGATGTTGTATCATTTGGTGTATCCACAGGTGTTGTTACTGAAGATTCCTGAGAAGTTGGGATTGGTGTTTCATCATTTGCCGTGTCCAACGATAACGCCACATCGGGTGGTTCCTTGAATGCATCCACCACTGCCATCACCGAAGCATCCACCATGGTGGTCTTATCATCACCATCCGCATCAGACCCTTTCATAGTTGTTGATGATGCTGCTGCTGCTAACTCTTGTGGATCCAATATCCGAGGACTGTCATCATCAATCATGCCCTTTTCAGAATCAAATTGTAGCATATCATTTGTATTGGTCATATCATTGAGAGGCTGAGGAAGGTCGTGCGCTCCTGCTGCTGAAATACCAAGAGTCGTTGTTGATGCTGGTGGTTGTGGAATGGCTGTCATTGTGACAATGGGGGCGTGTCAAACGACAATGAAAGACTGGTTCAACAAGGAAGTCTCGTGCAAAGTAAAAAGAGTTGACTGAAAAGTGCCAATCGCAAGTGAAAGAGAGATCGCTGAAGAGTGAATGAAGAAAAGGAAAAGAAAGACACGAGCGAAAAGGGGCAAGTGAGTGAGTTAAAAGATAGCGATGCAATGAACCACCGCGGGAGTCACGACCTCCTGCTATTCTTTCATTCTCTCTTTTCACACAACGCGTTGTTGATTATCCCGACGATCTCCCGGTATTCACCATCTCCCATATGCCTGATTGTATTAGAGATGCATTTGTATGTTGTTCCTCGAATAAAATACATTGATAATCCTGATACGATGATATCCTGGCTCGTTGTGTCAAATATCAGTAACTCTGAGAATCGCCGTTTTTATTGATTACATGTGGTGTGAAAAGGTTCATTGTGGTCGTGCGGGAAAGGGAGTAATAACGAGGTGAATAGGGTGTATAGAGCGGATGGATAACACACACTTTTTATGAAAGATGCTTCGAGTCGCGTTCATGTCTTGAATCACGTTGATGGCTGACTTCATTAAGAAGGCTCTTGTAGTGCTTATTCTCGAGTTTGTCCAATGGTACCGCATCACCATCCTCACCACCATTAAAGAAGATTTTAAGCAACTAGCAACAAAAACGCAAAAAAAGCATCATGAGCACGTGCGTGTGTAAGTGCTTGTACCATTTCCTCTTGTCACATACCTCGAGCCATTTGAGAATAACGTGCTCTTCATATTCATCCAATGAAGCTACATCTTGCTGCTGTGTCTCGGGCATGGGTGGCCGTAATACCGCTTCCAAGCTGTTTAGCACCTCATTCCAAATCTTGACTACCACCAATTGCATATTCGTTTCGGATAGATTATCATTGAGCGTCTTTAGATTCTTTTCAAGATAGTCGAGCAAAGGTGCAATGGCATTCTCACAATCCTGTATACTTGGCTCCACTTGCTTATTGATTTTGCTGCTGAAGGATGAGAAGAAACTCTTTTCACGTCGTAGCAATTTGTCAAGCGTCCTGCGCGATAGACAATAGCGCATAAATTGGCCCATCTACACATACACACACAAAAAAATAAGTACCTAATTGCTTGCCGGTTGATCCATCCATACAACATACCTGGTCCACGATTAAAGAAGCGGCGTCGTTTTCAGCACGCTTTAACGTACGGAAGGCTCTCACAAACCAAAATTGGATATCGTCCTTCTCGCCCACCATGCTGACTCTGAGCTGCAGCTTGCCTTGGGGATGTAATGGTAACGTGAATTCATGGGTCTGATAATCATCATAGTATTTGGGAGAAAGCTTGAACCATACGCTGCCGCATTCACCATTGGAGCCAATAACATCCTCATCATACACGATAGCCAAGACATCAGCCTCTCGTTCGTTTAAGCAAATGTCAAATGTCTGATCCCATCGAGGTGTCAGTGACTTGTACACTGTCCTTGTACGAGCAATCTCTTCCTTGTTGATTTCTAACACGACATAGGGGTCGCTGAAGCCATTGTTGTCGAGTGCCAGTAGATTTTCAGCACGCACGATCCGGATGGTATACAAAAAGTTCACTTGATCGTTGCGTTCAGGTGTGGTGGGTGAGCCGAATTCTCGCATACGTTCTGCAATCTCGTCCACATCCATCATTTGGTATAACCTGTCCAATCTACTACGAGCAGCCTCGATATCATTGATCATGATACACACCTAAATATCCAATTAGCATTATGATTTCATCCTGTAATAAGGGTGAAAAAGCATACCTCAGGTGTAACATCATGGGGTTTAATCTCATCCTTTGGAGATGATTGACCACCTGTGAGCTGATATCGTGCCATGTCGAACAGAGATCCAGGTGATGTTGCTTCTCCTGCTTCTTTCCTCTGGTACTCAAATTCTTCTCTTACAAAGCCTTCAAGTATCTCAGTATATTGCTCCAATGAAACCGCAATGACCTGGATGATGAATTTTAGGGATTAGATATGAAATAGCTATAGCATAGGATGCTTACCTTTGCAAGTGATGTCAAGAATCGACAACGTTGTGGTTCGTTGGGCCATTGTAGACTTTGTACAAAATCAACAGCTTGATGGAACATACTAAAGAGATCGACAATGGAAGACGAATGCACCGTTGTATCATTGATCATCTTGAACTATTGATAAAAGATTAGTGTGACACGTTCCCAAAGCATATGGACCAGCATCTCTTACTTCATCCTGCTTAATAGCATTCTCGACCCATTCGGGAGTAGCAGCATGTGTGGTTGTGAGCCATCGTCGTGCATGTTGTAAGAACCAAGATTCGACCTTGAACAACTCGGCCTTTTTCCTATCATATACCCGTCAGAGCTCTCATTTATACCACAACAACTTGATTGATCATCCTTACTTTGGTCCATATTGATCATACAATCGCTTTAGACTGAGAACCTTGTGATAGAGCTCAAATGTGACTTCAACAGGTGCTTCCCGGGCCTCTTGTGAATACGCCCAATTTCCAATCATGAGAGTGAAGAGCGGCATATGTCTTGCCATCACGATGCCCCGAACATCCAATACACTATCCAAAAGTGTGATCACATATGAGTTATCTCTATTCGATCGCTATTCCACTTTTTCAACTTACCCTTTGATTGGCTTGGTGAACTTTTTAGTGCTGATTGAACTAAGCTCCTTGATCAACTTGTCTGCTAGCGGTAAAAGATCTTCAAGTGTATCTTGACCATCAGGGCATGCCGACTTTGTCAATGTACGCCACCTGCTAACAGCAGCGCCCTATAAAGTTCTTTAGCACACCCTCTGCTCGGACCATCCTCTTTTCTTTTAATTACCTCCACCGTTTCTTCCAAACGTGTGAGTGTCAAAAGCGGATCCGAGTGATCTTCTTGATATGCTGGGTTTTCATAAATCTTGTCCAACATGGCGACCAAGCCATACACCCAATCAGGTCTATATAGATCATATGAAATTAATACATCAAATAGCCCCATTCTAATCTCTGACATACTTGACTTTCCAATAGTTGGATAAACAATGTTCCAGCTCATGTAGCAACGTGTGGTTCAAGCCTTCATATGTGCGAATCAAACTTTCACGCTACATTGGACATGCGTTAAATACCATATCTCAATCACAAGACCAAGATGGGATTCACTCACGTCATTGATGGCCCAAGTGGCTGGGTCGTTCTCCTTGATAACCTTGTCCAAAGCACGCACCGAATCCTTGACATCCTCAAGGTCCAATTTCTCCTCATCATAGCGTGCCTTGACAAATTCCAAATAAAGCACCGCTCTGAACGGGGCTGACAATCGCCATGTTCTCCAACATTCACGTAACAGCTCATCCGATTGCTGAGAAAGAACACTGGTCTTTGCACGTTCGTTTTCAGGGACCACGTCGGTGTCATAGTCGATACACATGCTCATCAACATCCGGAAATAAGATCTTGGATCATTTGGAATGAATGCGAAGGGTGCTTGTTCGTTCCGCTAAACAAAAAAGTAGTGTCTTAGCTGCATGAAATAGATCCCTTCATTTCCTTTTCATGTTCCTTACCACCGAATCACTTGCAGGCACTGAATTTCTTGAACGACCCGATTCTCCTGAAAGCATATTGGATGAGCCCACGTCCCTTTCACCCGTTGAGCTCAATGCAAGATTGGGTTTCATCAACATGAGCGTATTCATCAATTCGGTCAGCTGCTTCACTTCTCGACGTTGCCAATTCTCATAGGCTTGTTGATCTGGGAAATCTTCACGACGACCAGGGAAAGATTGATTGGTGTGGACATTGTTGATGCATTTCTTTAAATCGACCAAAAGAGCCTAAACAAAGAGGAATAAGTAACTTGAAATAGGAATACAATGTGACATGTCACTTACTGCATCCGTGCATAGGGGTTGTAGTTCTTGTAACTTTTTACGATGATCCTCATCACTGACTTGGAACAAGTTTTGTACGGTGATCACCATAGGGAACCGTTCTAATGCTTCAATGGATCCATCGACTACGGGGGTGCCAGGTGTGGAGGGTTGACGATGATCCTGATGGCTCCTGGTCTTTTTGACGGGTGCCACAAATCCATTCAATCGTTCCATAAGCTCTGGCGTGGCTGATGAGGGCGCATCTTCTTGGACGGTTTGGATAACGATTTCTGCAAACTTGGACATGTACTGGTTGAGTTGCTCATACATGGCTGCAGCATCGGTGGTGGACTTTTTCAACTCGATTTGGCTGGTTTGAAGGAACTGGACGACCAAATCATTGACGCTGCCTGTCGGCTTGTATCGCTGCTTTTGAAGTTTGGCCTGAAACTGGGACAAGACAGCGAGAAACAGTTTTTCTTCATGGTCGATACGAGTCAAATCTTTGGATGTCTTGTACTTGTCAACTCGCTTTAACAAGCCTCGTACAATTTCGCGTGTCAACTTGTCGGATTTGCCGCCGTCTTCGCCAAACACATCGGTCAATGAGCCGAGCATGCCCATGCCCATATGGATAGAATGCCGCTCGGTACGATCCTTTTTAGGTTCCTTGTTGCTGCTGGGAGATGACCCGCTCGTTTGTTCCAGGTAGGCTCGAATGGCACATCTCAGGGCATAATCGTAAACCAGCATGGAATTCAACGACCGGTTCTTTCGACCGCTGCGTCGTAGCTTGGAGCCGCTCCTCGTTTCCATCGAGATGTGTGAGTGTTGGAGGAGAGTGAAAAGAAAGGGTAGAAAGTGAAAGAGAAGCGAAGGGGTTAACTGAGTTACTAAAGCGGTGTATATAGTCGATGTGTGGGTGTGTGATATTGTTGTACGTTATGTTGTGTACGTGCTGTGCCCAGTGTGTGTGTGATTCTCGGAATCCCGAGCTAAATGAAACGAGATAATTCTATTCTGCACAAAGCATCATCCTCGTCATCATCGGTCTTCATTGTTATACTACTACTACTATTTAGGGATCCCTATAAACATTCATTCAATAAAGCATGATCCTATATCTTAACTCCTTATATAACAACGCTGTTGCCATTGTTACGGATAGCAAATTGTGTGAGATACCTTCATTCCGTAGGCCACACCTGAAAGGGTTAGCAGATTGCATGGTACAAGAGCCAATATTTGTGTAACATGGCTTTCATTCGCAATGACACGGACACAGCGATCATCCGATGATATGCATCCTTACCACGCACACGCACACCTATCTTATTGAATTGGCACTTGTCACACATCCATACGAGAAGAATACTTACTCCATATCTCATTGAAGAAGTTGATCATGAAAGCGCATCAATATACCTTTGGGCTAGCAGCCGCTTGCTTGTTGTTTAGCAGCCGTAAGTACGAGTTCCTACGTAGACACTAAAAAAACCTCGTCGATGCATAAAAGTAGCCCTGATTCGGATTAGACATGTTGCTTGACATTCACAGCATACCCTATTTGTATTCGAGTAAGCAACTTCAAAGATAACAACATGCACCACGCTCATGATGCCGGTCAAAAACACCTCCATTATCATCACATTTGAGAATGCATGATTGCAATCGCAAAAATATTGCCAAGGAAAAGGAATACTTGGCTGGTTGACCCGCTTACGCCGGCCTTCATCATGTTGCCTAGCAACAAGATCACCGCTACTACTAAACGTAATGCCTGATTAGGTCATTGGTAAATACCACCATTATGTAATTTCATTGTAATACAGCCATCGATGGTTGATTATATGGTATCATTCCCTTGGGTTTATTTGCAATTGTCAATAGTATCTAATATGCTGGTGACATATCATGTGATTCATGTATACTGTAGGTTGATGCTTGGATCCGCGCAGGTACGTCCTAAAATAATATACAGCTTCTTTTGTCCGACCACTCTGCAGCTCTACTCTTTCCCTCAACACACACACCACCACCACACACACGCGGTTTCACACACCTATGCTCAAGAGTATCCTTATCTTCAACAATCACGGCAAACCACGGCTCGTCAAATTCTATCAGCAGATTGTAAGTCGATTCACTCCCATTGCTTACGTCTTGGTCACCCTTTTTAATGGCATCGCCTCCCTTTCAAGGATATCGCCACACAACAAGCCCTCGTTCAAGAGATTTACTCTTTAGTTTCCAAACGTCCTGACACAGCATGCAACTTTCTTGAAGGCAGCAAACTCTTAGGAGGAAAAGATACCCGTGTCATTTACCGTCATTACGCTACGCTGTACTTTGTCTTTGTTGTCGACGAGAGTGAAAGTGAGCTTGGCATTCTGGATCTGATACAGGTAAGATGAAACATACTAGGAGGGAAGGCAAGAGTGATTGTCATCTAATGGATCGTCATAGGTCTTTGTGGAGAGTCTTGATCGATGCTTTGAGAATGTGTGCGAGTTGGATCTGGTAACGTGATGGATGTCATCAACTTACATATAGTATTGCAACTAACCTTAGCAATTTAATTAGATCTTTCATTTTGACGAGGTAAGAGAGATATGGAATAGAGGATGGATAAGAGTGGTGATGCCTAACAAAGGCTATGTAGGTGCATTACATTCTATCCGAGATTGTACAAGGCGGCATGGTACTGGAAACCAATATCAACGAGATTGTCTCTGCAGTGAATGAAATGAACCGAGCAAAGAAGAAATCAGGCACATCATCAACGAGCGTTCTTGGATCTCGAGCTAGTGAAACATTAAGAGCAGGATTTCGGCATTAGTTTATAGAGGGAATAGTGCTGTTTCTTTATTGAATATAAAAATGGGGCATTGAAAGAGCAAACGATGGGAAACAAAGGACTCAATGGATGGTGGGGGGGATATGATTAGGCACGGACTTTGGTATGGGTAGCAGATGGATGATTGGTCAATTTGCCTTTGTTGATAGTAGGACTACCTTCGAATCGACGATTCATTAGCTGCTTGGTTCGATACTTTTCATAAAAGCGTTCGAATGTATCGATACGGAACATATCACGGTGAACCGATAAGATCATGGATTTGAGGCGTTCAAAGTCGCAGTGTTCCGGGTTACAGCATTCGACAACAGCCCATGGATACCTTCGACCTAATACGGTCTTGTTGGATCGACCTTTCTTGCGTGATTGGGTGTGTGGTGACGAGGGTTGTTGTTGATGATCTTCTTCCTTGTCGGCTTGTTTTTGGGGTTTCAATGAATCACGCATAATGGCAACAGGTCGTCCCGTTTCAGGATCCTCTTCATAGCCAACAAGCGTCAATGGGAAATGTTCGAGATATTCATACATGGCACGAGCATCTTCATCATTGTCTTCCTCGACATACTCCTTTAACATCGACATGATGGTATCCATAACTTCAGAACCGGAATGATTAGTAATCACTTGTTGCTTCTTTTCCTGGTGGTCTTCTTCTCCTTCTTCCTTTTGTGAGTCCTGGTCATCTTCTTCTTCTTCACCTTCGGATGCTTGTTCTTGTTGTTGTTGTTCTTGCTCCAAATCATCCTCTTTTTCAATCTCAATATAGCCATAGACTGGTATGTGGAAAGTGTCAAAAAAATTCCAACGATAAGCCTTGCGGATAGTTTCACGTTGAACGGCAGTGAGTGTGTCGGCTTTGCCAACGACAGGAATGATGTTCACGCGTGAGCTGAGTACTCGTAGCATGTAGCGATCCACATCACTGAGATCGGTCTTGGAAGTGGTGTCGAGGAAATAGAGACATGCATGGATATGGGTGTCGACAGCTTTGGCATCACGTCGTAGCTTTGTTTCCTATATTAACAAACACGTGAATAAATAAATGTCTATGGTGAGTTTGGAAAAAACAAATGACGATTCCCCCTATACCTCAATCAATGTGCGCTCATATTGATGATCAATGTAGGTGCACACAAATCGTAGCTGCTGCTCAATATCGATGCTTTGGTCAAATCCAGGCGTGTCAACCACAGTCAATGACGTACGTTCGCCGTTTTCTTCCACATGCATGGAAACCGTATACAAATCATCTGTGGGGCGTAATGCATCTTTTAAGACCATAGGCTTGGATTCTTTTAGGGTGCCTTGGATGATTGTGTGCTTGAGACTTTCGCATAACGTACGCACAAAGGCGGTCTTGCCTGTGCCTGTTTGACCCACCACCATAATGTTCAAGTAGGAGACAGGCTCCTTGCGTGAACGAGCTGGACTAGAGATTTTTTGGGAGTAGGCGCTGTATAACATGTTGATGGTATTATCGGACAAGAGCTAAAGATCACTCGAGTACATGGGGCTACTTATATCACCTCAAGGTATCATGGAATGAACCGGGGTTACAAGACATTCTCAACAGGACCGAGGAATAAGCTGTTGTCATTTCCACAAACATAAACAATACCCGTCATCCGCTACATACGACAGCCTCGGTCGTAAACTCAACTTTGAGCATACGCCAGATGCAATCATGACACGCATACATAGACCACGTGGCGTGATGGTCGGATGTACACAAATGACACCGATCGCTGGTTTATGCAATCAACAACATGATCCTATTACTTCGATTCCCACATACATACATATTGTAAACGTCCTTGTCGGCTCGTTATTTTACATAGTTGACTTTAAGCTCATAACATGACGACAATGGATCTTTGAAAACTATCGATGATGTGGCCAACAACAAACACATCATAGCGTTGGCGGGCTTAACAGGTGCACATGTCCATTGTTGACGTTGTTTATTGACAAGTACATACGATGCAATCGCACGAAGGATGCTCACCAGTATATGATTGAATCTACAAATAGTATATGTATAATGTATTGATTGCCATGTTAAAGTACTAATAATAAAGGCTACGTATAGCTAAAAAGGGTTTTCTACATGATGAAGCAGTTTGCGGGGGATGGTTCAGGTTTCCTGTTATTGTAAGAGGAGGACTTTTGCTGGTATTCCAACCGATTGGATGTTGCGGGAAAATCATCATCATCATCATTGGTGGGACGTTCTGCTGCAGGTTGACGCTTAATCCTTAATGATGAGAGCTTTGAGGAAACATTTTCGCTTGTGGAGGGGAGATGGGTGGATGATGATGATGATGATGCACCTGTGGCAAATGAAGTGGTAGGAACATTGAGTTTTTCTTCAGCCGGTGCATAGCCCTTGGATGCTGCCTTGCTAAAGTATTCGAGAGCACGTGGGTAATCAGGCAATGTGCCGATGCCATCTTCATAATACGTCCTGCATACAACAACAACATTGTATTAGTCACCTGGAAAAAATGTAGCCTGTGGATCGAAAACAAACATACCCAAGGACATATTCAGCTTGTTCCAATCCTTTGTCTGCAGCACGTTGACACCATTTGAAAGCGATCTCATACTGTGGCATCAAATAACCGGCGATCCCTTGTGCGTATAGCCGTGAAAGATCCAACATGGCGCCTTCATGACCATCCTCAGCCGCTCGAACATAGCATGAATAGCCTTGCCATGCATCTCTAGGAAGGTTCAATAGACCATGCTCATGCACTTGACCCATGCGGTGTACAGCCATAGGCAAACCCGTTTGCGCTGCCTTTTTAAGATAAAAGATGGCCAATGGTATATTTTCCCTTGACATTTGTGATTCTCTAATGGGAGAACGTTAGACTCCTTGTTGATAACCGTATTAAACTCTTACCTTGCAATACCAATACGCTCAAGTTCATCGGCGTATACACAGCTCAAGACATAGGCAGGTTCGGCACTATCGTCATCCAATGCATCGGCTGCCTTTTGTAGATATTCGAGACCCAGCTTGATATTACGCTTTTGGTGCAATTGTCCTCTCAAGAGAATCTTGGCCATTTTCTATATCATAACATGATGATGATCAGCTTTAGATTAAAATAGGCATAGGAAAGAAAGACTTACATATGTCGCCAATGTGTGACCCTTGGATGCTGCAAGTTTGTAGCAATCAACAGCACGTGCGTACTCGCCACGTGACTTTTGGTATCGAGCCAGCTCATAGTAAGCGTCCACCCACCCAGCACGTGCAGCTGCTTGGAAACATTTGTATGCCTTGAGAGGTTGTGGCTTGCTGCGATACGACTGGTCACATTCTTCAATCTCGGGTTGCTGAAGATGCCATTTACCCTTGATAAACAATGCTTCGGCAAGACCAGCTTTGGCAAGTCGCTCAATCCAATACCCGGCTTCGGACAATAAACGCTCACGTGTGCTCTGATTGCTTTTGTACAAACGTGCCACATCAAGTAGATATTTGGCATACGTCAACTGGATAGCCTTGTTGTGTGTCTTGCTTGCCATACGTCGATAGGTCTTGATAGCATCCTTGTCATGTGTCAAGCTAAATGATGCAATGCTCAAACGCGATTTGACAGGAACAGGTTGTAGCAATGCATCAACAGCAGCAGCATTGTTGGTAGCAGCCGTGGTGGCAAGATGAGGAGTAGATTGAGCCTTGTGCAATGGACTTCCCATAGGGGATGGTTGTTGCTGCCTTTGAAATGCAAGTGGTTGTTGATGATGATTGTACTGCATAGGATTGTTGTTGTTGGGTGGCAACATCAATGGCTGTTGGTGTGGTTCCCAAACATGTGACATGGGTCGAGATGATGATGCTGTTGATCCCAATGAAATGGCTGATGCGGTCCTTGGGATGTGTGAAGGAGAAGCAGCTGCTGCTGCACGTAAAAGAAGATCTTGATTTGAAAGCATGGAGACGGCTGAGGATGGTGCACTAGAGATAGAGCTGCAGCGACTGCATAAAGATACGTTGGAAGTCAACTGGGTGTTGATGGGTGGTGGTAGCTCTTCCTTGGATGCACGTCGTCGTAAGCTATGCTGATCATCCTCATCGCTAGTGCGAATACTTGATGCGCTGTTATCCACAGACCAAATTGTGGCGGGTTGTGCTTCCTCAGGTGTATGTGGTGTTTGTGCAGGTCCTGGTTCAAATGGCTTTTGAGTGTGTGTAGAAGATGCCACCGATACAACATCACTTTGATGGGTGATTGCAGGTGCTTCCAATGTTGTTGTAGTTGTTGTTATGGTATCGTGTTGATTGGAGTCATCTGATGATACATTCTCGGTTGTTGTTTTCTCATCGTGTGCAACGTCGGATGCATCTTTGTCATCGTCATCATCATCGTCATCGGATTGATACAATGCTACTTCATCCTCAATGGTGCTGTCAAGTGATTCTTGGATAGGCTCAAGTGGAGTAGGGATCATCAAAAATGGGCTCTCGGGTGTGATAGCGGATCCTTCTTGTTCCTGTTGTTGTTGTTGCTGCTGCTGATCAAATGTTGTGTCACCATGCAAATCAGGCACAAACAGTGGCACAGGTGGCAAAGGCTTCTTTTTCGTCTTGACTTGTTGATTGGAAACCGTTTCCACTAGTGGTGTCCTTGCCGTAGTGTGATGGTGATCATTTTGGCTGTCGTCATGGCAACCGTTGCTACTGCTGCTGCTGCTACTACTACTACTACTGCTGCTGCTGCTGCTGATACGCTCATTGTCGGCATCGTCATCATCATCCTCACTATCGCTTTGTATAATCAGCAGACCTTGCATGGGCTCCGGATAGGAAAGATCTTGCACAGTGACAGTGCGCTTGACCACAGGTTCCGGATGAGCAATAGTGATGCCGTTATTGCTGCGCTTTTGAGTAGCAGACCGTGAAGATGGCTGTTGTTGGGTTGCTGATGTCCAAGATCTCTCAGTTGCAGTGTGCTCCTGTGTTACTGCTGGAGTATAAGCCATAGCGATGGACATTGTTGAAATAAAAGAAAAAGAAAAAGAGAAAGAGATACAATGGATTGAAAACACCAAGAGTGGTTGTCAAATAGGATATGCAAAACATCGGTGGACCAAATTTGTACAATTGTTTGCTTTTGCCCTGAAAGGTGAATCCATCGCTTTATTCGGATGTGTCGATCCGAACAACTTCACATGCACAATCAACATTGCATATAAGAGTTGAAGAAGAAAACGATCACACTGCGTTTGTTGTTGCTATGATACGAGATATAATAAAGGTGATGATATACGGCATTTGATGCGTGTGTGTTTGTGATGACATGAAAAAAAGGCCTTGCATGAAGGATAGATAAAAGACATAGTTGGTGAATGTTGATGAGGTATGGAGTGAAAAGGTATACATGGCGTTGTCATTGACAAGAGAAAAGGGGTAAAAAGGGTACCGCGGGAATTGCCTTGTTGTTTACGCCTGACTCAAACCCAAATCGGCATAGCATTTGTCACAAACACGATGATGCTGCGTGGCCAATACTTGAACCGATTCTCTGGGGCCATTTGGATCTTGTAATATTTCGGATGCATTGAGATAGGTCCTTGAAGCAGAGCAACGATCGCATACAATTAATCCACAACGTCGACAATGATGACGTCGTACAAGGATTCCAAATCGGCGTGCGCAACGACGACATTCCTTAGCATTGATATCCGCTTCCCATTCAAATGCACGTAATCCTTGATCTTCAGGCTCATCATCATATCGGGATACAGCCAATGCATCGTCATCACCATTGTTGTCGTCGTGACCCAACAAATCGACATGATTCAAACTAGAACTCTCGTGTTGTTGTTGGTCATGGACGCTGACCCACGTCGGCTGTGCTTCCGAATTCCCACTATCTCGGCTCCAAGGGTTGGCGTCAAAGTCTGTTGCCACCATACCAGTGCTTGAACCATCAATGTATCCAATCGTTTGATGATCACCTCGTTGATCCGTAGTAGATGTTGTTGCTTGTAAATCATTCAATGCTCCATGTTGATCATTGCCAATTGAAAATCCCAACTCTCGAGCAAGTTCTGGATTATGTTGAACGGGTCCCACGGGTGTTGAAAGTTTTGATCCGAGCGCTGTGATCCGTGCATTGAGCGATTCAATGTGCGCCGTGTGCGACTTTACCAAGATCGTTGCTTGATGTTTGCGGAATTGATTGGTGTCAGCTAAAGAAGAAGAAAAAGGGTGTCTTAGTTGTACAATCGTGACAACACACACATAACCAAAACCTTACTTTTAATTCCAGCCAACAACATTTGTACTGCTTCTTCAAACACACGTAGCTCGGTTGTCAATTGCCGAATTGTCCTTGTTGTAACATCTGTGCTCTCGGTGGTTGTCGTTGCTGCTTCATTGTTGTCATTCTTTGCATTTTGTACCAACTCCTCTGCTTGTTCCAGATAATCCTTTTGCAATTCAACATCCATCGTCGCATCATTTGGCAAGTTGGTATCATCATCATCATCACCGCGTACATTGCCTTTGACCAAATCCATACGTCGCTTCATTACACGCACCCAACGACGACGACGTACCCATCCATAACCAGAGGTTGGTGCAACAGGAGTCCATGCTTGATCATCATCATCAAAAGATCGAGAGTATTGCCATCCTGAAGTTGGGTCAACGCGTGGATCGCTGTAATCGATTTGCCAATCCGTCAACCAGAACCAATTGGATCCACCAGGAACACGACTATTGGTGCTTTGTGGTAGGCTGACTGTTTCCTTGGATGTGGGAATACCAAATGGATGAAGCGACCAAGGACCACGATCTTCATGTTCACGCTTTGTGAGAGCTGCGGCACTGAATTGAGGTCGTGACAATCCCAATAATGATGACGATCGCTGATTCTCATGGATAATCACCATCACCGTAACATGATACTCGTGCAATTCATAAGTCGATCCTGCTGGTACCTCGCCTAAATCCTTTTTAATAACATGTACAAAGGCACTCAACATGTCCTTATACCAACCTTCCATTTGTAGTACAGGCCACCAATTGGTACCAGCCTTTTCAAGCATTTCACAAATATACGCTTCACCAGCTTCACCGGATGCTGCGCTAACATCATAAGCGGCTTCTTGGAAGTTGTTCTTGATAAGTGGATTGGCATTGGCTTCCTCAAGTAGGTATTCGACAATGGACATGTGCCCCTTGGATGCGGCGTTGACTAATGGAAATGTCAAGTATGTCAATAACAAACATTGCACCATAAAAGGAGAGAGAGGGGAGCAACCTACTGAGAGGAGTGTGACCCGTTTTGTTTTGGGCGTTGACGCGTGCATTCCTTTCGACCAAGAGACGAACGATTGGCAAGTTGCCTCGAGAACAAGCATTGTGCAACGCTGACCACCCATCCTTATCCTTTTGATGGATGTTTGCCTTTTTCGATAGGAGGTATTGCACCACGTGGAAATGACCAGCATACGATGCTTTGAGTAAAGGTGTCTATAGACGACAAATCAATCATTTCCATTCATCCCTCAAACGTATCAACTTTTATATGTATATATATACCTCGCCTTCCTTGTCTCGTGAGTCAACTGATACATGATAATCCTCCACTAAACAACGCACAATCTCCACATGGCCACGCGATGCTGCAAAGTGAATGGGAGTGAGACCCGTCGAAGGATGAGGATCATTGACGGCTTTGAGGGGATCAGGCAACAGTTGTAAGACTTGTTTGAAGATAGCCAAATTGCCGGTGGATGCAAGCGAATGGAGTGTCTTTTGTTGCTCAATTTTCTTTCCATGGGTGGTTGATTCTGCTGGTTGAGGAGAAGGACGCGGTGAAAGGGTGGTTATCGCGGCATTGGATTCGGCTCCCCGAGTGACAGGGGCAACAGTAGTATTAGTAGTAGTAGTAGTGGGAGTAGTGATAGCGGGTGAAGATTGTACTGCAAGCTGCGGAAGCTTGATAAACTTGTTATGAGCATCACCATAATACTTGTGACGTTCCCCAGGAACAGGAGGAGTACAAAAATCAATGACAGTGGTAGTCATAAAGAAAGAAAGAGATGGGAGTAATGCGCTTTGTGCGTGTTGATGTGTGATGTGTGCCGAGCAGAAACACAACTGCAGCTGCGTTTGTCGGAATGACTTGATTTTGAAGGACAGCTTTCTATTGTATCACCCTGCCAACACGAACCATGCACTCCCACATTTCATATGTCATGCGACATGTCATCACCAGCACGTGAGATGCAATTCCTTGTCAAATAGCGTCCCATAAATGTTTCACAACAACGGCTCATGTTTTCTTGTTTACTCTCCTGCATAATTCACCCATCGAGCATAATAAAGAAGAATCCCCGGAACGATGATCCGATGCAATACACTCATCTACTACTACTACGTGACGGAAAATGCTCACATACTATTACTATCTAGCGTCGTAGTATGTTGAGATCTTTTTTTATTATGAACCTGCATGATACTAGCAAGGCAACATTGTAATGAAAAGAACATCGTGCATATGCCACAGCAGTAACAAATCTCATCATGGGCACAGACGCTATGTATTTATGAGATGCCCATTAAGCACATAGAAATCGACAATCACCATGCACGTGATCAACCACCTTATCATCAGCTAAGCAAAAACTACATTATGCCGATTTCCTCAATTCTAGAGATCTTCACCCATTTTGCCTTATATAGAGGATTATACTTAGCCCCACTTCCTCAGATTCCCATATAAGTTTGCGAAAACTTAAAGCGTCATGTACAAGAGTGCTAAGCCTGCTTTTTTCATTGGCCACTCACATGTAGCACGTTTGTCTTCTTTGCCTACATGATGTGAAAACCCGCATTGTCCATAGCTTTCTTTATGTTTGATGGTTTTTCAACAAGACGTAAAACTCATAACCAATCATTCAACGTCTCTCGATCTACAATTTAATGTGGTGGTGTACATAGCTGCAACCAAAACCTTATCATTAGTAGTTGCATCTTGCACCACCGATGTGGCGCCTTGAACATCTATCAGCTGACAAGCGACAATCATAAAACCTGGAGATGAAAATTGGTTTGACAAGTTTTTATCTTCTTACTGTGGTTACATACTATGCGTTCAACGAAGCTACCCTATACATACTTTCAGCTTATTTTCCTGGCGGTAGCCTTTGATCCACGCTTTTTGGTGCATGCTACATACAACGTGAGCGAAAGCGTGATAAACGGGTATACTTACATGCGTCCCTTTTCGCAAATTGGAGCCGCAACCTTTGTACGAGATAATGTCCTTTACACGATAGGAGGGCTATCGCAATACTACAACACAACCAAACCGAACAACCATTTTGTTGGATTTCACCTCAACCAGCTAAATGGCGATATAGAAACGGATGTACCAACAAGCCGAGACTGCCCTGAGTTAGCTTATGGCCAAGCTGTGCTGCTTCCTGATAATGATCGTGTATTGCTTTTTGGTGGCAAAAACGAAGATTTATGGGATGAAAACACCACGCTTCTGGTCCATGAATATCGATTCAGCACCTCTATGTGGCAACAGCTCAATGTCAGCGCTGCCAATAATGCCACGAACAATGGCACTGTACCCCGCAATACACACAGGCACACAGCAACGCTAGCCCCCAACGGAAAAGTTTACATTTATGGTGGGCTAGTACCAGGCACCATAACAAGATGGTTCATTCACGTATGGGAATACGATCCTGACACTGGTCGTTTCACCGAGTTCCCCATTGATTATGATCCTGTGGGCACTGTTTCCCTTACCAGCATAGCCCTTCAGTAAGCAATGGTACATGTGGTATTCGTACGCCTTCATAATCCTTATTTACCTTGCTAGGGATGGAAAGATTGTCTATGTGATGTATCATGAATGGGCTGAGGCTTTAATCTTTGATACCAACCGTGGCGTGGGATACAAGCAGGAACTCTCCAATCAAACGATGGGCAAATTTCCTGACCCAAGAATTGGTGCCAATGCTATTCTTGGTAAGCTTTGTTTATCCAAGAGTGAATCTTTCTTGCTCACATTGTTTCTCGTTCAGCACCTGATAATTCAACAATATACTACTTTGGAGGTCGAAAAAGATGGGGAGATACATACAATGAAGACCCTCTCGACATACCTCAAACAAAACTGGTTGCATTCAACAAAATCGATATACTGGACACCAAAACTTGGGCATGGCTATCTCCTAAAGAAGTGCGTGGTGAACCAGCTAAGGCACGTTATGATGCATCAGCAGCTCTATTGTATGGGAAATACTGGACGTTCGTTGGAGGTATGTAACATGAAATGCATGAAAGCAATCATCTCAAACAGCTATTTTTGTTATTAGGGATCTCTGAATTTCTATGGACAAATGATCTAAACGTGCTTGAAATTCCTGAAGCCAACTCCCCCACAAGTACTTTAGCAAATGCATCCATCACCTTGACGTGGCTCCACAACATCACCGATCCAAATCTTGATGAAAACGAGAATCATGAATCGAGAGGGCTTGGAGGAGGTGCCATTGCTGGTATAGTGGTGGGATCTTTGGCAGGTGCTATGTTGGTGATTATCACGCTTGTTTGGATGATGCGTCATGCAAATCTTGGGCCATTAGCGATATGGGAAGCTTTGATCTCACTCATTTGGGATAGGCGGTAAGATTTAAATACAAGCATATGACGAGAGAGCTATAATGTGCATTTTACAATAGTGCTGGTGAACCATTGTGGACAGCTATCTTACATTCGGTGTCAAAGTTAATCCTTACGGGGTTGTTCATAGCGTATTGTGTCTACAGCATCATCCAAATTGTGCAAAGCTCTGAGACAACGGTGACTATGAGCACACCTGTTAACCAAGTACGACTGCCAGGTATGCGAGATTCCAACCAATTGTAACTTAATCTTCTCATTTATTTATTGTAATTGTATGTAATTGGGATACTACTATGAAGACATACGGTTTTGCTTTGACAATTTCCGCCATTCTGAGGGCATCACAAATATCCAATCCGACATTGTGTCAAGGCCAGATGCTGATGTGATGGATTGGGGCGGCTTTTGGACAAATTTAAGTGATCACTTCCATATGCCTTACTACTCCAGCAGCAGCTCTGGTGATCTTCGTTGTTGGATGTTTACAGCTCCGCCAGATTTCAAGCTTGATTACGAGGCCAACAGTCCAAAGAGTAATGGCACCAGGCTTCGCTTCCTTCTTGCTAGCGGTGACGATGGAACTAGCCAATCGAATGCTTACTTGAACCAGAGCCGCGTCCACATTTCGGTCTATCATCCCGATCGCAACCCCATCAAGGTCGTGTACAACATTAGCAACCAACCCAACCTCAGCGACGATTACATACAGCAATGGTTACGACGTGAAGCAAGTGACCAGCAAACTGAAAACAGCTACACAATGGAATTCAATACATACTCATCCATTGGCTATCAACTCAAGAACCATCGTTACCTTGTGGATACACCTTGGAATGCTGTTGGATTCGCTCAAATACGCAACAATACACCTGAAGTGGAGACATCATTTCGTACAAGTATCCAAGATGGATCGATGATGATCAGGAATGTCCTTGATGTGTATCCTGCAAGCTTTGCTGAAATTGTAGAAGAGGATCAGCGCGTGGACACCCTCATGTCAGCTTCTGGTTTGATTGGTGGTATGCTTTCATTGTTCACTTTCATCCTTACAACCCTGTATGGTGCACGTCCTACCTCCATGTATGGCTGGATCATGAAATTGCCATTCAACAAGCCGACGCGTTCGATTGAAAGAAACCTGCTACGAAGCTTTGGATCTCTTGGTCAACCGATTCCTTTTGTACATCCTGTCGACCCTCATGTCTTGAACCCCCGGCAACTTCAGGAACACAAACTAGTAGAAACAGCATACAGCAACACCGCTACGGATGATTTGCATGCCAAAATTCGAAATATGGAAGAAACGCATCAACGAGAGATGGCTGCCCTTTTGAAGCGACTGCAATTGATGGAACTGGTTTTCAAGTCATATTATATCGATGATGAAGTATTCAACAGACTGCATGACGCTCATTGTGCTGAACAAGATCATCAAAATAGTAGTGGCACGCTGACACCAACAACAACCGCTGACAACGATGGGATATTTACCCGACTCTTCCGCCGTCGTCGATATCGTGCCACACAAAATGTATCAGACGAGGAACAACCTGCTCATAATTCGGCTGCACTACTGCTCGATTTGCCCGAGAAAAATGGATCATGATTACTATAGCTATAGCTTTCTTAATAGTATCCCTTATATAACGAGTAAATTTATAACCATGTATCCCTTCTGCATCACGTGAATGACGTTGTCGATTGATACCAGTGGTTGCCATGACTACAGCATTTCATACTTTATTCTTCAAAATGGTACTACAGGCAAATACTATGGGCTTTGAGGATAGGGTTCATTGTTCTCGATAATGTTGTGCGTAGTTGAAGGAGGTGATGGGTGACATCAGTGGTCGAATGATGACAAGGTGAATCATGAGAATGCCATAGGCTTCGTGTGGAAACGTTGCCATCCCAACATCAAGCACCACGTTATTGACCTTTCGCATGCTGAACAATCGTATCTCTCGAGAGTGGTGAGCGTTGTTGCTATGCAAAACGGAAAAAAGACTTGCACCATTGAGTATCACTTTTGAGCATCACACAACCATCGCCATCACCTTGATCACGTGCTGTTGGATTCTGATAAACGTTCGTAGTCGAGCAAGGATCAATATCAATACACTGGGTTTTTCATCCATGGTAAAGTAGAGCACAATGGAGGTTCGTTGTTGACTTGACGGCCAAGGGGTAGCGTTGAACGTACGCTTGAACAAGCTGCCGATCGGTTGTCCATGTCAGTTTAGATCGCATCGTTAACTGGGTACCCAACTCTTACCATTAGTATTCTTTAGAAAGGGGATTGGATTGGCATGTCGTTTGCTCATTGGATTCCAAAGCTGAACATGAAGGTTGGTGAAAGAGGGTCATGCATGATCCTGTACGCACTTCAAACAACGACACCCTTCCATCCACTGGCTGCTCGAATAAGAACCTTGATTTTAGACTGGATGACCATGTACAAGCTACTCGTATCTCTTCGACTTTTATGCTGTTGGATCAGCCTTGCAAGTAACAAGGAGTTCCCATTATTGTTGTAGACAATGAAAATAAAGACTTTCGTCTCTAAAGTGCACCTTCATCCCTGTCATCATAAGAAGTGTCCCAAATACATCACATTTCTATTGCTATCCAATTTTTCGTTCGAGAGGCAATGCACTATGTCGCATCATTGTTTCCTTCGTTTACCGCACCCATATTCATTCAAGAGCTGCAATGCTTACCAATGCCCATTAAGCACATAGTAATAGACAACCATGATGCACGTGATCAACCACGTTTATCATCAGCTAAGCAAAAACTACATTAAGCCGATTTCCTCATTTCTAGAAATCGCGCCCATTTTACCTTCTATAGAGGATTATGCTTAGCCCACTTCCTCAGATTCCCATATACGTTTGTGAAAGCTTAAAGTATCATGTACAAGAGCGCTAAGCCAGCCTTTTCTATTGGCCGCTCCTATGAGTAGCACCTTTGTCTTCTTACTAACTTGATCCGAAAAACCTTATTATTTATAGCTACCTTCATGTTCGATGACTTTTCAAGAAGACGTAAACCCTTAGCCAATCATCCAAAGTCTCTCGATCTACCATTTACTGTAATGTGGCGGTGTAACACGGCTGGATGAGATCAACATTACACATAGCTGCAAGCAAAACCTTATCATTGGTAGCATCTTGCACCACCGATGTGGCGCTTTGAACTCTATCCGCTGACATTAGACAATTATAAAACCTGAAGATGGGACAAGTTGTTTTTATCTTCTTGCTGTTGCCTGGTTACATACGATGCGTTTAACGAAGCTACCCTATGCGTGCTTCCAGCTTATTTTCCTGGCGGTAATCTTTGATCCACGCTTTTTCACGCATGCTAAATACAATGTGAGCGAAAGAGTGATGTATGAGAGTAGTAACATACGTCCTTTTTCGCAAATTGGAGCCGCAACCTTTGTACGAAACAATGTCCTTTACACCATAGGAGGGCTATCGCAATACTACAACACAACCAAACCGACCAACAGTTTTGTTGGATTTCGCCTCAACCAGCTAAATGGCGATATAGAAACGGATTTCCCATCAGCCCAAGATTGCCCTGAGTTAGCTTATGGCCAAGCTGTGCTGCTTCCTGATAATGACCGTGTATTGCTTTTTGGTGGCAAAAACGAAGATGTATGGGGTGAAAACACCACGCTTCTGGTCCATGAATACCGATTCAGTACCGCAAAGTGGCAACTGCTAAATGTCACTGATACCAACAATGCAACGAACGATGGCACTGTACCCCGGAATAGACACAAGCACACAGCTACGCTTGCCCCCAACGGAAAAATCTACATCTTTGGTGGTGTAGTACCAGGTACCAGCATAGCAAGAACACTCTTCCACGTATGGGAATACGATCCTGTCAGCGGTCGCTTCACCAACAAGTTCCCCATCGATTATGATGACCTTTTTCCTGCTTCCCTCACCAACATAGCCCTTCCGTAAGTATTAGTACATGCGGTATTCGCACATCTTCATAATCCTCATTGGCTTTGCTAGGGATGGAAAGATTGCCTATGTGATCCATGATCATCAATGGGATGAGGCTTTAATCTTTGATACCAACGGCGGCGTGGGATACAAGCAAGAACTTTCCAATCAAACAACGGGCAAGTTTCCTGACGCAAGACTTGGTGCCAATGCTATTCTTGGTAGGCTTTGTTTATCCGAGGGCACACCTTTTTGCTAACATTGTTTCTCATTCAGTGCCTGATAATTCGACAATCTACTACTTTGGAGGTAAATAAGGATTGTCGCATCTTGTTGTCAAAAATTAACATAGCACCTATCTACATAGGTCGAAAAGCAACGGGAGGTTTCGATGACTATGACGACGCTCTTGACATCGGTCAAACGGAATTGGTTGCATACAACGAAATCGATGTATTGGATACCAAAACTTGGACATGGCTATCTCCTAAAGAAGTGCGTGGTGAACCAGCTAAGGCACGTTATGATGCATCAGCAGCTCTATTGTATGGGAAATACTGGACGTTCGTTGGAGGTATGTAACATGAAATGCATGAAAGCAATCATCTCAAACAGCTATTTTTGTTATTAGGGATCTCTGAATTTCTATGGACAAATGATCTAAACGTGCTTGAAATTCCTGAAGCCAACTCCCCCACAAGTACTTTAGCAAATGCATCCATCACCTTGACATGGCTCCACAACATCACCGATCCAAATCTTGATGAAAACGAGAATCATGAATCGAAAGGGCTTGGAGGAGGTGCCATTGCTGGTATAGTGGTGGGATCTTTGGCAGGTGCTATGTTGGTGATTATCACGCTTGTTTGGATGATGCGTCATGCAAATCTTGGGCCATTAGCGATAGCAACGGCAATACGGGGAGCTTTGATCTCACTCGTTTGGGATAGGCGGTAAGATATAAATACAAGCATATAACGAGAGAGCTATAATATGTATTTTACAATAGTGCAGGTGAACCATTGTGGACAGCTATCTTACATTCGGTGTCAAAGTTGATCCTTACAGGGTTGTTCATAGCGTATTGTGTCTACAGCTTCATTCAAATTGTGCAAAGCTCTGAGACAACGATGACTATGAGCACACCTGTTAACCAAGTACGACTGCCAGGTATGATCCCAACCCAAAATGTAATATTTATAACTAAATTTCATCATCTCATTTATGTAATTGTATGTATTGGGGTACTACTATGAAGATATACGGTTTTGCTTTGACAATTTCCGTCGTACTGAAGACCACGCACACATGCAATCCGATATTGTGTCAACTCCAGGTGCTAAAGCGATGAACTGGACGACCGACTTTTGGACATATTTAGATAATTCTTACCATGTGCCTTACTACTCCAGCAGCAGCTCGGCTGATCTTCGTTGTTGGTTGTTCTCAGCTCCGCCAGATTTCAAGCTTGATTACCAGGCCAACAATCCAAAGAGTAATGGCACCAGGCTTCGCTTCCTTCTTGCCAGCATTGAAATTCTCGATGTGAGTCCTTACTTGTACCAGAGCCGCGTCCACATTTCGGTCTATCATCCCGATCGCAATCCCATCAAAGTAGTGTACAACATTAGCGACCAACCCAACCTCAGCGACGATTACATACAACAATGGTTACGACGTGAAGCAAGTGACCAGCAAACTGAAAACAGCTATACAATGGAATTCAATACATCTTCATCCATTGGCTATCAACTCAAGAACCATCGTTACCTTGTGGATACCCCTTGGAATGCTGTTGGATTCGCTCAAATACGCAACGACACACCCGAAGTGGAGACATCATTTCGTACAAGTATCCAAGATGGATCGATGATGATCAGGAACGTCCTCGATGTGTATCCTGCAAGCTTTGCTGAAATTGTAGAAGAGGATCAGCGCGTGGACACCCTCATGTCTGCTTCTGGTTTGATTGGTGGTATGCTTTCATTGATCACTTCTATCCTTACAACTCTGTATGGTGCACGTCCTACCTCCATGTATGGCTGGATCATGAAATTGCCATTCAACAAGCCAACGCGCTCGATTGAAAGAAACCTGCTACGAAGCTTTGGATCTCTTGGTCAACCTATTCCCTTTGTACATCCTGTCGACCCTCATGTCTTGAACCCCCGGCAACTTCAGGAGCACAAACTAGTAGAAACAGCATACAGCAACACCGCTACGGATGATTTGCATGCCAAAATTCGAAATATGGAAGAAACGCATCAGCGAGAGATGGTGGATCTTGAACGGAGACATGACAACCAAATGGCTGCCCTTTTGAAACGACTGCAATTGATGGAACTGGTTTTCAAGTCATACTATATCGATGATGAAGTATTCAACAAGCTGCATGAAGCTCATTGTGCTGAACAAGATCATCAAAACAATAGCGGCACCCTGACACCAACAACAACCGCTGACAACGATGGGATATTTACCCGACTCTTCCGCCGTCGTCGATACCGTGCTCCACAAAATGTATCAGACGAGGAACAACCTGCTCATAATTCGGCTGCACTATTGCTCGATTTACCCGAGAAGCATGGATCGTGATTATTATAGCTCTAGCTTCTTAATAGTATCCCTTATATAACAAGTAAATGTACTATTATTCTTTCTACATCATGTGAATGACGTTGTCGATTGATACCAGTGGTTGCCATGGCTACAGTGTTTCATCCTTTATTCTTTGGATTGGTACTACAGGAAAATACTATGGGCTTTGAGGATAGGGTTCATTGTTCTCGATAATGTTGTGCGTAGCTGAAGGAAGTGATGGGTGATATCAGTGATCGAATGATGACAAGGAGAATCATGAGAATGTCAACCCTTCGTGCGGAAACGTTGCCATCCCAACATCAAGCACCACGTTATTGACCTTTCGCATGCTGAACAATCGTATCTCTCGAGAGTGGTGAGCGTTGTTGCTATGCAAAACGAAAAAAAAGACTTGCACCATTGAGTATCACATTTGAGCATCACACAACCATCGCCATCACCTTGATCACGTTGCTGTTGGCTTCTGAAAATCGTTGGTAGTCGAACAAGGATCAACATCAATATACTGGATCTTTTATCCGTGGTAAAGTGGAGCACAATGAAGGTTTGTTGTTGACTTTACGGCCAAGGGGTAGCGTTGACCGTACGCTTGAACAAGCTGCCGATCGGTTGCCCATGTCAGTTTAGATCGCATCGCTACCTGTGTACCCAACTCTTACCTTTGGTATTCTTTAGAAAGGGGATTGGATTGGCATGTCGTTTGCTCATTAGATTCAAAAGCTGAACAAGGTTGGTGAAAGAGGGTCATGCATGATCCTTTACGCAATTCAAACGACGACATCCTTCCACCTACTGGATCATTACGGGTGCTTCGGTGCTGCTCCAATAGTACAGAACCTTGATTTTTTAGAATGGATGATGACTATGTACAAGCTATCAGTACCTCTTGTCTTTTTTTGGCTGCTCGTCGAAATTTTATGCTGTTGGATCAGCCTTGCAGGTAAACAAGGAGTTTCCAAAGGCTGCACGGCAACCCAATATTGTTAGACAATGAAAATAAAAACTTCGATCTCTAAAGTGTTCCTTCATCCTTGTCATTTAGCAGCGTTCCAAATATATCATGTTTCTATAACTGTCATCTTTCAAACGAGAGGAAATGCACTGCGTTGCATAATCGTTTCTTTCTTTTACTCCATCCATATGCTTTCGACACACTTTGTAGCCTGCTGGGCATACATTTATCTCTTAACAACAACGATTTTTGGCAAATCCTTGGTCGTTCATGCTGCCTATAATGTGAGCATGCGCGTAGTGAATGCGTATGCTTATATACGTCCTTTCTCTCAAATGGGATCGGCTAGCTTTGTACGAGACGATGTCCTTTACACGATAGGAGGGTTATCACAACAAGAGAACATGACCAAACCAACATACAACTTTATTGGCTTTCATCTCAACCAGCAAAACGGCACAGTCTGGCCTGATCGATATCTTCCAAGTGTGGGTATGCCGGGGGTAGCCTATGCACAAGCAGTCCTACTTCCGGATAATGATCGCGTACTTTTGTTTGGCGGCTACAATGATGATCTACTGGATAAGAATCGTACGCTTCTTGTCTATGAGTTTCGATTTGGCACACGTGCATGGCGAGCACTCAAAGTTACCGCTGCCTATAATGCAACCAAAAATGGCACCGTACCTAAGAACCGATACAAGCACACAGCAACTCTTGCGACTAACGGGAAAATATACATCTACGGTGGCCAAATACCAGGTACTACTACAAGATTCTTTGTTGACTTTTGGGAATACGATCCTGTCACGGGTCGTTTTACCGAAGTTCCAATCAATCATGAGCCCATGAGTACAATCCAAATCACAGCCGTTGCACTTCCGTGGGTACAAAAAATCAATCATTGAGTGATAGGTGGCTCGAATCACTAATTACTATGTACGCATCTAGGGATGGGAAGATCATATATATGACTGTGCCGTATCTTGAAGATGAAATAGTACACCAAGTATGGAAAGATGCATGGATCTTTGACACCAAACGTCGAATTGGATACCAGCAAGCGCTCTTCAATCAAACAATAGACTCGTTACCTCATGCGAGATACGGCTGTAATGCCATGCTGGGTATGAGACGAGAGAGATTTCATTATGAGGATATCGACATTAACTTCTTTTCAGCCCCTGACAATACTACGATATACTATTTTGGTGGTGAGTAAGGGGGAGGAAATGGTATTACGGTATTACCTTGCTCTTGAATACGTATTGAAAGGTCTATTTTTGATTCAATTAGGCAGGCAGAAATTTCTCGATGATAGCTTTAGTGACACCCAGACTAGGCTTTACGCATACAATGAATTCAACATCCTCGATACCAAAACTTGGACATGGCTATCTCCGAAAACGGTACGTGGTGAAATTGCCCATCCAAGGTATGATGCATCGGCTGGTCTACTCTATGGAAAATATTGGGTGATTCTTGGAGGTGAGTTACTTGTTGATTTACCTATACCATTCAACCTCTCATCATTTGACTTGTTATGTATAGGCATTTCTGAATTTACGTGGACAAATGATATGAATGTGCTCGAGATCCCAAAAGTCGACTCATCAACCAACTCAACGGATGCATCTGGCGTCTTTACTTGGCTCTATAATATCACCGATCCAGCCCTTGGTCTAAGCACGGATGATGATGATGATGATTCAAGAGAGCTTGGAGGAGGTGCCATTGCTGGTATTGTGATGGGGTCCTTAGCAGCTGCTGTGCTGGTTGTAACGCTTGCTTGCATGTTACGCCAAAAGAAGGGTGGAACATCAACGATGATAGTGGCAATATGGGATGGAGTAGTATCCATGATATGGGATAGGCGGTAAGATAAGAAGCACATGGCATGGTAGTAAAAGAACGGCTTTAGTAACATGCTCGTGTGATAGTGTTGGTGATCCATTGTGGGCGACTATTATGCATGCGGCATCAAAGTTGCTTGTTACCGGATTGTTCATTGCGTATTGTGCATACAGCATCATCCGGATAACCCAAAGCCCTGAGACAACCATGGTCATGGTGAAACCCGTAGCAAGTGTAAGAGTACCAGGTATGTATGCCGTGAACTCAATAGCTGAATGACGTCTTGGTTAATCATTGTTGTAGATATACGTTTTTGCTTTGACAACTACCGCCATAACGACGCTCTAAACATCCAATCAGACACCGTTTCAAGACCCTATGCATTAGAGAAATGGTGGAAAGATTATATATTCCCGCTCAATGATCGCTATCATTCTCCCTTTTACGCTAATAGCATCTATGGCGACATTCGATGCTGGTTGTTCGCAGCTCCTCCAGAATTTCGATTAGAGTATCGGGCAGATGGCCAACCAAGCAATGGGACTCGGCTTCGATTTCTACTTGGAGGTGGCATGTTTCCTTCTGGATTCAACACGAACCATAGCCGTATTCATATATCGGTGTATCATCCTGATCGTGATCCCAACAAAGTTGTCTACAATATCAGTGAACAGCCAAATTTGACAAACACTGATATTCAAGAATGGCTACGGCGTGAAATGAATGACCAAGAAACAGCGAATACATACACAGCTGAAATCAACACCTACTCATCCATTGGCTATCAGCTAAAGAATCATCGCTACCTTTTGAACGTACCATGGAACACTGTCGGCTTTGCTCAATCACGCAACAATACACCTAAAATCGAAACAAGTTTTCGCACAAGTATCCAAGATGATGCCATGATGGTGAGGAATACTTTGGATGTTTATCCTACAAGCTTTATGGAAATCGAGGAAGTAGACCAACGCATTGATACGCTCATGTCAACTTTTGGCTTAATTGGTGGTATGCTGTCGCTGTTTACGTTCATACTTGCACGCATGTACGGTGCACGTCCACCATCGATGCATGGCTGGATCATGAAATTGCCCTTCAGCAAGCCTACTCGATCCATTGAACGACATCTATTGCAAAGCTTTGGCTCTCTAGGCCAACCAATTCCATTTGTGCATCCAATTGACCAGCATCTATTAAGTGCTCAACAGCTCGAGCACCATCATTTAATGGAAACACCGCATGATGATGATGATGCAAAGAGACACGATGATGGAGAGATTGATTTACAAGTCAAAATACAGCATATGGAACAAGTGCACCAGCAAGAAATCTATGACCTTAAACGGAGGTTACAATTGATGGAACTTGTTTTCAAGGCATATTACTTGGACGACGAAATATTTACAAGGTTGCATGATGCTCATTGTGCCGAGGAAGAAGAAATTGGTAGTAGTAATAGCACATTGGCGGATCCCAGCAGTGATGGTGGTGGATGGTTGACTAGATTATTCCTCCGGTGTCGTCGTTATAGCTCTCAACATATAGATGAAGAACAACATGTCATAGAAAAAACTTCAGATGATGTATAGACTTTTAGTGGCATTGACAATCATTTACTATAATAATACAGCTCCAAATGCTACCGTATACGCGAATCTTGTGGTCATCTTCCTTATGGATGAAAGGAAAACATAAAGCGTTCACAAATTAAATCACCACCATACGAGGAACATCGAGACAACGAGATAACCAGAGGAACAATGTGACACCAAACGATCTTCGGGAAGTCAAAGTGGACCTACTCGTGTCCTCGGAAATGAAAAGTAGCCGTGCACAGACCACATACTCTTGTTTCAGTTCCTGGATGATGCACGTACCCAAAAGTTACATAACAACAATGCCTTAAACCGTATGCTACTATCCATGGCAACGACTATCACGTGCTGTAATAATGGCTGGGCAGTAAAGAGTGTGACGGGGTTTACACGCGTCTCATAAGAGCAGCGTTGCGTAGCCAAGGCCACGGTTGCTCTCAACCAAAACCAACCAGGTTTCCCCCTGATCAAGACCGTTCAAGGCCATTGTCATTGTTGACCACTTGTGGGAAGTGTAAAGAGGTAAGTTAGAGTGAAGGATCGTTACAACTACGTTGTTTCACTTGGTTGTATTGGGTGGCAATAGGGTGCTCTTTATTTGGAACCTGTTTACTTGTGCATCTCAAGAGGTATGTTGGGCTTGCTCTATAATGACAATCTCTCACTCATTGTCTACTTTAGACTACACTACCATTGACTGGGAAAAGTTGGCTATGGGGATTGCATGTTATTGAATCTTCCACCTTTTGGCTTCGTATTGTTCCAAGGACACTCCCTCGCCCCAGTATCGTTCTGGTATCCCCCCAGCGGCAAGATGCACGTATGGCTATGGCTTCACGCAGTAGGTGCGGCGCATATGATCGCAAGTGGTCTTTTGGCCTATTCGAGATCGTCAACAAGCTTGGTCCAACTGGGAAGCGTGAGACTGGATCATCGAAGGGGAAACGGATTCGTGTCGGTTCAATCGGGTCATAGGGTGGGGCCCATAAGGACAATCAATGTGTATCTTCTCCTGGCCAAACAAGCGACTTTTCCTCAGCTTGTCAAAGGAAGCTATCCTTGTGGTTCTCTTGCACCCAGAGCTCTCTCACGTTATGCTTGGTGGATGAGGGGTACGTTTGGCATTCTTGTTCTCTGCACTGGTGTTTCATCTCCCCCCGCTTGAGGTGCCATCGGTTCCATGTCCTGTGTGCTTGTGCTTTTTCAAGTATATGGTTGCATGTGGGATTTGTAGTCAACCACCTTTCCTTGTGGAGGGTGCCAGGGACTTTTGTCCTGCTCTTCGGCTTTAACCTATTTGCTGTGCAAAGCCTTCAAAGGGGTTGCCGCGATGACCACTTCAAGAGGGACCTCAATGGCACTAGCCTGCCAACTCTTGGTACAATCCATTTGTTAGGCAATGTGGAGAAGAGGATGTGTAATGGAGCTCCTGACACACAAGGGTGATCATCGCCCAAGAGGACCGCAGTATTTCTTTCTTTGGTACATACAAGCCGTCAAGTCATTGGGTAAATGGTGGCATTGGATCTTTCCAGGTTGGCCTTATCCTTTGTGTGATGGCGATTACAAGAAGATGCAGACGATAACGACCATGATGGACAAGTAGCTAGAGTCATTGTTGAATCCACTTCCACTTAGCTAGCCCATTCCCTTCTTGCTTGTACATTATAGGGTAGATGGAATAAATTCGTTCCGTTCTCGGTCATGTACGAAGTATACATCTTTTACGATACAATGAAGAGTGGGATTGACCATGATCCTCCGTTGAGTTTCAGGATGAATAATCTTGCTGTGGGCAAAAAGAGTGGCTTCGGGCCTTATGCAATGTCGAGCCATTATTGCCAAAAACATACAATATAGATCTTCATTGTTGGATGTGGTTTACTCACGTACGTTCACAAAAGGCTATCATCATCATCATCATCCATTTATGCAGCAACCTATCAAGGACGTGTTTGTGTCACCACCACGTGTCATTTCACTCAGCTCTCTATCTTTCCGTTAATGCAGCCGACACCATCCACTAGGAAAAAGCAACTCCATCACGCTTACAGCATAGGTAAAACATAAAGACGCCTGTATCTCCAAACTTTACAATGAAACATGTGGTTTTTATTAGAGCAATGTGCTCGGCTTGGCCAACAGCACCTTGTGTGGAAGTTTCGCGTTCAATGTCGCAAACAGCCCAAAAAATATTTTTTGGTCGTCGTCGTCGAAGAGGTTGACCCCATGTCTTCCCCGAACGCTACCGTTTTGCCTGATAAGGAAACAGGCACCCAACCTACATCTTATGCGAGAGCTGCTCGCGTTCGACGACCTACTGCAATTCGAGAATCTTTAACCAGCAATGCACTTGACAAGACCACACATTCCAATGTGTGGAAAGTTGGTGGATCCCCTGCTTCATGCCCGAGTTTGTTTTTTGACTTCACTTCTCGCAACGAAAACCGTACAACTCTTCTTCGTCACATAACTGAAAGCTATCCCGATAACTGTGGTGCACGCCTACACTCCGATCACTCACGCCGTATTGTTGAGCTTTTCATTGACGACTCATCCTTGTATGAAAAAGCCTGCAAACATGGTCTTCAATTCTCTGATGGCTCTCGTATCATTCCCACTCGTCCTTTAGCGGAAGACTCCCGCATCATCAACATTCGTCTCAGCAAATTGCCGTTCACATCTCGTGAAAAACTAGCACATGGAATCCAACAAGCACTCTTACCCTTTGGTAAGATTCAAGACTATGGAATTCTTCGTGACCATGACTCCCACTTGTTTATGGGCCATGGTTACGCAACATTAGACGTTTCAGCCTCAATCGATTTCCTCCCACTCACACACACGATTGCTTGGCCCAACTCCGCCGACTTCTTTTATGCAACATGGGCTGAAATGCCATTACATTGTCTTCACTGTCATCGCTCAGGTCACTCTATCTCATCATGTCCTAGTCATCCAAGCCGCAATCGCCTTTGCTGGTCATGCGGTCAACCAGGCCATCGTGCAGCAAAATGCTCTAATCATCGCACCCTCACGCCTACCAGCAACAACAAGTCACCCTTGCCACCATCGCCTCCCTCGCCCACACTTTCTTCTGCCTACAGCCACAATTCTGATGTTTCAATGCTTTCGGATGATCTTTCCAATCGTGAAGCTCACAACGACCAAATTATTGTCGACTTTATCCCACCTCAGCCCAATACCGATCCAAACGCCAAACCTATCACAGCTAGCCAACGTAGACTACTTAATCAACTGTTCCCTATTTCCGATGAAGCAAGAGCCATTACTGAATCCTTAACCAGCGTATCTTACAACAAACTTTATGCTGCACTTCTCCAAAACGGAAAAAAGTTCCGCGACTCGTTCCCTTTTGCATCGGGGAGTGCCTCTTCTTCGAGTCACAATGATCCGGTTTGATCCTTTTTTTCTCAATTAGTTTTCTTTATTTTCACATTGCTGTATCATCTTTGGGGTATCACTCCTCGACATACTCCCAATAAAAACCGAGGCAAATCAAGCCTCCCTATAACGAAGAGGTTGACCCCCAGATCCAGTTTGGCTGGTAGCGACATTGCGAATCTGGGATTGGCAAGCTTGATCGTGAAACTGGCACCCAAGGTGCAGTTGACCAAGCCGAGCACATTGCTCTAATAAAAACCCCACGTTTGATTGTAAAGTTTGGAGATACAGGCACCTTTACGTTTGTAAACGTGATGCTATATGAGAAGTGGTCTTTGTTCATTGCCAAGTAGCTAGACCCTGGAGAGCCAAAGATGCAGAAGGACCTCTTTGGGTAACTCAGCCAAAAAGTCAGGACTTCAGGGACAATGCATGAAAGGTACGCAACCCTCACTTTGATGTGATACATTGGCAGCTAATAGCCACTTTTGTGCATTCCCAACTTTTGTGCATTCTATTGTAGGCGGACGATGCTCCTGCTCTAGACATTCATTTCCATGATTAAAGTAGGTTGATCCGAGCTGATTTGGTTGAGTTACGCTCACACAAGGTTACATCGGTTGAGCTACATCGAGCGTGCTCTATGTCCAGAGTGATGTAATCTCTCTTTGACCGTAGCTCAGTCAAATCAGCTCGGATCAACCTACTTTAACCATGGAAATGAATGTCTAGAGCAGGGGCATCGTTCCCATGCAGTGGATCTCGCAACAATGATGATTGGATAAAAGTGGCCGTTAGCTAGCAATACATGCCTGTTCCTTGATGATCCATAAAGTAATTATACAATCATGCAAACGTAGCTGTGTTACACAACACGACCCTCTGCATCTTTTGCTCTGTCAGGGTCTAGCCACTTCACAATGAACAAAGACCACTCTTCTTATAGCATCACGCTTACAAACATAAAGGTGCCTGTATCTCCAAACTTTACAATGAAGCGTGGGGGTTTTATTAGAGCAATGGGCTCGGCTTGGCTAACAGCACCTTGTGTGAAAGTTTCGCGTTCAATGTCGCAAACAGCCCAAAAAATATTTTTTTGGTCGTCGTCGAAAGAGGTTGAGCCCCGGATCCAGTTTGGCTGGTAGCGACATTGCGAAATCTGGGATTGGCCACGATGGACTTCATAGTTTGACACAAGATCGCTTTGACCCCGACGAGCAGCTTTGTTCTCTTAAAGACCCCACGTTTCATTGTAAAGTTTAGAGATACAGGCACCTTTATTTTTAAGCGTGATGCCATATGAAAGAGGTCTTTGTTCATTGTAAAGTAGATAGATCCCGGTAGAACCAAAGATGCAGAGGGACGTGTTCGTGTAACTGAATCAGCCAGCATATTAGGCGATGCATGAAACTTGTACGCTACTCAGGAATAGTTCATAAATGCCAGCTACTAGCCCATTCATCCCATTCACCTTTTTTACCCAACCCATTGCATACGGACGATTGTCCTGCTCCAGCTCAACATTTCCATCATTCAACTTTCTTGATCCGTGGGGATTTGGTTGAGTTACGCTCAAACAAAGAATTGTTAATTTTTGTAATCGCAGACCCTGCGAATGTCCCCGACTCTCCAACATTTGGACGCTCTCATTTAAAATTGTCGTAATGGACCATGAGGTTTTTATTAAATAAACTTGATCAGCGTCCCCAAGAGCACCTTCTGACCTATTTTCAAGTTCGAGGTGGGCAACTTCGGCGCGGTGGGCCGCCCGCTCTTGTGTTCCCATCCATTCACCATGTCTCCTACATTTGGGCCGTCCCGCGTTCGAACTCTTCATAATGAAGCATACGGTCTTTTTTAGGATATCGTGATCAGCATATCCAAGAGCACCTTGTGTGAAAGTTTCAGGATCGAGAGAGGCAAACTCAATACCAAGGTTTGGATGTACAGTGTTCATGCATTTATACAAGAGGTGTGCGACCTATTTAATTTCCACTTCTTCCACTCCCACAACTTCTTGTCTCTTCCTCCCATTCTCAACTGTTGCCCCATTCAAGTACATACAACTACGACCTGCAAACGATTGTCCTGCTTCAACCCATCATGTCAATCCTACAACTCTCTCGATCCGATTGCCTTTGACTGAATGGACAAGTCCATGGCATGTGCACGCACGCCAACACGCCTTGCTGTTTGATACAACACACTGTCCAGCACACTCATCTGCCACGATCAAACGCAACGGCATTCACTCCAGCACTTGCTATTCACTCCATTGTCTCAAACGGCATTCACAATCTTGTCACTCTATTACAACACACGCTCTTCCACACTCCTTTCCCACGACCAAAGTTGACAGCGGTTACCATTAGGGAAAGTCTTCACTCCTTTGTCTCAAGTTACTTGCAGCAGCCTGTCTTGTGGCCTTCATCACGTGAACACCAGATTGCCATGGTGTGGAAGGAGCTTTATTTACGTGGAACAACTTGCTTTGGTACATGTGAATTCCAATGGATGATGCCATATCAGCTATCAAGTACGCCGCAACGACTAAGGTAATGGTAGATCAACAGCAGGATGGAAAAGGAAAGCACATCAACAACGGCTCTTTAACCAACGTATTGGATTTGCAATGGTTATGGATGGGTGGATGGATGCAATCAAGTGCAGTGATGAGAAAGAGATCCTGGAATATTGCTCTGGTTGCTTTTCGCGTCTGCAACAGGAACGATGGATCATGACGCGTGGATACGGCTAAGGATGATGATGGCTTGGATGGGAAAGGCTTGTATCTTTGACGAAGGAAGTGTGTTTAACAGTGATGAATGGCATTGGAGTACTCAAGAAGGCAAATCATGCAGCAACTATTCTCCAGCAACCAAGAATGCAATGACACAACTATCCCTGTTGCCTCGATGTGATTCATCCGGATCTTATCAATTTACAATGCTCATCACAGTAGTAGTTTATAGACATCCACACTACCCTTCTACTTTTTCATTGAATGAAGATTGGAATCAACGTAATACTTGGGAAGATGTGAATCACTTGGTTGGTTTCTGGTTTCTGGATTGAAAGGGAAAGGACAAATGTGATGGTCGGAAAGTGAGGTTGGATCATTCACGTTATCGTACAAGGCCCGTTGTTGTCCTTTTTGTCAAAGCTTCCTATGTAACTCGCATGTAGGTATATGATAGACAGTGGCAATTCTCAAACGCTTGATTTACGAGGATAATCAAATAAGGGTGATGATTCCCAACATAGAGCTTGTTACCTACGCTTGGTTCATTGTAAGCTTAATTCATTATGTTCGAGGAGGAGTGAGTTGCTGTGATACAACGGGACACAAGTACATGGACATACCAATCATACTTTCTATTGATCTGAGTGCTCTATGCACGCTGAAGAAGCTTTTTCCAAAGATATGCATCCATGTCAGAGTCTTAATAAAAGTCGAAGCGTACATGCATGTATGGAAATGCACCATCTTACACTTTCACGGTTGACCAGTAGTAACGAAGCTTCCTTGATATAAAGTTGAGTAGGAGAATGTGGCGGTGAATGAGTATTGGTAGGCCATGATAATACAGGAAGACTTGCAGATCATGGTACAGTATATCTCTTGCATGAGATGTTTGGTTTCATGACCAAAAGAACTACCATGCATTTGACACTCAAGATTGGTCACTTGACATTTATGATCGCTCATTTAAACGGGCCTCAATGGGCTTGGTGTACATTTTCAAGATTTGCTAAGCCCGCGTTCTTCGGCTTGGCAGAAAGAGACCACGTACAGTACTTTCACATGTATCCCTTCGCCGGTGGCAACAAAAGCTATAATCCCATACCTTGACACAAATCAATCTTTTAATAACCCATTGAATGGTGTACAGGATTCATATGCGAAGAAAAAGCTGTGAGCAAGGTTTTAGTCATGTCACCAAAAGATGAGACTTGTGTGGTACAGTGTAATACTCTGGCTGATGATCCCATCACCTTGATTTTTTTATGTATGCCAGAGTGGGATATAAAGTTCTTCTGCCACTTCTTTTCCACTCCCGTGTGATCTTGCGCCATGTATCCTTCCATGGCTCTTGGTAATGCTATCATGAAGGTGATAATGACCTTTATCCTTGCTGCAATGGTGGTAGATGGTTCATACAACGTAAGCGAGCAAGTGCAAAATTCTCGATACAATATCATGAGCATGTCACGGCGTGGAGCTGCTACCTTTGTACGCAATGATGTTCTATATACAGTGGGAGGCGGTCGACAGGGATACACCATCATCAATGGAGAGTTTTGGGCATTTTCGTTTAATGAAGGCAATGGCACGGTGAATGCTGATAGTTTACCAAGTCGTGTTCAATCCCTTATTCATGCACAAGCAGTACTGCTTCCTGATAACGACCGTGTATTGCTCTTCGGTGGATCGAATTCCACTACTCGCCCGGAAGGTCAAAACGGCACTCTCTTTTTCCAGGAGTATCGTTTCAGCACTGATCAATGGCAAACACTCCCTGTTACTTCCTCAACTCTCAACGGTCCTCTTCCACCCAATCGATACAAATTCACAGCAACACTTGCCCCCAATGGCAGAGTATACATTCATGGTGGAGCGATACCACCCACTGCAACACCATTACGTGACCTTTGGGAATTCGATCCATCCACGAACCGCTTCACCGAGATCCCCTTGAACAACACTCTCATTTCCCATACAACCATATCACTTTCAGCCATCGCCCTTACGTATGTGTTTGCAGATTAACTCATTACAAGGCCTACGTATTCACGTGTCAACTTTATTACTAGGGATGGGAGAATAGTATATCCTGTGGGGGATACATCAGGGTCAACGCAAGACCTCTTGAATGTAGCATTCGTCTTTGATACAAACACGCGCACAGCCTCCATGCAACCATTATCCAATCAGACGGCATATCCTGCTGCAAAGTATGGTGCCAATGCTGTGTTAGGTAAGGTTGATAAGCCTTTTGTCTACATCATCATGTCTCACCTACTTGTATAGCTAGGGATAACAAGACCATCTATTATTTTGGAGGTAATGGTGATATACAGGTCATGTTGTCATGTAAGACTAAAGGGGGGTGGTATTTTTTCATCAAGGTAGTACGCATAGCTATGGCTCACCCGACAATGCTCAATTCAATTTGGCGTACAACGACTTGAATATCCTTGACACTACTTCTTGGACATGGTTGCCGCCCAAGTCTATTCGAGGAGAGCCACCTAAACCAAGACATGATGCAGCTGCTGGCTTGTTACTTGGAAAGTATTGGGTGATTTTGGGAGGTATGGCTCATACTTCATAACCTGCTATCATTGATGGATGATGTATTAAAGTTTGGATACAGGTCTCTCTGAATTTTACTGGACAAATGATTTCAACGTACTCGCGCTTCCAGACGCTGATTCGGCATCGGATGACTTCACGTGGCTTTACAACATCACCGATCCATCTTTGAGTATGGCCGGCATCGACACTCCTGGTAGCTTTCCAGCAAGTGCTATTGTTGGAATTGTCATTGGCTCTGTCGCATTCATCATACTGGTCATCGTCATTATTTGGATGACACGGAAGAGGAGACGCTCGTCAGCAACACCATCTTGGCGGCCAACCATTTGGGAAAAGCGGTAAAGCATTCAAAGGAAATGGGGATATTATCAAATGCTAATATGGGCCTTGTAGTGTTGGAGAGCCTAAATGGATTGCTGTTTTGCACGCAATAATGAGGTTGATCCTAGTATTCTTGTTCACGGCATACCTTGTGTACACCATCAACCAGATTGTCAACAGCCCAACGAGTACCATGACACTTTCCGCCCCTGTAAATCAAGTACAAGTCCCAGGTACTACTACTACTACATCTTGCATCATGGTATAATGAATGATTAACAATCGCTGATAGACATGCGTTTTTGCTTTGATGGGTGGAATGATGAAGATGCCTTGTATTTCAGTACCGATACCGTTTCCAGAGCTGAGACAGCCAAGTGGAATTTCACTCATCGTTTGGACATGTCCAACCTTCGCCCCTATTACTCGGCCAGTAGAATCGGCGCTCTTGAATGCTGGTTGTTTAAGCCATCACCTGATTTCAAACTGGCATATCAAGCTGATATGCAATCAAACAATGGGACTCGACTCAAGTTTTTATTTGGCGGCGTGTATGATGGCTCCATGAACAGCTCTCGTGTGCATATCTCCATTTATCCTCCAAATCGTGATCCCAACAAGGTGGTTTATCGATATGAAGAACAACCAAACCTTAGCAACGACGAGATTCGACGTTGGATGAAGCTCGAATCGAATGATCAACAACCAGTAAATGTATACACGGCCGAAGTCAACACATATTCTTCGATCAGCTATCAGCTCAAGAATCATCGTTACCTTTCAGACAGCGGTTGGAATGCTATTGGATTCGCCTCCATCTATAACAACACGCCCGAAGTCGATACCGATTTTCGTACGAGCATTCAGGACGAGGATATGATGGTCAAGAATACGGTGGATGTTTATCCTGCCAACTTTATGGATGTGACTGAAGAAGAGCAACGTATTCACACGCTTGTCATGTCGATTGGTTCGGTGGGTGGTTTGCTGTCGCTTTTTGTGTTTTTGGATAGCGCTTTATTTGGATCACGACCTTCTGCAGTCATTGGCATCGTTCAAAAATTGGCAATTGGCAAGATGAAACGCTCGATCCAAAACAGTCAATTGGATGCATTTGGATTTCTAGGGCGTCCAGTGCCATTTGTTCATCCTGTCGACAGCAAAAGCAACCTTTTGAATTCCCATCAACGCCGGCAACATGGACTCAAAGCTTTTAAGCAACATGACACCACTACCGAACACGATCATGATACGGAGGATACCAAGATAATAGAACATGCAATGGAAGAGAACGTGCTACATGACCAAGTCGCTGAGCTTACAAGAAGACTACAATTGATGGAACTGGTTTTCAAGAATTATTGCATCGATGACCAAATTTTCAAGGATCTTCAGAATGCTCATCATCATAAAGCAGAAAGCGCAAGGAATGAAGGAGATGTCGCTACCATAATCAAGCCCGGCAACAATCATGGTGATAACGCATTCACTCGATTCTTTCGACGAAGGCGATACGCTCGTCAGCGATCATTAGAAGATGAAGAACAATTACCCCAGCAACCATAATCACTATAGGCAACTACTCTTGCTTAATAATAGCTTCCATTGTAAATATACTATATTACTGCCTTTGCTCTTATATGGTTCAGGAGATGATTTGAAGAGCTAGGAGTTGTCCCGTGAATAATAGTATCGTATAACTGTAAAGCTAACGACAAGGTATTTACACGAGGAAGCAGTGGTCAATGAACATAGTGAGAGTATCATAGCACAACGAATCCATGTATGACCTCTTCTAGGGCTTCATTATTCCCAGAATCATTGTGTATTTGATGGTTCAAGATACCATGGCGACGTGTCATTGTTGGCATGGAAAAGGCAGGGGGGTTGGTTACAAAGGGCACCTTTCCATTTCTAGCAAAGCGGCTCTTTATCGATCACTTGTCTAGATCCATGCATCACATTTTATTCAATTCTTACTTTTGTTTCTTAATCAAACAAGGTGTATATACATCAAGTAAGTGTGTGCTAGCCAAACCGGATCCAGAGGGCATATTTCTAAAATGAGACAAATCCATCATCCGCTGCACCATCGACCCCTTTTTTCACTTTCAACAGCCTTTTTGCAAGCTTATAATTTTCCGCCATCCGTCAGCATACTCCAATGATGACGGGAACATCAGTTCTTTCACCAACGCCTGAAGCAGATCGCGTACTCGACACACCGTTGCATCATCAACCCAAGGCATCCCCCACCAGCAATGAGACACTAGGTGGACTCCACATGATCAAAGAACGCGATGAAGAAAGTGGCGAGCAGCAGCAGCAGCAGGATAGAGACACTGTTCGACAAAAATATGAGAGCATGACCTATGATGACTTGGCACAACGCATGGCAGAGAATTACAAGCAACTTTCAGCTGTATTAGGCACCAATGCTTTGAATGCTATGAGAGAATCAACATCATCGACGACACGAGACGAGCATGAAGAACGAGAAGCGACTGAAACAGGAGATGCAAAGACGGCTGATATTGATAATGATGATCATGGATTGGATGATGATGATGATGTTGATGAGGAACAAGTGATTGATCGAGATGATATTGATGACAAGACCAAACGAGCCAAGATGACCAAACTATTTTGTCGAGCAGCATCGACTGGAGACGTTGACAAGGTGACGCAGTTGCTACGTGGGCGATATCGGTCTTACATTGATATCGATGCAAGGGATGAGGACGGCACTACGCCCTTGATCTACGCCGCCTGCTTTGGCAAAGTCGAGATTGCACAAGCTCTATTGGATGCAGGAGCAAAGACGGATGTCCAAGATTCTTGTAAGGGTCCTTATGCGTGTGTGATGTGGGACAAAGAATAATTGCATTAACCATTGATCATTCTCCCTATTTGTTTCACACACACACACACACACACCACACTCCACACACACCTATACATGTACAATAGTCGGATGGTCAGCATTAATGTGGGCAACCAACAACAACCAAGATGCGCTTGTCAAGGTTCTTCTCGAGAATGGTGCATCATCACATACCAAGTCAGCCAAAGGTCGCACCGTTTTCGACTTTGTCAACACCGATAATCAAAAGATAGTGGAGATCTTGGCAACCAATCCACGTGATAGCGTATCATCCACTTCGAGTATCCTTGGTCGTGCAGCTGGTAGCATGTCTTCAGGCTCATCCAGTGCCGGTGATTATGATTTCTATTATCAATCGACACTTGAAGGCTATGATCATTTCATGACCGAGGAAGCTGATCGACGTCGCAAACTACTGGAGACAGCCATGGCACTTGCTGATGGTGGAGTTCATCCTAGTGATGTTGATGATGATGATAATCCATTGGATGATCACGATGACTTGGATGATGATGGCAATGGCAGCGGCAGTGATATGGATGAACCAGCTGAATTCATATGGGACAAATGTTTACCGGATCAAATGTTTGTATTCAGTGCTGACAACTTGCCATACATTCTCAACACAATCATCACCGATATTCAACTTCCTGTTCGTTCACGTCAAGAAATCTGTGTACCAGCCAATGTCGTATTCTTGAGCGCCCGTTTTGCCCATTACTTTTCAGGAGATGAACTTTTGCAGCAAGTCATGAATGGTGCCGTTGAACGTATTAGCAACGAAATCAAGGTTTGTTACAAGAAAGGGATGATATAGGAGAGAGAGAAAGTGAATACTAATAACCTTCAATACATAGTCCAATGCACGTAATGTACACATCTTGGCCTTTTGGATCACCAATGCGACACAGCTCTTGTATTATCTCAAAAAGGATGTGGGGCTTGTTGTAGCCACTGCCGAGCATCAATTGCGTATCTCTGAACTTGTATCTGAAATCTACAACTTGATCATCAATGATGCTGAGAGACGCTTGGCCAAGATTCTTACACCATCCATGCTTGAGCATGAGCAGATACCTGGAATGGAGGATGTCAACTTTGCAGACGATTGGCAACGATTTTTCAGACGCAGTAGCCGACGCTCCGTTGTCGTGCCACCCGATGGTGGTCTTGCAGTACAGATGAAACGCAGCTCCAGTGTGCTTAGCACCAACAGCACAATGGCCAATACCAACAATAGCGCATGCGCTGCACATGCTATTTCACCACAATCGATCACAAGCTTATTGACATCAACGCTCTACGTGCTCCAATCATATGATGTACATCCAGCCATCATTGTTCAAGCCCTTGCACAATTCTTCCATTACATGTCATGTGAGCTCTTCAATCGCATTTTGACCAACAAGAAGCTCTTGTGTCGATCCAAGGCATTACAAATTCGTATGAACATGTCACAAATCGAGGATTGGATCACGCAAGAGCACCTCCCTTCAAGCCTTGTCAGCTATCTCGAGCCTACCAATCAGCTATTACAATTACTACAATGTTTGACGCATTTGCAAGACTTGGTCAGCTTTATTCACACCGTCAAGAAATTTGATGCTTTGAATGCTTTGCAAGTGAAACGCTGTGTGACCAATTATCGCTACGAAGTCAATGAGCCACGACTACCAGAGGAGATTGAGAAATACGCCATTCAGCTTGCTGAGGATACAGTGCGCTTCAAACAAGCACGATCGATTGAACAATTACGCAAGAAAAAGAGCAACACAGCTATGGCTCGTACTCAAAGTGTATCGCTACGCCGTAGCCCATCTCGTCGTGAGAGCGTAACGAACTTTGTGGGATCCATCATGTCCAGTGTTGGTATCACGACATCCAACTCTTTGCCACCTACGCTGCCATCAGAAGAAGAAGAATCATCATCGTCACAGCAACAAGAGGAGAAAAAGAGCTCTGAAAGTATCCAGGAACCGGAAAAACAAGCTAGCAATGCAGAAGCCCCATCATCTTCAGCCGATAATAAGCGGCCATCACGATCCGAATCCAGTGAAGATGAAGAAGAGGAGCGACAAACGGATGTGAAGGAAACACGTGATTCGAAATTCATGCTTCCTTTCTCTGTACCAACTACAGCTCATATGGTCAGTATCACTGGATGGGCCCCTGATAACGTCAAACGTCAAGAACGAATGATTTCACCCGTGATTCCTGATGAGTGGATGGACAAGCTGGATAATGCCAATACTTGCATTGAGTAATGTGATCCCTTTTCTTTGTTTTTGTTGCTGTTTTGTTGTTTTTGCTTTCTTTGTTATGCGGCTTCTTTTTTCTATCATGCAGAGCTTCTTTTACTCCCACGTGTACACTATTCTACTCGTTGTTGCCGTTTATTACCCATGTTGTTTACATTTTCCACCCTTAGAACTAGTCATCCATACGCACCACATCCTTCTCATCCCTTATTCATCACCCACATTGATGTATGTCTAAGCACATAATCAGCTTTGGTAATAAACGAATGCCAAAATGTATAAATGCTTGAATCATCCTCCATCCCATGCATGCACCAATGTAATAACCCATATTCGTGTGTGTATAGTAATTCACATGTATTAATCAAAGCAAGCTGCTACATGTCAAGTATGTATATGTATACTAGCTATATGCTTATCCAAAGAATAGCTGTGAGGACATGTCCCTGAAAGTGACGAACGCTGTTGGAGACCACGCAATGAACACGTTGCTAATGGCGACTGCTGTTACGTTTGGTTGTGGCAAAGGAGTGTGCAAGAGAAGGGTGTAGCCTCAAGGAAAGCAGGTGTTGCGTAGAATGGGCAAGGCTGTGTGCACGCCATGAACTTGCCAATCAGTCAAGCACGTTCACTTCAAGACAGCTGCAGGAGCGACATGATGGGCTGAAGCAGTACAATTGTTCGCAGGTGGTAGTTGTACTTGAATGAGCAAGAGTTGTGAATGGAAGACAATAGAGCTGGGAGTGGAAGAGCTGGAAATTAACTTTGATTTTCTGATGGCCTTGAATGATACTTCTTTGTTTGAAGGTTGGTCAATCACATCCTCTCGAATCAAGAAAGTTGAAGGATGGAGATGATGGGCTGGAGCAGGACAATCGTTCGTATGCATTGGTTTGGGCAAAAAGGGTGAATGGGAGGAATGGGCTATTAGCTGGCAGTTTACAATAACTTTGCAAAATGATCTTTGTGAAATTGGATGATGCTTTGTGTTTGAGCGTTTTTCAGTCAAATCCCCACCGATCAAGAAAGTTGAAGGATGGAAATGATGGGCTAGAGCAGGACAATCGTTTATATGTCATAAAATGAACAATAGTGCCAACCTTGAGGAAAAGGCATAGCAACGACCATGTTTAAATGAGACAACGAGATAACCAAGCGAACAATGTGACACCAAACGATCTTCGGGAAGTCAAAATGGACCTACTCATGTCCTCGGAAATGAAAAGTAGCCGTGCACAGACCACATACCCTTGTTTCAGCTCCTGAATAATGCACGTAACCAAAAGTTACATATCAACAATGCCTTAAACCGTATGCTGCTATCCATGGCAACGGCTATCACGTGCTGTAATAAAGGCTGGGCAGTAAAAAGTGTGACGGGGTTTACACGCGTCTCATAACAGCAGCGTTGCGTAGCCAAGGCAACGGTTGATCTCTACCAAAACCAACTCGCTTTCCGCTGATCAAGACCGTTCAAGACCATTGCCATTGTTGACCACTTGTGGGAAGTGTGAACAGGTAAGGTATAATGGAAGATCGTTACGTTGTTTCACTTGGTTGCATTGGAGGGCAATAGGGTGCTCTTTATTGGGGACCTGTTTGGCTAACTGGGTATCTCAAGAGGTATGGCAGCTTGTTCTATTATGGCAATCTCACCCATGATTCATCTCAGACTACACTACCATTGACTGGGAAAAGTTGGCTATGGGGGATTGCATGTTATTGAATCTTCCACCTTTTGGCTCGTATTGTTCCAAGGACACTCCCTCGCCCCAGTATCGTTCTGGTATCCCCCCAGCGGCAAGATGCACGTATGGCTATGGCTTCACGCAGTAGGTGCGGCGCATATGATCGCAAGTGGTCTTTTGGCCTATTCGAGATCGTCAACAAGCTTGGTCCAACTGGGAAGCGTGAGACTGGATCATCGAAGGGAAACGGATTCGTGTCGGTTCCAATCAAATAGCAGGGTGGGGCCCATAAGGACAATCAATGTGTATCTTCTCCTGGCCAAACAAGCGACTTTTCCTCAGCTTGTCAAAGGAAGTTACATCTCGGTGGTTCTCTTGCACCCAGAGCTTTCCCCACGTTATGCTTGGTGGATGAGGGGTACGTTTGGCATTCTTGTTCTCTGCACTGGTGTTTCATCTCCCCCCGCTTGAGGTGCCATCGGTTCCATGTCCTGTGTGCTTGTGTTTTATCAAGTATATGGTTGTATGTGGATTTGTAGTCAACCACCTTCCTTGTGGAGGGTACCAGGGACTTTTTTGTCCTGCTCTTCGAAGGGCTTTTAACCACGGGAGCAAAGTTTCAAAGGGGTTGCCGCGATGACCACTTCAAGAGGGACCTCAATGGCACTAGCCTGCCAACTCTTGGTACAATCCATTTGTTAGGCAATGTTGAGAAGAGGGTGTGTAATGGAGCCCCGACAATAAGGGGCATCATCGCCCAAGGGGGCCACAGTGATTTCTTCGTACATACAAGCCGTCAAGTCATTGGGTGAGTGGTGGCATTGGATCTTTTACAAGTGACCTGTCCTTGGTGCAACAAGATGATGCAAACGATAACGACACATGGAGAAGTACAGAGTCATTGTTGAATCCATCACTTTAGTAGTGTATTCCCTTCTGCTTGTAAGATAGGCAGGGAGAACAAATTCGTTCCGTCTTGGTCATGTACTTGAAGTGACATTCCTTTACGATACAATGAAGAATGGGTTTGACCGTATGACCTTCTCCATTGAGTTTCAGGATGAGTGACCAATCAACATAATTTAATAGTGGCAAAAGAGTGGCTTCAGGCCTATGCGATTTCGAGCCATTATTGCAAGCACATACAATTATAGATCTTCATTGTTAGATGTGGTTTACTCACGTACCTTCACAAAAGGCTATCATCATCATCATCCATTTATGCAGCAACCTATCAAGGACGTGTTTAGGTCACCACCACGTGTCATTTTCACTCAGCTCTCTATCTTCCTGCTAGTGCAGCTGATAATTCATCTATTAGGACAAAGCAATCGCATCACGCTACAGAGCATAGTGGTAAAACATAAAGACGCCTGTATCTCCAAACTTTACAATGAAACGTGGGGTTTTTTATTAGAGCAATGTAATGGCTTGGCCAACAGCACCTTGTGTGAAAGTTTCTAATGTTCAATGTCAAAACTAGCCCAAAATATTTTTGGTCGTCGTCAAATGAAGAGGTCGACCCCTAGATCCAGTTTGCTGGTGGCGACATTGCGAAATCTGATAGGCAAGCTTGATCGTGAAACTTTCACACAAGGTGTTGTTGACCAAGCCGAGCACATTGCTCTAATAAAACCTACGTTTCATTAAAGTTCGAGATACAGGGACCTTTATATGTTTGTAAGCGTGATGCTATATGTGAAGTGGTCTTTGTTCAATGTCAAGTCGTTGACCCCGGCAGAGCAAAAGATGCAGGACTCCTGTGTAACTCAGCTATGACTGGAAGATGGAAGCATCGTGTATACCGTTGACAAAAAGCCCGTTCATTGCGAGCTAACAGCCATTTCCTCACAATCGGCAATGTTGCCCATACTATGACAGTGGAACGATGCTCCTGATTCAGACATTCATTTCCATGCGATTGGATTATGTTGATCCGAGTTGGTTTATTGAGCTACGCTCATACAAGGTTACTTCAGTTGAGCAACATAGAGCATGGTTAGATGTGTGGATTGATGTAATCCCTCTTTGGCTGTATCTCGGTCAAATCAACTCGGATCAACATAATCCAATCATGGAAATGAATGTCTGAAGCAGGAGAATCGCTCACATGTCATAGAGTGGACAACAGTGGCTATTGTGAAGAAATGGCTGTTAAGCTCGCAATGAACGGGCTTGTCAACAGTATATAGTATCATCCTTCCATCCCTTCCAGTCATGCAAAGTAGCTGAGTTACACAAAATTTTACCCTGTTTCCGGGTTAGTCCAGCGACTTGACATTGAACGAAGACCACTTCTCATATAGCATCACGCTTACAAACATAAAGGTGCCTGTATCTCCAAACTTTTACAAATGAAACACAGGGTTTTTATTAGAGCAATGTGCTCGGCTTGGCCAACAGCACCTGTGTGAAAGTTTCACGTTCAATGTCGCAACTTTACCCCAAAAAATATTTTTTTGGTCGTCGTCGTCGAAGAGGTCGACCCCAGGTCCAGTTTGGCTGGTGGCGACATTTGCGAAATCTGGGAATGGCCACGATGGACTTATAGTTTGCCACAAGATCGCTTTCACCCCGCCGAGCAAGATTGTTCTATTAAAGACCCCACGGTTGATTGTAAAGTGTTGAGATACGGGCGTCTATATGTTTTTTATATACTGTAAGCGTGATGCTATAGGAAGGGTTCTCCGCCGGCAGATGACCATAATAGAGTAAAAGATGGACGACTTGCTTGTACAGTGGAGCGGACTTGCCGGCCAATCCTATTGGCGTGAGTGCATGATTGATCTTGCTCCTGCCTGCCTATGCTTCAGTATAGAACATGCTTCGTTCTTATATAAGGTTACATACAATACGTAGCGTTAGCTAAAATCAACATCGGGAAGCATGGTGTATGCTTGAACTTGTGTCACATTGTATCAGCTCGCTCTATCTCGAACAAGCAATACGTAACTGAACGAAGTACAA